GGGGGGAAGGGGGGCGTAATGTATCTCTCTCACACTGATCTGAAAATCCCACTTTCTGCCTTTTGAGTCCATGATGCAGACTCTTCGGAACTCGTTCTTTACGTAATTACCCGATAACTGAGCGCATACGACTCTCAGGTCGACGGGTGTGTTTTTGTCTACATCATACTCGCCTGACATTCCGTCCTTGTAACATTCGGCATATGCTATTGGGACGCAGGTGAGGATGGCGACGATAAGTAGTGACTGAATGGTTTGCATGGTGTGCAATGAGTGAATGAGTGAATGAGTGAGTGAGTGAAAGGAAGGGAAGGTAGAACGGGGGTATTAGATGTACTATTGATGGAAAAGTAATGCTCGATTTACGGCAAGAGTAGGAAACGTGGCGGAGTAGGCTGCCTTATATCAGCGAAGGGACGATCTTGGAAATTCTGAAGGTCGATGATGCTGAGAGACGTCAATGTTCTCCGAAGCTATAGAATACTCTGTTGCAAGGGGTTTTCCGAGGTCGAATGGAAAGACAGCAATCAGCGTTTATGTGGCACACCCGCGGTAGGGGAACAGTTGCCAGCCCCGGGTTCGTCTGTCTTCCTTTCATGATGTCTCAATTTGGGAATTTCATGGAGTCGGGGCCACAGCTAGGGAGTTTTCCCATTGTGCTCTCTCGGGTACCTCAGTCACAATATCGCGTCAAGGTTCAAAGCACACTGATGTGCCACAAAGCTTTCCCTGTGAATGGCACCACACTTAGCCTGACCTAGGTGTTGAGATCGGTATCTCGGGAGAGATGTACGCGGGTATTCGTGGAGACGTTCCCCCTTGCTTTTCGTTCGCGCACATTTGGACCCTTGCTTACTGTCAGTTGCTCTTCCAAGACTCAAGAATGGAAGCTGGGTTTCCGAAAACAGACTATTTGGCCTGGTTGCGCCAGTACATGTATCATTGATGCCAGTCTGCCCCTGAACTCCCGATATGACTTTCCAGTCTTTAAAAGAGAAGTAGGCGACTTTTTGACTACATTTTCTGAGCCATTCAAAACCTGGCTTTCCTTAGACCTGGTAAATCCGTCACTGAAGTTCTGAGAATGAATCTCTCAGAAATAGCAAAGCTCTTCCTCATCGTTATATCGATTAGCCATGGGGGGGCTGCATCCGCCAAAGCCGAGTTCCAAGCTCCTACGCTTATTGTTGGCTCAATACTAGACCATAACAGAATCTCTCGGTCAATCGACCGACCTCTGCTTGCCGAAGGCTTCAAGAAGATCATTCAATTGACGGATCCTGGTGCTCTATTCCATCGAAAGTCCCAAGAGTCGCTAAAAGGACGCGACAAGATTTCTGTGGCTGGGCTATCGATCATGAAGCCAGGCACTGGTGACGAAGTCGACAAGGAAAAGACTAGAGCTGACTTGACGTAACTGAACCACTCTAAGATTGCATACATAAGTATGATGATGTGCTGACAGATGATAGGAAACGTCAACTCTCCCCCGGGAGCATCCAGGGCAGATCCGCATCGGAAGCATTTCCATGGAAGGGCCTCAATCCCGATGGGTCATACCTTTGGACCAGGACAGTCGTATGCATGGCAATCTGCGAGAGAAACACCTACCACATGAGAGAGACTTTGAGGGGAAAGGGAAGATTGCAATCGTGAGTGAAACTTTTGGACTTCTAGAATTGCTTGCCTGAGCATTCTCTAGAATGGCTTGACTCACTTAGCTGACTTTGGAGCTTTCGACTTAGATGTTTCTTGAAGTGCAAGTCTGATGGTTCCATGACCGATATAACCGGCGAGGTCTATCAGGAGAGTTTCAGGGATGATTTCGCACCAGTGAGGTATTACCAGGGGTATCTCGATTATATCATGGGCAAAATTGGTGTGCATCCTAATAGGTTCCCGGAGTGGAGACAATCGTATTGAGGGTTTTATTTCGTGTGGAGGGTCCCTGTTGATGCTCAATCATCATTTATTCGTCGAGAATTTCGATTTTGAAATATCTAGCTTGCTGGGAAATCATGTTTCGATCCTGTCGTTTTTGCCCTTGAATGAAAGTAGATAATTGGGAAGATGGAGCCAAGAGTCTCTCATCTCTCGATCCATCTGCCAGTGTCTATATGTAGCATCTAAACATCATGGAATCTCTACTTTAAGCGTGAACTCTCCAGTTAGAGCTGAGACCAGGCAGGCCCCAAGTTGTTTGCGGCAAACGACAGCTTCGGCTCATTGGCATCCGAGAGCGATAAGAACTTGAAGCGCATGGGCGCAGTAGGATCATTCATTCGTGGGCGTGATTCAATTTGGCAATGGATCTCAACAGATATTCGGGCTTTCTTCCAGTCTAGGTCATAGTTGATCGTCATTCTTCTGGGCGCCACCGAAAAGGGTTATTCTCTTGAAGGTGCCACACATAGCCTTGAGCCGCAATGCCCAAGACTCGGCACTCATCCTCGCCCATCTCATTGCACTCGGCCCCAGACAGACCTGTCAAAGCCATGATTCTGAGCGGCGCGAGACCCTGCTCTCCCCGCTGCTTCGGGTTGGTCTTGCGCCGCAACATGTCAAGTGTCTCCTCCCACGTGCCCTGAACCATCTCGACAGAGCCGAGGCTGAGCTCTATTTCTCTCACCCCAAGAAGAACGCCCAAATCGTGCGAGCTGAGACGCACATTTGACAGGGTGAGCCTGTGAAGGTTCGGCCAAGGATGTGTTTGGATAAGCCAGTTGAGATGCCACGGCTCTTGTGCACCTATCTCGACGGTGTCCGCGTCTCGCTTGAACTCTTCCAAGTCGATCGAGATGCGCTCAATGCTGTCTGTCATGGTAAGAACGCTTAAGAACTTGCCGCAGCCTTCAAAATCGGCCGGGTCATCGAACTTGGGCCAGGTGGCCTGAGGCCTTCGGTGCGTGCCGTCGCTGAGAATGTATTTGCTTGTGAAGTCGAGGCACCTGAGGCGCTGAATGACCCTGGCGTACTGGTCCATGGTCATCTCGTCCGTCACTGTATCGAACGCGGTCCAAACATGCATCGGAGTGACTCGCACGGCGAAGCGCGTCAGGCTGACGTTGATGGCACCTAGGACTCCGGGGATGAACCCCAACGGACGTCGGGCGCTGATGAGGTCGTCTTCAAGTTCATCAACTCCGGTCGCTGCGTGTTCCCATCGGTAGGGAGTGATGAGAAATTGGTATAATTCGTCGTCGTTGACGAGGGCGTCACCCTCGGGCGGCGTCCACCGAGGTTCGAATGTGTCGCTCATCTCCAGTCTCGTCGCGTTCGGCATCCGCTTCATTGCGAATGACACTGTATCCGAATAACTGTGCCACCTGTCGTCGTGGAGATGCTTCTGCTCAGCCTCGAGGCGCGCGTATTTGTCGTACGCTTTTCCGAAAAGACCTTCATGGAATTGATCTGAAAGCTCCTGATCCCACGGTTGACTGTTGATGAACCTGTCCAAGAGTTGAAAGATGGACTGAAGCTTTTCCTTTGCTCCGTCAGATAGCAAGTCTCTGTGTGTCATTCCATGCCAAAGGTCCCGCTCAAATAAGTCTTCAAGCCGTTGCTTCGCCATGAGAATGAAGTTTGACTGTGCGTATGCGGCGAGGCCATCGTAAAAGCCCAGCGGTATGCGGATGCAGCGCACACCGCGTCCAATGCTCGTATGGCGAGAAATCGCATTCAATCGATCGAGAGATTTTTGGGTTACGTGTACCGTGACGGTAGGAACCAGGTAAGGTGACGCCACTTCGCATAGATGTCGGCAAGTCAGGCGAAGTGACTTGAGGGCATCGATGTCTACTTTGCGCCTCTTGTGAGGTTGTGACCAGGTGAAGTCGCTCTCTTGGGCGGAGACGGTGTCAACATGAGAGGCGATCTGGTCTAAGAGCTCAAAAGGCAATTTCAGAAGCCTGCTGTCCGTGGGTTTGAGAATGCTGTGAACATGTGCTCGAAGGGCGAATCCCTGTTCGACAAAGTCCGAGTAGGGTCCGAGTGCGTCTGGTTTTGCATTCTTGTATGCTTTCCAGTCTTCTAGGCTCAGCTCTGGGTGGTGGTTGACAATCTTCTCAAAGGTCGGATCAAGTTCGATCAACCGGCGGTAGATTGCAGAGAGCTCTTGGCTTGGGTTGGTATTCGGCTCTTCCGACTCTATTGCAATGATGGCTGCGGAAACATTCCGCATGTCATACCGGAATGGCGCCATTTCCGTGCATACTGCGCTGCCTGCAAAAGTCTATTGATTACAGCCGGAGACATGTAACAGTGTGTCGGTTCAGTTGTAGAGACTGAGTGTTGCCGATTGACAGGTCAATTTCGACAAATTGGGTACTTTCATGCTATCTTTGGAGTTGTCAACAGGGACCAACAATCTGACTTTGGGCAGGGCGCGTCGCGCCTTGACGCGTGACGTCATCCACTTTAAACCACTTGGGAGACGAAGTTCTCGCCAGCAACTCACAACTGATCACTGAGGGGGAGCCTTGATAATGACCTCTGGAAGTTGGATGCTGAAATAAAGAGTGCTCGTATGATGAATTAGTTGATGGCTTCCCGGTATCGGACATAGGAGAGCCACGATCATTAGGTTGATGCTGTCTAGCACTCACATGTTGTTGGGTATGAAGCATTGCACGAATTATCAACCCCAATTCAAGAGAAGTCCGGGAGAGAGAAACTGAACTCTGATATCTGAAAGGCAGGCCAAGCAACTTCTCAATTTTTACTAAGGCCCAACTGCGAAAGTTCCCAGAGTATTCTGGATAGAAGGCCCTTCTGCACTATATCAATATTCATAACGGCGCGGGTTGTATCGCATCCCATACATTCCAGTCTCCGGGTCGTAGAGCGGCCCCTCCAACTCCGAATCCGAGGGGATCTCATCCAAAGCAGCCTTGAATTGTTTCCACGTTGGTTCTCCATAGACTCCACGTTCACGCCAGAACTGCATCACTCTCAGCTCCTGAGCAAGAGAAAACCCACTTTCGGGATCCACGTCATCATCCATGTCGTCAATATCGAATTCGAGAAGGTCTTCGACGGGAGGGTTTCCTCCATGGTGGTCTCTGCCATGATTATTGCCGCCAATTCTGTTGCTGCCACGTCTTTTGCCACGGCGGCTGTTTTCGCCCGAGTTGTTTCTGCTCGTAGCATCTTGTTGATTGATTGCCACGTTGTCTTCAGTAGTGAGCCGGTCACCACATTCGGTAGCCGCCGCTGCCATGATAAGTGAAGCTGCCGTGGGTACGGGATTTTCTCCCACAAGGCCCCTGATATAGAGCAACGCCAAACCCGTGTTAAAGACGTGCGCCTGCTCGGCCATGCTCATCTTGGACTTGATCAAGCTGTCCGATGGAGCATGAAGCCCGATTACGACGATGGCGCCGGTCCTGTTGATACCCTCTCCTTCATCAACCGGTGTTGACTTTTCACGGAGAATATCCAACACATCTCGCAACGCACCCTGAATGATGTGTAAGCCATCCAGTATCAGATACAAGTCTTTCCTGCCTTCGAGAAATTCCTTCAATCCCCCAACAGTAGTGTTGAATGACTGCAGAGATACTTCTCGCAGCTTTGGCCAAGGCTGATAGTCGAGCAGCGAGGAAAAAGGTTGCCATCCAGGAAAGCCCATGTTTTCGTGGTACTGATAGTCGAAGGCGGTTAGGTTTAGTACCAGACGCTTGAGGTCAGATGCTCCACGGAATAGCACGTTAAGATATTTGGCAACCGACGGTAAGAACTCGGGCATGGTTGTTTCGTCTCGAAAGACCGGATCACGCGCAAAGTCCGTAAAGTTCCCGTCAACATTCCTCGGACCGATGGAAAATGTCAGGCGCTCGAGGCTCGCCGCAAATTTGCCGAGGCTTTTGGCAAGCTTGCTGCTACCTGGATCAAGGCGGGTATACATATCCTTATTACAAGGAGTTACGTTGATGCAAAATTCCTTGAGTCGAACATTGTGGTTTGCCAGGGCTGCGGGCAACTCCAGCAGCCAACTCTGACGCCCACCAGAATACCCGGCGAAAGTGGCGTTTGCCTTCTCCCAGCTCATAGGCTCGGTCATCATCCTGTAAAGACCACCGTTGCGGTAGTCTGCGTTCAAGCACCAGGAGGAACTGACGTCGACGTCGTCGATGAGGAGCCATTTAACGTTCGGCATTCTCGCGACTGCCACGGCGATCCTTTTGATCAGCACGGAAGAAGAGACACTGAATTACTCCTTTTGCTCAAGGAATCGACGCTTGTACTCTGCGTGCGCCGAAACCATGAAATCGTGGCAAGGCCCGCGTGCCCTGCGAGAACCCCAATAGGCGGCCTCCATCTCGTTGGAATCAACGGTCAGCTGATCGAGCAGCCCCTGGGTAGTCTGCCGCAGCCCTTCCGGCTCGCTTCGCGCCTCCAATTGCGCTAGTCTTTGCTCCAGCATCTTCAGGCTCACTTGTGTGAGTGCGCGCTGATATTCTTGGAAACCTTTGAAGTTATGGGCAAGCTCCTCAGCGTAAAAGGCTAAATGGACTGTCACTCCTTCGACACCGGCCGCGAGATCGGGATTTTATGATATGCTCTCAAGCTGATCAAAGGAGAGGGGGTTGAGCGCGACTTTGATAGAATTTGTGGGAGACACGAGGGAGTGGAAGTGTCGACACGTGAGCCGTAGCATGCAAGCCTGTCTTATGTCTCTGGAAGCAAAGGCCCGACCGAGCTTGTCGCATTTGACGTCTCGAGTGACGTGATCGAAGATTCTAGACAAGACATTATCTGGCAGGTCGAGGATATTGACCTTTCGGACTTTTGCATGTGTCACTTTGTCGATGATAGCTTGGAGACGAGCGACTCGGTCTCTCAAGCTCTTCTTTATATCTATGATGAACATGGCGTCTATTAGGCTGTCGGGGTCACGCTCCTCGAAACTCATGGCCTCTGGAACAAGACTGTTGACCTCGGCCATCTCTTTGTTAAGAGTTTCCAAGTCACACTCGGGAAGGCTGGAGAGCGGTCGTTGTTGTTCGAGCCGATATGTCTCGTCAAGGATGTGACACACGCGATCGGCCACTTCTTCGGGTGATTTACGTGCTCCCTGCAACGGCTTCAGACTCTGGGTGGGCAAGATCTCCCGCTTAGTTTGCGGATTTGGCGCCCTGGCAGACGCAGAGCCATTTTTGGAAGCTGGCGAGAAGTCGATGGCTGGGGCAGAGGTCTTGGAGAAGAGGTTCGGGACGCTGGTCGACTCGGGGCCCGACTCTAAAGCGGCCAGCCACTTTGCGACGGTGGTGCGAATGTCCGCCTTGTCTGACATGATGAAGTAGAGGTCCAGCAATACCGACAATGTGGGCCTCGGCGTTGAGAAATTGATGAAAGGTCGTGAGTTTGGGGCAACGTGTCGGTCTCGATGACTTGTCGCGTGGATTACTAGTTGACGTAGAGATGTTCTGGGATGGTGGGTTTGTGATCGAAGCAGCCGGAGTACGGAGCACCGGCAATCTATCTAACCAGGTGGGAATGCCACCTTTTGATGTAAAACTTTTTAAATAGGGATGACAGCATTCCATGGCAAATCTCATCACTCATTCTGTCACCCCGCCCTGTCGGCTGTTCTGTTGCTTTCTTTTTTCAGTGATATCAGCTAACTAATTTTGATCGGGATTCGTGTCGCGTAATGGAGAGCTCGCGTTGACAACCAATCCGCTCGCGATATTGACCCGGTTGTGTTCGTTACAAACGCGTCTCATTCCAAGCAACCAACTTTGAGACAACAGTTCTCAGACGCAGCTCGGCCAGGCGTAGAACGGGGTTAGAGAGCTGAATTGCCTGAAATAGTTTCACATCTGATGCTAGTATAATTTGAGAGCTGGTTTGGTTTCCAAAAAAACCGACATTGAATCGCCTAGCTCCGTCATCACCTACCTTAGGTAATTTATGCAATTGACGATGTGTCCTATGCGGAGACAACCAATATATGCTGAGATGGCGGTTTACAAGAGATCGTGCTTCTTAGCGGCTCAAGTTGCAACATGGGCTTAGTTCCTTCTGTGTTTGATTCATTTGACACTGACTTCTGCTTTGTCTGAAACAAGAGGTATGAACGAGAGTTGGGGAGCCACTACTGCATGCACACCTTCCACCGGATTTTAGGATGCACAGCAACAAATAAGAAAATAGTAGAAATGCCTTTTTTCCTTAGAGACAAAGCTGTATGGTTTGCTCAATGTGATCTTTGCATCTCTAGAAATGCCATCTGGTGAAAGTTGAAAACCTAAGAAATGACACAGAATGCTCGGTATTATTGCCAAACGAATCAATAAATTCAATAGAGTAAAACTGAAAAAAGATGAATCATCATGGCAGTTAACATAGCGTGATGTTTAATAGTAAAATCGGGTTACCCAGTGTCAAGATCCCCAGTGCTACCATTTACTGGAGGTACCAGATTCGCTCCTGTGTATCCCTCCATTCCTAACCTTTGCCCCTCCGAATCATATTCTTACTGGGCTACCCTCGAATCAGCGACGCTTCTGCCGAGAAGGCCAAACCTGTAAGCTTCAGAGACCACGTCTGTTCAATCGTATATTGGGTTCTCTGATATGCAACGGTGGCGGCACTCTCGGAAACGTTGCATAAAATATGGCTCTGCGATGCTGTTCTCGATCCCAGACCCCTATTGTACGGGTTGTCTGCCCGGGGTTTGGAAGTGCCGACGCCGATTTGGTGTCTGGCTACACGGGCTTTCTTGGCCACGAGCATCACTTGAAATGGCGTGAAGACTAGCCACATAATTTCAGGCTAGTAACATTCAACCGTCACGGTACAGCCATCCTCCGCATCATGTCCAGCGTTGTATCGGCCCACAAGAGGTCAAGTCGATGTCAACACATATGTATAGCAAAGTAAGGTAATTCAACTTCAATAGTCAGGTTGGCAGATCAAAGATGGACCACCAAGTCAGATTATTGAATTTGAAGATTGGACTCAACGGCCTTTGGTTCTTATAAATGGGCAATGCAAACGTATTTACAGAGAAGGTATCCAAACAACGCGTGCTCGTCCTAAAACTCTCAGCCTGAAACTCTCCATCCCTGGATCTCGTCGAGAGTGAGCACGTACTCGCTGTCGTAAATCTATCAATTGTCAGCATTCAAGGTCTCGAGCGCTGGAGAGAAAGGCTAAAAAACCTCCGTACCTTCTTCAGGTCATCGACACTGTTCCACTCGCTGTTGTTGATGAAGCCGTCGCTCCATACGCAGAAGTAAAGCCAGTGGGTCTCGTACGCCTGGAGGAGATCAGGGAAGGGAGCGCTGCCGACCTCGGCAGCCGCAATTAGCTTTTTATCTTTACCAAGCGTGATGAGGTCGTTGTATTGCGTTGTCATGGGCTATAGGCAGGTTAGAGATGAGTCCTATGATGAGGAGAAGGAGAAGAAGGAGAAGAGCTTACGCCGTGGCCTTGAGCGTAGACATCCGTGCTGAGGACATCGACGGTATCATCACCGGGGTACCAGTCAGCCGCCACCGAATTCCAGATCCAGACAAGGTTGTTCAGCTCGTGATGGTCAGTGAGACGGTCATACACCAAAGCCCAAAGCTTTTTGCAAGCCTCGGGACCCTTGGCTCCCCACCAGAACCAGGCACCCTCGGCCTCGTGAAGCGGGCGCCAGAGCACAGGAACACCGGCATCCTGAAGCTTCTTGAGTTGGACGGCAATGGCGTCGATATCGCGGATGATAAGGGTGTAGTTTGCGTTGGTGGTGTCCGCGAGGGCTGTTGAGACATCAAAGTCGGTGGCGCGGGTGTAGAAGCCGCTCCACCATTTGTTCTCCTCCGTGTCGTAGAGACCCGTGGGCGCGTTCCAGTGCCAAAGAACGGAAACGATACCGCCGCGCTCGTGGTGGGTGATGGCCTCCTCGACGGCGGTGCCGATGGTTCCGCGCTCGACGCGGCTGGGAGAGTAGTCCATCAGGTCGACGCTGACGAGAGCGGGAGACTTGCCGATGATCTCGTTGACCCAGTTCGCGTAGTTGAGTTCCTGCTGGCCGGAGAGGATGTTCTTGCCGTAGATGGAGCGTAGGTAGGTGTATAATGCGTTGGCGTCAGCGTTGGCCTTTGAATTTACGAGGGCCGTGTTGACGTTGTGAGGTCCACGGGCCTCGGTGGGCGCGAGGGTGATGGAATCGATGAAGTACCATCCCCAGTGAGTTACGATGTCGAGCGTGTTGCTGCCCTCGTTGAGCAGCACCTGGCCGGCGGAGACATTGGTCCAGGTCTCGGTGGCGGACAGGAGAACCTCACTGGCGGCACCGCCGTTGAGAATGACGTTCGTGCGCTTCTCGCCGTAGATTCCGGCGTATCTAATGCTGAGATCGAACAGCTTCTGACCTTCGCCCTGGCAGTCGAGGTTGATGGTGACCTTGTCGGTGGCGTCTTCGAAGCCGGTTACGTACCCAGTCCCTGTCAATCACGATAAAAGGTCAATAAATATACAAAGAGGTGTATAAATTTAGTCCAGAATCTTATACCCGTGAAACCAGCCTGCTCTGTCGCGACAGTCGTTCCATTGAGAACTCCATTTTCCGCCTCGTAGACCTTGGCTCCGGTGCTGCCGATGCAGTTCTGCGAATACACGACAGCGGCAAACGCAAAGATAGCAAAGAGCGAGAGTGCCATTGATCTCGCCATGATTTACGACGGAAGATCAGCGCGGGAATGAAACAAGAACAAGAAAAGACGTGAAAAAGATCGGCTGAGGCGGTATTGTCTCAAGGAACCAAGGAATGGCTCCACGGTTGGGTTATCTATGCTTATTATACACCTGGTAACTTTCCTTTCATCTCCAAATTGTTCCCTTCATCCTGTCAAACTCGCCATATTGACTGATCATGTTTGCCGGGACCTAATGGCATTGAACCGGGATGACGGAAGCGGGCTTGGCTTTCACGAATTGCAAGACGGAGTGTGACGCTCCGCGTGAGACGAAAGGGGCAGAGATTGCCGCGCCAAAGGAGACGAACAGCACGGGGACGCCCTGTCTTGGTATTTGCTTGGCTCAAGTGCCAGATGACAGAATGCCACGCGGGCGATGTTGCCATCTTGTCGTTTCCCGGACAAATGCCACGCAGGGTCAGTCAAGGCAAAGTGATCTCTACCACCTTTCTCTCACACCGTTGCCGTCCGAAGTATCCTTTGGAGACAATTCACTGGCTAGCCATCCGAAACTTGACGCTACCTTATTCATGACGGGGCCTTTTCGACCACATAGCGGATGGTTCGCCGCCAAGGGCATTTACACCAACATGGTTTGGCGCGGTTCCACGATCCACTTCGGCCTTACGTCGATTCGAAAATTTTGGTGCCTTTAGTTCAAGGGTCTCGAGGTATCGTGCCCCGTCTACATGATCCCACAGATGAAGCCGATGCCTCAACAACCAGCCGTTGTTTACAACTGCCCGGCTAGCTCAATCGTAAGCTTCATCTTGTAACCACCGTATTAGTACTACGACTAACAGAAATCAGCCACGTCGGGCTCAATTCCCGTCAGCAATTGACTCTATCTTTTTACTCTTTTATGTTTGATCTTCAACACACGGAGCCTCACAGCACTGGCGACTTCGTTGCTATAAACTATGGAGTCTTGCATTTTGCCCTGCTGCTAGTAATTAGGTTTAGTAATCTACGTCGATGAAGAGCTGAAAACAACTCAGTCCCCCCATCGCAGTCATAGCCCCTTCAAACACTTGTTCGCTTCCTGACCTCAACTTCCGATGCAAAATTCGGCTGGACAATTACCTGCTTGATCTGATTCGGTGGCCTCTCCACGTGGTCAAGGCCATCAGCACCCTTCAACTGAATATCATAGTTCATCAGCAGCTCAATGAATATGCACTTGATCACATGAACAGCAAAGAAGCGCCCTGGGCATGCATGCGGGCCGTGACCGAAGTTGAATGCATCTGGCCCAGTCGTCGCAGCTTGATGCTTCATTTCACGACCTGGCTGATCTCGGAGACGAGCGAAACGGAAACCATCGAATTCGTTTGGTGGCGCATTGCCGGTTCCAGCATTATAATCTGGGCTGAAAGTGTTCGTCGTCGTAGAGTTACTGAAAATTTGTGAGCCACATCCTAATATCACCTGTCCGAATCTGCCAAGCACGCCTCGGAGCTTGCAACTTACTACATGGCCCATAGCGGGAAGGAAATTGGTGTCCCAGCGGGCAACTTCATGCCATTAGAAAAGGTCTGATCTTTGCGAAGTCTTCGTGAGGTGCCGACTATTCCGTCATGTGAGTCTCGAACTGAGGATTGAAGGGTCTACGGAAAATGATTTACCAAAGCTCAGCGGACTTGTGCGTTGACTTTCCTTGATGAAGCTGTCAAGTTTCTTCAATTTGCCAATAGAAGACTTTGAAAGAAACACTTGTCCGTTTTCATCCCGTTCCACGCCATCTTCCTTGATGACCTCTTCGATCTCCTCTCGCAGGGGTCCAACGTACTCGGGGCGGCCGAGCAAATCATGAAGAGCCTGAGATAGGTCAGCTTGCTGGACTGCTTGCTGGACAAATCAGCTGGTTCTCATACCAACGTGGTCGTGCTAGATGTTGTGTGGATGGCAGCAAATGACAGTAACATCTGGTTGGTCCCCACTGTCTCAGGGGTCTTCTCTGAAGGGGTTAGATACTTCATCATCCACAATACAAAGGCCCCAGAAGCGCCTGGTTTCGCCGGCTTCTCCTCAGGCAAGTTCTCCTTTTGGAGAATGTCTTTCACCAGAGGTCGCATCTGTTCATTCGCTTTTTGAAGCGCTCGGCGCGTTTGTCGCACTTCAGGAAGGAACGGGAGGACAAAAGGCCGAATCCAGGGGTTCCATCGGAGGACAGCCATACGGCATTTTCCCACGTCCGTGGCGAAGGTGACTGACGCCCGAATCCAATCCTCCTTGCGACTCAAAGGTAGGCCAACAAACACTCGACCACTCATGAGCCCAATCATGCGGAGGACCATGTGGTAGGTGTTGAACGTCTTCCATTCTTCCGATTCCCCAAAGAGCTGCTTCATGGCGAACTTGGCTTCCTCTTGGATTGGCCGGAGGACGCCAGACATATTCCTCGTCAAGTCGACTCGTACAGCCTCGATGACTTCTCTGCGACTCTCTCCGACGTGGGTGTAACGGCCGAGGAAATTTTCATAGATTTCAGCGCTGAAGGAAATTTCCGAGTCTGGCGCTTGGATGACTTCTTGGTACAGGTTCATGGGAAGCATGACCCGCGGAGGGTCGCTTGGAACGACGAACGCCGAGTCCGGATACTGACGTTCAGGCCTCGGTCAGTTCACTGTTCATCGAGGAGGACAAAAGCGCTTGGTTTTGTTACCTTTTTATGGCCATCAATGATAGCAGACGAAAGGTTTTGGTCATCGGCAGATCCCATAACTGGAAGCCCGTAATATGGCTTGATCCTTTTGCGCAGCCGATTCACTGCGAGTATCATGGCCGTAAACGCGACCGGTGCCCATAGTAGCCAAAGCATATTATCGGTATTCTGAAGAGGACAAACTGGTGTTTGGCGATGGTGAGATTGATAGATATTCTTAAAAATTCAGCTTGCGGTAGAATCGTTTTCGCGAAGTTTAGCGGTGGGATATACTAGGGAGAGAAAATACTCCGACGGAGCCGGAGGAAAGATTACTGAGAACCCTGCCAACCTGAAGTAACCTTACGACCATGCCACCTTGCATCCTTCGCGTACGAAATGCTGTCCGTTTTCGGCAGATCCTATCAGCACTAGAGCCCTTGTTTCTCGCGGCAAGAAAAAGAAACGAAACAGTGGTGCTTTGGAGGAGGAGGCCTCTTAACTCCACCAAATCATTTTCCGAACAGTGATAAGCAGCCCACTCGCGTTCTATGTTCATGGGAAATCCTCGGAAAGCTACTGGTCAGACGGTTGGCTGCTGGTTATTTATGATTCGTTCGTTTGGCCGGCAGGATACCCGCTAGCTTGCTAACGCCTGCAAGGATCGTCTTTGGGCTCGTGTAACGGTCGACCTGGCGATAATGACGTGGTAGGCCCCGCTGAGATGAATGAATTGTGAAGTCGTTGCCTGCGGGTAGCCGACGTTGTGATATTGTAATGAAGCCACGGGGTTTGATAGGTCCCGGTGACCGATAATCTTCCTATTGGTATTTAGCCCTGAGACTAAGTCCGAACAACTTAAAAAGCCCTGGCACTGGCATGGCTCTTGCAGTTAATAGCAAGCTTTGCTGAAACCCCACAGATAAGAACTCGTTCTGGCAGAATTCATGTAGTTATTTGGTACTGAAAGTCAGTGTTGATGTTGCCTACATAACTGCGTTAACTTAATGTAATGAAATTCGAAAGCTAGGCGAGACACAGAGTAAAGAGTTGTGAGATTAAAAAAGGGCATCGTAACGATAACGTAGAAACTTATGTACTCATGCCTTGTATGACTGAAACCGAAAGTAGGCTTGGGAAATATCCAACTTGCTCATGTGATCACGTATATGTTGGCAACATCCATCTCTTCCCTTGACTGAGAATAACAATGGCTACAAACCAGTTACAACAAAGCGACCCATGGAAGACGACCCTGTGACGGCCCTCGTAGGATATATCTTGGCCATCAGGTGGCGTCATCGTCTTATGCCTAAGATCATGTTTGGGCTTTTGAGAGAAACAAAGAAACCAATTATAGCACCTAATGAAGAGAAGACGAGCTTGACAACATGAAACAGCGTTCAACTAAGCTTCGAGGTGTAGTCATTTGTGCGTTGATACTTGGGAATGTGGAAAATGAGCCCGCCGTTCTTGAGCATGTCATCCGAATAGCATTGGGAAGCAAAGACGGCATCACAAAGATTTTGCATACGCCTAATTGACTCCTGGATCGTATGCACTGTTTGCCCGGCTCACACGGCAATCACAATTCTCAACCCGCTTTCATTTACTTAATGTGATGATCATCAATATCTCCAGTTCGAAGCACTGGACTCCTTTCTAGTTAGTTCCGAAACTCCGACAAGATTCCCATGAGGCCAGATGTCCAGAGACGTGCGGCCCGGCACGTGGTTCCATATTGAGGTTTTCGGAAGAGAAGCCGTTGGTTCCAGTAAAGGTTCTTGGCCTCCCTCGGCACTTCAAGCATCTCGCTATTTCCCGACAAATCAAATCTTAGCCGCCCGCCAGGAACGGCAGCCGGAACCAGATGACTGGTCGGTACTGTCATCTTTTCCACAAATTGCACCATCCTACGTTTCCCCGTGTTTTCGCTTTGCTTTGGATCGCACAGCCATGCTCTCCCAAATAGGCTTCTCGGACGGAGGGTTGTAAGTAGGGCCCCTTGGTAACGCATAGCCGTCGCAATATGTTAAGGCGCCTTTGGTTCCGTTCTCGAGATGGCTATCGTTGCTACGCAATGAAAGTAATGATACTGTAAATTCGAGGGCTATTTGTCACCTATCGGGCTATAAGAAGTAGCCAACTCAGTACCCCGAGATGGTAACTTACCTGGAATCTTCACAAGCAAACCCGCCGGTTGAGTAGCTGCCAAAGTCGAGTCTTCACGCCATTACTTTTGCTCGATATTCAAAATGCACGTCGCTTCACTTCTCACTCTAGTTTCCACCCTGGTGACGGTCTCGGCATCGCCTCGCTTCGGTACCAAAGGACATCACTTCCGTCGTGCAGGCACCGGAAACGGCACATCAAACCCCTTTGATGGCAAGAAGCTCTATATCAACCCGGACTGGGCCGAGAAGCTCGAACAGACCCACGATGCCTTCGTGACCAAGGGAGACATCGTGAACACGGGTAAGGTCCGCACGATCCAGAATATTGGCACGTTTGTCTGGGTTTCGGACACTGCAAGCCTGGCCAACATCGACACGGCCGTTGAGCGTGCGCGCGCCATCCAGGACAAGACGGGCGAGCAGCAGATTGTCGGCCTGGTGCTCTACAACCTCCCCGACAGAGACTGTAGTGCAGGGGAGAGTGCCGGCGAGTTCAGCAGCGAGAATAACGGACTCGCGCTGTATAAGGAGACGTATATCAAGCCGTATGCGGAGAAGCTAGCTGCTGCGAGCGACTTGACTTTCGCGGTCGTCCTCGAGCCGGACTCCCTGGCGAACCTCGTCACAAACTTGGCAATAGAGTTCTGCGCCAAGGCGCAACCGGTTTACGAGGATGGCATTGCGTATGCCATTTCCAATTTGCAGTACGACCATGTCAACCTCTACATTGATGCTGCTCACGGTGGCTGGCTCGGGTGGGACGATAACCTGGCGCCATGTAAGTCGAAAGCTTGAAAAGAGAATCTGTAACATGAACTGACAATTGAGACAGCCGCGAAGCTCTTTGCCAAAGTCGTCCAGAAGGCAGGCAAAAACACCAAGATCCGGGGCTTCTCTACGAATGTCTCAAACTACAACCCTTTCCATGCCAACCCCCGCGCAAACTACACAGAATGGAGCAACTCGTATGACGAGAACAACTACGCCCTCTCTCTCTCTCCTCATCTTGAAGCCGAGGGCTTGCCATCACGCTTCATCATCGACCAAGGCCGTGTCTCGAACAGCAGAGCCGAGTGGGGTGAGTGGTGCAACGTCCACCCCGCTGGCTTCGGCATGCAGCCCGGCACGCCGGTGAATAATACCCACATTGATTCCATTGTGTGGGTGAAGCCAGGTGGCGAGAGCGATGGACGCTGTGGGCTTGAAGGTGCGCCCAGAGCTGGCGCTTGGTTTGACGAGTATGTACAGATGCTGGTCGAGAACGCGGACCCCTCTATCGTTCCAAGTGACGCTTGAGAATCAGTTCGTAAATTATCTTCGAGCATTGCTTCCTAAGCATGAATCCTCATGATCGAATACTCTTCTGATACTTAGTTTACCTTCTCTCTAAAAGTACACACACAAAGGTCTATGGGATAGGCCAATGTACGAATACGCGCAGTCTGTTTTGAAACTTCGGCCCTCGTCTAGTGATCGCTACAATACCTTATGTGTATGTGAAAATCCGAAGCACGTACGTGACTCACCAGAGTCTTTTCCACCGCACCTTAACATCACGATCCGGGGGTACAGCTGCCGTGCCAAAGTACCGCTCGTCATCTACTGGGGCTCGGTCGGATTTCAACCCGCTCAAGGTCGTCCACTCAACAAACTCCATGTCGAACTTTGTAACCAGCATCGCAATTGTGAGGAGAACCTCTTGTTTTGCAAAGAACCGTCCTGGGCATATTGAAATACCACCACCTATTCAGGAGGCTGTTAGTTTGGGAGGCTCGATGAAAGCAAATGTCATCTGCACATAGGCTCACGGTAACAACAGAAAGAGACTCACTTACCAAAGGGAAAAAACTCGCTGGGCTTTCCGGCCATAACGAATTGCCTTTGGGTGGTCTGTTGACCAGTACTCTCCTCGACCTGCGTCACATGCTTGATGTGTCTCTCTGCCCAGAACTCCGACGCAGCGTGACCTTCCTGGCTCCATATCTGCTCGTCCAAGTGCACGAGGTTCGTCGGCGCTTGGATCATTGAACCCTTTTTCAAGCGAAAGCCTTGGAGTGTTGTCGTCTTGACGATTTCCCTGGAAATTGCGATGGAGACATGTAGACGCATACACTCTGTAAAAATAGATTGCATGAGTGGCATCGAGATGAGCTTGGGCACGTCGAACGATCGCTTCCCGGTGACGGGGTCAATATGCAAAGTCTGGTGGGCTTCGTCGCGAACAGCCCTGAAAAGTTCCGGGTCTCGCAAGAGCTCTATCAGCACCCACGTGGCGATCGGTATTGTGTTTGCGTTGATACTGACGGATGAGCATCAAAACAATTTTGACCAATACGATTTCAAACTTACCCAAATATCGCGATCATATGGAAACCGGCTTTGGTCTCCATAGCCATACCTGCATCGTGAAGCCATTTACTGATCTTGCGCATGTAGATGGATCCGAAGACGGGCTCCCAGGCAGACTCCGTACCAGGACCATCCCAATCAAGAGTTGAAAAGGCTGCTTCCAGGTACTTCTGCGTCATGCCGTTCAGCTTATCGCGCTCCTCTACCGGCTTCCTGTTGATCCACTTTGGCAGGCCGTACACAACCTGGAAAGCAACGCTCTCAAAGCGCCAAAACTGGTCAACGTAATCCGGGAACATCTCCAATAGCTTGGGACCGCAGAGCGATTTGATTGCGCTCTCGCACATGTCTTTCCTCAAGAGATCAAAGAGGCGAACAGTCGCCCACTGACCCAGAGGTTGCTTTTCCAAAGCATCCCCAAGGAATTTGGTATAAGTTTCCGCCAAAAGAGCACAGGGCTCTGAGCGGGAAAGGTTCTCGATGGTGATGTGATGCAAATTGTACCAATATCGCTTCTCTTGCGGCATGTTTTCATAGCCCTGAGCAGGTATTTTGAGCCGTCCCGATTTGTCGTTTGCAAACTTGGCCACATCTTCTTCCGCTGAACCTTGCAGGTTTTTCATTACCAGTAGGATGAATTTGTTCGAGCTGATGCTAGCGGACGACCGAAACATAGCTTGTACACTTTCTCCTCCTTGTACGAAATAAAAGCGCATGGGGCCTATGTATAGTTTCACGACATGGCTTTGAGCCATTGCATGGCTTATGAGATTCGAGTCAGCTCCGCCTTAACTCTGGCAGAAAGAAATCAAAAACAAAGGAGACAACATTCACTTGTGGCATACCTGGCACGGTTCATGAGTGTCTTGATGTCCGTCATATATTGATAGGTATTGCTGATGAAAGGCAGGATGTCGGGAAGGGAGGGTGGCTCATCTTGACTTGGCTGGCGGAGGCAAACTAGAACGATGGGCAGCAGAAGTGCTATGGCCACCGTTGCTGGATGGCTAGAAATCCACTGAAATACGTTCAGCATTTTCAAAGACATTTAATGGTGGTGATGAAAGTTGATTTAACCAGCTGGGAGGAGGTTAATACGTTGTGAACACAAAAATTACGCCTCTCCCTCCCGTCGCCAGAAACACGTGCGGGGTCTATGACCATGAGATGAACCTAAGTGATATAGCCACCAAGACACCCGGGCGCTTAACCTCTTACATCACATGATCAAGCTCGGTCATATAAATACGCTAACCAGTTGCAGGCTAGATTTGCGAATACTAGAGTGCTATAGGCACGCAGCTCGCTGGACATCCGACCGGGGTATATCCCATCACGGCTACATCGGACCTTTTTGCCACCTTTGCGAAGGGTCGTTGCGAAGCCGAACCTAAAATCCGCGAAGGTATCGTGCTAAGCCCGCACTACCTTAAGCTGACTCCTCCTACTTCATCATCTCCGCCGTCATTCAGTCCTAAACTTCCCATCTGGGACGTGACGTCAGACGTGTCAAACGTCTCGCTCCATCTGCCTCGCAGAGTCATTCTCACGGATGACGTGAGAGAATCGTGATTCCTGAATGTCGGCCTCACTTTCTTCTCCACTAAATCAAACGCATCTTTGCGGATTCTCTGGAGCAATCTGTTGATCATGATTTCTCTCTTTTCCTCCCCTTCATCGCCTTCGGATTGGAGGACGTCAGGTACGCGCCAGCTGATGTAGAGGTTCTTGTGACTGCTTCGATGCTCGACGCCAGACCGGTGTTCCTCGAAGTAGTACTCGCAGAGTCTGCAGGTGGGTTTGCTGCTGCCTATGTACATCCACTCGTTGAAGAACCTCCCCGGGGAGATACCTCCCACTGTTTTCTCCAGGTTGTTGAGAAGCAAAATTTCTGAATGGACAATGGGGTGGAAGTTGTCTTTCTTGTATTCCGCCTGAATCCGTTCGTCTAAATGCACCATTTGAAGACTGTTGACCAACGCTCTGAATTTTTCGATGCTGAATTCTTTGCGCGTCATTCGACCGACGATGCTTTCTGCAGTCATGCTTTTGTTCCGACCCGGTCGCGGCAGGGGTTGACTTGATGGACAGGCCGTGATTGTGAAGCTTCGAAATATCTCAGGCCAATTTTCCTTTGCGAGAATGAAAAACTCGACGTCCTTGCAATAAGCCAAAAGTCGATTCACCATGTGTCGCATCTCAGGCCAACAAGATGAAGAAATGCTGGTACCTCCACTCAGCCGAATATTCCTCGCTCGTTGGTCGATGTACGCCCAAGCTTCAGACGCCTTCAGGGTGATCAGATCGTGTAGGAGGATGTTGCAGTTGCGAACGTCTACAAATTCCGTCTCTGTTAGGTCATTGGTTCCCCAGCTGGACCCTTGTAAAAATTGAAAGCGTATGACTGACATTTAGATTGTGAAGCCATCTTGTCTTGACGAAAATCAAGCAATTCAAGAGTAATTCTGAGTTTTCCAACGACTGCAACGTCTTTATCTATGAAAAATGAGCCGTAGTTTAGCCCAGTTGACAAATGTCACACCGGTCGACTTACCATCTTGGGAATTAGCAAGGCAATTTTGAATCTCTTTCTCAAGCCTGCCGATGTAGAAACTGATTCGGAGCCTGTTGAACCAGAGCACGGCGTTCAACAAGTCTTTTCGCAAATTCGGCGCGTCCACCAACGTCGATTCTCTGCCAGTCCGTTCGAGAAGAAATCTCATGAACGCTGCTACATCTTGAAGATCTTCTTCATTTCGCTGATTTGATGCAAAGCGGTATTCGACGTTCGTTCCATCAGCACCACGAAGTAACATGACTGAGGTAACGGTGCCACCCCCGTTCCCTGGCATGCTGTCGCAAACATGAGCTAATTTGTACAAAAAAGCTTTGAAAATCTTCTTTGCGTCTCCACGGTAGTTGAGGTCGTCTGGATCAACAAACTCGGCCAGATTTGTCATCTCGACATTCAAGGCTTTGAGGAGAACTAGAGGCTCATAGAACTTGTGGCAAACCCTAGACTTCATCGGGATAACTTCAGCTGTCATCAAAATTGGTCAGCTCTGATTCAAGTTGATTACAGCTGACGCATGTCACAAACAGTTCAAGGTGGGAGTAGCCATTGCGATCATGGCGTACATGGACGTCAAATGGTGGGTTTGCGATCATGTTAAACACAGCGCCGAATGCAGTGTGTGAATGCCGAGCAGCTCTTGTGTGGTTTAACAATGTGATACACCCTGGACCTCAAAACATAAATAAACTGGACAGCGGAAATGACAAAAACGTTCATTATCACGAGTTGACCCATTGCCGATTTGCGGCGTTTCCCGTCAGGTAGTGCAAACTTACTCCGCGTGTCAGGAGCAGGAGGCCAGCCCACCATTACAGGAAGTCACCCATCTCAACGGATTTAGAGTTGGACTATCAAGACTTTCGGTCTGGACCAGAAGGAAATTTGTGATTAGGCCTCTGATCGAAAAGTTTGTTGGCGCGAAGCTCAGAGCATGCGAATCTTGATAAGGTCCTATGCTGTGATAGGCCTCAATCGTCTCGTGGGCAGGGTTGAAAATAGCAAGATAAACGTTAACCTGATGGAGGCTGAGCATACCGAAAACCCGGTGCCCCAACCTGGATTTTTTATAAATTTACCTTGCTACGATGGTCGATTTCATCTTTTACGATCTCTCCATACGCGAATCATGTTGTTTCCATCGCACTCCAATCATCCAAAGCTCAAATGGTCCTAATAGAGCGCCCTCGATACTTCAGACTTTGAATACTCACAGTCTATAAAATCTTCTACCATGAGCACTTCATCAGATCATGCGCAATGCGAAGGCTGGTATAGCCCCAGCAATATGGTTTCACATCTACCAGGCAACGAATTCTCCATATCATTAGATACTACAGTGACTTTAGCCGACCTATTGATCGAGGGAGATCACCCTCCAGACGTCCTTTCTGCTCATGTTCTTCGTGCGACTGGCCCTGAATCATTTCCACCTATCGAGACCGACATTTTATTCCAAGCCACCGAAAATTCAGCATTCGATGATGACCAAGACAACATAACCGACATGGGGGGCGCGGCGCCGTTGAGTTTGTGGAGAGAGAATGAACATCTTCATGGCACTCAACCGATGACCGGCACTAACGGTCTTGCCATGGAAGAATGCGATAATGCTTCCATTACTAATGAAAGTACTTGGGATTATCTCGAAAACCCTGCTCCGACGGCTTAGTTGTCGGATTTTACACATGTTTCTGGCCAGCATCCGGCTACTCCTGGAACGGCTGGATTCTGTGAGGGTACGCTCGAGGAGAAAGAAACTTCACTTTTCATCTTTCATGGTATTGAAATCCCCTGCCTCACATTTGAATTGGACTGAAAATTGTGGTAGCATCACGCCCAGGATATGTTTTCTGCCTTCAGCACCGGAAGTGGTACGAAATAGGTGACAAAGTCCGGTGCGTCCAACCCTTCCTTGCTTTACTTCCTGGCTCGACATGGACTCTAAACTACAAACAGGCGACACGAGAAACGACACAAAAGACTAGTCACATGTTACAAATGCCCGAAGAGATTCGCATCGTCTAAGGAAAGGAACGAGCACTGTTATCGCTATCATAAAGAGTGGGCAAAGAGGAATAATGTGCCTGATCCGAGGCGACGGTGCCTGGCTTGTCGCACAAAGCTGTCAAAGTCGTCTTACATCAAGAAGCACTTGAACCGGTATCCTACGTGCAAGGAGAAATTAGGGGGCTTGCCCACCAAAGACCAAACTGCGATGCTGTCTGACTCCGAATAGGAAGGAGGTCGGGATTTTGAACTTTTGACTGTCGGATCGAATTGTGAACGGTTTCCAGTTCCGTATATGGGGTGCTACCATTGAATGAAGCTACGTGGCAAGTCAGTTGGGTCAGTCCGATGCCTGTCTCGTGACGAAATGGAACATTGTGCTATGAGCAATACGGATAGAATCAATACTTTAGCCGGGCACCAACCTTTCTTGTGTTCAATCGAATAAGAGCAGTTCATGCTGTCGTGCTTTACTTTAGCTAGCGACTTTGACTGTCCTGCCGCTGTGAGAAAGGCGCAACTTAGATAGTACTACGTCTCCGGTCTTGTAGAAGAAGAAGGTACAAACTTTCAACCTCGGATGCCACGACATGTAGGCTCACGGAGTCCCATTGTTCAAAATGGACCACCATTTTGTATAACTCACTCCTGGAAGGCTCTATTTACCGGCAACGACTCATAGAAGCCTTATGAACGGCACGAAACACAATGTATTACAGTAGCCACCACAGTTAAACATCGGCATGTCGTATCCCAAGGTGTGTGGGCTAGGTGAGTGGGGAGAACGAGATCTTTCGGATCCAACCCCGAACCGTGCACGAAGAACTTGAATAGATTCGTTGCTTTCTCACTAAACATATGGGCCACTCAATGAGACCCAGAGCGAGGACCTGTAGGAAATGGGCGCCGGATCCTCAACGCTTTCCAAAGCGCCATCGCCCTTGCTGGGTACCATGCCAAGATAGGGGAGCAACTTCATCTGACTGTAAAGAATTCCCGTCGCGCAGGAGAGGTGTCTGACCAGTTCAGTCGCTACATACTGAAGACTAAGCTTAGCCAAACGGATGCAGACATCGCCCGCGCTGGGGAGATTCGCCGGGACGAGATTTGCCAGGGCTCAGTCATACAACCGGCCATTCCCCGGGCACAGAGAGGGGTGGCATGAGAGGCCGGTAGTAACATCCACTACTCCGGCCGTGACGAAATTTGGAGCTGCATATTCTTTCTTATAAACTCATGATTAACTACCTTAGCAAGGAGGGCCTACATTTAGAGGAGGCATGGTGAAGTTCAAAGAAAAGAACGTGGGCGTCGCTGATTGTACTCGACTAGGACTTACATGACATAAAGCGATCAAGACGTACTCAAACCAGTTATCTTTTGGTTGCAGAGGGAGGCAAAGATAGAAATAATATCAAGTGAAAATAAAAAAGAACGCTTTTGTGAGACGTGTCTAGATGGATGTGCGACAAAGGCATAGAATGTCTGTGTTTGGCGAAAAAAAATTGGTTAAGAATTTGGGAGAAGAACATGGCTAAGCAAGAAATTCTATTAGCAGAGAGATGTTGAGATAAGCAACTTGAAAGTTGACGTCTGAGGAAAGGGTAGGTGTACATCTGTACTTCGCCTGAATCAATACTAACCGAACTGGTGATTTATTCTCCGGAAATCATGTGCGCATTAGAGTATGCAGTACATGTAGATACTGAGACACACTCAGCTCATCCGTTAAGAAGATGCGCAGCATTCTGCAATGGATGAGAGAATGACATAAATGCAGGGGTAACAGGGGTGGACTTCCAGAGAAGTGACGAGCCGAGCAGGATGGGCTCCATGCATGTGGTCACTTGTCAAGCTGTCTGCCCCATCCAACAACGGAAAGCGGGTCGCAGATCGATGCAGTCAACGTGGCTGTTGGAACTTTTTCAGTGTCATATCTCGGGTTGCCGAGATTGAGGTGTTCCTTCATGTTCCTTCACCGACTCCAAGCTTGGTATCGCTATCATGCGGCATTGTGGCAATGGAACCATTTTTGTAGTGACGCCAGCAAGAATCGTCTCCGGGACAGAAATACGCAAGGAGCAAACACAAATCAAAGAATGACAAAATATGCTTGCTACAGGTCAGATTATGTGCTGCTTGAATTTCGCCTATGCCCCTTCATTACGCCCAGACGTGAAAATTTTATCCCTGGGTATTGCTCTTGTTACATGTCATCGCTTTAACGGGAACCACTCGACACTCAAAAGTGCGCCTTGGTTCGTCTCTCCTCATCTCTTCAGTATCTCCCCATCCTGGGTTCATGTGGACCGTGTGCTGCCCTCGAAATTGTGTATTCCTTTGTAACGACAATCTTGTTCGGGTCAACCTCAAGTTGATGCCGCCTTGCCCTGGTCGACTGCCGATTACTATTCACAGGCTCTGCTGCGACTTCAGCAATGTTTGAACCCTGTGGCAAATAGGTGCCTTGGGACTTATCGGTAGAGCCAATCGAGGCTTCCTCGCCGCCGGCGATATTCTTCTCGACACCGTTGGAGACTATGTGTTCGTCCGATCCCCAGGTCGTCTCGTTTGGGATGGAAAGCGGGTGACTTCGGGGTCCCTGCTTGCCCGGGTAACTGCCCAGACGGTAGCCCTGGCTGTCTCCAATTCCACCACTTTTGTTGGTACTCGCATTGCGGCTCTTGTCGATGACGCTCTTGAAGAGGGGGTAGACCATGGGCATATTGGTGAGGACTACGGAAACGAACGACTCTCGTACGGACCAATATCCTGATTGAGCAGGATCGGTATCGCCAACCTAGACACTCCCGTTAGCGAGTCCCAAAGAAGCCAGCGGTATGATTTGTTTACTGTGAGAATTGATACGCAGCGAAGGATACCAAAGGCCATCTCGAGGAACCCGCCGCTGAACATGATCATCAGAGTTGTCTTCTTCCGCCAGGGAAGGTGTGACTTCCACACCATCTGTACCCTGAAAAGTTAGCGTGGTATGTCTAGCATCTACAAATCCTATTCAAGGACTGTGACAGCCAAGACTGACCGGGAGTGGAATAGCCATCAGATAAAAGTCCGTTATTGTATTCTGCTAAAGTGTCAGCATAATGAAAAAGTTGTGTTTCAAACATGACTTAAAGGGACGTTACCATGGCCATGACGAAGGTGGTTTGCAATATGGAAACAGCAGGCATGCAGGAGTCTTTCCTTGGTTAGGATTGTTGTTTTCTGAGATGATAACTATCACTTACTTCCCGGGGACGGGTTGATCTGCCATTGATTCTGGAAAGGTATGCACTTCATGAACGCGACCAAAAGGCACGCAACGTACGTTATGGGCATGATAATCATGGCCCAGAAAATGACTCGCTTCATCTTGTGAACACCGTCACTGTCTAATGTTAGGCTCACGAGGTTCGAAGCTGGAAGAAAGCTCATTGGCATCGCTCACGTCAGACGAGAGTAGTAAACTACCCAGCACGCCTTCAAAAGCCACAAAAGAGTTGTGTATAGCAAAAGACCAATGACGTGTGTCTTGGAGCCATTGACGCGCAAGACCCATTCTGGTGAAGCCGGATCTAGAGTTGCGCGTTGGTCGTCTGTCATGCCGTTGTTGGCGAAGCCTTTCCAGTATGCCACAACAAAGTATGCCGCAACGGATTCCGCAGTATATACCAACTAGTCAAGATATTCGTGAGGATTAAAGTTTTGATAAATTAACCCGGGAGAGAACTCACGATTGCTAAAAACATCAGGGCATCATCCCAAGCAAGTTTCCTCCACCCCAGCGTGGAGGCTCGGCTGTAATATCGTAATCCGACCACGAGGTAGGCAGCACCCTGCAAGCCCCAGACCTCTTGGATAAACGCGTTTGCCTCAGCGGCGGACATTTTTTCAGTGATGAACAATAAACTGAACGAAGTGAACCGCCATTCAAAGAAACGAAAAGAAGTATGGCCAGACCCGGTAGCGAAGTTACTTAAAAAGAGTTCGAGCAAAAGAGACAGAGTGTAAAAAACTAGCCGTAAAAAACTCTGAACAGAGACTGAAAAGAAGAAACTCAACAGGCACTCCTGTGGACCTGGGAGCTTGAATCGCTCCTGTATCACTGCTTTTCTCTCTTCAAGGGCCTTTTGCCTATTCCTTGCCCAATACTCCTGGTTTAGTGTTTCCAATATCCAGCAAGGTTCATGCCGATCGTGAGGGCATTACAGGGGAAAGTCTGGATTGGGTGCTTATGAAGGACGGTTCATCTCTTGGGAGTAGTGACAGATGGGTGGCACAGGCATGAACGGTGCCAACGTACGGACTGGTCCATTTACTCGCACCTTCAAAGGTGTCAGGGGGTTCTCGTATTCCGACTACAAAACAATGAGGACCAAAACGTCCGATCGAAGATTTGCTCGGGGAACCGGAGGGCCATCCGAGAGCGTTGGTCCTCCCCAGAGCCTATGGTGATCTGGACTCGCCGTTGGTCACGTAACTGACTTGTGGCGCAACGCCACCGCGATTTCTGAACCAATCTGTATCGAAGTTGAGTTTGAGACAGTTCACTAATCGGGCCCTGTCAGCAGAAATTCCTCATCGGGACTGGCGGACAGCGACGGGAGAACGTTCCTTACTATTAGTGATGTCTTGAACCCTGGTGGCTGGACTAGCATGGTCTACAACATCCGCCCAATGCAGCTCCCCTGAGATTCTCCTTGGGTACCTATATTGCATGAAACGACATCTTACAAGTCGCGACTGACCAGACGCTGTCTACCCACTTTGAGCGCATGCGGCTTCTCCTGCGCCAGCTTCGCTTGCGGCGCAAGTAGTATTTCACTCCATTCTGTCATATTCCTACGCGGCCCAATGGAACTGTTGCAATGTCAATCTTGAGTTCTTGGCCGCAGCGGAACCTTGACGGGAACCTAGTCGCTCGAACGCTTGAGGTGCAGCATATCATTCCATCTGCTTTCAGGGCCCCGGTCGCAGGAGCGCTGATCACCGACTCGTAATGTCGGGAGCTTTTCACCCTGTCTTGTAATGCTGGATTATTATTTGACGTGTTTTCGCCAGAGTGTCTCCAACGTGATAATCCAATGTGACGAGTCAATTCGAGTTCCAACAACGGAGGTCAGTGATAATCAAGCCGGAAAAAGGTGGTAATTCTGTGGATACCGGTGTTGTAGAGCACGAATCAAGAGGTAGCTAATGCGAGAACCTGCAGATAACCCTGCCCAGGGTGTTTCTCCGTAGTGGAAACGACTGCTCAAGGGTTCTAGGGTTTGATACTCCATTTACTGGGGAAGCAACATCGTCTAAACTCGCGAATAAGCGTTCAATTGCTCCCAACTCACCTTTATCGACTATCAAGTCACCTTCCCATCAACTGGTCGCTGTTACACACGAATACCACGTCAACCACCCGTTCAACGTAAATGCCGGTGGAATAGCCGGGTTGCCGAGAGCTCAGGGTGTCCCACCGTCCACAAGTTACGATTACGATTTGATTTTGTGACCCAGCGATAGACTCAGCCATTCCGTGGACCCTACGGGTTGCGAAACTGTCTCCGAAGTATGCGAGGCAGCGAAAAGCGCGTAACTCTCCAGTAGTATCTAGGCTGGAAACTGGGAAGGTTATCACCTGAAGCACATCGCTTAAACATGCTGCTGGGAAAAAGAAAAACTGCTAATCAAGGTGTCAACGTACCGGCTAGCCGGTGGCGTTGACCACTGTCAGATATCAAGAATCCGGGGAGCCCGGCACAAGCCGTGGCCCCTCGGCTTTTTCAGCTAAGCTGGCGCCCTTTCTGTGCTGTCCAACAGTCCAACTAGTTGTTGGAGGGCCTTGTTTGCTGTGCCTGCTTGCTGCACACTTACCCTACCTTGAATATTTGCAAAGAGACAAGGCTTCTCATTGCTCTGTTGGATTCAGACCATGTATCATCCTGCCGGCCCTTGTCGTCGTACTCTCGACGGATCATCAATCCACCCCACGTCCAACGGTGCGCCATTCCAATCGTTGGAAGAGGGTCCCATTCTTCGTGTGAATGGCGCACGGACAAGCATCATGCTTTTCCATTTCGGCCCTGACTCGAGCCAGAAAGGGGAACAGATCGTCCTCATCCCATGGCCCAAGGACACCGAGCCCTTGTCGGCGGGACGCTCCCGGGCGTTGGAGTGACGAGCCCAAGCTCCACCAGGTCCTCCCCCGCCGCGCTGTTGAAGGTCCTACCCCAGTTTTGGAGTTGGTGGTACGGCATCTGCTCCTTTGTCGCATCAGACCCAAAGCTCGACCAACCATTGTATCGGTCTAGCTATAGAGTGAGAGCCCATTCAACGGGTGCGGAGAGGTCCAGCCAAGACTGATCATCAAAGGGTCGCTCTTCGAAGACTGATCAAGACGCTGACGGACCCCGCGACTTGAGCACATGCGAACCATCCCGCTTGGTCTCGTTCACGCGCAGCTCTCTCGTCTCTCTCCTTTCTCATTTCCCTCATTTTTCGTCCCTTACTAAACGCCAAACTCCAATCCTCGAGTCTCTAGACGCCGCGCCGGGTCAGCCTAATTAAGATGGCTACTCCCGAATCCAATGTAGATGTGTAAGCCTCATCATCTAAGTACATTTCCAAACATGAATAGTATCTCACTAATGCCGTGCCTTACAGGCTCATCATCGGGGCGGGTCCTGCGGGGTAAGTTCAAGCCGTCAACTTGACGCTTTCTTTTCCGCAAACGCGTGTTGCCAGCGGACTGATGAGATGGTGCCGTGCAGGTTGATGGCAGCCGCCTGGATGGCGCATTGTGGCGTCAATGCTCGCATCGTTGACAAGAGAAACACAAAGATCTTTTGTGGCCAGGCCGATGGACTCCAATGTCGCAGTCTGGAGATTTTTGACTCGCTCGGCTTCGCGGACCGGGCCTGGAAGGAAGCCAATCACATGATTGAGGTTTGATTTATGATTGCCATTCTGTTACCGAATGTCTCGCGCTGACCGAATTCTTTCAGATTTGCATGTGGGTATGTGACCGTTTTAACTTTCAAGCTCATAGCAATCAGTCAAGGAAATAGCTCACACCAGTAATAGAACCCCGGAAATGACGGAGTTATTCGCCGTAGCGACAGAATCCCAGACACTATCGTCGGCCTCTCTCGCTTCCAGCAGATCGTCCTTCAGCAAGGCCGCATCGAGCGGTTCTTCTTAGAGAACATCAAGAAGCACTCCAAGGACACGATCAAGGTCGAACGCGGGGTCCTTCCCGAGTCACTCGAGATTGACTTGTCCAAGGTGGATGACGACGACGCCTACCCAGTAACAGTAAAGCTTCGTCAACTTAACGAGGAGGAGTCTGCCCCCCCTCAGGCCGCCAACGCTAGTAGGATCCCTGACGGTCTGTTCCGGAGCAACCTCATCCGGGACGATGACGAGGCGGACTTGATCAAGAAGGCCCAGGACAGAGCTGGAGCGAGTGAGATAATTCACGCCAAATATGTCATTGGCTGTGATGGTGCTCGCAGTTGGACTCGGAGAGCCCTCGGATTTGAGCTCGATGGAGAGGCTACTGATTTCATCTGGGGTGTCATGGACATTATCCCCATCACAGACTTTCGTGAGTTTCCCGTCCTCTATTCGAATCCTTGCTTGTGGGCAATGCTAATGAAAGACTCGGAACAGCCGATATTCGGATGCGATGTGCCATCCACTCCGCTGAGAACGGTAGTTTGATGGTCATCCCCAGAGAGAACAAGCTTGTCCGCCTCTACATCCAGCTGAAGGAGGTCGCTCCCGATGCGTCCGGAAGAGCAGACCGCTCCAAGATCACACCCGAGCTTATCTTTGGCGCCGCCCAAAAGATCCTCAGCCCGTACAAGATTGAGTACGAGTACTGCGACTGGTGGACCGCATACCAGGTAAGTACAACACCTGACGCAATGCAGAATCTTCAAGGACCCCTGCTTACAGCTTGCAAAAGATCGGCCAAAGAGTTGGTACCAGGTACGACGCCCACGGCCGCGTCTTCCTCGCCGGAGACGCCGTCCACACCCACTCCCCCAAGGCCGGCCAGGGTATGAACGTCTCCATGCAAGACACCTACAACCTCGGCTGGAAAGTCGCTCTGGCCGCCAAGGGTATCGCGAAGCGGGAAATCCTGGGCACCTACCAGAGCGAGCGCCGCCGCGTCGCGCAAGACCTCATTGAGTTCGACCACCGCTTCAGCCGTCTCTTCTCCGGTCGCCCGGCCAAGGACGTCCTAGACGAGGAGGGTGTCAGTATGGAGGTCTTTAAGGACGCCTTCCTCAAGGGCAACTTGTTCGCGTCCGGTCTGTCGGTCGACTACGGGGCCAGCAACCTCGTCGTCAAGGCCGGTGATGCCTTGAAGCAGGGCGATGGTCACAAGGTGCTCAAGTCTGTGACGGCAATCTCCGAAGAGGACTTCAAGAAGAAGCAGGCACTGGCGACTGGTCTGCCCGTCGGTATGCGTTTCAACAGCTTCAAGGTCCTGAACCAAGCCTGCGCCCGCCCCTGGCACTTCCAGGAAAGACTCAAGGCGGATGGCCGTTTCCGCGTCGTGCTCTTCGCGGGTAATATTCTCGATACGCCGCAAAAGGCCCGTGTCGAAAAGTTCTGCGCGGCTCTCGACGCCCCCGGGAACTTCCTCCGCAAGATCACGCCTCCAGGTTCTCCCATCGACAGCGTCATCGAGGTCCTGACCATCCACTCTGCGAAGCGCACCGACACGGAGCTACTGAGAGACCTCCCCGACATCTTGCACCCCTTTGATGCACACACCGGCTGGGACTACAACAAGGTGTACGTCGACGATGAGAGCTACCACGAGGGCTTTGGAGACGCCTACAAGAATTACGGCGTCGACAAGCAGAGGGGCTGTGTTATTGCTGTGCGGCCTGACCAGTATGTTGCGTGGATTGGTGAGCTCGAGGACTTTGATGATTTGCAAAAGTACTTTGAGGGATGTCTGCTCGTGGGTGAACACGCCACCAATGGCACGAATGGGACCTTTGGAACTGCATTGCCCGTTCGATAGAGGGCTTCTGGCTGTCGACATTCAATATGCGTCAGTAATATGTACATGTAATTAATTCAAGGCTCTTGATTTCCGCTTGATAAGAAGTTTTTGAAAATAAGTTAACAAATTGAATGACTCGGCTTCTGTGATGTTTTGGCCAAATTTGCTACTGTTAGGGGCGAGATGAAAGTCAGGGGCTCGATTGGATTGTTCTCTAGACACTATGCATATTTCATACTCTGGCAATCTACTGTACCGATGTGCTAGTGGGGTCTCCGGCAATCTTCTGACACTAAATCCATTACAGCCCGCATGTACTTGAAAGCTATTCTTTTCAGAGTCTTCGATCTATGCGCCAGGGTTGTGATGCTCAATGCTCGCAGCAGCTGCGCTATCAGGTGCACTTTCACACGCCATTCCATGCCTTCCGACCATTTCAAAAAGGCCGTCTCGGCCCTCAAGTCAGAAAGCATGTCTCCAGATATCGATGCCTGCGCTCGAGAAACAGAATCTTGTGAATTTGAGTGAAATATTGGAAATAGTGATCGAAAGTGCAGTGCCGTTACCTCTTTCCGCTGCATCGACCAAAGCGTTCATGTTCCCAGCTAGGGTGTCTCCAAGTTGCGGTTGACCTGCCAAGCGGCCCAGGAAGTCCAATTTTTCAAGCCGCATAATAGCCTTCCGCTACCAGCATCATCACACAAGCCGCTTTCAATATCCCGGTGCCGCGTCTTGCTCCATCATGAGTGTTGACTCACTAGAGATGAGCAACGTCCATCAGACACCCATTCCCCTCGCTCTAGACAGCTAAGTTCTCTAAACTGCCTGAGGCAAACTTCCACATGGCGCTATTTTCAGTCGACAACCTTGTCGCATTATCTTTGTTAGCTCAACAAGTTTACCTCTTCATTGACGCTACCACAGCCATCCACTAAGTCTGATAAATTTCCAGGCCATGGTGTGAGTCGCGGGACTGTAACCAGACAGATCGCCTCAAGTGGTATATTACAAGTCGAAGGCTTGCTCCGGCCAGCAGGTAAAGTCTTCTCTCATCATCGCATCACCTCTTGAAACATTTATTCATTCTTCTCAATTTTGAAGCAAGTCTTCCATTCTATTCTTCACTTCAGGCTCAATATTCATTCTCACTATCATTCCTTTCATCTATTGCCATTTTCAACACATCAACGACGTGAAGCTGTTCGTGCAATCTTTCAGAATGAAGGGCATAGTCCTCGTTATCGCTCATACTGTCTTCTTGGCTGGTGCCTTTGCTCATTAGGGGGGTTATAATACCCCTTACCCAAACCTCTAGTGGTCAATCCGGCATCATTCCCCCCAACCTCCCCACGGGCGGCATTGGCGGCGGTGGCAGTAGCCCCCGTTTCGAGACCCGTGCCCGCACCGGCTGCCATGGCTAACACGCTGCTACTTCCCCCCCGTCTCTAAGAACTGGTAAACGCACGATTGGTGATGGGTGGGCTCTCAATAGGGTCTGCCAAGGCACATTATCTGTGGACTATGGCTTGTGGTACTTGAGCAAATGTATTCTTGACTCCAGGCATAATACTAGTGAAGCTAGTAACTCATTCTTTTGAACTTCCATTGCAATAGGTCAAGGACGATGTAAGAAAAAAATCATTCTGTGATGACCAAGGTCTACTGGGGTTCCTTTATACCTGAATAAGAGGACGTACAGAGGTCACCGGTACGCCTTCGTTTCCTTCCGCGGCCGCCTCTACTTCCGCGTCTCCGATCATACTGAATCCATCATCGCCACCGTCAGTCAAGAGATGACTCTGCCCATTGATATGACGGTCGAGGTTCATTTCATTCAGCTGAGCGACGACCTCGCTTATGCTCGCGGTATCGCTGTGCGCGTACCTGGGGAAGCCCGGCGGCAGCGTAGAGTACGTGTTTGAATCGTGATTCTTTCCCACGGGCCGCTTCTCCTCCAGCGTTCTCTTCACATCATCATGTACCCTCTCCGTAATCTGTTGTAGCAAATGCAAGGTCTTCGTATCAGGCTCAACGGAGTCTGGGCCCTCAAAGACCCCCGGGAGACGCCAGTTGGTGTAGAGGTTGAAGTGAGACTTTCTCACTTGCACTCGGTCAGGGTGCGCGCCAAAGTAGTAGGAGCAGAGTCTGCAGGTAGGCTTGCTGCTGCCAATGTACTTCCAGCTGTTCCAGTACTCTCTGGGATGCTGCAGATCCTGGCCAAGCAGATAGCTGTGAACAAGCACTTCGGCGTGGACACGCGGCCTGAAGGTGCGCCTGCTGATCTGCTTCTGGATGATGGCGTCGAGGCCGAATTTTTGCATTTCAGTGGCTTGCTCAAGATAGAATTTCTGCTCCTCTTCGTCGTCCGGTATCATGTTCCTGATGATGGATGCCGCTGTGAAAGACTTCGATTTTGCAATTGGCTTTCTGGCGGCCTCGCTTGACGGAATGGGGGTGATTTTGAAATCTTGGAACAGGATGGGCAACCGATCATGGGCACCGATTATGGCATCTGCTGCCTGACGGAAGGATAAGAGGCGTCCGAGATAATGGCGCAACTCGCACCAGGACTGCGACCTCGAGATTTCACCGTCTTTGGCGTTTCTCATGATGGCCTGCTCGATCTGAGTGTTTTTGATGGACACAACCACCTTGATCAGTTTTTCGCAGTCACTCAAGACTTTACGCAGGTCAGCTATCTTGTGTTCCCCACTGGCGTTGTTATTTAGAGTGCTTTGAATGACTTACACTTGTCCTGAACACTCCCGGATGCAAAATCCCGCGGGAACTCCACTTTCTCCTTCAGTCTTAAGAGTTCAGATTTGAGAACTAGAATCAAGTCAGGACTAGTGTGGTCCGGTGGGTAGAATATAGAAGAAGATCTTCTCACCATCCGGTGCCTCTCGTCTGTCGCAATCGCCGATGCAGGCATGTAGGTACCCACCCAGTTTGTCCAGATAGATGCCCACACGCGGAAGGTTGAACAACAGGATCTTCCAGAGCACCTGCTTGGCAAGGGCTTTTGGCTTGAGTCCCGTGGGGTTTTGGCCCACAAGGGTAAGTAGGCTCTCGGCGAACTGCTGAGTCTCGGACAGCTCGTTCGCGTCCCTATCATTAGAACCAAAGACAAACTCTGGGCCTTCGGGGCTGTTGAGGACGGCGAACGAAGTAACCGTCTTGCCGCCGCGCTCATTATCGCACACCTGTGCTAGCTTCTCCACAAAGTATCGAAAGACCTGCGCCTGCGTCGCCAGGGAGTCATTGTCTACTTTTGGGTTGCCGTTGAAGACTTCCTGGCCATCACGACAGGCCACTTGCAGGGCCTGCTCAAGGACGACAGGTTCGTAAAAGAGCCGACAATGATCTACACCAGCAGGTTCAACCTCGACTGGGGCTTGTTGGTCCATTGTTGTAGCGATTCTCAGGTGGATTGAGATCGAGAATATGAGTCGCTGACGAATTCAAAGCCTACGGGCCTTGTTGGTGAGATTTTTGATATTTGTCTTCGAACTATTGGAAAACTTGTGATGATGAGTAGATGTTCCAGAGAGACAGTACCGAGCCGAGCGCGGAAGCTGTACTTTTTATATTTGGAGGACCTTTTCCTTCAACCCTTTCATTATGACGCTGGCATGTTGAATTGCTCAACACACGATTCCCAGAAAGGAATGTACTCCCGATATCTCAACGCTTTTCCACTTTCACCAACGCAGTACCAACGTCGATTCCATGAACTTCTAAATGCTTCGTCGTGTCGCATGGTGCTGTTGGACGGAAACACGAATTGCCCAATAGTGTGAAGACACAAAACAATCAGTAATTGTCTTATGAAGAGCCCAGCCTGCCTAGAACCCCCTGCCATCGCAGAACTACGCCCACTCCACAACTCGAGTCGATGAGGCGGTCATCTTTGGGTCGCCATGCAGAACTGCCCGCAGTGACAAGCCAGGCTTTAGCTCAGCCATCCAACAAAAGATCCGCTAATCTCTGCATAGTTAGCTGATGCGACCTGTGAGGGTATTGGAAGCTGGAAGGGACGGTCATCATGGACAGTCTGCCTGATATGTCGGTAGATCTTGGACCAGCCAACATGAGAAATGACACGGAGAAAAGAAAGCATGCCTTGGCGTCCTCCAATCTCCATCGGCACGAATTGCAATATGGCCCACTCACACCAGCTGACGCATGATTGTACCCTCCGCCCGGCCTCCCGCATCTTGGAGGGGCCGAATTCTGACACGAGATTTTGGATGCCTCGACATGACCCAACATCCTTCGTTCTTCTCGCGACCCGGACCAGCGTTTTAGGGGACTACTATCACAGTGAACTCACTCCTATGTTCTGATATTGAGCTCATGATTCTCCCTTCTGCGGTGAAAGAGGAAAATGACGAGGAGTTTCACGAGCATTAGTGGTGCTAAAGACTGGACCCTATGTAGCAAGGCTGTATTCAGTTTCCTGCATCGTCGTTGTATTGACCTAGTGTCATAGTACGTATGGCGTCAATTGCTGCCCGCAATCAACGGCATCGTTTTACGACACCTAAGGTAGATAAGCGCACAATTAACGCCGCGCTTTGAATTGTCAACATGGTCAGGCCAAGAGATAGCTACGGGTTACTTCGATTCATTATCTAGAAGTATCTAGGAGTAGCCAGTATATCTTGATGGTCTCCCAGGCATGCTCCAAGGCCAATGTCTCCACATTCATAATCCAATGGAGCACAATCCCAGTGAAAACACCCTCACCGAAGTAAGGGTTTGTAGTGATCAGCCTTGTATCTATTCTTTCGTGTAATCTCTCACGTACTTAATCTCTCTCCCAACTTGAATCATCGACCTTGTCATGCCAAGTATACCCATGAGGCCACCGAGGAAACCCTACGTAGTGAGTGTCGCGAGGCTTGGTATTCGGATCAGGGGTGTTGTGTTTGAAATGTGATGACCACTTGACATCATTCACATCCTCGCCCTTTCCAAGATTCTTATACGAGATGAGCATGACAATTCGACTCCCTTCCTCCGTGTCCTTCCATTCATACGTGTAGTTCGTGTAACAAATTTCGCAGGCCATGATCCATACAAAATTTCTCGGTGAATATCGCGGCACGACAGCTGGGTTCCAGATGTCGCGTATCTTCTTCATCGGGTCATTCAACCTCGATTTGTGATATTTACGAAGCTTGTCTTCATCGGTAGGGAGCCCAACATAGTTGAAGACGAACGGGTATGTTTTCATCCAGTCGACATGTTCGCAGCATGTTGTTAGTTTGTTCCGTTTCAGTAATTCGACAATAAAACGAACGTTGTTCTTTGCCTGGTTTGCGTCCCGGCATGCGAAGAGTGTGGTAACGGTCTTGATAAGCAAGTCGCCCTGGCTTAAAACACGGCATGTGGTAGCTTGTTGAATGTTGGCTTCAGTCTTTTTATGACGATAGATAGCGGTCGATTCTAGGAGACTCGATCTGTAAGAACCTGTCTGAGAACGTTGCGAACGCATAAAGGCCTTGATCATGTTGAAGTGGAGCTCGCGTGGAAGATACGGAGATGCCATTCTCTGATGCCGACTGGAAAAAATTTCTTTAACACAGGGGCGAGCTGAAGAAGCCGAACGTCCCTGTGAGTCGTAGTCGCTAGCCGTGACTGATAGGATGGGGTCATGGAATTTTTGACAGAGCCTGCACAGGACGTCCCTGGAGTTGCTGGCGTCCCTCTCCAGCAATGCCAACAAGTCAAGCTGCCCTCCAGACTTCGAGACTAACCAAAAGTTCTCTTCTCCGATAGCCAGTAACATCTTCTTGCTCGTCAAAGACAAGGCTGCTCGCTCGACCATGGTGAGATGTTTAGCGACGACGAGAATCAGACTGGGCGACAAGACATGGTCGAGACCTGGTCCTTGATATTCTTTTTCCTTGATTACGCGAATGGCAATAGCCTTAATCCATCGACGGAGCCACCCTAGGTCCAACGGTTGAGATGGCTGATCACATGGCTCGGCGTCTGAGGGAAATGGTTGAGATGGCTCTTCGTATGACTCGGAGAGACTCTGTGTATCTCTTAAGGGCAATGGTCGAGATAGCTGTTCGTATGTGTCACGGAGAGTCTTTTTAGCTCCCGAGCACTTTTGAGGCTCATCTTTCGTCTCGAGGAGAGAACTGTGATCGGGGTGTTTCTTTATCTCGAGGAGAGGTCTGTGATCGGGGTGTTTCGGTTTGTTCGTCTGTTCGCGTGATCGAATCATCTTCACAAAAATGGGGAGCAGGATTACCGGATACATGTTCTTCTGAATGAGTAATTAGATAATTAAAGTGCTCAACAGCGATAAAACCCTGCTAATCGTGGTGACGGAGAGCCGCATGATGATGAACGCCTCTGTGTAAGTGCGTTCCTAACCCGAGCAGATGTTGAAGGCAGGAGAGAAAACCCCGACCAAGCTTCAACCCAATCAAAGTTTTGCTCTGAAAGTTTTTCAAAGCTCCCAAGGTGTCAAGGTGTCAAGATGTCAAGGTGTCAGGGTGTCAGGGTGTCAGGGTGTCAGGGTCTGGACGGAATGGGGTCAATGGCGCAGCAGCCGTCTTTTCATAGCTATCTAAAGTGAATGTCAGTTCGCTCTGCTACTAGAAGTTCCTGGTACACTTCGGGCGGGCGAATGCGGGCTGTTTAACGGCTTACGGCAGTGGATTGAGGTTAGCACAACGGCGACATTCAACATAGCACGCGGGCGAGTTTACTAACACCAAAGAGCAAGCACTATTTTTTACAAATCTAATGGTGCTTACTATTGAAACTGTGTTCTGAACTGATCGAACAATCGATGCCGAGACTGACCAGTGATGAAGTCAGCCATTCTGGGAATGGTTTGTCATCACTTGCAATTCTCAGGGCTTCCAAGTTAGTTGAATTCGGGAAAGAGGCGTGAGATGAAATGAAGATGCCAAGGAGAATCAACCAATGACATGAATGAGGTAGGGAAACGTGATGAGCTGGGAAAAGAGAAGGAATGAGAGAGATAGCTGACCGTAGCCTTTGGCCGAAGGGAGCCTGAAATAATAGATACTAGGGACAGAACAGAGACGGGTACTGAGGCATAGTCATCGGCGACAAGTTAAGGAGCGACGTGAGATCAATAGTGTCAGTGTGGTACGGTGCCACAGCGCAATGCTTTAATAGAGTATCAATGATTAAGTATTTAGTGAATTTAGAAACGTAATAGTTCTTCTTGAAATAGCAGAGATGCGGTTAGATTTATATAAGGGCGGAGCACTCTTATCTATATTAACTTACTAAGCACGCATTCATATCACTATTCAACGATTAAGAACGCTCTATGTCCCCTACATCCTAAAGCAAACCCTCTCGTCTTCAACCGTCCACCACTAGTCCTCGTCTCACGTCCCCTCTCATCCCCTCTTACTAAATATTCGACATTGCTATTATTAAGATGAATAATGATGGAAGAGCTCGATACTATTAATGTCTTTGAAAGCGACTAGAAGCGTTAGAGACCTGGCGGCTCGCGTCGGCCAGTACAGTGCTAATGAGTGCGGCCAGGCCAACGGGCATAAAGCTGGCCACTTATAATTACTCTCAGTCTCCGTGTTCCTGATAATCACTGACCTCTTGGTCGCAGTAGTCGTGTTATGCCGAGCCACCTTGCACGCGCTAGCTACGAGCAGCAAGGCCAAGAAACCCATGGGGAGATGGTGTCTGATATGTCTTTAGTATACCTTACCCCCACCACAACAGCAGTCTCAATGGGCACCGAACGGACCACCACCATATTACAACCAGCCCCAGCAGTACAACCGGCAACAATACAATACGCAGCAAGGCAACGGGTATAACCAACAGCAGAACAGACCCAACGATCGGGGGGCATACCCTGGAGGTCGTGACGTTGGGATCGATTTCACGAGAAAAGATAATACCTTGCCCGACTTGCCAGACAGGAAGACTTCAACCAACGATTTTGTCAACGGAAGTCGAATCCCACGAGACAATGTATGTATTCAACTTTCATAAGTCATCTGCTTAATCCTTCCAGCTACCGCTACTTGGAAAAGCATTTTTTCTAATTACAATGATTCAATCACAACACCCAAAGCCGCACTCGCTTCCTTGATCTTCTCCTCTTGCCATGCGGCGCTCTCTTCCGGCAAGACAAAACTTGAGAAAGCCTCGCCCGCATTTTGAATCAAAGTCTCGATGCCCGGGCCGTTTGTGAAGACGGTGGATCTCACAAACCGAGAGCCATAATCCAATGTGAACGCCTGTCCCGCCGAAACTAGCAGGGTCTGGCCCTCCCGGACCTCGGTCCACGAACCAGACTCCTTGAGCTTGACTCTCAACAAACCCTCCTGGACACAGAAGCAGTGGTCCACCTCAGGGAAGGTCAACCAGCGAGCGAGCGGGGACTTTTCATACAGCTTCGAGGATTCAAGGCTGGTGATTGCGAACTTGCCGCTACACTGAGTGGTGTTGATAAAGGGCCGCGACAAGACGCCGCCGAGGATGTATCTGGGGCCGGTATTGGCTCGGAGGAAGTACGGCTCCAGGGGACCCGGGAGAACATTTTCTGACTCCTGCCAGTCTCCAACTTCGGGAGGGGTGTAGTTGCGCTCAAAATTTACGTCGAACCGGTCCTTTGCGGCCATGACTTTAGGGATCAACAGGCTCTTCAGGTCGCGGTTATCGTGCTCTGGCACAATGTTACCCTCGTACTGCTCCGCAACGTAGCGGAAAAAGTCTATCCAGTCTCCCGGTGCAACCAAACCCAGGGTTTCTGTGTGGGGGCCGATAAGCTCGGGATTGTGTACAATTTTCTACGTTTGAATTAGCCTTTGAGAGCTCAAATACGCGTACTTTCTTTTGGGAGGGGAGTTCAAACTCACGGGAGGAACATAGGCAAAGTCTCCAGGGCCCATGATTCTGCACTTATCACCATTCCATAACCTCAGGTAGCCCTTGGTCACGAGGAAGACGTCGTGTGCCTCGGCGTGCCAGTGGAAGCCCGGAGCATCGGAGAGGACAGCACCGCTTGAGAACACAGCGATGCCACCGTTTGTCTGTTTGGACGAGGCCAGAATTCTAAAGGCACCCTTGCTGCCGGGGATAGTGAGGCGTTCACCCTCCAGCTGGTCGATGATATAGCTCGTCCTGGCGTCAGGAGGGGTGGAGAGGACGGGAATGCTCATGTTGGGCAAGAGGTTTCTTGTGATTGTCCAATCAAGAGAGGAGGGAAAAAAGAAAGGGATGCAAGAAGTGTGAGTGGGGTTGGTTTCAAGGGTCTAGATCTTGGATCGTGGGCACTTGAATTGGAGACTCTGGAGTAGAGGGGTTTGGCTGAGGATTGCATTTCATATTCCGGGGATGCAAGCGGCGCCAGTCCAGCCTTTTACAGAGCTTCACTTCCCCGCAGTCTAACTCTACTCGACTTTGACGGGAAACTATTTGACGCCGCCCACCGGGAGTTCACCTCGTAATGGCCCCCACTTCGGCTGGTCAGTGCGGGGTCCGGATATCCCGAGCTCCGTCCGGAACAGCCTGTGACAACCACGGAAATTCCGCGGTTTCGACAACAGAAGTGTGGCCAACAACAGCGTTTGCCACGCGGTCCCCGCTACCGGAAGCCCGGCTCGGGGCAAGATTCCAGCGAACCTCATGGACCGCGTGTCCAGTCTGCTTCCTATTGTTAAGCTATCTAGGTTGTCCCCCGCCACATCATTACCCCGGACTCTTTGTGGTTACTCTTTGAGTCTTTCCTCCTTGTCACTGCCGCTGTCACCGCTGCTACCACTGTTGCTGCTGAGAGAAAGCCACCTTACCAGCCAAGAACACAGCCAACCAACAATTTTCGTTATGGCGAGCCCAACCTCTTTTCGTGCGGTCTACAAGACCATAGGGTCACAAGAAATCGATGTGGATGTCTATGCCCCCCCAGTCGGGGAAACCAACAAGGCAACATATCCGGTTGGTATGTACCATACAATTCACCCTGAACCCTTGCTCGGTGCAAACGGAGCAACTCCGGACTGACAGAGTGTGTGTGCAGTCATCAATATCCATGGAGGCGCATTCCATCTCGGCTCATCCAAGATGGTCAACAAAGACCAAGTGGCTGACTGCCTCAGCAGAGGTTGGATTGTTCTAGCCCCCAACCACCGTCTGTGCCCACAAGTCACGCTCTTGGATGGCCCGATGAGGGATTGTCGTGACCTCCTAGGGTGGGTATACGACGGCGGACTTCAGAAGGCCCTTGACGCTAATGCCAGTGGATCATATGCCGTTGATACTGATCACGTCTTTGCATTCGGAACCTCTTCTGGGGGTACCCTCTCCCTTGCCCTAGTAAGTTCAAGCAGACGTTGCAACGAGACGACGGCATTCCGGTTATAAGACTTCATTAATATTGACCCAATGATCTATCTCTAGGGGTTCGGCGTTCCTCGTCCCGTTGCTGGAATTTATGACATGTACGGGCCTAGTAACTTCACTCATGCCTTCTGGGAAAAGCCGTTGCCGCACGTGGCAGCGAAATTGCCCAAGGGCCTCACAAAGGAATTCATGGACAAAGTCTTTGACGAAGATCCGGTGCCTATCCTCGGAGGCGTGTCATTGGAAGGTCAAGCACAGGGGCCGCCCAACTTTGACGATCCGAGACAGGCGTTTGCAATGACACAAATAGCCACCGGCAATGTCATGAACACGATTGTCCCTGACAAGAACTGGGATGCAGTCGACCCCATCAGGAATATCACTTCCTCCTTTCCCCCGACGTTTATTGTGCATGGACAGGAGGATACTATGGTGCCCCTCGAGCTTAGCCAGGGTTTGATCAAGGTGCTGAAGGAAAAGGGGGTCAAGTCTGAGCTGAGGGAAATTCCGGGCGAGGAACACACTTTTGCCGCGAAGATGAAGGTGGGATCTCAGACTTGGAATCTTCAGAGACAAGGCTTTGACTTTTTGGAGAGCTTGATTGAGAAGTGAGCCTGGGGTAATTGCAATTTGTGAGATAGTGAAGCTTAGGTTATCAACTTGAAATGGACTCATCTGGCTCACGACCTAATAGTAACTACAAATATCGTTGAAAGGACAGGGTTGGCTATGTCAAGTGAGACTCTCAGCTTCCGTTGAGCCGTAAGTCGTCCAAACTGTCTGTCATCAGGTTCATGCACAAACTCAGACTATGCAAAACTCAATCACAAATTCGGATGATCCGTACGTACATCGTGATCTCGGTCGAAATGGCAGCGAGTAGCTAAATAACGCAAACTGGATAGCCAATCCGATACTCGACCAAGACCAGAAATACTATGGATACGTGTGCATCAGCTGCACACTTTTGTGCCGAGCCTGACAGAAACTCAAGCCTGCCCACTCTTTCATCTGCCAGTCAAAACAAGTTAGCACCATCCGGGGTCCCCGCCATCCCCAGAGTGTTGAAGAAAGTCTGGGGTGCAGCCGGGAACTCCGACCTTGGGCCGGATCGATGCCGGTTCCAGCGTTTCCAAGAGTCAGTGAGCGCAACTGCAAAGTCGGTCAAAGTTTGATATAACCCTCCGTCTACTTCAGGTATCCATTAGCCCATCTGAGTTCTGGCATCAACTAACATCCCATCCCATCAACTCCCCAAAATCGGCAACTCGAGTCACCGACATTCCGTCTTCGACAACTTCTCAGAGTCTAATTCCCCTGTCAGCACTCGAAAGGCTTGTGTGCATTACGCTGGAACGTAGGCACATCTTTGATCACCACCGGGTCGGCGTTACTCCATCGCCGACAGAAGCAACCCCGCGACGACCACCCGGTCGTTGAGTTCTATCACAATGGACTCATCACTTAATTCGCCTCGCGATGACATGCGCAAGAGCGATGTGATGATCGACAAGGTCGATGTTCAGCACAATGAGGAGGCTCTGCGTGAGGCTGACCGCCACATGAGCCCCCTGAAATGTCTTTGGGAAAATCCCAAAGTGTTGCTGTGGACCATCTACGCCAACTGTTAGTAACTCATCTGATTTATACAACTTGTACTCGTTAAACTCGACTAACGCTGAGAACATAGTTGGCTCAACTCTCATCGGTTTCGAGAACTTGGCACTCTCTGTATGCTTGGCCATGCCGGCATTCCAGTAAGTCACACACCCATCTAGCAAGAGATGACTCAAGAACTGGGCTAACTATTATGTGATTTCCAGAATGACCTTTGCTTCTGAAGTGAATGGAACCCTCATTATTCCCGCCTACTGGCAATCAGCCTGGAGTGCAATGTACAATGTCATGATGTTGTTCGGCTCGGTTGGTGCCGGTTACATGCAAGATTGGTTCGGCCGCCGCGCCGTCTTCGCCTTGGCATCAGTCATAGCTTCAGCCGGCATCGCCATCAGCTACGTCTCCGAAACACCTCCCGAGTTCCTGGGCGGCAAGATTGTCACTGGTTTCGCCATCGGCCTCTTGACATCAACCACGCAGACGTACGTCTCCGAGATTGCGCCTCTGCCGGTTAGAGGCATTTGTCTGTCCATCAACACCATCATGCTCGTAAGTACTATCAATTTCTACCATGGCAATGAAAGGGACAGGCCTCTGTCTAACAACGATATTTGCAGAACCTTGGCATGCTCAGTGCCATCGCCGCCAGCTTCTCCCGCGTCGGCATCATGGACAAGTCGGCCTTCCGCGTCGTCTACGCCGCTGCCTGGACCTTCCCCGGCCTCATCCTCCTCGGTCTCCCCTTCGTCCCCGAGTCGCCCACCTGGCTCGTCTTCAAGAACAAGCACGAGCAGGCCCGCAAGGCGCTCGAGAAGCTCTCGGGCCCTAACGAAGATATCGATGCGCGCCTCGGCCAGATCATCGACAACGTTGAGACAGAGCGCCGCCTACAGAGCGAGGCCGCTTCCTACCTGGATTGCTTCAAGGGTACCAACTGGAGACGCACGCGCATCATTCTCATCTGCTTCTACATCCCCCAGGTCGCCGGCGCCGTGCTCTCCTCCAATGCCCCTTACTTCCTCAACCAGACCGGTCTGTCTAGCAAGACGGTCCTCCTGCTCGTGCAAGTCGGTATCGCGGCGGGTGTCGTCTCTGCCATTGTCAACTCCATCATGATGGGCAAGCTGCGCCACCGCCCGCTCCTGTTCTTCGGTGTGTCGATTTGCGTGGCCATGTACTTGACGATGGGTGTGGCTGCCGCGTTCCCCAAGACCAACGCCTCACTCTTGACCATCGGTGTGGCGCTCGTCTTTACCTCCATCTCCTACGGACCCGCAGTGGGTGCCTCCATGGCCGTGGCCGGTGAGGTCTCCACGTCGAAGCTCCGCGCCAAGTCGCTTGGTATCGGCTTTGGCTTCTCCTCCATTGTGTCCACCGTGTGGACCATCATCCTGCCGTACCTCTTCAACCAGGACGAGCTCAACATGGGCGGTCACATTGGATGGATCTTCTTTGTCATGGGTATTCTCATGTTGGTGGTTCTCTACTTTGATGTTCCGGGAACCAAGGGACGCACGTTTGAGGAGTTGGACATTATGTTTGAGCAGGGCATCTCGGCGCGCAAGTTTGAGAAGCACAAGTTCAATAGCGGTCCTGTGGACACCGACTGAGTGTGCGGCATGTGACCAGATGCAGACGCGTGTGTGCGCGCATAGGGAATAGGGGCCACTCCTGTTTAGGGACGAGTTGTTTTGAGTTTCGAAAACTGTTTTGGTAAAAGCTGGAAAAGAAAAACTCGTTAAGCGGGTCTCGCTCCAGTTGCTTGTTGATCAACCTTCTTCTGTGACAGCGATTCCTGCACGTTTTCGGCCCTTTTCGATTGATGCGAAACAGGTGGCAAAGCCGACGTAAACAAATCGGAATTCCCGGCTACAGGTGGAGTCTCAGCAACCCCGCACCCAGGGGAGCATATCGTTAGTAAGCAACGGGAGAGAGATCTTGATGAGTGCGGTTCAGACAAGCAGACGAGTTGAACGGTACGGTAGAGGGCGTGGATGGATTCAATCAGGCATAAATATCGATCCCTACTGTTCGTCCGATAGGAACCAAGAATAGGTGAGGTTGAAGGGAGTTGGCTCCTTGATAATACGCTGAATTATACGCTGAAATGTAATTGTGTTTCCCTGAATCACCATTTCCCCCGTTTCGTGCACGACTCAGTCGCATTGCCATGCTCACAACCCAACCCCACGTGAGGTTGCTCCTGAGTCAACCCGCATCATCACAAAAAGGGACAGCCTGTTTTAATCTGTTCCAAAGCTACTTGACGATGCTGGAATCAACAAGACATCCCTAAAGACCGGCGGACCAGGGGTTGGCTTACCAAGCTTACCAGCAGAGACACATGCAGTTTGGTTGAAATACACCCCTCGATCGGTCTCCCTCCCCCCAGCTCCCCGCCCCCCTCTCCTAGACTCTTATAGACTCTATTAGACTCTCTCTGCCCATTTCCTCCCCTCCCCGAGTCTTCTCCCCGGTGTGACTGCCCTACCCCACAGAACATTCCCCGCATCTGCCTGCCGTGGTAGTACTTTGTGCGGGGGTGGAGGTCGATCGTTTTCAGCGCGCGTTCCCACGTTCCTGTGGCACCCTAGCGTTGCGGATGTGCGTTGGGCAGCAGCCTTTTGCACACCTTTTTCCTGCATAACGCATACCCAGCTTTCCCATCCCTCCTCCCGAGGATCTCCATCGAAAAACGAACGGGTATTCCGGTTCTGAAGTCATTAACCATCTGATTCTGGCCTGATAAGATTTCCTCTAGCCATTTAGTCTTTGGAACAGCTCCCGGGGACCTGTTTACCTATGGACGCAGCTGCTGCAGAGACCCAGCGCACGACGCAGAACTCGGGGATCAAGGTCCGTCGTCCCCGGGCCGCCCGCGCATGCGACCTCTGCAGGGCGAAGAAGAACAAGTGCGATGAATTGTATCCTTGCACCTACTGCAAGAGTATGTTGACGATGATGAGCTTTCTGCCGCCGCCGAAAATGCCTCATTGGGAAGGTTGATAAGGCTGACGCGCTCAAACCAGATCGGAATGCGACATGTGTCTACAAAGGCCAGGATATGTCAAGGAGGCTCTACACTCCAGAGTATGCGCCCCCTTACCCCTTCCCCCCCTTGACAAAGTTGTCTCAAGGTTGAAGCTCATCTCACCATCGACTACTAGATATGTGAGGCAACTAGAAGAACAGGTGAAGAGCCTCTCCGCAGTCGCCGAATCCGTCAAGGCGCAGTCAGTCGATGATAATGCCTCGGTAACAGCCACCATTCCCGAGGTATCAGAAGGCTTTTCTCCAGCCTGCAGCCTCCAGAGAGACCCATCACGAAGCACTGCCGCCGGCTCACCGTCAAACGCCAGGTCAAGGAACGCAGCCGGCCAAGAGATCTCCGGCGTCAACAGGCATACCCGGAACGTCGAGTTCTACGGCAGCTCATCGTCAGTAGCTCTACTATCCCACGTCCAAAGGACCGGCGACGAACCAGTCATCTCCCCGAACCAGGACTCCGACGCAGGCACTCTCCTCTCAAGCCTCCACAACCCGGCCTTCTCCTCCCCCTCGGCAGACCAGATCCAGACGCCCGCGGCCGCTACCGAGGCGAGGTCGGCCGCGAGACCGGTGACGCATTACCCGCAGTGCCGGCACTTTCTCCAGAGCTTCTTCTCCAGCATACACTTTGTTCATCCCATCCTCGACAAGAAGATCTTTTTCGACCGGTGCGAGGAGTTGTGGTCGAAGCCGAACGTCGCGCGGGAGCCCTCAAGCTTTATTGCCTTGTACTACAGCATCTTGTCTCTGGGCGCACTCATTGGTGTCCGTGAAGATGAGCCGATTGACGGGATCGAGAACCTGCAATGGAGTCGGAAGTTCTTTGATGAAGCCAAGAGGCGTTGCGATCAGCTGGGGATGGTCACGGATCTGGAAATGGTCCAGTGCTATTTCTTCTTGGTGAGTGCGGTGTTTCTTGACTGGTGAGATCGCTCGATGCTAACGTTGTTTGAAAGGCCAAGGTGTGTCAAAACGAGCTGAATGCTCACTGTACGTATTTGACGCCGTCGAAAGCTTCCTTGCACGTGCCCTCCTAACGCTTCTGGACAGGGGCATACATGTATGTCGGACTTGCTGTGAGAACAGCACTTGCCATGGGCATCAATCGAGAACCTGGACCCGACGTCAAGAAGAGGCCAGCTGCACTCAGAGCCGAGTCAAGAACGTGGTGGTAAGGAAACCCAGCTATGGATCCGAAAGGTGCACGAAGATGACTGACCAATCTGTAAAGGGGCCTTTACTCATTAGAAACGTAAGAACAAAACAAGAGTGCTGCTGGGAGCAAGAAGAAAGCCCGCCAGATGCTAACAACCTCCCAAAGAGAAATGTCCTTCTCGATGGGTAGACCAGACACGCTCGGCGCAGATTTATACCATAACCGACTCTTCCCGGTCATTGGCGAGGCAGACACAGAGTACTCTGGTAGCCTGGAGCTTGTCGACCCGCCCTCATGCGCCATCATCAAAAGTATGGTGGACTACTCCAAAATTATCCGGAGCATCTGCTTGGGCATCTATCTCCCGGAGACGACGGTACCACGAACCGTCCACCTGGCGCACCAAATCGACCAGGATCTGCAACGATGGACGGAAAGTCTGCCCGAGCCTATTCGCCCTACCACATCGGTTGAGCCGCGCTCGTTGAAAAGCGTCAAGGAGGCTCAGTGGATGAAGAGGCAGAGGCTAGTCTTGACGATGCGTAAGCCCTATTTTCTCTCTCTCTCGGCTGAATAGTGCAATGCGTCTAACATCACCATGTAGGGTTTCTCAACATAAGAATACTTCTTTTCGGGTCAATCATTCTCACATCGACCTCTGCGGAGCGAGCCTCCATCCCGGGCTCGCAAGAGGGCATTCAGCTCTGTCTTGAGTCTGCGAAGCAGACCATTGAGATCATCTATCAGACATATCAGCATCACGACTTTTTCCGTACATGGTCAGTGATCCCTCTGTTTTCAAGGCTCAACGTTGGAGATGATTTGCTAACTCAATTGTTCCACAGGTTTTACAACACAACATACACCGTCTTCGCAGCATCCATGATCCTAGTTTACGTGACACAAGAAGCCACTGAGCCCGAAGTGCAACCTCTGTTAAAACTGGTCAGCATGGCCATTGAGATATTAGAGACCATGGACGAGTGCGTCGTCGCGCTGAGGTCGGCCAAGCTACTGCACAAGGCCATTGAAAAGGCCGAAAAGAAGTTTTCAGCGTCAACGCCTGCGGCTCTACAGATCCCTGCGATGCCGCCTGCCGATGTGATGCTTCAGCTTAATCACTATTGGGGACCGTTGAACATTCTCGACAATGAGATGGATTTTGGATTTGCAATGCAGTATGCAGACTTTGAGGGGACAAACTCGCTGTTTATGGCGCTGGATGACCCGAGATCGATGCAATAGCTGTTGGAAAATGATAAAGTACAGTTGAAAGAACAACAGAATGACACATCTGTACAATTTGAGAGTTCAAACATACTGAAATCGCACACGAGCGTGCTCATACCTTCAGAGTCGTCATTGCTCAGGGCCTTTGCTGATGTGGAAACCCGGTTGGCCGAATCACAAACTTGACTCAAGAGCCTCACGATGGCCATGGCCACGGCCATTAACAACCAAACGAGGCCAACGTGACAACTCGGCGATGTTGTTCTGAAGAACTGCCGATTCGTGTTGGGCATTGCCACATACGCGTCTTTGGCCCTTAAATAGCGTGCATATGACCCCGGATATTCCTTTACCTCTGAAAAGTCCACAATAATTAGGGAGAACCCCTGACTTGCCGGAAAAGCCGAGCATATGACGAGGGGTAAGCCGACAAATGAGGGGCCGGGATGTGGGGGTTTTGGAGAATCTGCCTGATCTCGCGGGGTGACTGGAAGGGGGGAGATTCCGGGGTCGGGGAGATCGGTCAACTTTGGCCGACATTTTACATCATCCCATGGGGAAACGCTGGAAGCTAGCCGTTGGAATCCGGGGTTCACGATGTTTCGTGATATGGGACAAAAACAAATGCGATCCCAGGAACTTTCATGTAAAAAGCGCCCCGGCTGCCATTGAGTTTTGGGTCGATATTCTTAAGTAAACTCACAACATTCTTCAGCAACCCCCAGATCGAACCGAGTCAGCTCTCTCTCTCTCCACCTTTTAAACACTCGCAAACCACCAAGAGAGACACCTACACTTGCATTTCCTAATCATGGGTTCTCAAGTTGACGACAGAGACTTCACGGCTCTGTTGCCTGAGCTGACACTGGAGGAGAAGATTACCCTTCTCTCCGGCCGAGACTTCTCCACAGCAGCAGGCGTTGCCCGATTGAACATCCCTCCCATCAGAGTAAGCAATTTCCAAGACCATATGACGCAAGTCAGTCGCGGAAAAGACGGAGGCGAGCTGACAACCACCCTCCAGGTAGCAGACTCAATCGCCGGAGTGCGCCCCTCGGGGCTCACAGCCGACCTCACCACAGCATGCTTCCCCAACACAGCCTGCCTCGGATCGACCTGGGATGCCGAACTCCTCGGACGCCTGGGCCAGCTCCTCGCGCACCAAGGGCGCGAGAAGAGCGCGCAGGTCGTTCTGGGCCCGACAATCAACATCCACCGCGACCCCCGCGCCGGACGCAATTTTGAGTGCTTCAGCGAGGACCCGTTGCTTTCCGGGCAGCTGGCGGGCGCGATCGTCAACGGTATCCAGAGTCAGGGCCTCGGGGCCTGTCCCAAGCACTTTGTCTGCAACGACTCGGAGACCCTTAGACACTTTTACGATGTTGCGGCGTCGCCGAATAGCCGGCCGCTGAGGGAGATTTACATTGCTGCATGGCAGCATTTGCTGAGGACTTCTAACCCGACTGGTGTCATGACTGCGTAAGGCCTCTCTGCGAAAGCGCGCATACATCTAAAGACTTGGAATCGAGTGCTAACAGTTGATTCGGTACAGATACAACAAGGTCGACGGCACATTCTGCAGCGAACACGGTCCCCTCATCGAAGGCGTGCTGAGAAAAGAATGGGGTTTCGAGGGCATCGTCATGTCGGATTGGTTCGCCGTCCACAACGTAGTCGAGCCCGTCAAGGCCGGTCTCGATCTCGAGATGCCGTTCCCCATCTTCCGGGGCAAGAGGCTGGCCGAAGCCGTGCGAGCAGGGCAGATAACCGAGGCGGAGATCGACGCCAGGGCACTCAAGATGCTGGAGCTCCGGAATCGCACGCGGACCAGCTTCAGCGACGAGCCTGAGAGGTCCGAGATCAATGAGGAGACGAACAGATTCTCGAGGGAGCTTGCGGCGAGTGGCATCATCCTCCTGAAGAACGACAACGAGGCTCTGCCCATCAGTCCCGCGGACAAGCCCAAGATTGCTCTTATTGGGGAGTTTGCTGGGTCTCCCGTCGTGACTGGCGGTGGGAGTGCCTCCTGCACGCCTCAGTATAGACATTCGCCGTTCAAGGTCTTGAAGGAGGCCTTCCCCGGTGATGAAAGCGTCCGGTACCACGCTGGTGTTAGAACACGGAGGGTCATCCCTGTCGCACCGACCGCGCAGCTCACATCGCAGGACGGACGCCATGGGATCGACGTCAAGTACTTTAACGACGACACCCCGGAGCCGATTCTCTCCGAATTCCAAGAGAAGGCCAATGTCTGGATGCTGGGCGAGTTCAAGGCGGGCCTCAAGGTCCCGGGCTCACGCATCGAGCTCGTGACCAAACTGACGCCCCCGACGACGGGAGAGCACACCCTCGCGGTGCAGGCTACGGGAGAATTTTCCCTCGTCGTTGACGGAAAGGAGATCCTCTCTGGTCCCCAAAAAGAGATCGCCACGGAGCAGTTCATCTTCAACCACGTCAAGCTCGAGACGCGCGTGCAGCTGCAGATGAACGCCGGCCAGGCCTACGAGATAAAACTCACGAACAAGTCGTGGGGCCACCTCGTCAAGGGCGAGCCGACCCCCTATGCAGCAGCCCTCTGCTTCGAAGAGCACCGCTCCGACGAGGCCGCCATCGCGGAAGCCGTCGAGCTCGCCAAGACGTCGGACGTGAGCATCATCTACGCCGGCCGCAACGAGCAGTACGAGTCGGAGGGCTACGACCTGGAAGACATCCGGATCCCGGAGAACCAGGCGGCGCTGATCAAGGCCGTGGCCGCCGCGTCCAAGAAGACGGTCCTGGTGCTGCACTGCGGCAACCCCATCGACGTTGGCGCCGTCGTGGACGACGTGGACGCGGTGCTCAACGCCCATTTTCCCGGCCAGGAGGGCGCACAGGCGACGGCGGACATCCTCACCGGCGCGACGAACCCTAGCGGACGCCTCGCGACGACTTGGTTCAAGACAATAGAGGACGCGCCGAGCTTTGGTGACTTCCCCGCCACCAAGGGGGACGACGGCAGCATCAAGTTTCGCTACGCCGAGGGTCTGGGGATGGGATACCGCCACGCGGAGGCGGCACAGCGCTCGCGTTGGGCGTTTGGATTCGGGTTGTCGTACACCTCTTTCGCATACTCTGACTTGAAGACAAGTGTGGAGGGGGCGGATGATGAGACGAAGCTCCGGGTCTCCGTAAAGGTGGCCAACACGGGGTCCCGCGTAGGCAAGGAGGTCGTGCAGCTCTATGTCAACCCGGCAAAAGAGACGCCAGCCTCCGTCTGGAGGCCAGAGCGCGAGCTCAAGGCGTTCAAGAAGGTTCTCGTGCAGCCTGGGGAGTCGGCGGTGGTCGAGTTGGAGATCGATGCCAAGGTAGCGTGCAGTTACTGGGACGAAGGGGAGAAGGCCTGGAGGCTGGAACGGGGGACGTATGGCGTCCGGGTCGGAGATCTCCAGGGCGAGTTCTCGATCAGCGCGGGGACGGTTTGGGGCGGGCTATGAAGGGTGTTGTTCGCGTTGTGTGTCGTTTGACACGCAGGAGACCTGTGGCCATAGGACCATGGGAAGTTCGTATGCAGCGAAAGGACTGTGATGGTGTTACACTGTAATTACATATCAGGTATATGAAGACCAAAGAATGTCGTTATATCTGGTTTACCCGACCTTTTTTGTTATTCCCGGTAGGATATGGTCCTGGATAGTCCAAGCAATCCGATCCAAGTAATGAATCCCTTCACCACCGCTTGAGCTTGACGCATCGATACTCCTACCTTTGTGAGCGAAATTACCGGTGAGTAAGCTATAGCGATTTCTGATGTGAGATGAGTACATCATGAGAATGTTTATTCATTGCATCTAAGGTATCTTGACGACGAACACTCTCACCCAAAAAGGGCTCGAAGAACGTCTCACAACTATGCCCAAACACCTCAACATTGGTCATCCACAGCTCCGAGTCATGCCATCATCAACTATCACAGAACTTTGATCCCATCTGAAAAGGCACGCATACACGGGCAAACCCAACCCCACACCACTTCATTGCCAGAGTCCACGCACGCCAAGGGATCCGTGCTGGCTCAACATACCTTAGATTCATGTCCTTGAGGTACTCAAAAGAGCTGGGCACAAATTGCTCTCAAAGTCATCAGGCCCGGTCTAGGGACATGTAGTGTTGGGAGCGGACGCCATATTATTAGTCTACTCGCGACATGGACCGTCTGGAACCGCCTCGTTTACATCATCAACGAAATGCACAGTAAGACCATTCTTGCCCAAGGTCAAAGGAAACCCAGTATATATATAACCCGATTGAATTACCCCTTGCTATCTGTTCAAGATAGTTACCCTGAGACTCACGTCCATTGACTGTAGAGAGCTCGTTGACATCGCCAGTGTGAAATAGGTATGGTAACTACGCCTCTAGGTGTAGATTTCGCCCGACTCATGAGTGGTTCATTGGGTTTGCCTTTACCCAAACATGACCTAATCTTAAAGCATCGACGCGGTGACGCCCCGTCAACGCCAGCATCGATCCTAGCTCCCAACTATTATCCGAGACCTCTTCATCCTCTTTCGGCCGATGATTCGCACTTATCTTTAAACAGTCTAGTCCGTTTCCCCTTCGAGCCTGTGCGCGGACACCGATCCGGCCGCCTTGAGGCCAGTGCCCTGTTTGATTCTCTGGATCTGAAGCATAACGGTAATTTTACCTCTTCAATCTGCGATCCAATGGCCTTAAATACCGCCTAGTTAGGAAGGAAAAGACAGGCAAACTTCAGGTAACCCACACGCCCTCTTCAGACTGGAGAGGCTTGGACATTGGCGGACGGTCCACGCCTGGTCAATGCCCATGACTTTGTCCCAACGGAGGTGACATTGTCTTGGATCTGGGGATGTTTCTGGGCTTTCACTGCAGGTCAGTGACTCTTGTCTCCCTCCATTCTGTCCCACCCCGATCTCCATTCTGTGATAGGCAAATCAAGCACCACACGACGGCAAATCTTGTTTCCATATCATCCCACCAAGGTTTGTACTTTCGGCTTTACACCGTCAAAACGGAGTTTAGTGCCCCTCACACCCACAGGAATGCCACCACCTTTATCATCGCCTTAGTTTCGTCTCATCCTGCACAAGCCCGCCACGCCCGCCTCAGTCTTTCCTTGTGTAGTGTAACCGGTAAGTCGGACTGGGGAGACACGGACGGGGACGGCCTTGTGGCGGTTTCCGCGGGTGCATTGCCCAAGGCTGGACAGACACGTACTCCGGGACTGTCGCTATGACACTGGCTAACTTAATGAGACTCGCAACATCAGCTTAGCCTGAGCATCTTGCGACTCTGATTGATATGTCGTGCCGTCTGCCCCTTTTTTTTACAATTGCTCTTGGTTTCATTCTCTCATCCAAACGTACCCACGAGTCCCACAATAGCCCACGGCCAGGCCCCACGATCATAACGCAGCCCTACGGGACTACGGGACTGCGGGACCACGGGACTGGGATCATACGAATTACACCGGTACAGACGAGAAACCCTGTTCCACGAGCGTCGCGGACCCCCGCGCGGCGATGATCACACGGCTCCATAGCGACGGCCACGGCTCGGTCGCATCGAGAAAGAAGAATTGAAATGGAATTGGAAATTATTGAGGACGGAGGCGCGCCGGGTTTTCCTCCGCAAGGCAAGGGAGTCATAGCATGCGCGACAATCATGGTGGCAGTGGCTGGTCTCGTCGTCGGCCTCCGGTTTTTTGTGCGATTATACCCTGCACGGCTGCTGGGGAAGGAGGACTGGTGTATATTTGTCGCCTGGGTATGTTGAGACTCAAGATCATGATGGCGTGGATATGGAGATTATACATGATACCCCGATCGGCGGACACTTCGGAAGCCCCCCATCATCGTTAATATGAACTTGGCTGATGCTTGTGGCCGACTAGATTTTTTCTGTTGCGAACTCCATTGGCATGTGCCTCCGTAAGTCGATACTTGTGATCTTATGCTTATGAGGACGAGCGTGTAGCTAACACGAAGCAGAGGTCAGGGCAGGCTTAGCGGAGGAATTCTTGACTCTCACCACCTACCAGCAACAAACCTTTTTCAAGGTACCGCCAGACCTCACTTACTTCCTCAGACCCCGTCTATTTTAATATGAAAAGTGCTTACCATTCGACACCCAGTGGTCATATTTGACAATCATCTTCTACAACACCGGGCTCGCCTGCGTTAAAGTCTCGATTCTCCTCCTCTACCTACGAATACTGCGAGACCTCAACTACCGCAAGGCATGCTACGTGGTACTATTTTTTGTAGTATGCGTCTCACTGTGGACGATTTTATCCGCAATATTCTTCTGCGTACCCATCAGAAAGAACTGGGACGACACCGTCACCGGCGTCTGCTTCAAGAAGGGCGTCGCGTGGTACGTCAACGCCGGCCTGAACATCCTCACCGACTTTATGATCCTCATCCTCCCGTTGCCGATACTACCCAAAATCAAACAATCTCGCCGGCAGAAGATTGGATTATATCTCATCTTTGTGCTCGGCTTTTTGTAAGCTCCCTCTCTCTCCAGGCACATCCAACTTGCCAAACGATTCATGATGGCTAATAGTACCTCAGCATCTGCGTCGTTTCCATCCTGCGAATACCCTCTCTCACCGTCGCGAAACGCTCAAGCGATCCCACGCGAGACAGCCCAGGAATCGCCGAATGGTCAATCGTTGAGCTGAACACGGCCATCGTCTGCGCCAGCCTCATCACCCTCAAACCGCTCGCCACGAGATTCTTTCCCCGTATGCTGGGTTCGCGCCGCGACGCCGACCGAGAGCGCGATCCCGGGTCGGAAGAGATACCAGCTACTGTCGGATCCAAGGAATCGCCGATTGGGGGGCCGAAGCATGCGCGGATGGTATCCGACGGCAGCACCACACAGCTGAATCACGAAACTTTAGGGGGGGATTCCATATTACAAACGCAGCATACGGAGAGCTCCCGACTTAGCTTTGAAGGGACTTCTGATTTGGAGCAGGGGGTGAAGGAGTCGGCGGCTGAGGTTGATCCGGCGATACGTTCGGATCAGGCATGACTGAACACGCCAGATACCACTCTATCTTACACTTAGTATTTTAAGAAATGAGGAACAACAGTACTTATTTGACGCTGGTTTATCAAGGTCAGGCCCACGGTGATCTCGTCGTACCTATGCACGCTGGCCATTGGAGATTGGAAACGAGCGCCGTGATGTATCTAGGCTTGCAGGCAACCACGTCCTAATCCTTACTCAGCCGTGCCGGCCTCGGCCCTGAAGCCCGGATAGCAAAGCTCTTATCGACAGCCGCTTGATGCTCCTGCGGGCTTGGGGTGGTTTCCTAGCAACCCAATAGGCTAATGACGAGGACCTGTGTCGGTAGGCTTGGTGGGCTGAATGTTAAAACAAGGTATGGGTAGTGTTATTAGTTGCGTATTGCTTGAACCAGACAAGAGATACTGAGGTGGACATAAGCCCCTATTATACATTTGGCGCCCTTGAAGGCCCTTGTCAACCACTCTTAGGTCGCCCACTTCAACACTGAACACTTGATTTGAGTACAGAAACTTGGTCGTTGCCCTTTGCGACTTCGGCGATCCCTGGCACGCTGTCTTCCTAATCAACCATGACCACAAACGTATGCAGGCAGACTATCATCGCATACGCAGATACAGAACAAGTTCGTTACCGTATCGCAACCATCTTTCAAGTATAACGCACAAGTCATCTCCTACTGGGCGCCTGACTATTCTTCTTAGAAAGATGTTAGTAGTTATCTCGAAGAAAGGCATCTTCCACATGCTTCTTACGCCTTGCGTTTAATGAGAAGAAGAGACCAAGGACAAGAAAGAGAGGCAAAATGTATCCTATGCCCCCCAGCCTCACTGCCCGCCTGACGCCGCGGTAACTGTGTTCATTCTCGACAACCGTTTCCTCCGAGGAACCCCCAATGCACCTTGTGGAGAGCCAGCTATACCTGGGAATGAAATCTTTAACGACCTTCTATGTATTGTATTTCTGATCGAGAGTTTCACAGGCAAAAAGTTCTCTTCTATCTCGGCCAGCGAAAGGACTTGAGGAAGCTCAGTCCCCTATCCTTAGCAGAAATTCAGAATGAAACGCAAGGTCCTCGGACCAGAAAATATAGAGTCAGATATACTCAGATATTTACCTCTGATAATGGTCGCTCGGAATATTTCTTTGCCGGCATTATGCTGAAGCCAAATTCCGGTTATAGCCACTATCACTGGGATCACGTTGGCGATCTCAACTTGTTCCTGAGACTACAATGCTTTCCGAGGCTACCCTGAGAACGCTCAGGCACCGCTTTTTGTCCGCGATCTGAGGTAAGCGGCTATGCAATGTGTCTGAAGAAATATATAGAACACGTGGGTCGCTGATCAAGTATGCCACTTCGATCGAATTCAGTGGGAAATCAATGACCCAAGTCGACTTTTGAGGACCCCAATTTTGTCGCAATTCGTCTTTTCTGAGGTTTCGATTACTTTGGCGAGGGCTCCTTTTATATTATCAAATCGCCTAGATACAGCAAGAGTCACATTAGTGCCGTAGCCCGAGCAATGACCCACCCAGATCTGTTTGTTTCCATGGACGCCGACTCATGTCATCAATGTGAAGGATTTTGTCCTTCTCGACGCCGCTAAACTCCTACGGATCTCGGTCTTGACTCGCGGGCTTCGAGACCACCAGCCACGTGTAGTGGACTAACATCCAACTAGCGCAAAGATCCCCAATGCGGGACGGTCGGGAAGCCGGGTAACTTGATTTCGCGAGACCCTTGATATGCCGAGTACACCCACAGTTGCGAAGGTTGCGGAGCTGTGGATGAAACGATTCACAAAGCGCAAGAGATGGATGGGTCCGACAATGTCTTCATTGCCATGACACACAATGATGCCATTCCAAGATCGTCGAAATGTTTCCGAGCAACACCATATAGGCTCCTATTTGACTTTATACATTGTTGAAGCCGCGATCTCAGTTGAAAGGTGCGGTGCATATCAACTACCCTTATGCTCTCAGGAGACGGTGACGTCTTAAGATTTCATTGTGCTGTCCATCAGGGCCAACATAACTTTAGTTCAATCTCAGGTCTACAATGTCGCAACTCCAACCATCAACAACCCTAGTAAGGAGCACATGATATTACATACGTACTTCTCTTAGATAAAACTTGGTCTGGATCTTAATTAAGTATACGTTTTCATAGTCAACTATAAGCGTGGAGACTCTAGACTCTATATGTAGGCATTAAAGACAACGTCTCGACAAAAACACTCCCCTGATCGTCGCCAACCACGACAAAACAACGACAGCTTCACAAAGTTATTATAAACACATAACATCATGGCGTTTTCGGCCCCAAGAAATAGCAGCTCAAAACCAGTTTCCACCTGTACAGTTACAGAAGATCCAGTTTTACTATTCTGCCAAGGCTTGGCAGCGCACTCAGGCATGGAGACCTGTTGCAAGCTACGTATTTGATGTGACTACGCATACCGCCTCTACCATAGCTGCGACCAGAATTGAAGATGGACTGGAACTCAATTTGGGATGGTTAAACTAAACTATAAGCGTACAGATTCTCTTGACTGACGGCATTGAATTCCACATGCAACTTCCACACAGCCGCCATACCTTTCATTACATCGTCACCAACCACGACTCAGCGACGGTTTCTATCTGCATCTACTCAAAAACGTCAAAAACATACAACACCAGGTATTCGCTGGTCGTCACCGACCCAACTACTGATCCGGCCCTCGCTGGCTTGTATATGGGAGAGCGGACGGGATCCCTAATTTTCCAACGGGTATGGTCGTATGTGACAGTTCCATCGTGAGAAACTGCTGAAGTCGTGAACTGACGAACACGATCTTACTGACCTTATTCGAATCTCAAAAGAAATCAAAGAGCCCTGCTTTAGCTTCACTCATTACAGAACCACATATTAGCCCATTGGGCAAATTTGTGCTCGGTTCAACTTTAAGAAGCTGTCTCGAACGGATACAATGTAACACCTACTGATTGGGATGTGGTTTCAACAAGCTATTTTAAGTTCTAGTTCAAGTTTGAGGTTTAACAAGCTCTAAAGTTTTGTTTCCTCGACCTCTTTTACACGGGGAGGAGGATACTAGATGGTTCTAGACCACAAAGAACCCTCACTGGGGCCAGTATAAGACATGCACTGATTGGCATTTTTAAAACTTTTTGGGTGGTTTGGGCTTGAAGTGCCTGCACCCAGTACCGTCTCCTTGTTCGTGAAAACTACGTCAAGGACACCAGCCAGCTCATGTAGACACCAAGGCCACAGCCGAGCTACTACTTCCCGTTTGCGATTCCCGCAATTCGTCGTCCAACCGGTGCAACATCGACTGAGGCGGCACGTCCCATACCTCTTCGTACCCAGGAGAACGCGCTTACAGCGGGCCCGGAGCCTCAAGGGCGCCGACGACCATGTGCCGAATTTTCTCACACACGTCATCGCCTCCAACTGGTTCCAGGGCTTGTCTGTCAGGGTCGTTTGGTACACAAGTCAAGAAGTCAGCAGATGGTCGCTTAACGGAGGGATCTCGAGGTAGGTACCGGTCGTTTGCAGCATTCGAATCTGGCTGAGCCCCTGAAGTGGCTCTAGAAGGAGGATTTTATATCCCTTAGATGACTAATAGGGGCCAACAAGAAGCACCCTTGTCAGGCACCTGTCATTGTTCGTGTAAGACTTCATCAGCTCGGGGCACAGCGCCGTCGCCGTCGCCTGCTTGATGCCGTGCCCATCATCGCCAATGTCTTGCAACCGTCAGCCAATCGCTGGGTGTGGGCTTCAAAGGAGCCATGTATGTGTTTGAAAATGGAATTTATGAACCGATCTCTGACCGAGCTTTCGCCCTTTATCTTTGGACTATATGAGTTGATGCGGCTTCCATCGATCTGGGTTCGACCTCCTGATGCAGAAGCCACTGTCTCAGAGGACATGATGCTACCGAACCTCATACGTGCATGGGACCAATACATTTTGAGAGATCTGATCAATCAAAGGCCATGATGATGACTACGCAACTTGAGTGTATATATTGGCATGACGTGACCCCGCTCTGGGCGGCATTCACGTGGTAGAGAATCAAGGCTGAGCTGTTGTAGGAGTAGGTGGCCTTGGTAGGCCAGAACCGTGATTCACTTTGCCTCCTACCTGTACTAAAATGGTGGATCGGAATGTTGCAGCCATCTTAAAATAAAACCACCTCGACCGAGCTAGAACTTGACAGTTGCTAGCGCTTGCTTCAGCAGTCGCAGGGGTGCGTCCTACACGGGGCCCAGCGGTGACTCCTCATCTGCTAACACACATGGATACCAGGTCCTACCCTGCTTTCGAAAGGATTCCGTCCTAGCTCCATCTGGAAGCCTACGGATACCTACACTCTAGTGTACCAACTACTGAAAGGGAACCACGGTCGAAAATATGGATCAACAGGGTACTAAGACACATGGTTGGATCGAGTTCAGGCTTTCGAAAGCGGGTACAGTGGCCGACGTTATAAACAACTACCTGACTGGAAAACGGACAAGGCAACTAACTATTGACAGAATCCGTGCCTCTCATTCGGGCCAACGCTGAGGCCATCACGGTTTATCTTGAGCACCGACGGCTTATCGACCGCTGGGGCATGTATGTCTCCAGCCTAGGCGTGGCTGCTCAGTTCCTCGAAGTATTGCAGGGTTCCCGCGCACAAGCAGCTCTGGAGGCCGTCGGCGGCCGCATGGCCGACAATGCGGAAGCGCAAACAGGGCTTGACGCTCCGAGCAAGTTCGCCAAGCAAGTCCACCGTTTCGTGGTCCAGCAGACCACATGCACCAGGCGTTGGCAGTCGGAAGGCCAACTCCACGTCTTCTTTCTCTACCATCCGGACACGGACTGGGATCCGGCCTTCTTCCACCGCATTCGGGATCAGCCACTCTCACGTCGCTTCTTCGGCATATCCCAGAACCTTGACGCCCTCGTCATCTGGATGAGCTTCATAAAGGAGAACATGGCTAGGCAAAGAAAGGAGATCCACATTCACCTTCTGATACCAGCCTATCGTCCAATGATGACTGGGGAGTCGCTGGCCTTCCCTGACAAATTGATGCCGCTTACCATCCACGGCCATATTCACAACTCAATGCCATACGTGTGGCTCAACCTCCCCCAACCCAGCCGTCGGCTCCAACTTAGTGGCGTTGGAAACCTCACCGATCTTCTACGCAATGAGGCTGATAACTCTAATATACCTGAAGTCATTCTTGGTGGGGTTGCGACTGCAGCCGCTGGGGCGATCGCTGGAATTCCGGCAGCGATCGCTGTGGGCTCGTTTTTCGCCGGGAAGGCGAACAGTGGCCGGATCCGACCCTTCGTTTCCGACGCTCATCCTAGGATGCTGGGCGAAGCCCCCGCTAGAGACTTAGATGACGACAGGTCTAGCGACGACGACGATGACGAGAAAAGACAAGTGCGACGGCGTAAGCGGACTACTTATCGAGTTCGTCAGGGGAAGCGACATCGAGTCCCACATCGCGACCGATGGTGATCCGAAGTGAGGGTATCGTGGCAATGGGTTACATTCGAGCCTAGTTCATCACCAAGCCGTCTAGCTATGTCCTAGCGTTTCGTGCAATGCCCCTAGACTCCCCTATCTGGCCAAGACATGATGTCTAAGCCCTTTCTTAAATGTTCATTCCGGCTGAAGGATCGGCAAGATGCTTTCACACTATTTTCCCTAACCAACGCTGTCAGGGCTGTTACTGATGTTGCAAGATTTCTTTGACTTATTCAGGTGTTTTCATTTTTCCTTACCTCGGACTCAGACCTTTCAGAGGAAAGCGCGTGGCCCTTCAATGTCTTCGGGATGTTTGCGGCTAGGATAGACTGAAATTACAAAGGTACCGTAAACATAGGGCTCGTCTAAGCAGCGCCGAAATAACCACCGTATTGGAATAATTCAAACGTCATTACATACGACCACTCGCATGCGACCTGTTGATGTAAACAAGCAGCCATCGTCCTAGCACAATGTCAACTGGCCCAAGCGAATCACCTAGCGCAGGCAAAGCTATCAAAGTATCATTCATAGCCGCCAATTACCTACCTACTATAAGCTTGGTATAGGATTGCATTGACATGTAAACAGACTGCTTCTGAGCGCCAATATTATCCACCTCACAAAAAGCGGATTGCATCAGCCGCCACTCCTTCTATCGACATCATGTGCGGTTCTCTTGGTCAAGCCAATGAAACAAAGGACGGAGCTTTTAATTGCATGTTAGATACCGGCCGGGGAGCGTTCTATACATAACCTAATACTTTCCTCAACCATCATCTTCTTCAACTAGCAGACTACTCATCAGCACAACCAAAAGTACTGTACGATAGCAGACCTGATCACTATTGCAATAGAAGTAGGTTCCGCCCTTAAGGCCTGCATAGCGCGAGGATATGGTGAAGTGCCTGCTCGAGCTGTCAGATCTTTGTACCCTTGGTCATCCTCCTGGCGCAAGGCCCCGACGAACGTGATCATTGAAGCCTATTGGGTTGGAGAAGAAATGATCAAGCTGGCGGGAGAAGCTCTTTGGAGCGAATAGATAGGCGAATTCTACCTGAGATCTTTTTTGATGATGTCAAACTGCTCTAAATTACATGACCCGCCCCCAGCAGATCGGTTTCTTCCAACTCAATCCCTACATGTACCAATAGTGAAGGCTGAGTCATGAGTTGTATGAAGTCCCAGTGTTTTGACGTTGATCAAAGCCTTGGGTAGTACCTAGAGTGTCAATACCTGGGCGATATTTGCGCTGAAATAGTTGAGCTGGGAAAACAACGACAACTGCGTCATGCAAGTAACTATAATGAATAAAGGTATCTACATATACAAAATGTGAATCAGGCAGTAAACAGTGACAACGAAATGCGTTCTTTGGGCGCTTGGGGCATTACTAAGAAAGCTACAACGGTCAGAGTTTGGACGTCGCATACGAAACGCGTCGGCTTGTAGAGGGTTAAGACTACTTTAAACTGCTCAACCCAGAAGCGTGTTCTGATCTAGCCCGCTAATTTAACGTGTCCAAGGAAAAAGTCTCCTAAATACCTAGTTTAGCATCGAGTCATCGATTCCTACTACGAAGCCTCAAAAGTCACGCCCCCAAGCATTAACTTCATAAACACAAAAGTCGGGATCACACTTTACTTTCCCTCCTGCAACTTATACGACTTCCCCAAACCGTAAGTACCCAACGAAAAATTCATTTATTTACATCTTCTACGCAGCGCTAAAAAGACAAAAAGATAAGATTAGAACCGACGGCGCCGATTTTCATCATCTATCATGAAAACGATGTCGTTAATTACAGGCAGCAATTAATGATATACATATTCTACGGAGTTTTGATTTCCTCGTTTGCTCTATGGTACGCGTCGAAAACCGTCATTTCGTCCGCAGCTTTAGGCCAGGAGGCACAGTCGACGAGCCATATTTGCGGCTCGTACTGCTGGCCAGGTGTGACTAGAGGCCTCCAGTCATTCCCTTCGCTCTTCTCGAGGAGACTTTCAATAATTGGCATGATGGCGAGGCCATGAAGAGGCCTGGGATATTAGCAAGCTCGGCAATGCCTTAAAACTACGAGCTGGAAAAGGGAGTGAAGAGATCAGCATCCGCCGGTATGGAAACATAGTATCACGACAGCCTCTTTCGGGCGTCGGAAGCATGGTCGATCTCGTTGGACCATTAACCCAGCGTTTGACGGACGACATATCCTTCGGTCGACGAGAATATATCTATGGTACGGTTCATTTCTTCAAACAGATCAAATACTTTGACTACCTTACGTAGCCTCATGCAGTTAAGAGGCCCTACAGTAAGTTTCAGGTGACTAAATAATACTTTGTTTCCCTTCATGGTTCTATTCTCAACCTCAGAAAGCAAACCTGTCCATCTCGAAAGCAACGAGGCCGCTACCATTACCACAGGCCACCTGAAAACAGCAGGTAGTTTGACCAGTCGGTAAGCGCTTGTGCAAAGCGTCTCATCTTTTAAAATCCCTTCTTCTTCGAACTCAAGGACATTTCAAATATTTATTTAGGGATCAAATTTAGAGGTCTTCTTAATACACAGCGAAACGTAGTCGGTCAGGCTATTGGTGACGTAGATTACGTCTTTACGCGCTAATCACAAAGCGGACGCGTGGGTCAGGGATAGGATGTCATCATGTGAAGGTACCAAAAAGCTTATCTGGGCGTCTTCTAAAGCTAATGATTCATTGAAACCACGGAAAAGCCATGAGACCTGCGTTGAAACCAAGCTTGACATATATTCTGACCTCGTGCTAATCCAATTGTCATTCCATTCACTATTTACACTGATCGCACATGATGTATCATATTAACTTTGTTCATATAATTATCAAGCTCTCTTCTAGTGTCAGCTTTGTGATTCTGCGGTCTGTCACGGGTCTCATACGTACGCAAGTGATCTGGATTACCAATTTTAGGTGATATTCTTCCAAGCTGACTCCTGAGACTTAATACAGAGCCATCCACGCTGTTTCTGAGGCTCAATAGTATATCTTCATCTTTTACGTACCTCTAGTGCTTGGTTTCTTTTCGATCATCTTGCCAACAGAAACGCCACGTGCACCTTCGTGACGAGTCCACTCATGCGCTGATTGGAGTCACCAAAAAGGATTTTTAACTCAACCCGGGAGAAATTTCACATGCGTTGGCACCACCGCCTGAGTCTTCTACGGAGCTGGGTCTTCTTCTACCAGCCAACGCTTACCCAGTTTAACAGTCCGCCAAAAAACATGATTACACTTCACATTAATAAGAGCCGCCGTTGCCACAATAGTATTACCCCGAGGGCTTAAGTCATACATGTGCAAGATAATGTAGCTATCCGGGTCATAGGCCAATTCTTAGTGACCCCTGCCCGTGGATGGTGCAATACGATCCCTCGTGGAAGACGCCATCCAAAGGCTGAATAAGTACCCCTGCTCACTGCCAATGCGGCTTTTTGATAAGGCAAGTGCCATTACCCGGCAAGCCACGTTAACCAGACGAGATAAAGGTGCGGGTTACATTTGACTCGCCAAAATAGTAGTCAAATCAAAATCTTGCGTGAGGTAACAATCGCCTCGGCTGTGATTAGAGTGATCTGTCGCAAATTGGCAAGCGGCCCAGAAGTGGTGTTTCATGGACTGCTTCTCCCCGGTCTTCTTCCCCGTCTGCCACGGGGCCCCGCCATTGCGTCACTTTGAAGTGCATTCATGTTCCTTGGGGAGTCATAATTTTTATTTTCCTTGTTTAAATCGGAGCAGGATTCGGATGCTCGTCAGTCACTACTAATGCAAGCACGCTTACGCGGCCCGCGGCGGGCCGCGGCTAGGTTCAGTCGTGCGTGCTCGAGCATATACCCAGACTGGCGATATCTGGCGAGAAGGACCCGAGTCTGGCATGCATCTTTATCAATAGTTGCACTGTGTTAGACCATGCCATGATACTCTGGTATCTAGACGCATTGGTTCGGCTCAAGTAGGCATGTCAGATATGCGGGTGTCCTGTAGCCTGTCCTGCAGTCATGTCTTGGCGTGCCCGCGGTAAATCACCTTACAAGACAGAATACGATTCAAACCCCGGGCGAAACTCCCATTGGCGACGCCAGAGTGGCTGTTGACTGCTTTATCTCTGTCAAGCCCCCCCCCCCCAACGAGATATCTGCACCCAAGCCTGAAGCAGTGTTACGAGTATGCAGCCTTAATTCGACGGTCGTCTTCACTCAAGGATCTGCCTAGATAACCCAACAATGAGAGATGCTGGCTCTAACATGACAAAAGTGGGCATCCGACAAAAGGAAAGAAGTACTGCAGAATATCGCCGCGGAAACCCGGAAAGTGGATGATGATCTGCCTCTGAACTACTGCCAGTGGATGGGTACATGTGGAAATATCATTTTTGGTTCAAGTTTGGTCACGCAGACTTGGCGTTCATATATCCAAGGGTATGTAGCCAACCGATCCTTCGACCTATACAATAAGCTTCTGCGTCTCTGCTAAGGACAGACAGGCTGAAAGGGGTAATTGAACTAAGTGGGTTTTGCACATCACTGGGTTACCCCAATATCTTTATAAGGGCCGGGGCAGGAGTAATTGTAACCCATACAACAAGGGGCGAGATCGGCGATCAGTCTGTGAAACCCCGGTAGACAGATGGCACACTGAACAGACTAGGTCACCCCGCCGACATTGGAGGTCCTTATCCCCGATCTTTCTCGTGGCCATAACGTGGCTCAGATAATTACAGGGAGGCACATCTGCGGCGCAGGCGTGCCGTCGCATCATCAGCCGAGAATAACTCAAGCTTATTTACCCCATACTACATCGCCTCATGGATATCAACCCGAGAGCACCCAGATCTTGAGTCGGATGAAGGAGAGTTCGCCTGACCACCCGACGACCGCGGCAGGTCCCTTGCAAACGACAAACTCGCCCAACACAATGAGACCATCTTCAGGCGGGAGCCCCTTTACGGCGCATCATGCGTGTGAGATTTGCAGGTAAGCTGCCGGTTCTCCTGAATAAGGATTACTCAACACGATAACGCTAACCGCGCAACTTTCCAGAGAACGCAAAGTCCGGTGCGATCGAGGTCTGCCAAAATGCAGGTGTGTTTTACGACCCCGGCAGCATGTATCTCAGTGCAAACAGCCTCGCGCCTATACCAAGTATGAGACCGTAAGGCTGACTCTTCGCGCCCATCTTGCCTCAATGTGAAGACGCTGCGATCGTCTCAACCAACCATGCAGCTATAACCAAGCTCATCAGCGTCGCACACGCGATGAACAGTTGCAGCAGCTCCAAGAGCGTCTCGCCAAGACTGAGGCTCAGCTCGCCCTCAATAACACGCCGAGGGCGCCTTCCATGGTGCGACCGCAATCGCGGTCAGATGTTGGGGAGCAAGCCATCTCATCACGGTGGCCAGAGACGCCGGATCCGATCACGCCAAATACGAGCTCGCGACGAAGCTCACAGTATCAACTGCCGGCGGTGACTGCTTCGCATACACAGATATTACCGGCTCCGGGGTCATCGGTCACCAGCACCCCGATGAATATGGACAAATCCAGGAAGATGAGCGCCGTCATCGATCTGCCAACGAATGGCTCATCTCTGCTCGACATTGATCTCTTCACCTCCTTTACCGAAGGAGAAGACACCAGTATGACATTCGATTGGACAAACCAGCCGCTGGCGGCGCTCGAACCACTAGACAACCTCATCCTTAACCGTCTTTCACCGCAATCGTTGCCTCATAACGGCCCGGAAGAAGATATCTCTCCAGCAGAACTGAGCATCCTACACAATCACTACTTCGAATCCATCTACTATTCATTTCCCTTCCTCAACAGAGATCGGTTCTTGTCAGACTCGACGGGCGGCAGCGGCCCCGCGGTAAGCGCTTTGGTGTACGCGGTGGCCCTCGCCGGCTGCGCGCACTCTCCCAAAGACCCAAACCGACAGTCTACTTGCTACACTCTGGCACGCAACTATGCGGAGAAGTGCGAGCGAGACGGCGGCCTGAACGATATCAACTTTCTGCAGGCTTTGCTGTTCATCGGCCGCTTCGAGGCTATGGATCGGAAACTAGAAAGAAGCTGGCTTACTCTAGGGCGCGCGGCCATGCTTTGTAGGCTTTTGAGACTACATCGAATGGACGAGAGTGACGATGATGACCAGTCCCAGGATGACAGCAGCCCAAGCGGGCCTCTTTCATGTCTGCCGCCCACTGATGATCCGGTCCTCTTGGAGGAGCGACGGCGGACCTTTTGGGGGCTATATATCTTGCAGAGCTATGTGAAGACACGGACTGGGTGGCAATGCCAGTTGGGCGACGTGAAGGTATGAACGTTCCCGAATCAAACTGTAACATGCATTGACAGATATTCATCCAAGAACTTTCGAATCCACCTGCCTTCACCAGGGCTACTTCGATCTGATCTGGTACCACTCAACATGCCATTGCTGTCAAACATACAAACCGATCACGGGCAAGAAATCTCATCCTATGCAGGCTGCGTCCTAATGGTAGACCTAGCCCTACGCTGCTTCGACCACGGGCAACAACGCGCCACACCCGGATTCTGGGACGGCTACTGCGCCCTAGTCAAGACCACTGACGAGCTCTTCAGCATGCTCAAACGGCATCTCAACGCCACGTCCATCCGCGAAGACCCGGTGGCTTTCAGCCTGTACCTCAACCTCCGCGCCACCGAAATCTTCTCCCACGAGTCAGCCATCACGCAGAGCGAGGAGCAAGGGTTGCCGCCGCTCATGACGACCGAGAGCCAGCGACGTGCCACGGCGGCCGCGTTTCAGATCTCCAGCGCGGTGCGGCTCAACTTACCGTCGCCGTGGAAGGCTGACAGCGACATCATTATGCTGCAGGCTATCTTTATTGCTTGGCCTCTGACCATGGCCCTCAAAGCGTTGTATCGAGAACTCGTGCAGGGTGGGAGCCGCGAGACTGTGAATGGAGTCGTGGCTTCGTCGAGGTTACTTTTTGCGGCTTTGGACCATATCGAGGAGTCTGGTGGGCATTGGCACCAGTGTGTATCTCACGTTGAGGCGAAACTCCAGGAGTGGGATGAAAAGAATGGGTTCGACTCATTGGCGTTGTGAAGAATCAGGATTTCACTCTGCCGATACGTTTTGGAATTGACCGAGCGGTTTATCAAATATCCAATAAAGCGAAAGAAAAGGAGGGTAGAAGTGTGCTAAAGTAGAGAAATCTGCAAAAACTTTCGTGTACTAGAGAGAGGAGAAGGAAAAATCTAGATCGAAGTACTCGTGTCCCATGAACGTCTCGCTGCTCAAGTTCTATGATCTGAGAAAGCAGGTCTTCTGAACATATTGAAAAACTCTCTCCTGCCATCCCAAGTGAATCTGCTCATGTCTCGTATACTAATAGTAACCAAAGAAAGGTGTCCTGCAAACAACCACGCGAATTCCTTTGTCGCTACTACGCTGAAGACACGTCGTCTCTTACTTTACTCAACGAGAATCCCCTGAGTAACACAAACCAGCTCCGCAAACTTGGAAATCGTAAGTGAAGGGCTCAAAAGCTGCTGGAAAGCAATATCAAGCGCCAGCTCCTTGAAAATCCAGTTCCGAAGCTCGGCGCCAATCATGCTATCGATCCCATAGCTCGCAATGGATCGCCCGCTCTCCTCGTCCCCAAACTCCGCCTCGTCCACCAGCAGCACGCGCGCCAGCTTGGCAACAAAATGGTCGCGCACCAGCCCGGCCGCCTTGGCCGGCGACTCCTCCCCAGCGACATTGACCCGCGTCAAGATGGAGCCGGCATCGTCGCCGCCGGCTCCCTGGCTGCCGCCGCCGCACGCCTGCATGGCGTGCACGAGGGCCGAGAAACGCGGGTCAGCGGCCCAGAATGCGTCCACCTCGCCCACAGCCTCGCGACTTGTCTTGTATAGCTCCGCAGGGTCGAGGCCAATGACGAGGTGGTCAAATGCCGCGCTCTGTTGTTGTTGCTGCTCGAGAATGGCGACCTCGAAGGAATCCAGAAGTGCCTCCTCGTCGATGCCGTACATGCCCTTGCGCTTGAGAGAGTCTTCGAGCTCGAGGTTTTGAGCTACGACGCCGACGCCGAGAACCATGGGGAGGATCACGGCGCAGGCAGGTTTGCCTTGAGACCGGCGTAGACGGGCCAGCGCATCCATGTAGGAGTTGGCTGCGGCGTAATTAGACTGGGCTGGCGTTCCTAGAATGCCAGAGACAGAGCTCGTCATGAGGAAGAAGTCGAGAGGCAGATCTGCAGTCACTTCGTGAAGGTTCTTACTGCCAAGAACCTTTGGCCGAACAGAAGTTGTCCAGTTTTCGTATGACATGTTCTGGAATAGACCATCCTGCAACCATATCAGCATTGTCAAAGGTGGTTTTCGAGAAAGCCTAGGGATTTCGTTTAGAACAAAAGAGAACATTGACTTACTCGTAAGACCATTGCGGCATTCACAATACCACGAATAGGTCGGCCCACCGGAATCGAGGCCACTGCTTTCTCCACGTCTTCCTTGACCGCAGCATCGCCCCTGAAAACCAGCACGCTGGCGCCTCGAGCTTTCAAATCGCCGACCAAGATGGCAGCCTGCTCAGAGTCGGTGCCAGATCGCGACAAGAAGGCAAAGTTACGCGCTCCACGCTTCATCATCCACGATGTGAGGCTACGTCCGAGACCTCCGAGACATCCAACGAGAAGATACGTCGCGTCCGGGTGTAGTCGCAAATGCGGCCGGGTTCGTACTACATCCACCACGCCCTCTCCTGCTTCGTGTGTGACGACAGTCTTGGGGCCGCAGAGGGAGTCTGAGAAGGTGGCAACACTCTCGTTGAGCTCGGCAATGTTGCGGATGGCCAGCGGCGGAGCAGAGATCGAGCCCTGGCGGAAGAGTGCGACGATCTGCTCGAGGAGCTGGCCTAGTATGCGAGGCTTCTTGAAGAGCCCCACCGGATTGATGGAAAGGAAGATCGCTCCTCGAGTTGTCGGGACAGCGTCGATGAACGAGGTCGGTACGTCAGTGCCGCAGCTCACGAATCGAGCGAAAGCTGGCAGATTCCTCCATGCCTCTCGTGCCGCCGTTGGCTCGGTCGAGCTGCCTGAGAAGACCACATCGATCTCGTTGTCAAATAGCAGTTGGGGAGAGTAGTCGAGAAGTATCTGCTCGCTTGGCAGGGCGAACGTCGACGCTACGTTCTCAGCCTCGGTTGAGTCGCGCACAGCAACGTACGGAAAACCGCCTAGAGCCTGTGCGATCTTGATGGCGGCTGCTCCAAGTTGTCCAGATCCAGGAAGAACCAAGACTGACTCTCCAGCCTGAAGCCTTGCCAAGTTCTGAAGTCCATACAGAGCGGCGCCGTAATGCATAGGAAGACTGGCCATGGTTGTGAAGGATTCCGAATCATCGAGCTTCTGCACCAAGTGGTCTTGCACACGCTGATAGTTGGAAAACTTGTCCGAACTGAAGGCAACAACATGATCACCGACAGATACCTTTGTCACAGCGGCTCCAACCTGAGTAACCGTACCGGAAGCTTCGTGGCTAAAATCGGTCTCGAAAGAGGCGCCCGCTACCACGGCCTGATCTTCGCTATTCAGACCCGTCGCCAGGGAACGGAACTCAATCTCATGTGGCTGGAGCGCCTCCGAGTCGAGATGGTCGACTTCGAACACCACTCTGCCAGACTCAACCCTGCCTCCTAGTCTGGCTTCAGGAGCAAAAGGCAGTGGTTGTGTCTCTCCGCTGACATGTCCATGTATCTGATTGATCCTGTCTGATGAGACCAGGCGGCTGATGAAAAATTGGCCATTGCGAGCAAGGTACTCGGTCTCCAGCTGCATTTCGTTCTCAAACAGCCCGATCGCCAGGGAAGCAACCGTAGACACGAAATTCTCAGAAACAATATCGCTGGGGGCAAAGTCGACTATGGTTGCTTTCAGGGAAGCACGCTCAGACCGTAGCGACCGTAAGAGCCCGCGGGTCATTGCGAACTCGGGCACCACGCTGTCATCGGACAGACCACCACTGGATACCCATAAAACGTTAGAGGCCTCGCTCAGGGTCTTTTGGAGATGGATGAACTCTGCTTCCGACACCTCGCTCACCAGCGGTCGTTCCAGATCCGCCAGCATGATGACGTTGGGGCCTAGGGGACGAGGATCTCCCAGCTTGGAGGTCTCAACTTTGTAGCCCAGTCTCTCAAGATTCGTCTGCAGCAGAGTGACTTGTTCTGTCAAAGGAGCATGGTACAAGATTTGAATAGGCGCCAATGCGAAATTTTGGGTCTCCTTGATCCTCGACGTAACAATGGCAGCGTTCTTCAAGGAAATATCAGAGCCCGAGAAGCCGGAAACTTTCAGATCTTGATCAGTGACGGGCTGGTAACCTCCCAAGATGGCTTTTCCACCGTCGTTTAGGAGCTCGGAAACAAGAGGTAGCGTTTCGCGGGAGGTGTCAGGGGCGATGATGAGGTCAAACGCGTGCTGCATCTTTCCCAAAGACTCAGCCGCCGAGTTCGCGTTCCATTCCAGCTTCTCGAAGGAAACTGTCTTGAACTGGCTCAACTTTGATTCGACCTCGTCTCCGCCGGAGCCATTGGCGAGGACTGTCAAATATAGACCGGGAAGCCGGTCCATCAGAGAAGCCGCGATAGTTGTGTCCGTGGTAAGCACCTTCAGACCGGGCGTCTTGAATTCGGCAAGCTCGACAAAATCGACAACGTCTAGATCCTTCTGAGCACCACGCAGCCATGAGACATCCGGCTTGGAGACGATCTGTGAGTACGGCTGCGGATGCACCGGTGCTTCCAGTCGCTGCGGAATTGCAGCTTCGTACGCGGTACAGCGCATGCTCCGGATCTCCATCAAAACCTGCCCATCCGCTGCCACAAGTTGGTTGTGGGCATTGAAGAGCCTTTGACCGCGCGGGTCGATCCAGGAGAAGGCAGTGGCGCTGGCACCCTCAGCCGACTGCGCAGCCCTGGGCTTCCAGATGACAATCTCTTCGGCGCGGACAGGCACAGCACCAAACCGCATCGCGCCAGCGCGGCCAGCCCAGATGGCGACAATCATGAGCTGTAGACACGAGTCGAGGATGGCTGGGTGAAGAACGTGGCGTGACTCGTTCTTCATCACGGCGGTCTTTATGTTCGTCGTGGCGTGTGCGCAGTACGTGGTCCCGTCAAATGTGATGTTGTCCATATCTTGGAACGTCGGGCCGTAGTTGAAGCCGACCTGCTTCAAGGCCTGATTCCAGAGTTTGCCAGAGGCACGCTGCGGCAGGTTGGGCACCTGTTTTGCGACGGCTCTGCGCCGGTCCGTGTTGATGCTGATGCTTCCCGCCATGTGATTCTTACGGTGCCCTTCTGACGACACGGATGAGACGTTGAAGTCCCACCACTTCTTGCCAGCTTCGTCGCTGCCGAGCTTCGAGGGGCGCATGTTCAGGAGGACCTCGATGCCGTTATCGTCGTCAGGAGTCACCAAAGCCTGCTGAATGGCGACATCCCGGAACACGTAAGAGTCGACGCTGACCTGACTCTCGGACATCTCGTTGATCTGAGTTACGGCTTCCATGGCCATGGAAAGATACCCGGCAGCGGGGAAGACGGCCTCCCCTCCGAGCGAGTGGTCCTGGAGCCAGGGGAGATCCTTGATGCGCAAGATGTTGCGCCACGTTGGCTCAGCCAAGGACCCGCCGACCGTCAACTGGCCCAGGATGTCGTGTCGCGGGAAGCGTGGAGAGCGGTGCTCTCTGCTCTCGCGTGACTCGGCCCAGAACTTCTTCGTCTTGTCCCATTGATAAGGCGGCAAGTCCACAATGAGGTTACCCTTTCGTGGAATGATCTTGCCCGACGGGTACACCTCCTCAATAGCCGTTACTGTTGCGAGATCAAGGGGGTAGTTGCGCAGGAACAGCTCGCCAGCCAGCTTGAGGACCTGCTCGGCGCATCGTGAGCCGCGTATGAGAGTCGGCAGGTACTGCAGTTTTTCGGCCTTCAGCTCAGTCTTGATCTGTCGAATGGGTCCTGAAAGAGCCGAGTGAGGTCCAATCTCAATCAAGATGTCGATGGCGGGAAGGTCCTTGTTCGTGAGGGCTGTCTGCACTGCCTGATTGAAGAGGACTGGACTGACGAGGTTGGCACTCCAATACTTCTCGTCAAGCACTGCGTCCTCGGGCAGCACAGAGTTGGTGACCGATGACACCATCTTTGCCTTTTCAGACACAAGCCGGGTAAGGCTGGTCTGCCTGGCTTTGCGGATGAGGTGCTCGTACTTCTCGACGGCTGGTAACATGTGACGTGAGTGATATGCCTTGCCGTTTGTCTTGACTAGCCGGGCAAATACACCCTCTGCCTGCAAGGTTCCTTCAATCATCTTCAAGGCATCGACATTACCACTCAAAGTGACGCCAGACGGCGAGTTGTGACAAGCAATCACAACCTCAGGCTGGTACGCCTCGAGATACGGCGCCACAGCCTCTGCGCCGAGGCCAACGGCCATCATGGCGCCAGCCGAGTCGATATCCTTCACGACTTGCCCGCGGTAGTACGCCATCAATATGGCTTCCGACTCGGACAGGTAACCGGCTGCGAAGGCAGCTCCAATCTCGCCAGACGAGTGGCCAAGAGTCACCGAAGGCTTGATACCCCACAGACGAAGGAGCTGGACCAGGGCGACTTGAATGGCGGTGCATAGCGGCTGAGAAAACTCAGCTTGGCTAACTCGAGAGACGGCCGGGTCCTCGAGGAGAGCCTCTTCCAGAGTCCAAGAAGGGGCGTCGTCAAGGTCTTCCAGCACCATGTCCATACGTCGGATTGACATGAGGAAGGTCGGGTAATACGTCATCAACTGGGAACCCATACGAGCCCACTGCGCGCCCTGGCCGGTGAAGGCGAAGCCGAGCGTACGGGCTGTCTCCTTCTTGTCTGCGAGAACAAGGTCGGGAGTGCCACTGACGAAGGTTCCGTGAAGGGTAGCCGGCGTCGTGACTACCATTCCTTTGCTCTGGAAGCGTGTACGGTGGTTGGCGAGCGTGTGGGATAGGTCGAGCAGGCTGTATTCTGCAGCGACCTTGCCAAGAGCCGCAAGATTTCTCTTGAGTGCACCCGCTTCATGAGCAGAGAAGACCAATAGGTATGGTCTGTTGCGGTTCACCGCCCCACGCGCCAACTTGCCTTTCGTTGTGGTTCCAGGCATCGAATACTTGTAGCTTTGGGGTGAAACCAGTAAGGATTTGGGGCTCTCAACTATGGTATGCGCATTTGTGCCGCCGTATCTGGTTCAAAGTGAGTAAGACTTCATCGCTACATACTTGATGACCACCAAGTCAGGCATGCGAACTTACCCAAAAGAGTTGACACTGACTCTGGTAACCGCCAAGCGCTTTGGAAAGGGCGTAGGATCCGTGGGGACATTGACCTGCCAACCTTTCCAATCAATCTTTGGATTGAGTTCAGTCACTCCTCGCGTAGGAGGGATGATTCCCCTCTCCACTATCAGGATGGCTTTGATGACGGCAGACAACCCGCTGGCCGCCTCGCTGTGCCCAATATTGGTCTTTACCGCGCCGATATGCAGCGGCCCATCAGCCTCAGTCCGAGTACCGTTCATAACATCAGAGACGGCGTGAACTTCCAGCGGATCTCCAATCGCCGTCCCCGTTCCGTGGCACTCAAAGTATCCTGTGAGCATAGGATCCAAACCACCACGCTTGTACGCATGTCGCATAACGTTCCTCTGCCCGTCAAAACCGGGATAGGTGATGCCCACGGCAGGGGCCTTTCCGTTATTGTTCGTGGCGCTGGAGCGAATAACGCCGCGGATAGGGTCGCCGTCCCTGATGGCATCGCTCAGTCGCTTCAGGTAAATCGCCCCGACACCTTCAGCACGTCCGTACCCGTTCGCGTAGCTATTAAAAGTGTGGCACGTCGACGTCGGCGAGAGCACGCCTAGCTTGGCGGTATTCATGTGCTGGTCGACCGTCAAAATGAGATTGCTGCCGCCAACCACAGCGGCGGAACACTCGTGCGTCCGCAGGGCGTTGCACGCATTGTGCAGGGCGTAGACGGACGATGAACAAGCCGTGTTGACAACGATACTGGGACCGCGGAGGTTGAAGACGTGGCTGACTCTGTTGCTCAACAAGCCGGGATCTACGCCGGTGGCTGCGAGGCTATGGCGGAACGAGGGCTCCTTGAAGGACATTTGCTGGAAGTCTGCCGTAAAGGTGGCCATGAAACAAGCCGTATCCGATCCGGAGAGCTGGTCCAGGGTCAGGCCTGCTGACTCGAAGGCTTCGTAGACTACCTCCAGCAGCTTCCTCTGCTGTGGATCTGGCGATGTTTATCGTCAGTGAGCTATCGAAAATCACCAGTATTATTTACAACGACTGGGACGAAACTAACCCATCCATGTGGCCTCGACTGGGGTGATGCCGAAGAAAGCCGGATCAAACTCTTGCAGAGTCTCGTTGAGGAAGTAGCCTCCAAGGACACCAAAGCTTCCAGGGCGGTCATTGTCTGCATGAAAATGGGCGTCGATATTGAACCTAGACGGGGGGACTTTGGGAGTCTGGCCACTGCGCTTGTCCATCATCAACTTCCAGAAGTCAGATGGAGAGCTGACATCGCCGGGAAGGCGGCATCCTGTTTCGTATGTGTCAGCGGGGACTTAGTCTCGACCAGGGCGCGTGGAAAATCTCACCCATTCCAACAACTGCGATTGGCTCTAGTTGCTGGCTCAGGGGCAGCTCAGCGGACGAAGAGGCGGCGTACTCATCATCGCTGACGATGCGCTGATGGGCCCCTTGGGGGTCGAACTCGGGATCTGCGTCCGAGGCGCTCGAAGATGACTCATGGAAATGCGGCATTGTGTGTCTTGTCTATTGGTAGAATAAGTGTATGGGTATCTAAAAATTCCCTAGAGTATAGTCCAGAGATGGGCGATAAGACTTCAAATAAGTCTGTAGGTTTAAATACTGCTTTCAACTACAGGAGAACTGTCCTACTGGTGGCCATATCCACATTATTCTATCAGTCAACGGAGGTTTCGGAACGTCAAGCTCGTGGGCATCATGGCGGGGTTTCCGACCACCCCCAAATTCGTGGGTGAAAATGGCGTTGGCGTCCTGATTGCCCGGAAGCCTTTCCGCTACATCTGCGTGCCGTATCAAGAAAGAGGCGCGGTTCGGTGTATGCCCGAAATGTTGTCCCGATGCCGCCTCAACGCCAACGGCGGTCGGGACTTTTGAGCGGCGGATCCGTGGGGTCAGATAGGAATCCTTCTCCATTGGTAGCCCTGCGCCGTTGGATCGGCCGATCCGTCCCTTCGGAGGGCGGAACCGTCGTCCGAGAAAGGATAAGTCGGGGTGGGGCCGAATCTACGTCGCAGTCGTATTTGGCAATATGGGTATCCTACAGATACTTTGACTGTCTTTTGGTAAGGCAGGGAAAGAAGCCTCAAAACATATCACACCTCTTCCGCCTACTATTCTCGCCCCGTGTTCAACGGCCTTCTATTCATTGAAGCTGTGCAGGAGTGCATACTTTTCTTTCAAATTTTTCAATATGGCGACAGAGAGCATAGACACGGAGGTCTTTGATGTTATCGTTGTTGGTGCTGGTAAGGGCATTGTTCAAAGGTCTCTCTCTTTTTTTTTTTTTGGTGCTAACAGTATATACAGGGTGGTATGGCCTGATGGCTGCTCGCACATACTTGGAGCTGGCTCCCGAGACCAATCTCCTCATCATTGATGACAGCGGCACAGTCGGCGGGGTCTGGTCGAAAGAGCGGATTTATCCAAGTCTCTTTGCCCAGATCAGCCACCCACTGTTCGAGTACTCGTTCTACCCGATGTCCAAAGATGACATCTCGCCGGACGGATTTGTTTCCGGAAAGACAATCCACAACTACCTCGACAGTTTCGCCAAAGACCACAATCTTTTACCTCGCCTTCGCCTCAAGACCCGCGTCAACAGGGTTGCAAGAAGACCGCCAAGCTCGGAGGGATGGATTCTCGACATCAAAGATGGAAGTCGTCTGGCATGTAACAAGCTCATCTACGCTACAGGCGCCAACTCCAGCCCCATCATCCCAAAATGGCCCAGGGAAAGCTTCGAGAAGCCAGTGATCCACTCGCTTGAGCTCGGAACACACCAAGAGTACATCGCCAACAGCGTCCGCAGAGCCACTGTTGTCGGCCGCTCAAAGTCGTCCTATGACGCTGTCTACCACTTGCTGTGCGAGGGAAAGAAGGTCGACTGGGTTATGCGTGACGGTCTATCCGGCCCTTTCAGTCTTTATGCCCCGACATTTTTGGGGCTCTGGAACATAGCCGACCACATCTCGACGCGCTTCGCCTCGAGCTTCAGTCCGTGCATCATGGCGACTTCTGGGTTCTGTTACAACTTTTTCCAACGGAACGCTATGGGACGCGTGTTGACAAACGTGTACTGGCGAACGGCCAATTACCTTTCTGTATCACACGCAGAATACTGGAAGACTCCCAACGCGGAGAAGTTGCGGCCGAGGCCGTACAGTGACGGGTAAGCTGATGCCAGTCGAGTTCTTCTCAAGATGATGGCCAAAGACCAAGCTGATTGACATGTACTGTTTCAAATCTAGAGTATGCTGGGGCAGCGGCGGCATCGGCATTGCCACTGCACCTGACTTTTGGAAGGTCTTTCATCGTGGCGATGTCACTATTCATTCGACCGAGATAGAGTCTCTCTCGCACGAAGACGTCGTCAACTTGAAGAACGGATACTCTGTAGCCACTGACATTGTGATTCATTGCACCGGATTCGATAAAGGGTACGACACTTTTGCTCCCGAGCTCCGAGAGGAGCTTGGTCTGCAATACGACACCAAGACGTTTTCGCGGTGGACGATGCTGGACGAAAAAGCCGAGAAAACTGTCGATGAGCTCCTTCCGTATCTGAAGACCGCTCCTGAGCAGTACGGTGATGGAGAAGCCAGCAAAAGAGCGGAACAGGGCCCCAACAGGCATTTTCGCCGCCTGGTAGTGCCCGAGCTGGCGGCACGGGGTGACCGGTCAATACTCTTTCCTGGTCATATTCACTCGGCGTTTACGCCCCTCGCAGCAGAGCTTCAGGCGCTTTGGGGAGTTTCGTGGATGCTTGGGTGGCGCGACCTTCCGCCGAGAGAGGAAATGGAATTCGAAGCTGCCACGTTCAACGCGTGGACGCGGAAGAGGTACCTCGAGCAGGGCAAGAAGCACTCGTACTTCATATACGATTACATCCCGGTATGTTAATACATTTTCTGATGTTAAAGGTATCATGGGACTAATATTGGGGGGTTTAGTACATTGACACCCTGATGAAGGACCTGGGCCTCAACCCCTTCCGCAAGAGCAGCGTCTTCGAGGAGTGGTTTGTCAGGTACAAGCCAAGCGACTACTCTACCATTCTAGACGAGTACCGAAAGATTCGGCAGGAGCGATCGAAACAAGGAGCTACCAATGGGAGCGCGAAGGGGCTCACCAACGGCATTCCAAAAGCAAATGGGCATTCCACTCTAGCTTGATGAGAGGGTTCAGATTGGCTATTGATGCCCAGGATCCATAGTTCTACAGATAGAAGCTCAGAACATACCGTATTACAGAGATCTTGGCCATCTTTAGCGACTATCCAAATCTTGCTCGGTCTGTATCGAACTCAATTCTGGCCAAGGCGAATCCAGCCCAGGCATCTTCGAAATCATCAAGCAATCGGCCCCCTCTCTGAAGGACTCTCCAAGCCACCTGTAACGCGCTGTGAGGTCACGACTGTAATTTTGGTGAAAGAATATTCAGTTTGATATAGGTAATAGAAGAAGTCTTTGAGATACTTAGGAAACCGGTACCTTAGTGTGAATGAACAGGCCGTACCTTCTCGATTTACCTATCTTGACTGATCACCGTCTTTGACAGCATCGTGCCTGCCTGACCAATTGGAAGTGTTCCTCGGTGTCGAACGGACTAGCGTCTTGAGTGGACCCAAAACTAGCGAATGGTAAATCGCCGTCGGTCGAAGCGGGCCCGTTTCTGGCCCTGGTGGTCAGTGCATGGCTCCAATTCCAAGTGGGTCCCTTGGCACCCGTCTCCGTTCCGTGTCCGCCCTCCGTCTCGTTCACCTTCCCGGGTGGTATAATCCTCCTCGACATCTGCACACTCACCCTCCTTCCTGCTGAGCCTCCTGCACCCCATCCAAATTCAATCAATCCATCCCACACCACCCGACAATACGACGCAAAATTTTGTGACCGCCTACAGCTCTTCCTGAATTTCCCGAAGATGAGTAGCGAACACACCTCGTCGGCCCCGAACGGGGCCAATCCGGAGAAGCAGGCCGACACCACAGAGTTGGGTACCCAAGGTCGCCCCGGCGATCTTGGCAACGGCAACAACGAGGCCACGTCCATCGACAAGAACAGTCCTCGCGATATTCATGGATGGAAGGTGAGTAAGCTCCGGCTGACAGACACCCACCTTGGCACCCCTGGTGTAATTACCCAAGCTGACATGTTCCGTTTGTTATCGCCCAGTGGGCCGTCGCCTACGCCGCCATGCTCTCCACGACCCTCCTCTTTGCTCTCGATAACACCATCGTCGCCAATATCCAGCCGGCCATCATCAACGATTTCGGACACCTCGAGCTTCTGTCATGGATCGGCACCGGCTTCGCCCTCGGCACCATGTTCATCCTTGTCTGGGGTAAGGTCTACGGCGTCTTCAACATCAAATGGGTCTACATCTTCAACATCTTCCTGTTCGAGGCCGGTAGCGCGCTTTGTGGCGCGGCCCCTAACATCGAAGCCCTCATCATTGGCCGTGTCATTGCTGGTGTCGGCGGCTCGGGCATGTACTCGGGTACCCTGACCTACGTTTCGGTTCTTTCCAATGACCAGGAGAAGCCTGCGTATCTTGCCGGCAGTACCGTCATTTGGGGCGTCGGCAGCGTTCTCGGTCCTGTGGTAAGCAAGATTTACCGATTCATCGTCTCTTCATTCGATTGCTAAACTTTTTTTTTTATTAGGTCGGCGGTGCCTTTGCCGCGAGCAGTGCCACCTGGCGCTGGGTAAGCTTCTCAATCAAGGATCGATTTAGAAAAGTATATGTACTGACCAAGCTTCAGGGATTCTACGTCAACCTGCCCGTCGGCGCTGCTTTCGCCCCAGCCTACTTCCTGCTCTTCCCAAGTGTCGACCCCCACCCCTCCAAGACCCTCGCAGAGAAGTTTCGCCTGGTTGACTGGGTCAACTCTGTCATTTTCCTCGCCGGATCTGCCTGCCTGACAGTCGTGCTCACCTTTGGCGGGGTTGTCTACCCCTTCAATTCCGGAACCGTCATCGCCCTGTGGACCGTCACGGGCGTTTTACTGATTGCCTTCATCGTCTTGCTCAAGTTGCACCCGCTGGTCACCAAGGAGAACCGCTTGTACCCTCTGCACTTTTTCAAGAAGCCGACCTTGATCAATATGCAGCTTCAAGTCTTTTTGTCGTCCGGTATCATTTTGGTAAGCCACCTCAAAATCCGTGCCCGACACGAAATCTGACTGTTCCTAGGCCATGACCTACTACATCCCGCTGTACTTCCAGTTCGTCAAGGTACGTACATGAGAAATGACCTTTACTTGTTGTAGATCTGACTCTATTCAGGGTGACGGAGCCCTCCAAGCTGGCGTTCGTCTGCTACCATTGATCATGTTCATGGTGGTAGCTTCCATGGCCAACGGCTTCTTGATGCCGAGATATGGATTGATTCCGGTCTGGTACATCGGTGGCAGCTGTCTTGCGCTGATTGGAACCGCTCTGATGTGTAAGTCACAAATCCATCTCGATTCCTACGACTGGCGCAACCAGATCCTTCAGACTGACCTCTTGTGCAGACACTGTGAATGATACCACATCCAACGCCAACATCTACGGCTACAACATTCTTGTGGGAACTGGCGCCGGTTGCTACATCGTAGCCGGATTCGCCATCGTCCAATCCCTAGTCCCAGTTCACGACATCGCCAATGCCGTAGGCGCCATGACAATTTGTAAGCAACAAATCTCTGTTTTCCTTTCCAAATCTTCCAACAAACCAATGGCTAACACTAATCAATTGAAACCAATCAGCCCAGGATCTCGGCATGGTTTTGTTCCTAGCCATCAGCGGCAGCCTCTTTCATAACGTGGCCGTTGACAAGGTCGGCAAAGCACTTCCAGAGGTCTCCTCCACCGAGATTGGCAACCTCATCGCGGGATCCAGCAGCAGCGCATTCCAGGCGCTCACAGACGCAGAGAAGGCTCTGGTGATCCCCGAAATCGCCAACGCCATGACCAGCATCTGGGCCTTTTTCTTGGCGGCTGCCGCCCTGAGTGTGGTGTGCTCCGTACCACTGCTGGTAAGCTGTCCCAAATTATTCCTCCATTTTCCCCAGCTTTTACTAATGCATTCGGCAGAGAGCTAAGCTCGGCCGCGACAAGATTTCTACTGCAGTGGTCGCAGCTTAAGATGCGCATCGGGGATGGGAACAGCGTACCTAGCGAGGACGGAAAAGCTTTGAAGATTCGGGGATTATCTTGCTTTGATGGTGGAAAAAGCAAGGGTCCTGACTACTGTGAAAAGATCCAGAAGTCCTGTGTGTAAGATACAGAAGATCGACGCGAATACAAACAGTGAAACATCATCAAATGCCTCAAGGTCATACGTTTATTCGCCAAATTCAGTGCATAATAGAGGTGGGATTCGACGCAAATTCCTTGGGAAGTTTACCCGTGGCTTCATCGAACTATTTTTACTGGGTTCACTCACCGTCCTTGTGGTAATAAGGGTAATAAGGAAACTTCTTTTTTCCGAAAACCCTGATTTTCTAACCCTAAACCTGTAGGCGAAGGTAAGTCATTGCTGGAAAGTCTTCAGGCTGCCTGCCTACTAGGTTGCCATTTTTTATGACTAGGTAGGATTCTATAACCCGAAAACCAGTCGTGCTCATTCTACACTGAAATCCCGAAAGTGACATTGTCCCTTCCAACGACTTCCCACACCTCTCTTCCAAAGCCCGGTATAGACTGTCTAGAGAACACAACATGAAAGACCCAGATAGCCGACCACAAACCAACCAAAACTGCCAGCAGCTGCGGGAAGACAGCTTCAAGGCCACCATTCCAATCACCCCACGAAAGTCGACTCTTGAGCCGTTCATCTGCCTCTCTCCCAGCCCCCTTCGCTCGTAGCTCTCTGTCCTTCTCAGCAGCCATAGTATCCTGCCATCCCAGCACCCCTCGCCTCTCTTCAAACTCCACATAGCTAAGCTTCGGCGCCGTCACAGACAGTCCAGCAATGTTCTTCGCCAGCGTGTCCAGGCCCACGATAGGCGTCAGCCACCGCTGCACAAAGTAAGCCTTCCACCCGTCGTACGCCTGCTGCCTCGTCAGATCGCCCCCGACCTTGACAATCACCCGCGCACGGTCAACGCGGGCGTTTTGGTACTTGTCCCGCATCGCGTCGCGCAGCTCGATGTCACTCGGTTTCTTGTTGGCGTGCGTGGCGAGAAGGCCGTGGATCGTGTTTGCAAGGGTGACGGCGTCTTCCATTGCCGTGTTGCCCCCGAGAGCCGAGTTTGGAGTAACCTGTGAAGACAAAATCTTATCAATCCCAAACACAGAAAAGACAATCAAGCAATGAAGCAAGAATCTTACCTTGTGAACAGCATCTCCAGCCAAGACGATCCTCCCAAAGAACCAGTGCTCAAGCACACCTTCCTCAAGCGAAATCATTTGGGCCTTGAGACGCCGCTTCCACAGCTCTCCGAATACGACCGTCTCCGTGACGGGGTACTCGGAGATCTTGCTCACGAGCGCCTCCATGTCAGACTCGGTGTATCGCCTTCGCGTGGGCCAGGTACAGCGTTGGTCCTCTGGCAATTTGTTGTGTACGATGATGGAGATCCAGTCTGGCTGGCAGAGGAGCAGGAAGGAGAACTTATCGTTGGAAGTGACTTCCATGTCATGCGAACCAAGGCCAGGAACCGGAGACGATGCCATCACGATGGCATTGTACTGGGTTACCATGGCTTTGCACGCAAGATATCAGCAGCTATTTGGATCTCGACCCTCGACGGAGGCTTCCTGCTTACCTCGCTTCTCTTCCACACTGATCGTGCCAGGATGGGCCGCGTTTGCCTTGTCCCACATTATTTCGCGGACCTTGGAATGGACGCCATCGGCGCCAATCACTACATCGCCGACGAATTCACTCCCATCTGCAAGTATGACTCGAGTTTTCGAGTTCTCTTCGATTATCTCTTCAACACGCGCTCTCTCATGGACTTTGGATTGGTCTGGCAGTTGCTCGTACAATGTACGCAAAAAGACCTGTCGATCGAGGGTCCTGGTATCATAGCCGGCGCTGGTTCTCGGAATCAACATGTGCTCTTGCCAGCCCGTCACACAACACATGACAGAATCAAGGACGCAGGGAGAGAAAGGGGCGCACACACAATTTCCTAACGACACCAAAAAAGTCATTCGACGCAAAAGTTTTACCGGACGGATCGCGGCACTGCGCGCCGCCCATGACATCGCATGTGGCAAGCACGGCATCTAAGCAGCCAAGTTGGTGCAAGATGCGGCACCCATGCGGCTGTAACGTGATTGTGGTTCCGAAGCTCGGGGCCACGACGCCCTTGTCCAACAGGACATAGTCGATGTTTGCCTTTACGAGGCAGTGGGCTAGCGTGAGACCTGTGACGCCCGCGCCAACAATAATCACTTTGAAGGATGATGAGCCGTCTGCCATGACGTATCTGCAAGAAACTACTGGCGTTGTGATCAGGAACGGCAGAAGAGAAATGGCGGCAAACTTGATGGTGTTTTGTCTCGTTCAAATTCATATCTGAAGGGTTTGGGTTCGAGATTAATCTCTGCATGTAAGAATCACTGGTGAAGGCCGGCGCGGAGGAATCGGCCTTCGGGCGGGTCCCATCGGCCTTGCCTCCGTTGGGGCCGAGCATACGGAGGCAAGAATGAGCAGCAGCCAATGACGAAAGAGCGGCCGTTCGGCTCCGTTTCTCGGCGGCGGACGACCGACGCAACCAGATCCGGCTACGTCATCCCGTGCCGGCAGTTGCGGCGACTTTTCGTCTCGATGCAGAATAGCAAGATAGCCATACCCGAATCGATTCCGCATCCCTCAAGTCAAATACTCCAGCACAAGAATTCTCAATGACGACTTCCTAACAACTCGTAAACACACCATCACATATGCGTACATCATGTTTGAGACTTCCAAATCGCAATTCTTCTACCTCAGCGCCCTAGGGGTATGGGGACTTTGGGGCTACGCATTCTTCAACGGCATGTTTGCTCGCCTTGAAACAGTCACTAGTACCCTCCGCTTCCCAGACGACCGCCCCCTCCGCTCCTCTTACACAGGTCTGGCGGCACTAGACGGCCAGCTGACCCTCCTCTCCGCCTTTTACGATGTGCTCACAAACTCCCGCACCTCCGGCCCGCGCCTGCTCTTCTTCGACATCAACTACGCCGTCGCGTGCGCAAACCTCTGGGTCCTCATTGAATCCCGGCGCCGAGGCGTTCGCTCCTGGGTTCTGAAGTACCCGGCATGGGCACTGGTGCTCTGCAACGCCAACGGCGCTGCGATTGTGCTACCGCTGTATCTTTATGCAGTCTGTAGCAGCAAGGCCCGGATTCGCGATGCCTCGATTCCCTGGCACGAAGCGGCCGCGTTATCGCTGACGACGCTGGTGATTTTGCTTCAGCCGCTGCTCGCATTTGCGCCGACGTGGATTGGGAAGGGAGGAACGAGTCTGCACCACGGATGCATCGCGCTCTTTCAGGTGGCTCCTATAGCAGTCCTAGGACTTCACCTCGGCCTCGCTGCGATTCTCCCTCGAAAATACACAGGCATATCCCAGTCCTCTTTCAAAGAATCAAAAAAGTGGATCGTCGCGTCCCTCATACTCGCCGGCGTCGTCGCCTCGGCCGTGCACTTCTACACCGTAGCCGGCGTACTCCGCACGCGAGATGGCGACGCATCGCTCCTGAGACTGTTCCTCCCGGCGCGGGGGTTTGAAGACCCGTATGAGTCCTTGCTAAAGGAAGGCGCGCAGTCTGTCGAGTACGAAGCGCTGCTGGAGAATCTCCACCTGTTTTCGCAGTGGGACTGGATTGTTGTCTGCCTCACGACCATTGTGTTTGCGCATCTCCTTCTTTCGCGCAAAGATGGATTGGAGAAAAAGAACACAAAGGGGACAAGCTCGCCGCACGAGCTTCAAGAGCTGGTCTATCTTACCGCAGCTACGGCGATTTTGGGCCCGGGGGCTGCGGGATCATTTGCGCTGGCTATTCGCGAGGCGAGGATATGAATGTGTGATGATGTCTTTGTCACCAATATTTTATGTCAAAAGTTCTAGAGACTAGATCGAGACTACGCCGCATCGACAATAGTAAGTTGCGCAGGATGGCGATGGCAAAGTTAATATAGTCATGGTTGGTAACCGAATGTCGATGCCAGGAACTTAGGATAATGATTCTTCAAATTGTAGATTCTGAGATTCTACTACTCTTAGTTTATTTACGTAAAGTTATTCGAAAGTTGGGGTCTCCGCTAGTGGAATATGACCTCAAAGGGGGATGTGGTGTTACTCCCCAGATTTCTGTCCCAACAATAGAGGTCGATTGCAATGCACACATGCATCGAGCTCGAATCACTTAGTATTTGCATACATCTAAACATCCAAGTCTGAGAAAATGCTTTCACCTCGAGATCTCTTCGCCTCCATTTCTTCCTCTGACATGTCGCAGAGCTCGTAGTAACTGACCACAAATCCCCTCAGCTTTGGCTCGGAATCTACAAAATTCTTCACCTGTTCGCGCATCGCCTCTGCCTCTTCCCCAGTTTCCCTCCCTCTTGGAATTCTGTCGGCCAAGAACCATGCTATCTCTCCGTCACCGTTGAAGCACATCTTTCGATCGACTTATTAGCGCCCCTTCAATACCACTGGGTAATCTTCCGTGTGGCTCGCGGATGAAGCCAGTATGTGCAAAGAAGAAAATGGGCATATGACTTACTTCTACCTCTCGCATGATGGCATTTGAACCACGCCAAACTTCATACGCCTTTCTCCCATTCGTGGTAGTGAGGCTCTCAGTGCCGAGAATTTGACATAGTATTGCTGTGGCCTCGGCTTTGCTTTACGGTGACTCTGTAGGTGCATTGAGGAACTTGGTAAAGACGTATTGAATCTTTTCCTCGTTGGCAATGTGGACAAGCTGTCGGAGAGCGACCTGTGTCTCGGTGACGGGGACCTGGCCCCACATGAAATCGGTCATGGTGCGGCGGTACTTTCGTTCGTGAGCATCGGCATCAAAGGGACTTTGGTTCGAAGTGCGGCCTTTTCGAGTTCCGCCCCCAGGAAGAACTTTTGGTTAGCGTCCTCTCATCACTGCAGAATTGACAGTGCCCTCGGCGGTCATTTCTTACAATGAACAAGGTCTGTAGTTCTTCCAGCTTGTCGCACTGTTCCACAATGATGCTTGTGTCTGTCGGCGACATTGCTCCATGTAACTCCAATGCCTGCTTATGGATCAAGTGCTGATCCTTGTCTTCTGTTCATATACAATCCTCGCTGATCCTCGCTGATCCTCGCTGATCCTCACTGAAGATTTGAAGTATTTGACCTGCCAAGTCACTGATAGAGGCCGAAGCGGCTTATGTGCTTGAACGTTACGATGCTGGAGCCTAAACGTACATGTACTGGCTGGACCATGCATGATAACCACATTTGTCTCACTGACCCCGTCCACTTTTTGCGATCGCTATCCTGAGCAGTCGATGGCCTTAAGCTGAGCAAGACCCACCCACGTACATGCGTGTGCCATTCTACCGTCTTGCATACGCGTTGCATACTTAGTAACATGTGCATATAAATATAAATATAATGATCCACTCTGAGTTATTCGAAGTGCATAATCATTCTACCCCGATAAAAGATTATCTACAGAAGACCTGTTAAAGTGTATAATCAATGAACAGCTGACCGTTTAAAAGGAAGTACCGTAGCTGCTTACCTTAACAAGGTTCAATCCTTAGCCTCTCCTCAGTGACCCTACCTGGTAGTTGATGGATATGGTCTATACATGAAAAACACCAAAACGGCGAGAATCATAAGTATCAAGCATGAAACTCATTTGCGAATTTCGAAATACACCTATTTCATAGCACGTCTTCAGTATGTATTAAGCAACTAGGCGAAAAATTATCGCTGAGATATATAATTCCCTGACTAGAGAGGCCAATATCAAAGCCCTCGTACAAGGCGATAGCTTTGCCCTGCGAATCATACATCTTTCAGTCAATTCCCGAGCTAATGCCAGAATTCCCTATGTAGCAGCATTGGACGAACCCCGCCGACACATTCTGGCTGGCTCCCAAGATCCGTGTTTGGGCGTGAGGATTATTACTGGCGGCTGAAGCAATGGGGATGCTAAGAGGTGCCCATCCGATATGGTGCTATTCGTTAATTTCTTTCAGTTGCGCGTGCCTTCGCCAATGGATCATGTCTGCTTGTTTTAGCCTGTCGTGTCCGAACGGCACCTGGTATCCGCATCTCAATGGAAGTGGCTGCCATTCGTACGTCCTCGCCTCGTTGTTGATCCTGTAGTTGCTGTTGTTGCGGTGGGTCGACTTCTGCTCCAGCTTTAATCGGCAAAGTTGCATCAGCCATTTGTGTATCGTCGGTCTGCCTCAAAAGGGCGCCGGATTGCATTTCTGTGCTATTGTCCTCTGGCAGCTTTACGCCGGCTCCCGTTAGGGGAACAGCCACAGCTTGTTTATCTAGTCGCTGCATCGGATGGTCCTCGGCCCGTTGAAACTGTCCTTCACCGTGGCTGGTGTCTAAAGCTGAATCAGAGAGTTCCGCCTTTGATTCTCCGACCGCTATGGGGCTAAAGTCTCCCTCCAACTCTTCTGGCTCCTCTGGGTCAAAGCAAGCCGTGATAACGGATTTGCGAATAAACAGGGATGTCACGTCATACACCTTTCCGGTGTCTCTCTCAGAAGTTCAAGCTGGAGATGTTGTCTATCCTGCTGGTATGATTCCAAGAATTGCCGGCGGCAACGTCTCTTCAACGGTTCACCCAAACCGCTCGTCGTCATCTCAGGATTTTGAGAAAAAACTGTGCATGGCCTCGCCGCTCGGTGAATCTCTGCGAGGGACCGCACGAAACGCTCGAATTATTCAGAATCATTCTCGAATAAGGGCGGTCTTCTGGCAAATAAGAGACAATCTCGTGCGTGTTCCTCATCCGGACTAGAACACAGAAGCTCCTCCATTCCAGGAGAGATAGCTTCAGGGAGATGCAATGTCGTAGTCAGCGATATCAAATACGAAAACGGTATTGCTGATTCGTCTAACGGTAGGAGGCGATTCAACTACGCTTGATAGATATGTCCAAGCACGTTAGGGCAGGGATAGAGCAACGAGCGATCACTTGCTGCTGCGCACCAAGTTGGGCGTATCCCAGCGGTTATGCCTAACGGGTCGTGACAGCCGGCTTCGGAGCTGCGAGCTCCTCTATTGATAGCGGCCCTCCTGATATGCCCGTCCGGATGCGCCATGTGCAATATGGTCTACCCTTCTCTGTCACGGGACAGTAGAAGTGTCGTTGCAACTCGTACTTCCTTCTCATACGAGAATCCTTGAATGAGGAAGAAGTCTTCTCAATGTCTAGGTAGCTTACGAGTTTCCTAGATTTGATCTATGCATATCCTTGCCCTTGCCCTTGTGCTGATACTGGCTGAAAGCTTCACTGGTCTGGCACGGGCCTTGCCTATTCCTATAGAATCGCACAGTAGTACAGAGGTTAATTGGTGATGTATTGTTATCCTTGTTGATGCCCCCTGTCACGGTACCGAACCTCACACTACGCACCGACGGCTGGTCTAGTCACGTGCCCAGCTACATAAGCCGCGCTGCACGCTTAGCCCGCGCTCCGCGGGCATCAATAGCTTTCGCCCTTGCGGCACAACAATCACTACACCTGAGCCCCTACACCTTTGCGCCCTTCCCGTGATAAAGACGGTCGACTGTAACTAAGTAAATCTAACATACAGAAAAAAGAGAGTCTAAGTACAAGGATCAGCTAGAAGATGTCCCTACTTCAAGGGGACTGCTCGCTTAGTCCGCAATAAGACAAGGAGCAAGGAGAGGAAAACCGTCCACCTGACTTCCTTACTGGGGTCCCTGGTGGGAAAATCAAACGCATCAGATATCGTCAGTTGATTGGACGCCCTGGTCAAAGAGGGCAGTTCGATAAGGGTGATGTCGATTATGCTTGAGAAGCGTACCAGATTTCAAGACAAGAACAGATCAGCGAAAGGAATAACTGTAAAAGATTGTCTACGAGGCTGTACAATTTACCAATCCACCAGGAAGCATTCCTCAACTATATAAAGTCTTCTAGTATTCCTCCGATTTTGATTTCAATTTCCAAGAGCGGGCTCTGCGCCCTTGGATGAAGCATACATATGATACCGCGCGTGAAGCCTCTCACAGACGACTCGTTCTGGGCTTCCGTCCAGTCGATGACTGGCACTTGGGAGCGAGCGTATCCCGATATGCCGGAGGTAATACACCTGCGAGTTCAGCTTTGATCTGCAGTGCCAAAGTACGCGAATGCCATCGCTGAACTCTTGTATCACCACCCATAATCCAGTAGTAATCAAGCCGAAGCTGCCGCTTCCACATCCCACGAACTTCGCCCTCGGCGTCGACGCCCCAAGTCGCGTCAAGTCGAGCCGCGATCTCCCGAGGACCAAGGCTTCCGCTGCTTCCGCATCCCCCATCCCCGGATAGCGTGTTCATCTCATCCATTGGCGATGCTCCCAGTATCTCCGCCGCAGATTTGCGCACATCCCGGTCGGCGAATCCCGTGCACCATACCACGGCATCGGCATCAAGCGTGCTGCCATCCGAGAATCGTAAACCGGTGCTAGTGAAGGCGACGGGTTCGACATTAGCCTTGACACCTGCCTTGCCATCCGAGAGCAACGCTGTACCCCCTACATCCAGATAGTGTCCTCCGCCCTTCTCGAAGAGATTGACTAGCAGACAACTCTCTGGCGAACGGCCGTCTATGACGGGGAAACCTGATTTGGCGAGAGCTGCATAACGGTCCGGCTCTTGGGAGGCTGATTGAAAAAAGTGCCCTCGTACCAGATGGGCGTCGATGTTGGTCGGCAAAGCCATGGAATCCTTGTCTGCTTCCACTCCAAGCTTTTCGTAATTTCCGTGTGCTGCAGGATCGCAAATATACGCAACTGGAAAGACAAAAGTCGGGGACCGAACGACCATTGTCGTCTTCAGCCCGGCCGCGTGGCAATCCTCGAGGATATCAAAAGCTGTGTTTGCTGAGCCTATCACAAGGGCAGACTGCGTGTAGACACCATGATTAATGCCATGATCCATCTTTATAGCCATTGAGTTGCTTCTACTCACCTTAACACCGAGCATCTTCAAGTCTTTGGCGCTACGATAGGCAGTAGAATGGAGACTGACGCCCTTATACAGCTGAGGATCAGACATGAGCGGCATGTGAGGCTTCTGCGATCCGATACCAGTTGCTTGAACAATATGCTTAGCTACAGCGACACGCGGACCCGTAGGCGTCATAAATGTCACTGTGTAAACCTTGTTGACTTGATCGTATGTCGTCGACTTGATTTTGACCGAGTTAATGATGTTTAGATTGAACGTGGCCACATATCGCTGGACCTGATTTGCTAGCTCCTCCCTGGTGAGAAAATGTGGGAACTGCAGCTCCTTTGCGTACTCTAGCCGAATTGATCATCGTCAGCGCGTCTTACTATGGATCTGAGAGGCGTCCACAACGGTTCTGAATGGAATCTTACCCAGATACGCCATATTGCAGATCACTGTTGGAATGTGAAACTTCATGGCGTGATATCGAAGAGCCCAGTTGTCTCCAGGGGTGGGGTTGCGATCGAGCATGACACTCTCGACGCCTAAAGCCTTCAACCGAGCGGCGACGCTCACTGCACTACGTTGTTCATGGACTGGTCAGCCGAGGAAGAACCAAAATGTCGAGGATTTAATGAGGAACGGGCTTACCTGTTGCCTCCGCCGATAATGATCACATCTGTTTCGAGCTGGTCGAGAATGCCGAGCTGCTTTGCCGGGCCCCGTAAGAGACTTAGATTTTCGGGATGGAAGGTGTAGTCGACAAGTCTGGTACTCAACAACCAAATCTTCCAGGTCACTGAGTCCACGTTTCTACGATGGGATTTGATAGGTAAAAGAAGAAGTTTGCCGTGACATATAGCGGCTGGCGACACTGTTTGGAACGTGAAATTGCAATCGATGAATTGCTTCATGTAGGAGACTAGTTAGTCTACCGCTGTGCGCAGCGTTCACCACATGCATCAAGCAGATAGACTTGGGACTCACGAGTGAGGGAGTGACTGGCGCAAAACTAGCGACTCCATCAAGCCTGAATTGATCGAGTCCCCGGAGACATTTGGTCTCTATCAGGTTGCTGGCAATTACACCGGCTTGTTGAAATGTCCGGAGGTGATACGTAAAAGCCAGCTGGTCTTTCCAGTACGCCTGTTCCGCGAAGAAGCAGCTTTCCACAGCAGCCGCGTCATTAGCCTTCAGAGCTGCATTGAATTCTTTTATGAGATCTAAAGCAATCTTTGTTGGCTTATCTCCGTCCAGGGAGGCATGTTCTATCGTCCCCTCAGCGATAACTGGCAAAGGTGTCTTCGCCATCATTGCACGTATATCGGCCCTAGGCGGGTATTCTTCGTCTGGTACAGACAAGATTTTGCCTGCGTAACAGATAAGCTTGACAACACGTACATTCGCACTCGGGAAGGAGCTGGGAGATCCTACAGGTAGCCATGATTTTTGTTCTGGAGGTAAAACTTAGAAGTGCTGTTGCGAAGTAGCCGGTGGTACTTGTAGAATGAGGGGAAGTGTCTCCCAGTTTGTAACTGGCATCGCCTGCCGAGCAAAACTTATCCGGACAATTGTGCTCCAAAGAAAGAGCCAAAGGCCGTAGCTAGTAGCAGCTGGAGAGCTGTGTGGCGGAAATGACGTCCTTCGTCACTGTCACACCAGACCACAATAAGTCAGGGAGCAACCGGAAGCAGCCCGTGTTCGGTGTCTTCTAAAATCCTTCCCCTGCAGGGTGTCCAATGGCATTTACGGGCAAATCTCTTACCCGTGCGGAGAAAAAGCCACTCGGCGGTTAGACCTCGAGTCCCAGATTTATCCCCCACCACCTTCAATGAAGATCAGACGCATCTCCCATCTGCACTGGCTCATGGGAGAACTCTAGATCTTCGGGCAACCAACGCAGACCGGGGGCTTGCGGGTATATTGGGGGGATCCCCGGTCTCCCTGACCGGAATTTATCGCGACCTACGCCCACTCACACCAATGTCCAGTATCACTAGAAGAGATGTAGGAACAATTTTCAAGCTTCAGAGGCCCTTGAAAAAGCATCTCTCCCCCGCATCTATCATGTAGTATTCTTCGGTCTTCCAGAGGAGAAGACTGAGGATCTGCTGGTTGAGGGTAGATAAAGATGAGTTTGGGGATATCTTGAAGGAAGAAATGTGGTAAGAGAGTCTGATAGAAAAAAAAGGAGTTGACCGTTTCGCTCCTTCTAATTCTTTTCGTTCGTCTGAGCAGTTCCTTTCCCCCAAAAATGAACTGCTTTGGGACGAAAAGGCACAGCTGCCTGGATTCTGCCGCGTTTGCACGATGAATCTTGGCGACAACCTAAATGTCCTTCATCTTAAATTAGATGAAACCAAAAAGCTCAGTGGAATATGTCGGAGCCGGAGTCATCGTTCAAAAATTCGTTCCGTTTTACCTAGTTTACGACATGAGACAGTTCTGGATTAATCAGGCTCACACACTGATGGCACTTTTGCCGCGCAGAAATTGAGTGAGCGTCAAGCTTCAACAAAAATCCCGTTACGAGTCAGACCGCGTACGGGTGATCATACCAAGTTAATAAATTGTAGCTAATGTTATCCAGATGTAAATGAACGGAAGAATTCAGCCTAGTTTCCATGTTTGATGTGAAAGGGGGCCACGTGGAATATTAGCACGTGGCAGGCAGAAACATCTGTCCTGATGCAGTAGTGTATTTGTGACAGATTCCTGGACACCATAGTGTTTATATAGCGCTGAAAGATGTCAGATTGCCGTAGCAAGGCGTCTATTAGATGTCGTAGCTCTGATCGATACCCCGAGGCCGCATTCTCGACCCCTGCCTCAGTGATAAAGAGACATTGAGTGCGCAAGCGAGACTCTCTCTTACCAACTCTAGAGACTTCAGAGGTAAGCTCGTTAATACTGTCTGGAAGATATCCATGATTCATCGTTGTGTTGTCTCAGCTTCCTGTGTAGATAGACTTGTAAGTCACTGCGGACCCTATCACGCGAAGTTGGACGTCTTCAACGAAGAAGTGGTCATTATATCCGAGCAGGGTTTGTGCTAGAAAATCTCGAAATGATACAGGAGATTTTACTTCATCGGACACCCCCCAGGTGAGCCGGAGGTTGTGGACGGAGTGGCGGACATGATTAGAGCCCGGAAGGACTGAAACGATGAATAAGTGGGACTGTTCTTTCTGAAATCCGAAAAACGTCCGGAGGCTCTGAGAAGAAGAAAGCTTTCGAAATGGACTGAACAGTGTATGATTAATCTAGTCGAGTGTGCAGCTGGGTGAAACAAGTAGTAGTCCAAACGTCTGGTCATGAGAAGATAATGAAACAAATGTTGAAGTGCTCGGAAGATACCACTAAGCGTCGTGTGATTGGTTAGCCAGTGGAAACCCTTCTCTCCACTGCCTCCTATTCTGCGTTCGTCGCCGACCTGATAACTTCAATACAGGATAACTACATGTAGATAACTTTCACAGATAGAGGCCAGCCGCAATCTCTGTGACGATGAAATAATGGATTCTGTAGCAATCCTTTCAGCTAAATATGATATTTGTAGGCAAAATTATTTTAGGCAGCAAGCTCAACTTTGCGGCAATGCTGAGGTCATCCGCGTAAGACAAGAATTCTCTCGTTGTAGCTGCGCCGAGGCACATGGAGGTAATTGTCATTCCCAAAGTCTTTACCATTCGTTAAATTACCGAAAGTGAGACAGCGGCTTGCGGCGCAGCTCCGGGTAAGTCCAAGGTGTCTTACAGAAAACCTAATCCTCCAACCAGACCTGTGAACCCTTGCGCCGACGAATCCTCCGCTGCGCCCGGAATCCTTCCGATATCGTGGAATAAACGCAGCGATCTGCTACGGTATATCGCCGCATAGCCACGGGAAAATGAGGTTATAAGGCTGCTTGGGCCCAAAATGAATTCGCGACAGTTCTTCTTGTCCTCATCTTGCCTACTCCATCACATCACCTGTGCCTTCTTCACACATTTCGAGGTTACTCCTGTATGTAGTCCGTTGGTCCAAAGATTTAGCCGCCCACCACATCAAACTCAAGCAGTCTTCGGAAATGCCTGCTGTTCAGCTCTCCCAAGCAGCCAATGGCGCCCTCCGCCACCTCTTCTCCGCTCGCGACAGCTTCGACGATGACTACAACCGCGCCAGGAAGCAGGCTCAAGCAATCGGCGGAGGCGTCATCGCTGTGATTGTTATCATCATCGTCATTATAATCGGCTCAGTCATTGCCGCCTTCTGCATATGCAGTCGGCGAAAGAGCCGACGAGCGAAGCAGGAGTTGGAGATGAAGAATTACGTGGGCGGAGTTCCGGTTGCCGGTGCGGCGACGGCGGGCAACATGAACGGCCAGACACATAACGGCGAGAATGAATATGGGTATAGCAGAGGATACGTTGCGAACGACGGCAAGAATGCCCAGAACGCATCGGATGCGATGCCCCCGGCGTACACTGCAGGAAATAATGGTTCCACACCAGCGAACTAGATTCTGAACAGATATCACTACATGTACTTATCGAAGACACGAGAGAAGGAGAACGCAGAAACAGGATGACGACTATAGACTTGGCGTTTGGGAAGAACAATAATTTAGGATGTTTCTTTTGTAACTTGAGGGAATCTGCGGAATTCCTGTCCAGATGGTCACACATGTTCCATACATATTCAAAGCGAATTGGACAGTAGCAATCACCTGCAATTCAAGGATTGTACCAAATTTGTATGCAAGTTCAATTGAAATGCTTTTTTCCAGTATAGAAATGAGTACAATTGCATAACTATGTACAAATAAATTAGAAAGAAAATTCCGCACGAAAACAAGGTTTTCATCAGCCAAAAATATTGAACGAGGTCGTCGCCGAGGCCTTGTGCGTGAAAAGCGCGATAGAAAGTCCTAGTGCTCAAGCTTAGAGCCACCCCAATTGAGCTTGCTGAATACCATGTTCGAGTCGTACTAGGCACTAATATCCTCCATTTCTTGCAGATAGCCCGGTCCGTAAGTAGGAAAAGGCTTCTACCACTCGACTGCATCGCCTATGTAAAATAACTTGGTCGCCAATCCCATCTCCTGGTTGATCTCTTAGTAATGCGCCGGGAAGTTCTGGGATCAAGCAGTCATGCAGAGGTCATCCTCGTGCCGGCCAACGAGGTGGTGATTTGCCACCCTATGAAGCACAGTCAGTCACGGTCGGACCGACAGTAGGGGGGGTCGTATTACGATTGCCTCTACAGTTCAAACGCATCAACACTTGCTGTGCAGTACGTGTGACTGATGTACGGACATTTTTTAACCTTTCACATCCCAGCTATACCATAATAATTGTAAATTGACCACCACTGGAACGAAGGGATTGCTCTCACCACCTCCAACTATACTTCAGTTTTCTCGATAGCTTCTTCCAGGTACTTGCGCATCCACAATGGCAGCTATGAACGTGACTCTCAACCAGATTTGGTCCGAGGCGATGTCCGAGCTGAGACTGCGACTCACCGATGCATCGGGTGGCACTCTTCTACCTCAATCTCCAACCGGAAAAGGATGGCTGGCATGTCTTGTTTTGTCACTTATGGACGGACTTCTCGACAGGGTTCTTCGTTATCAACAAGAAGATCCTGCGCGACGGGCGCGGGACGAGAGGCGAAGAAGGCGGTTGGGAGTTTGGGAAGAGAGGCATCACAGCGGGCTCGAAAAGCTTCACGAGGTCCTGTGCGACTTGGACATTCCTGACATAGACCTCAATACGGTTGATATGCATGAGTGGTTGGATTACGCGTTTCAGCGATCGTCGTGAGCTTCCAAGTCCAGGGGTTGGGCGCGTTGATCCATGGGCCTTTGTTTCCCCTGGGAACTTGAAGAACGTTGAGACCGTGAAATGGCTTGCACCATAATTGGAGTGAGATGTTTGCTGCGCATGTGAATAGGATGGGGTATGTTGCATGTTCCCACGAAATAGAGCTTACCCTGTGCTTACAATTCTTTCGTAGTGACGGATCTTATCGCACAGAATGCCCACCGCGGACTTCAGAACGCGAAAATTTGAGCCTTGTTAGATGTTATCCGAAAAGTCGCCACGACCTCACAGCAACGTTTGGCTGGAGCGAACGGCAACGGGGTGAGTCCAAGGAAGGTAGACCAGATAGAACGTAATCTTGAGAAGCGGAGCAGATTTTGGGAATAAAGTCGCAGAAAGCGCAGACTGCAATTGAAACGCAATGCGGAGATGTATCTTGAGATTTTAGCAGCTTTTCAGTCCGACAGACATTGGAGTCAATTTGAAGAAGTTTGCTCTTGTAAGGGAGCGACAGGATCCTATTTAGTCAAGGTGGCGAATGAACATATGGAACAAAAAGACACGAAGCTATACCTTCTTCTAATGACGCCATGTCAATAAATAAGGTGGGCAAATTCGAAAGCATCCGGCTCATTTCACGAACAAACAGTAAAGAGACACTGATTCCATGTTATGACTAGAACACCAGACTATTTCGCAGGCCAATATCCGCTCTGTGGGTGACACTCTCACTTTAAAGAAGCCGATTTCTCATCCGAGTTGCTTAGCCTACACGAACGGGTCGGGCTACTAGTAAGGCACAAAAAAAATGTAGAAAATATCCAAAGACGTCGAGCTCAGAGAGCGAGGAGCAAAATCACCTCCAGCTATTTACATTGCCAACGAGCCTACTGCCCGCATTTATCTTTGCAGGTCATTCTTCGATCCATGGCTGTCATTTTCATGTCGTTGAATCCTCACTGGGGTCCAAAGGGACCCCAGGTTGCCCATTGTCATTCGTAATATCTTGTTCCAACTGATCCAAGCCCGGATGCTTGGTGGTTGGGCTCACAATACTATCCCAGAAGTTTGCTGCCACTTCCTCGATGACAAGAAGCGCGTCTTAGGAAGGAAGAATTAAATCGTCCCCGCAAAAGTGTTGCAGGCCATGAAGACAAAGTTGAAATTTCATTCAATGGCATCGAATCCGAGTGACGCCGCATGCGATAGCCAGATTGCCGTAACAGCATGGGTGAGAAGCTCAGGTTTCATCCAACACCGACGTCGCGAACGTCGAGGGGAAAAGTCTCTGCTTCCAGCACCCAGTTTAAGGTCTTGGAGAACAAGAATCATGTGAAAGCGAACAGGAAGATGAAAGCGACGCGTCCCCGATAATCGGTTATCGAAAGGGATTCGGTTAAACCCGTCGCTTTAGCAGTTATGGGATGAGTTGCCGGATGATGATAAAAGAATCTGTAGCTTGTAAACGATTACCGTCAACGCAATGCTATATGGATCCTTGAGATGCATTCGAGTGCTAGATAAGTTGTGGCAGTCACTAATGATCCTCGCTACGTCGCTCTTTGTAACAGATTAGACGAGATTGTCACGTTCTCTAGGTTCTCATATTGAAAAGCACGTCAATACTATCACCGATGACTATTATCTTCGCTAAAATAAACCGCTCCAATAACATATCTCTAAGCCATGACTACTATGCTCATATAAAAGACATAACCTCTGACTGCCTGTCATCGCCTGTCGCTGGTGTGCTGGGCGTCGTCCATGGGGCCGCTTTCGAACCAAAGCCAAAGCCCACGTCGAAGATGGTAATGCCTGAAAAATACGCACCCATTTCCCGCAGCGATGTTATTATTTCCACAGCGACTTCCTCGTCCTCCCGGGTTACTGAAACAAGGCTGCCCAGGTAGATTCCATCCACACTGCATAGCTGTCGCAACCGTATCTCACATTTTGCGGCTTGATTCAACAATTCAAGCGAACCGACTTCCAGTCAAACTTCTATTCCTTCGCTTTAGCTCCCCTGAAATCATAGCAGCTAGATCCAGTTTTACAAAGTCATGCATTTGTCTCTGGTTATCATATTGTCAAATTTCGAACCATCGAAACAAGAGGCCTTGGGTGCCGTAGCGAAATGTCAATTTCAGTATCTTTCTAACCCCTGCCCAAATGATGGAACACGAACGTTCAAGATATGAGCCTGGCTCTCGATCTCGCCTAGTAACTCCCTCGCATGGCCGACGATTCCACCATTCGCCATCTCGTCCAAGATGTAGCAGACCTTACTTATAATCCTGTGTACCATGAACATTGTGGTATCCAAAGCGTAAATAGGCAGTAGAGTTTGGACAACAATGGAGCATTGAATGGCGGCCCAGTACTCGTACTTGGTATCATAAAGGCTCCGGTAAGTCCAGAGAACAGTGACCATGGAGTTTGCGTGGTGGATTTGAAGGGATGTGACGTCCCAGCCGGCAAGACAGGGAGTCGTAGTGCTATTGCCATAGGCAGAAACGATCTTTAAGGCGGCGGATTCATAGCTGAGACTTTTCGTTATTAGCGATCCAACATTACTCGTTCATTATTCAATACGTGGTGATCCAGGAAAGATGACAAGAATGATTGACGCGACTCACTGGAGTGAAAGGACTGATGAAGCGACGCTATTGCCCCTTATCAAATGAGCCGGCAAAGACGAATTCCAGCGATGCAACTGTTTGTATACGTCGATGCAGCAGACGGAGTCCAGAGTAAGCGCACGGATGGATTGTTCCATAATTTGGTAGAGCGAATATTTTAAACCGAAAACCTGTAGTTGAGAGGGAGCCTCAAGAATATGAGTCTGTGGGTTTGGTGTGCTCAAGTCGAGCCAGTGACTTTGATCCTCAGTTATTTTCAAGACAAGCGGCAAAGAGACTATGAACTCCGGTGAAAATGACTCGGCTACTTCCCTGTAAAATCGGCATTTGTTCAGCACCATCTCAATCGGAGTTTCTCGACTGTCGCGAAAGTCAAATTGAAAAGGAGATGTAGAGAAGTACTATGGCGGAGGAGTGGACTTACAAGAAAAAGCAGTAAAATCCCCAGGCAATATGAGAAATAGTATGCCAGTCCCTTAGCTGACTTGGTGTCCCCATGTCTGAAAAATTAAATGTACTATATTCGCCCCTTTCGAAGCCCAAGGCTAACCACGCATCCCGAACCATTCCCGGAAGGTTTCTATGAATTCCAAATGTTACCAGTGACTTTTCGTTGCAAGTAACGAACCAAAGAATAGCTGCCCCTTGCAAGAAGGTCAATGAATTTCCATTTTTATCGAACTCGAGCAGGCGACACGCTTCTTGTGCAAATTGGTGGGCGAGAGTGACAGCATTTGGATCGAAGACGTAACACTTTTTCGCTGAATGTAACTAGAGTTGACTCAATATCAGTAAAGAGATGCCAAGCTCGAAAGGGCAGCAACCTTTGCCGAAAATCCAAACACTTACGGCGGATACGGCGAGGATGGCATTGACCAGGAAGGAAGAACAAAACACCTTCTGGCTTCCTAGCGTGAGCTCAGGAACATCACTACATAGATCGGCAAAGAAGCGTCCCTTGTCGACTATATTTGATAGTGTGCTATCCCAAGTCCAGAAAAGATGCAGCAGATGGGTGAGCACTTGATTGTCCTGTAAAACATTTGTCCAGCGAGAGATAGGCAGGGCCCTGTATGAGTCATAGTTGCCAACGAATGGTGACCCCGTACTGTCAGCTGGGCTGAATTTGTAAATCGGGATGTTGATCTCGGAGAGTCTTGGTCTCGAATATGCTGTTATTGTTTCTGGATCAACCGTCGTTTCTTGATTCGTAGCGCTGAGTGGTGGGAGGGGTTTTTGAACCGTTACGTTTTCTCAATCGAAAAGCAGTGAGCGGTTTTGGTTCGCAGTTAAAAATCTCCGCTCGTGGGAATTCTCACTTATTTCATCATCTATCCCTTCGTCTACGAGATCCACCCGTGCAATCGACTGAATATTATCATCAAGGTCCTTGAAACGTTGCAGTTTGTGCAAAATGTTTTGAACAATTTCGCCCTCGCTCGACTGGATCAACTCCAGGACCCTGTGGGCACGTCGGTTTGCTATTGATGTGCGAGAAAGTGCCAGTCTCTGGGCTTGCCGCTCAGATAGACCCTCTGCGACTGGGTAAACGCATGGGCTATTCACGTTCAAACATCCAAAGCAACTTGGCCGAACGCCATTGCACTGTGACAATCAGTTGGGTTGCCTCTGAGGTGAAATTGCCAACCTCTGATAGATGATGAAGAAACCACAACTGCGCTTGAGGAGTTGAAGGGCATAACTGACTTTTACTTTCCGCTTCCGGCAGGCTAAAGAGAATTAGCCGTGTGTTTTTGACCATTAGAATGCCAGACAACATGCCATTGCAAGCCGCTAAAACCTGGTCTCTTTTCGGTTTCGCCGTGGGGGGCCGAATCATTGCGGGTGATCCGATGGGAGTGGACGGCAAAAGACGTCTCAATTTAGGAGGGTCTGACATGTCTGGCGCGCTTGACAGGGGGCACTGTCGTGAAAATGCCAGGCAACATGGTAAAATTGAAACCAAGTAGGTCAAGGGCCATTGGGTAGACTGCGCATCGGAAGTTGCATTGTCAAAGAAGCACAGAAGTGATCCACGCCAGCAGAAGGCGTTAATGTGGAAGAGATTCCCTTACATCATCCGCACTCCTCCGGCATTTGTTACGCATCCTAAGGCTCACAACGCATCTGACATGGTGAGAGGAAGACAATTGTGGCAAATAGGAAAGTCAGTCCATTGTGCAGATTGGTTTTTTGCAAGGTCCTGTGGTAGGTCGATCCTCATTTCTACGGGCGCAAGGGATTCTCTGGCAGTTAGAAGGGCACCAAAAAGAAAACCCAATCAAGCTAGGTCAGCACGATGGCGTCCATATGACATAAGTTGGTGTCAAGCCGGCTCTGGGAGGAGAAGGGGAAGGATTTATGGGGCTGCTAGCTAATACCCAAAACGATGTTGTGGCTCACATTGTGCCTCGGCCACCGACAACTGGCCAGTGTGACACTCCTGCGTATCCTTCATTTCGTTCCGCATTGCATGTATCCAATGTGAATGGTCAATTTCTTAGTGCAGCATCATATGGTCTGATAATACGACTTTCCACTTTAAACGACTTTCGACATGACATGTTTGCATTCTTGATGTGTTGTAGCGACAGATTAGTTTCGCCAAATAACTGTTCACACTCAAGTTTTCCTTGACTTGATCTTCCTAGCGAAGGCCTACCTTATCATATATCTACTCAAATTTCTCTCTTTGTAATCATTACTTGTATTCAGGATTAATGATGGGCTCCGAAGACAAAACTGGCTTGAAGATTGACGACAACCTACAAGCTGCACTGCGCTCTGAGATTTCTACGGCAGCATTCAGCTTCAGGAGCCTGATACCGGCCGGCCCCGACCTTTTGTCCATCTCCTCAGCACGCCCTTGCAGATGGCAGAGACAGGCGGTCCCAGCGGCTAGCATGAAATGCCGCAAACGAAAAGTTAAGGGAGGGTGTACGTGAACGCCACAGGCAATAGAAAGATTCCTATATAAAGGTCAGGGTGAGTAACAGAACGCTTGAATAACCACATTCGATTCTTTCGCATCACCTCTAGGGTTAATCATGGGCTTCTCAAACATGCACAGCCAAATTGAACAACGGAATACAAAACTTTTCGCCCCCCTGCCATCCCATAGTTGCCCGCCGAGCTATCAATGCGCACCTCAACCTTGTCCGTCTGGGGAATCTTCTGTTACAGCACCGGCTCAATACGACTAGCAGCTTTATATCAAGGGCTGTGAGCACCTCTTGGCCGGTGGCTTCAGGAGCCATTATTGATAGATTGTTCGAAATTGGGACCGCTCCTCGTAGTACAATAGTCGCTGGTCACCTTGGGGCGATCCGATGACACGCTTTGTGTGAGGGTCACGGCACGATTCTCCTCAGGGAGCAGGTTCAAGGCGATAGGTGAGTTACGACGACCCGCAGATTTAGGTGTAAACACAAGACGTAATAAAAAGAAAAGAAAAAAGATGTCACGCTCTCTGAACGCCGCGTTCTTGTAACATAAAGGGTAATGGCGAAGTTATGACTTGCGATACCGTTGACGCCACCCTGGCACGCGGTCCCATGACGCTTTGAGAACTGATACTGGCAGGGTGGTCAATTGCAAGCCCCTTAAATGGTAAACAATGGCGGTGCGCGCGCTGGATCGATCAGTTACTATCAGGCGAGACCCCAGCCTCTGGCCACTCCTAAGTGTGTTAGGCAAGGCTTTTGTGTATTGAAATACATAGACAAGGTGAAGCCGTTGCGTAATTACTCCGCACTACGAGGGCCACTTTACTGCAAGAATGTAATGCGGACCTTTAGGCACCGCAGTTGACAGTTCGATCGGATTTAGAGTATCTTTCTGGTCATGACTGTGCGCTTCGGAGAGCAGGCTTGAAGTTTGTAGGGCGGGAGTTTTCGGCATCGCAGGCGTGTGTGGTTAGGCACTTTACGGGTATTGCTAATTCAGGAGGGGGGGGCGGGGGGGTGGGGGGGGGGTGGGTGGGGGGGGGGGGGGGGGTGGTGGTGGTTAGTGATGTTGGGGGAGTGTGGAGGGGGGGGGGGGGGGGGGGGAGAAAAAGCCGTTTAACATTTAACTCCTTAATAATCAAGGGTTTTCAATATCTAATGTTTGGACTGGAGTGAGGTTTATAATTGTCATAAGTTTAAATATCAAATATTGAATAAAAAAAGTGTAAAATGTTAAATGGCTTGATTTAATTACGAAAATTTCGTACGCCAGATCGTAAATATATCTACTAGATAGGGCGAGCTGATTAAATAGTCGGTCTATAATAAGCAGTATTTAGCGGCAACATTCTAGGCAGCGCTACACGTAGCGCTGCAATAATGTTTGCTTTCTATGGAGTATTATGACAAGAAATTGATGGTAAAAGGTGCCTGCCACCGCCCACGTCGGTTAGGACCATCCCGAAGGGCTGTTGGTCCCCATCTGACCTCCGACTACTCTCCCTGGACGTCGGCTTATGGTTCAGGGGGAATTATTCCGACATTATCCAATAAGACTGACATCAACATTGGTACCGGAGCGTGCCATCTAGGTCAAGGCTCGTGTTGACAATAAGGCGTCACTAATTTGCACAACCTTTTCCGATGCGGAACAAGTTGCTAACTGTCCTATCAGTTGGATCTTTCAACGACTTCACAATTACATGGATGGGGCTTTTCGGTTTCTAATACTCGCTGTTGGCATACTTCGTGTGAAGTCTGCCCGAGAACACTTTCCATTATTTCACGGATGTGATGTGGCAGAATAATAAGATGTGACAACATGAATACCAGAGGCTTTGACATCTCATAACCAAGTTATCCAATAATCGTCTACCACTTGGGAACAGCGGGAGAAAATTCGGGTCGGAACTTTCTTATGTAGGTTGTGTCATCACGTTTCCGCAGCCCGCAGTCTAAGTAGAGTTGATGAAGACGTGCCAGCTTCCTCCTATCCAGCTCAACGCCCAAACCAGGCGCCGTGGGAACATGTACGCCGCCATCAGTCCACTCCAGCGCGCCATCAACAACGACATCCTCGTCCCGGGGCTTCCATGGCCAGTGCGTATCGCAGGCATAGTCCAGGTTGGGCGTGGCCGCCGCAAGATGCGTCATGGCGGCAAGCGAAATGCCCAGATGGCTGTTGGAGTGCATGGAAAGCCGCATCCCCCACGTCGCGCAAATGGCCGCCAGGGTCTGGGATCTGCGCAGGCCGCCCCAAAAGTGATGATCGGCGAGGATCACCTGGACGGCATTCTGGCGAATGGATACGGGCAGGTGAGAGAAGGCGACGACGGCCATGTTGGTCGCCAACGGCATCGGAGCCTCTTTGGCGACGGCAGCCATGCCGTTGATCTCCGGGGATGGGTCTTCGAGGTACTCGACGATCCCATCGAGCTCCTTGGCAACCCACTTTGCGGTCTCGACGTTCCAGGCGGCATTGGGATCAAGCCGTAGAGGAACACCTGGAAAAGCGGCGTGTAAGGCTTTGATGGTGTCCACCTCCTGGGCTGGTGGATAGACGCCGCCTTTGAGCTTGATCGCCTTGAACCCGTATTCGTCCATGATTTTCTGGGCTTGCCGTATAACGCCGGCGGTGTCGAGAGCCACGCCGTACTCGTCGTCAGGCTGTCCAGGGTGCCCTGCCCATTTGTAGAAGAGGTATGCCGAATACTGAACATTGTCCCTGACGCGGCCGCCGAGAAGGTCGCTCACAGGAACCCCCGCAAGCTTCCCTTGCATATCGAGACATGCCACCTCAAATGGAGAAAAGACCTGATCCGCGACGGAGGCCGTGGTCACCATGCCGGCCATGCCGTCGCCGCCGGTGCTGGTGTCGCCTGTCAAAGAGTCGACGCATAGTTGATAGATTGTATTCGTGTCGTATACGGTGCGGCCCTTGATTCCATCGGCCGCAAGCTGGAGACGAGCCAGGTGGGTTGAGTCTCCATATGATTCTCCCAATCCGTACCCGTCCTCTGTGACGACTTCAATGATGCTTCGTAGTGCAAATGGCTCATGTACACCAACACTATTGAGAAGTGGCATGTCATGGAATGCCACCGGTGTGATTACAATATTCTGGATGATGCCACGTCGAGACATGATGCCCACTCCCGTGTTGAATGCTTTTGTTTTTATTTCTCTATTGTCCTTTGCTTCGTCACTTTTTATTGACATGGATGGCGGGACTCGGTTAGCTTTTGAAATGTCTTTAGCCAGACTCAAACCCATAGCTTAAAATGCGGTCATCTACGCGGGGTACTTTAGCACCTTAAGGCAGGATCAATCGCCATGCGACGGACAATAATCCGTCTGCAGGATGGAACGCCGTCTTTTCCGTGGATGTTGGGGAACGACCAGGATCGGCAGACGTGTGACATCCGAGGACCCGAAGGTCTAAAGACGGAAAACTGTATCCGAGTCGTACCATCGGTAGTGATCTTTTGATGGATAATGGAAGCAATCCAACTTTTCCTTTCATAATCTATCCAACACACTGTATGAATCGTCAATCTCACTGTTATCCCAGAATCGGCCGGCGACTGATACCGTGGAATCAGACCGGCCCCAGAATCGACTTACAGGAGACCTCGCACCTCCCCGGGTCAGCAACGCATACGATAGATGTAAGGTGTTGGTCTTGGGCCGATGATATATCTCGGTTCTATATTAGCTATAATCTAACATGTTGATTCCTGACGAAAGACTTCCACCCACTTTTGCGCTATTATCTCGTCCAAACAGAAAAGAAAAAGAAATAAAATGAAGTTTGCGTTGGTTAAGGATCATGAGCAAGCACCTCTAGGATTCCTTTAAAGACTTCTACGAGGACACCCAGGCCGTTTCCCCAACATCCTGTTGATGCTTGACAATTTTCGTCGCGCCCTGACATGGCTTAGGGTGTGTTCAAGTTTTCACCGAAATCTCCTGTAAATACAGTCTTCACAAAATCTAAACCCAAACTGTTTTCACAACTCGTGCTCAGCACCGCATTCATCTTTAAAGCCAAGCCGCAGCCCCCAAAGCTCCAAACTCACCGAAAAACACAGAAAAAAAGCAACTGACCAGACAAAGCAGTCCAACCAAAACTCCAACTCACCATATCAAGACGATTCATTACCCAGTCCAAGAACGATTTAAATAGCATCCCCCTTACTCAACGCCGTCAACAACTCAACATACCTCCCAAGCAACACTTCCGCATCACCCTCCCCATACACGCTACTCTGCAACTTGACAGTCACAAGCGGATCCCTCGTCGGATCATCACTCATCTCCACCACAACATCATACGGCGTGCGCTCCCGGCTCGCCACCACCTCGACGATCCGCGCTCCGCCGACGGCCCCGGACTCGGCCGCACCCTGGCGATAATCAAAGACCGCCTGGAACAGCGGCGCGCGCGTCATCGCCCGCGGCGATACGACCGCATCATCCAGTCCCAGACGGGCCGCGATCACGTCGTGGGGCACGACCGAGTGCGCCATGGCCTGCCGCACCGCCTCCTTGGCGGATTCCATGGTGGCGGTAAAGGAATCAGAGGAGGCACGGAGGCGCAAGGGCAGCAGGTTGGCAAAGTACCCCATGGTGGACAAGTCTGCCACGGACGAGCGGTTCGTGTCCGCCAAGCCGATGGATACCTCCTTCTGCTCGGACAGATTCGACAGCAACGCCGCGAAGGTCGCAAGATAAAACGTCATGGGCGTCGTGCGGAGTTTCTTGGTGCGCTCTTTGATCCTGAACGCAAGCACGGCAGACAGGCGGGACAGGGCGGTATGCTGGTCCCAGCTCACGGGTCCACGGGCGCTCTTCACGCCGGGGAGGGGCAGCAGCGGAAGCGGTGCGGGCAGAGGCGTGTAGAGACCCGTCCAGTACGCAATGGACGCGTCCATGGCCCCCGAGGCGAGGAGGGCGCGTTGTTTGACCGCGAAGTCGGTGTACTGCGGTGCAGGGGGCAGGACGGCGCCGGCGTAGAGCTGGGACAGCTCGGCGACGAGGTTTTCGGTGGTGGAGCCGTCGCCGGCCAGGCGGTGGTAGGCGAGCACGAGGAGGTGGGCCGTGGGCGACCAGGTGAAGAGGGCGATTTTGAAGGTTTCGCCGTTCTCCAGGTCGTAGGCTTCCTTTTGCAGCTTGGCCAGCGCGGCTTCGGCCTCGGCGCGGGAGGCGACGGAGACGGCGCGCAGGCCCCAGGTCGGGGCGGGGAGGACGTGCAGCTGCGGTGTGGGGGCGGAGGCGTCTGAGGCGCGGAAGGCCGTGCGGAAGGTTTCGTGGCGTGTGATGGCGGTCGTCACGGCCTGTGCGAGCTTGTCGGTGCTTAGGCTGCCTTCCATGAATACGCCGATGGTGTTGTGGGAGATTGTCACGTCGGGGAGGGAGGCCTGCCGCGTGTACGAGTACTGCTGGATCAGCGACATGGAGGCCTTGCGCACCACGCCGTCGAGGGGCTCTTTGGCTTCGATGGGGGTGGACAGCGGGGTGAAGGCGCCGTCGGAGGACGTCTCGGTGGAAGAGTCCTCGGAGTGTGTTGCGGGGCCTTGTGCGTCGGCGACGAGGGGGATGGCGGCCGGGGAGAGGCGGGAGGCGCCTTCGGCTGCCAGGTCGTTGATGGACGCGCCGGAGAGGACACGCAGAATAGGGATGTCGACCAGGAGTTGCTTAGAGAACCTGTGGGTGTGAAGCTTGCTGTTAGTGGACTGTGCTATAGCGGGGAATCGGTGAGAGTGGCAGTGAATGCTGCATACCATGAGGCGACGGTGATGGCGCCGAGCGAGTCGATGCCCTGGTCCAGGAGGGGAGCGGCCGCGTTGACGCTCTCTTCCGGCGGGATGTGAAGCACACCGCGCATCTTGTCGGAGAGGCTCTCTGTTGTATCATTGCACCGTCAGCTCCAGCCCTTTATGCCAAACCACATGCACTCATCAAAGGACAATTGAACTCACCACTAATAGCCGCCCGAACCTGCTCCATCGTCGTCGCCGTTGCCAACATCTCCTTGACGCCCATCTTGCTCCCGCCCGCATCAGCGGCATCGCCCCTGCTCTCCGGCGTCTTCAGATTCCCGAACCTCGGGTCATGGTAAAACTTGATGGTCTCCTTATGCCGCGACTCGAGCGCGGGAATACCGCTGCCAATCTCCGTCTCGGACATGTCGATGGCCTTCTTGGCGTGCACGCCGTCGATGCCGTGGACCCGGCGGCCGGACACGACTGCCTCGGCAAAGAGGGTCAGGAATTCGGCTTCGCCAAGGGTGTCGACGTCGGATTTCTCTTGGAACTCGGCTTCGCGGCTGTTGCGGGTCAGGTAGCCGATGCCCATCACGGCGCCGATGTGGATCGTGGAGGCCTGGTTTTGTCAGCTTGTCTGCTTGCACATACATCAAACAATATCTTGAATGAAAATAAAAAATAATTAAAACAAGAATCACTTACAGCGAGACCATTGCTCCGCCTGTATTGCCCAAGCGCCTGCAGATACGCGTTGGCCGCAGTGTAATTCGTCTGGCCCGGATTACCACCAAACAATGCGGCACTAGAAAACATGACAAAGAAGTCAAGCGGGTCCTTGTCCGGATCGCAGAACCGGTCGTGGAAGATCTTGGCGCCTGGGACTTTGGACGTGAGCACCACGTCCATCGTCGCCAGGTCCATGTTGTTCAGCAGCGCGTCCCTGAGGACCAGCGGGCCGTACGCCACACCACCCACCGGCGGCAGGTTGTGTACGTCGCGAAGAGTGGCGAGGCCGGCGTCGACCGATTCTGCCTTGGATGCGTCCCTGTTTTTTTGGGTTGTTCTTGTCAGATGATGGTCACTCTCCAACAGGATGCCGCGGAGACTTACATGGCGAGCACGGTCACCTTCCCGCCGAACCTCTCCATATCCTCAAGCCACCCAGCCTCCAGTCTCTCGGGATTCCGGCTAGATAACACAACATGCCGCCCGCCATGCTTGATGATCCACGCCGCGATCGAACGCCCCATGGACTGCGAGAGCCCGACGAGGAGATACGTCTTGGTCTTGACGAAGAGCGTGCCGGCGTCCACGGGGCTGACGCGGACGGGGATCTTGGCCTCGGTCTGCCAGTCGACTATCGCGTCGAGGGCGTCGTGCGCGTCAACGGGCTTGGTGACGGGGCAGGAGGCGATGGTGTCTACGCCCAACGCTGGGGTGGATATGGATTCGGCGACGAGCTGCAGCTGGCTTGCTTCCAGGGCGTCAGAGTAAGCCACAGCAATTGCTTCGCCGCGGGAGATATAGCTCGAATCCCGTGCAGCGCAACCAAGTATACGGGCGAGTCGTGGGCCGAGAGATGCGGCATGCTTGTCGGAGGACAGGTCGTACAGGGCCGCAACACCGCTCGGAATCTTCTGCTTCAGCGCCCTCTCCGTGTCGCGGGGATGGAGGACAATCCCCTGGGAGACCGAGGCGTCATCCGTGGTCGCAAAGTCCACGCGCACTTTCCTTGTCTCTGCGACTTGCCTAATCGCATCCACGCAGAACCTCGGTGGGGCGTACACCAGCGCCGACGAACCTGGCGGCGTATCGACCACGCTCTGAGCGATCAGATTGGCAACAGCAGATAACAGAGTGTTGACAGAGGTATCCTTTACGGGGAAGATGTGCTTGACCGGCATGACGACAATAGACGCGTTGACCTCCGCTAAGGCCAGCACCGCGCCGTCGGCCGTCGTGCCAGTGACGATATAGAAGTACCCCAGCCCATGCACGCGGATAGCCTTGGCGGTGGCATGGTGCACGCGGATCGTCTGCGTGGCCGCGTCGGGTGGTACACCGAGGGGCCGGGAGGTCTGCGCCGCGACCGGGACCGGGGATGGCGTGCTCCGCAGCACCACGGGGACGGTGCCGACGTCGACCTCGTCGAGGATCGGGCGGCGGACGGAGTTGAGCCGGGAATTCCGCGCGTCATCGTGCTTGATGCGCGGCACGTGGGGCCGGCCGTCCACGACGCAAATCTCCGGCTCCAGCGTCCAGACGGCGTTCTCCGGCGTACCCTCCTCCAGGCGCAGGATCTGCTCGACCAGGAATTTGGCGTCGAGGTCCGCGAGCCGGTCCACGTCGAGACACTGGAACGCAACGTCTGGGTTCTCCAACCGGACAGACCTCAACATACCGATCCCCATCGCCTGGCGCGGGTTCGACACCCAGGCATCCTCCGTCAGCCAGAGCACCCCGCCCGCGTTGGACCCAAAGAACAACTTCTTGACCGCAGCGAGCTTCTCCTCGGTGAAGTCCTCAAACACGGGGCTGTCAACCTCTGAGAGGACCACGTACGTCGCCTTGGGCTGCACCTCGGCGGCCACCAACTCGACCAAGCTGGTCACGACGAGCGGGTTGCGGCTCGGTAGCAGCTCACGGATTTTCTTCAGAAAAGGTGCAGATGCCACCCCGCCACCGACGATGACGAGCTGTGGGTATTCCGCCTTGGGCGGGGCAGAAAGGGGCTCGTCGAGACGCAGCTGCTCGGGCGTGACGGCGTGTGTGCTGAGGAGGGTGTTGGGGAAGAGGTGGCTTTCGCGGTCGGTAGTGACGCTATCGATGCCCGAGAAGCCCGTCTTTTTGAAAATGGCATCCCACTCCTCGCGGGTAGCAAACGGATCCAGCGTGCGGCCCTCATCGATCCCCGCCCACCAGTCCGCGAACGAACCAAACAGGTACCCGACCCGCATGTGATCCTTATTCGTAGCCTCGCAGATGACGACGTGCCCGCCGGGCTTCAGCAGCGTGCGGGCGTTGGCCATGGTCTCGGTCAGGTTGGGCGTGGCGTGCAGCACGGAGCTCGCAATGATCATGTCGTACGCGTGGGTCTGGAAGCCCTGCTCCGCGGGCGGTTTGGTGATGTCGAGCTTGCGGAAGTCCATGCGCTCGAGGAAGGGGGCGAACTTCTCCTTTGCCTTTTCAAAGAAGGCGGCCGAGATGTCTGTGAATGTGTAGCTGTTGAAACCGAGCTCGGGGACCGCGAGGATGGAGGCTGTTGCGGAGCCGGTGCCGCCGCCTTGGTGGTGTTAGTTTGCAACCTACTTACAAGACAGAAGAAACAAGGCTACAGAAAACTTACCGATTTCTAGAATGTCCATGTTCTGGAACCGGTGCGCAATCTGCCCAACCAACAGCTGCCCGTACTCCCACGTAGGGCCGCTGGTCAAATAGCTCGTGTAAAACTCGGTCAGAAGCCCGTTCTCGTTCATCCAGATGAACGGGTTCTTGTTCTCGCGGATCGTCGACAGGCTGTTATCGCTGACCAGCTTGGCCAGCCGCAGGTGAGGGTGGTACCAGTTCCTATCATCCGCATATTAGCACGTCATGTTGTTGGGCCTCGGCGAGGGTGACTGACTCCTGCAGCAGCTTGTCGATGCTTTCCTCCGTATCCGCCTCCCACTCTGGCTTGTAAAATAAATGTTTCCCGTCCCTGGCCAGCTTGAGAACATGCTCGTGCCAGTAGATGTACCGCTGATTACCCACACTCGCATTCTTCCTATCGTCCTCCGTGAGTTCCGCCAAGAATTTGCGCACAAAGTAGTACACCGCCCGCTCGATAATGGGAATAACCTCCTTATCCTGCTCCGTGGCCCACAACCTCTCCACATCGAGAATCTTGTCGGGATTCAGCGGGCCCCACACCGTCTTTGTAAACGGCCGGTGATCCTCGGCTGCAGACGGCGGCGTCAGCGGCTGGAGGTGCATGTCTTCCACGCTGTACAGCACGGCATTGGTCTCCTCGTCAAACACCTCAATGTCGCCAGCGAGGTAGTCACCGCCGTCGTAGGTGTTCACGGCGTTGTACCGCACCCCTTCCAGCAAGTCCAGCGTGCTCGCGCACACGCCCGGTACCAGCGCGATCCGCCCCACCCGCGTCGGGACGTACAGCGACCGCAGGCGCCGGTCGCCGGGGGAAGAGTACGCGCCCATGACGGTCTGGAAGGCCAGGTCGAGATTCGCGGGGTGCAGGACAACGAGGTTGGCACCATCCACCAGTCGCGGGTGTGCCATGTGGCCAGAGGCCCGAGATGTGCTCCGCGACATGCTATACACGCAGCGGTAGTTGTTGCTGTAGTCATACCCGATGCTGTCGAGTTCCTTGTAGAACAGCTTAATGTCCACCGGGTTGGCGTGCGGCGGTGCCGGGCCCGGGCTGGGGAGTGATACGGGGTCTCCGAGCGTGACAATCACCCGGCCCTGTGCCGACAGAGATAGTGCCGACTCGCGGGACAGGCAAGAGGCAATTCCGAACTCCAACTCGATCTGGGAATCATCGGAATACGTCACGCTCGCGGTAAGCGTCAGTTCCGCCATGCTGTCCGCATCATCAAACGTGACCGCCTTATCAATGCTCAAGTCCAGCATCTCAAGCAATCCCACGCTTCTCCCTGCAGCCACATACAACGCCGCCTCCATCGCCATGATCACGTACCCCGCTGCGGGCAGCACCGCCTGGCCCTGGAGCTCATGTCCCTGCATCCACTCGTGATCCCGTGGCCGGATAAAGTTCCGCCATTGCAGGGTGGTGGCCGTGCTGCTGGGCAGCAGCGTGCCGAGCAGGAGGTGCGGGCGCGGGCCGTGCAGCGCTGCCCTGGCCGCGCGGGATTCCGACCAGTACACGCGCGAGTGGTCCCAGGCATAGGGCGGCAGACGCCCGGCGACGCTGACGGGCGGGGCGGTGGGCTGCGTTGCCGCTATAAAAGCCGTCCCGTTAATGGTGTTGAGCGCCCCGAACCGCTCCCAGAGGTACCCCAGACCCGCAGCGAACGCCGCCACGTCGTCCCCGCCGCGCTGCAGACACCCGGTGTAGGGCATCTCGTCCGCCACCACCGTCGCTAGCGTGTTTGTCGCGGGGGCTTTCAGCGTCGGGTGCGGGCCGACCTCCACCGCGGCATCTGGCGTGGTCTCCAACCCTGCCTGCTCCAGTGCCTGGCGGAACAGTACGGGCGAGACGAGGTTATCCCGCCAGTACTGCGGCGTCACGTCGGCGCGCGTCATGGTCTTGCCCTCCCGCACGGAGGAGTACCACCTGGCGCCCGTATCCGTCCCGTCAGCCACCGCACAACCGCAGTCGTTAAGGGCGGTGATGTACGGCTCCGAGCAGGGGAGCATGTGGTGGGAGTGGTAGGCCTTGTCGACGCGCAGCAGACGCGTGAATTTAGATTCGTCCTCCAGGATCTCCGCCATTTCTTCCAGGGCATCCGTGTCGCCCGAGAGGGTCACGCTGTCGGGCGAGTTGCACGCCGCGATGCACACCCGGCCCGCAAACGCCTCCAGCTCGACCAGTTCCCGCGCATCCTCGAGGGAGACGCCCGCCGCCAGCATGCCGCCCACCTGCCCGGTAGGGGAGGCGGCGTGGCACGACGTCAGCCCGCGCAGGTAGGCAATGCGAATAGCCTGGCTGGCACTGATGAACCCCGCCGCGAACGCGCAGCCAATCTCGCCGGAGCTGTGGCCGACAAGCGCCTCAAAGGTGACACCAGCTGCGGACAGCAACCTGACCAGTACGATCTGGACTGCTGCACAGAGGGGTTGCGAGTACGCCGCCAAGCGCACGTTGGACGCGTCGCCCTCCAGGAGCAGTTGTTCCTTGAGCGTCCAGTTGGGCCGGTACCGCGCGGGAAGGGTTTGCAGCGCCGCGTCCAGCTCCTCCACCACGGCCGCCGCGAACGGGACCCGCACGACCAGCTGCTTCAGCATGGCGGGCCACTGCGCGCCCTGCCCTGTAAAAATGCCGAGGATGCGGGCAGCGTCTGTGGTTTTGGGCGTGTACTCCAGCCCCAAGTCGTCGTTGACGGCAGCTTCCAGGGTCGCGCAGAGAGACTCGACGCTGCTGGCTGCGACGGCGTGGCGCAGGGGCAGGACGGCGCGTTTCTGGAGAAGCGTATAAGCCAGGTCTGTGATGTTGATGTCTGGGGTCGTCTTGATGAAGGATAGAGTGCTCTCCATGTTGGCTTTGAGGGAGCGTTTCGTCCGGGCAGAGAACACCAGCGGCATGACGTTGGTAGTGGTGCTGTCGGTGGGAGGTGAGGGTGTGGCGGGAATGTACTGTTCGACAATGGCGTGGGCGTTTGTGCCTCCGAAGCCTGTCATCTGGTCAGCATCATCCCATCAAAGTAGAAAGAAAAGAAAAGCTTACCGAAAGAATTGACACTGGCCCTCCTCGGCTGCCCCTCCGCAACAGCCGGCCACGGCGTCGCCTCCTTGGGCACACGCAGATGCTCGCAAAACGGCTCGACGCGCGGGTTGAGCTTCTCGAGCAGCATATTCGGCGGCACGACGCCATTCTGCACGGCCAGACTGCACTTGAGCAGGCCTGCAATGCCAGCCGTGCCCTCTGTGTGGCCGACCACCGTCTTGATGGACCCCACGTACATGTCCTGCATGTCCTCCGTCGTGTTGGAGAAGAAGGCGGTCGATATGGCCTCGGCTTCTTGAGGGTCGCCTGCCGGTGTTCCAGTTCCTGTTTCCGTCAGTATATTGCACCATATGCCGTATGCTGAGAGGATGAAGACGGCACGGAGGAAGGGGTTATACCATGCGCCTCAAAGAACTGCGGCCGCCCATCAGGCCGGCTCAGATCCAGCCCGGCCCGGGCGTACGTCGCGCGGATCAGCGCCGCCTGCGCGACGTTGCTCGGCATGGTGATGCCCGTAGTCCTGCCGTCCTGGCCGACGCCCGTCTCGCGGATCAGGCAGTCGATTGTGTCGCCGTCGGCGAGGGCCTGGGAGAGGGTTTTGAGGACGACGCATGCTATGCCCTCCTGTCACGATCATCATGTGTCAGTTAGCTATTTCTTTTGGAAAAGAAAGAAACAAAAAATAAAATAAATAAACACTCACTCCCCTTGCATATCCATCCGCCGCAGCATCCCACATGCGCGACCGCCCTGTCGGCGAGAGCATCGACAGCTTGCTCTCTGTAATAAAGTTTACTGCAGCCCCGTCAGCGGTTTGTCGCAGTGGACGGGATAGGGGATTGGGGGCCGGGGGGGACTTACAAGGCGACAGCATCAAATTTGCACCCGCCGCGACAGCCACTTTGCTCGTGCCGCTGCGCAGCTGCTGCACGGCGTGATGGATGGCAACAAGCGATGAACTGCACGCCGTATCAATGGTCATCTGCGTTCGTTAGCGCCAACACACACACTAAACCCATCCCTCTCTCTCTCTCTCCCCCCCAACCCCAACCAGCAAGCAACAACTTACACTCGGCCCATGCCAATCAAAGAAATAACTCAAGCGATTACTCGCAATACTCGTGGCCGCCCCCGTCGCCAAATACGTCGGAATCGCATCCAAATCCCCCACCTTGGTCAGCTCGAAATCGTGCGTCATAATCCCAACATAGACCGCCGTATCGGACCCCTTCAAGCCCGCAGGCGTCTGCCCAGCAGCGCACAGCGCGTCATAGGTAGCCTCGAGCAGCTGGCGCTGCTGCGGGTCCATGCTCTCCGCCTCGCCGGCCTGGACGTTGAAGAAGTGCGCGTCAAACGTCTTCACGTCCGAGAGGAAGTAGCCGTGCCGCGCGTTGGTGCGCCCGTGGTGACTGCCGTCGGGGTGGTGGAAGGCGTCGATGTTGAAGCGGTCTTTTGGGACGGGGGATTGGAGATCGTGGGGTTTCGTGAGAAAGGCCCATAGCTTGGAGGGCGTTGTAAGGTCGCCTGGGAAGCGGCAGGCGCTGCCGATGATGGCGATGGGTTCTGGGGCCATGGCTGAGGTGGAGGTAGGACAGCGAGGTGAGGTGAGGTAGGATGGTGAGGAGAGGATGATGAGGTGAAGGGAGGGCGTTGAAGGGTATCTTCAAAGGGATTCTTCAGAGGCGTCTTGAAAATGTGTCAAGAGAGTCATTCACCTCGTCCGCGAGCATGAAGTCATACAATCCATGGGCCCTATCCGCAAAGCCGTCGTAGGATAGTGATCACGGCGTCTAAAGTAGCCCATTCCTACGAGATCCTCGGACAAAACGATCACAACATGCCGAAGCTCTCACTACCTTACCCATGTCATTTATCCGTATATACGCTACCATCAGGCAGGCCTTTGCAAAGCCTCGATTAACCATGCAGTCCAACATATATTTAAAGTTTTCGCCGCAGCCCACAATGGCCAACAAGCAGCTTTATCGCGCCCTACCTCCTGCTGTGGAGGCTGTCAGCTGAAACGTCATCGCCAGACTGTGGAGCATATTCTGCCAAAGCCGAGATGGACAATTACACGCCAGGTACGGATACAGAGGAGTCTTTCGAAAGATCGTGCCCGCAATGCCAAGATGGCCCCCTGCCAGCCCCTGGCAACTAGGTAGGGGGTGGCATTATGAGATAGGGGTGGGTGGGGGCCGCCACCGACCAGCGCCAGTTTCATTTAATATGTTGAGATGAGTGATGTGTATGAATATCATCGATTGGGCGCTGTGGACTCATTGTTTCTGGCGGCCACAGTGGTCTTCCAGTGGTATCTGTCAGCTTGCCGAGCTTCCTTCTACTTGCTCCCGCCATTGAGACCAATGAATGGACTGGAATCCGTTCTATCCAGCACTGAATCCGCTCCTGTTCAAGTGTTTCCTAATATGCCTCCATAGCGGCTGCCTGGCTCTTTGGGGCCTCTTTCCTAGTGCTGAATCCTCTTATCCACTACCAGTAGGGCTTCACTGGGTTGAATTCGGGACTATTGCCGCAACAGTCAAGACGCGGGATGTTATATAATATTGAGTGTGCTGAATGTAGCGTTGGTTGTGGGAAGGAGCTTCATCACCTGTGTGAGCGTGCTTGGCGTGTAATCGTTAATGATAAATGGAAATAGCTTTGGGAGCAGCAATGCTTTTCGGTACCGGTACTAATCGATTCCTCTTTTCTTCCTGCGGCCCAACTCGCTCTTGCGAGTATTCTACTGTCATGTCGGCTTGTGATCTGGAATCTCTTAGAAGCCTATTTGGGCCATCCTATTTGATAATAATTACATATATACATACTTGTTATAGGTTTTATATACTCGACGTCAATATGTAGCTTTTACAGAGGCGGGAAAACATAATGAGGGTCTTGTCAGACCAGTCAACCTTTTTTAAATCATTTAGGATCCAGTTGAAATGTCTGTTGTAATAGGCGAGGCATGCTGTCTTTATGGCTGCCGCTAAGCCTGGTTTCTATGTTGGTTTAATCTTCTTACCGGCCTGATAGAGTATTTGATAAACGTGGTCTTCATTTGGGTTTTTTAGCAATATCTGTGCAAATCGTTTCTCAGTTGTCACGATCTTGGTACGTTGAGAAAGACTTGGTGACTTTGCAACTTTGTTGCCGTCCTGCCAATAATTCTGCTTCTGAACGCCAGATCTACTGCCCTGGTTGGGGGTTCTGTATGAACCTGCTTCGATTAGGCCGAACTTAATCCAGTGGGTGACGGGGTGGCCGAGGTTAATCTTGCCATTGTGGGCAAGATCTTTGAACAGGCTTCTCACTAGGTACGTACAGAGGGCTAGAAGTATAATATACACCCCGGCAATGAGGAACCCAGTTCAAATGCAACAGTATTGACAGCGACGAGATACCACGGTATACCTACCCCAAGAAAATCCGACAAAACGGCGTGGCATCTCGGATTATGCCAGTACCACCCACCTCGGTGCCATCTCGACTCAGAAGCGCCAAGTGGCCCCCTCCCCCCCCATCATCCCGAGTCAGGAAAACCGTTGTCGTTTCACCAAGCCATGTTTGTCCACCCAGCAAGTGGAGGTGGATTTGGGAATGATCAAATTGCAAGGGAATGTGGCATTGGCCGGGGACATGGGTACTTTGAATGGCGTCTACTATTGCGGTTGTGAGCGGTATGACCTTGACGAGAATGCCAGGATTTTCAGCTGTTGAATAGTCGCTTATCCAGGATTGTCTCGCGAAGCAGAGTAATGCAGTTAACAAAACCACTCATCGTCACCCCTTCCAAATCGAAACAAATGCTGTCCACGGCGACTCTACAGGCGTCCAAACACACACCAACACAGCAAGACAGCCCGCCATGGCAGAAGCCAAAGTAACCTGGGCCTCCCTCCCGCGAAAAGACCAACTGGTCATCCTCTTCCTCGTCCGCTTCTGCGAGCCCATTGTCAAGGTCTCCATCTCATCCTATGTCTACTTCCAGCTGCAGTCGCTGGACCCTTCCCTCCCCAGCGCCACCATCGTCCAGCAGACCACGCTGCTGCAGGCCGCGTACACCGTCGCGCAATCCCTCGCGAGCGTTTTCCTGGGGAGCGTCGCGGATTCGCCGAGGGGCGGGAGGAAGGTCGTAATTGTGTTGAGCTTGTTGGGGTCTTGTATGTCGTTTTCGATCGGATAGCCATGGTGCTGACGTGTAAATGAGTAGTTGTCGCGTGCTCGCTGTTCGGCTTCGTCGCCAACTTCAAACAGGCCCTCGTGCTGCGCTTTGTCGAGGGTCTGACGAATGGTAATGTTGCCATGGTGCGGACGATGACGTCCGAGGTTGTGCAAGAGAAAAAGTAAAGTCTGTTTGGTTTTGAATTTTCTGCCATCGCCTCAACCTCTCTGCTGACGAGAACCGTTAGATTCCAAGCAAGAGCCTTTGTCCTCCTCAATATCAGCACCAGCTTCGCCATCATCCTCAGCGCCCTCGTCGCAGCCGGCACGGTCGAGCTGACGCCCAAGGGCCACGGCAGCGGGTTGCTGGCCCGGTATCCCTATGCCCTGCCCGCCCTTCTCAACGCCAGCTTCTTGCTGGTGGTGTTGGTGACGACTGTGTTATTCCTTGAAGAGGTATATACCCTCCCATCCCCCCCCCCCTCCACGCCAAACAGAACAAACTGACCATTATCCAGACCTCCAAACTCGTCCGCCATAGATACGACCCGGGCATTGCTCTATCACGCTACCTCGTCTCCCGCTTCCAATCGCTCCGCAACGGCACCAGCAAGGAAGCACTGTACGCCCCCGTCAATGCGACCGAGGAAATGGCCTTCCTCGACGAGCAGGAGCCGGAAGCAGCGTCACCGCCGCCAAAACCCATCAAACCCGTCGTCTGCCTCCCCACCACCCGCATCTTCACCAAGAACATGGTGCTGGTCCTCCTCGCGGCCTTCATCTACGAAGCGCACCTCGCCACCGCGAGTGTCGCCTTCCCGAATCTCCTCGTGACGCCCGTCTCCAGCAGGGAGGAGGAGGCGCAGCGGGTGCTCCCGTTCTTCTTTGGCGGAGGGGTTGGCTTCACGCCGTTGCCCTTGGCTGTGTACTCGGTCATGTACGGTGCGTAAAATCACCACCACCTTGCACCCTTCGCCTTGCACCATTTTTTCTCTTGAAGTTCTGCTGACCCAAAAAAACAGGCATCTTCTCCATCCCCCTCCAGCTGATCCTCTACCCACGCCTATCCCAACGCCTCGGGCCCTTGCACGTCTGGCGCATCTTCTACCTCGCCTTCCCGCTCCTCTACTACGCGTACCCCTTTGTCGCCCTGGTCCCCTCCAGCAGCCCTCCGCCGTCCGGCAAAACCGGCCTGGCCATCTGGGCCGTGATAACGCCCATGCAGGTGCTGACCGCGCTGCTGACCAGCACCGTGACTCCGTCCCAAACCGTCCTGATCAACGCAGCGTGCCCGCACCCGTCCGCACTCGCCAGGACGCACAGCATCGCGTATTTCTCCTCCATGGTGACGCGGGCGGGGAGCACGGCGCTGGCGGGCGCGTTGTTGGGGTACGGCACGTCGCATAATTTGACAGGGTTGGTGTTTTGGGGGTGTGCGGCTGTTGCCGTGCTGGGGGCTTGTTTGAATCCGTTTTTGAGGGAGGGGACGGGGCACGAGATTCGGTTGCCGGGGGATGAGCAGTGAACTCCAGAATTGTAAGTACTGTGGACGATGAATAAGGTAACTGCGGGTTGCGGGTTGCGAGTCGTAGCAGGTGGATAGTATGCGTACCACGCCTACATGTATTTAACGAGGAGTCTGCGCGCTGCACGCTGCCCGGCGCACTCCTCAACGGTCCAAAGGTTCAATTTCTCCTCGGTATCTCGCCATAACCAACACCCACTACCCAGTCCCCAGTCCCCATCAACCACACACCGACAAACACATCCCAAAATGGCCCGTTTCACCTCCAAAATCATCCTCGTAACCTCCTGCGCATCCGGCAGCGGCGCCGCCATCGTCCGGCGCCTGGCCTCAGAAGGCGCGACCGTCATCGCCGCAGACAAGTCCGGCCACGAAGAGCTAGCCGCCGAGCTCGGCGCCAGCGTCATCCCACGCCACCTCGACGCGGCCTCCGAAGACAGCATCCGCGACCTGGAAACCTACATCCGCACCACGCACGGCCGGCTGGACATCCTGGTCAACAACACGGGCATGGGCGGGCCGCGCTGCCCCATCTTGGACGTGCAGGCCGCCGACGCCGAGGAAGTCTTCCGGTACAACATCCACGGCGCCTTTCTGATCCTGCAGCTCGCGCTACGCTTCATGACGGAGCAGCAGCAGCCCACGGGAGGTTCCATCGTCCTCACGGCATCCATAGCAGGGCTGATTGGTACGCCGCACTCGGCCCCCTACGCCATCTCCAAGGGCGCGGTGATCGCCATGACCAAGACCGCGGCCGTGGAGTACGCCAAGCACGGGATACGGGTCAACGCGGTCGCCCCGGGCCCGACGGTCGTGCCGATGGTGGAAGCGCTGGGCGCGGCTGCGACTGCCGGATTTAGAGCGAGGATTCCGCAGGCGAGGCTAGCGGAGCCGAGGGAGGTCGCGGGGGTGGTTGCGTTCCTGGCGGATGGGGACGATGCGGGGCATGTCACTGGGCAGGTTTTGTGTGTTGACGGGGGGTGGACGGCGGCGTAGGGGTGCCCCGGTTGGGGTCGCGGCAGGCAGGGCTTCGCAGGGTCCACCTGGGCAGATTGTTCACTAAGAATTAAGCTTTCGGGTGTTATGCACACTCCCCCAGACGCGAATTTGCAACGGCTAAAAAGAATCCACTCCACTCCAGACGACTCCAGACTGGACCCTGATATGCCAAGAGATACACGACGTAAGGTACCTTACCTTAGCCACGGAACCTGACCTTCGCATCGGGCATGTGGCCTGTCACAACGCCAGAGCAAGCACCTTTCTTTGACGTTTGTGCTCTCGTTAGCAACCAGTTCTATGATGCCCCGTTTTTAATTCACAATCTTTTTATAATTTCTATTTATTCAATTATCTTTTCAGTTTTCTGTATCCGGCTCATCCGTTTACCCGTCATGATGTCTCCCCCCACCCACTAACCCTCAATTCCTCACCCTATGATCCTTACACCCTCCCAAATGTGAAGTCTGCCCCCTTTACTCAGCACTCGCAACAGCACGCACAACACCAGCCGGCAAGACAAAATGTTCTACAAAGACCAATATGCCTCCCTCTCCACCAACAGCCCCGACTGCGCCAGCGACGGCGAGCCAGAGCAGTGCCCCGAGATACCGGACGGCGTCCAACCGCGGCCTCCCCTCCGCACGTCCAGGAAGCGGTACACGTACGCCGTGCTCGCCGTGCTCGCGCAACTCGTGTACACGGGCGTCGTCCTCGTCGCCGCGCGGGAGGTTTTCTACAAGAGCGTGTGTCCCGCCGTCGCAGCGCCGGATCGGTACCGCGCTTGGGTATGTTCTTTGCTAGCCAACCCTGTTGTTTTGTTGTCGCAGGTGGAATGGTTGTGTATTGATATTTGTAGTAGGATGTGCTAGAATATAAGGAGATCCCCGCGGACACCAAGGGGCCGGACGAGCACCACCCGTACCTGGGCGCTCCGCGGCCGGAGCTGGATCGGAATTGGAATACGCTTCTGTCGCGTAGTTACTCCCCCTCCTCTGAGGACTGCACAGTTGAGAGGTCGCTGACAGATATCAAAAAAAGCATTCCGCAACCGCGTCCCAACCGCCGAGATTCGCAGGCTGGGGATTGAAGAAGAGTCTATATGGCTGGATGACGATGTTGGTGAATAGTACGTTTGCCATTTTGCGGCCTGGAAGGATAGAGGCTGACAAGTTGCAGTTATGGGAGTGTGTGGGTTGGGCACAACCTGCACTGCATTGTGAGTTAGAGTCTAGTCGGTTTGTTGGATGAGTTGCTGATGAAGAATCGTAGAAATATCTGTATAATGGCCTGCACAAGGACCATTATTACCACAACATGACCGAGGCAGAGGAGAAGTCGCATAGCAGTCATTTGCGTATGTTTCTTTCTGTCGCTCCCAATCCCTCACTCTCTTTCCCCCCCTTTTTCTCTTCATCAAACTACATACTGACCAAGACAAGACCACTGCCTCCACCGCCTAATGGACGCGCTAAAATGCCACCCAGACATGTCCCCGCTGTCCTTACACTGGGTGGTCAATGAGGTCGCGCCCGTTGTCAACTGGGACGGCGCGCGGCACACATGCGCAAACTGGGACCGCGTCACTGAGTGGGCTAGGAGCCACCAGATTGTCCCGGCGGGGAAGGCTAGTCTCGGGCAGGGTAAGCATCACAATCGTACAATCCAGCAACAAAGCATACACAACTGTTGACTTTTCTTTTTTCCTTGCAGTTGCTCCGCATCCATTATACGGTATGTTATTTGAAGACGGTCTGTATTTGCTTTTGTGATACTAACTGATGGTGAATAGCGACGTTGCTGGATGAGAACGGCCACGCCGACTTTTTGAACCAAGATGCAATCATCGAGTGGGATAGGTTGTTTGCCAGGCCGGACTGGCAGGCGTGGGCGCGGGAGCATGGAATTCCGGAGGGGACTATTCCCGGTAAGGAGATGCTCAGGAATAAGCATGTTGAGTAGATGTGACGGTGCTGCTCATGATTATTTGTTACGCGTTGGGCAAGGCCACAAGTGGATAAATACAGCAAGCGTATGGGTTCATCAATTACAGCCTCTTTAAACTGCCAAAACACCAAACCCTAGGCCACAAAACAAGCCATCCAAACCCCTGATGACTCTATTCCTTCCCAATAGCAGCCCTCATCCTCCCAGCGTGCGTGCCCGGCCAGTTATAGGCCGCAAACCCCTGTCCCTTGCCACCAGGCATCAAACTCGGCAAACCCAACAGCGCCCTCTGACGCTCCGACAACTTGGCCCTGACCTCCTCGCTCAAGATAGACTGGTAGTTTTCAATCGGCCGCACAAAGAACCTGCAAAACGACTGCAGGATAACCGGCCTCGTCTCGCTGGTCGTATTGACGCCCGTCGAGTGCCAGGTTCTGCTGTCGAGGAGCACGCAGGAGCCCGCTGGTGCCGCAGCGGGGATGGATGTGCCCTTTTGTGTAGTATTATAAATATCAGCTTCTTGTCCCTTGACATGAACACAAAACACCAATAGAGGAATAAGACGTACAACGTGATTTATATCAACCGGCAGCACATCCATCACATGACTCCCCGGATACACCCGCGTGGCACCCTTTTCATCAGTCACATCAGTCAAATACCACATCGTATTCAGCACGTACGCATGCGCCGTCGTATCTGGCGCCATGACCATCTGGTCGCGGTGCATGTATATACCCGACGTGCCGGGGCACGCGATATTGGCCGACATGGTAAAGAGGCTAAAGTTGCCGCCCAGGAACCACGGCATGATGGCGTCGATGAGCGGGTGGTTGAGCAGGTCGAGGAACTCGTCGCCTTTGTTGGGAAGGTTCCTGTTTTTTGTCGTCTCAGATCAGCAGTTGTATAATAGAAAACCAAGACGGGAGATAAAATGGCAACTGACCAAACCCGCTGATTCGGCTGATCCCTCGCCGCCTTGTGCGCGGTATCCAAATGCCCGACGCCCACCAACCTCTCCGCCTCCGCCTGCTCCTCCACCGCCGTCCGAATCATCCGCACCTGCGCGGTGCTCAGCGCATTCGCGCAGATGGCGTACCCCCATTGCGTCAAATCGCGCTTCAGCTGCGCCACGTCTTCCGTTGGCCTCGGCAGCGTCTTCGGGTCGGCAGCGGCGCAAGGCCCCGGAACGCCGCCAGGGGCGAAGCAGGAGGGTATGGCGCCGAGGGTGGGCGGCGAGGCGCGCTTCCCAAAGGCGTGTTGGCTGTGCATGCGCCCTTGGACGGCATCGAGGATGTACTCTGGCAGGATGGTGATTGCTGTGTGGGGGCCGGAGGGGATGGTGGTGGAGAGGACGGGCGGCACTTTGGTTGCGTCAATGGTTAGGGGCTGGTGGGGGAGGGCGTCGGAACCGAGCCGGAGGACGACGATTTGGTTCAGGTGGGCGAAGTTCTGTGATTTGGTTAGGTAAAGTCAAGGTGATTTGACGCTTGTTGGGTGTTGGGCGTGGTCAGAATCACGTACGGAGAGGTTGCTCTCGATCCAGCGCCGGACTTGGCTCACATTGTCACGGAAGCGGGTGAGAGGGTCGATGCGCGAGGGATGATAGGGCTTGTCCGCGAAATCGAGTCCAGAGGTTGCTGGTGAGGCTGGGGGCGGTAGGTTGTAGGACATTGTGCCGGTGGTGAGTATCCGTGGACTGGATGGGACAGCGAGGGTAGCTGGACACAGTGAGTGTTTTCCGGGTTATCGATACAAACGATACGGAGGAATATGACGTCTTCCAGTCGTGATAAGGGGCCGGGCTCACGGTGTTGAATCACGAACCGGACTGATAGTGGGTTACCCTCGTTTGAACTCGTTTGACCTCGTACGATTATTCTCGTTCTACATGTATCTGTATCAGTTCTATCATGGACTACCTTCATTAATTCCTCAGACCTTGAACATGACGTCTGCTACACTTGACGTATGCAGCAAAGGGATGTTGCATCAGTCAGTGGACTTACAGCGAGTCCACCGCTCCACACGCAGTGCATCCACAGCGCATCCACATCACAGCAACGGCAAAAGCAGACGAATCCACTTACACCCCGGACTCTATCCGTACCCCTCCCCCAACCCCACCCTCCTTTCCTCTTTTCTCTACACAGGGATCCCCAGCACATATTCCACAACCTTTTTGACATCCCCAATCCTCCTGGGCACCTCATGCTCACCGTCAAACTCATCCAACCTGGCGCCCTTGTAATGAGTCGCGTACATCCTCCTCGATTGCGGCAGATTCACGACATCCTGACGTCCATGCAAATGCAGCGTCGGTAACTCAACCACAATCCCCTCATCGCCGCGGTCCTCCTGCTCGCAGACGGCCCGCATGTACCCAGTAGCGACCGCACTGTACCCGGGACACAGCAAGACGCCGAACTTGACGTCGGGCAGCCACGTCACCCGCCCGACCTGCCGCTGCCACAAGAGCATGGTGGACGCGACCGCGCCCTGGGAGAAGCCCAGGAGGCCAACAATCTTGACGCCGGGGTTGTTGTTCGTGTACGTCTCGACGCTCTTGCGCACCGCCTTGTTGAAGAGGACGATTTCCGAGGCGGCGGCGTCGTCGTTGTCGTCGTCGTCGTGCACCGGCCTGAACCAGCTGTAGAACGGGTCCATGCCCGCGAAGAAGGGGAGCACGCCGGGCCCGGGCGTGGCGATGTGCGGTGCGGACGCGTAGAAGAAGTCGTACTCGTGGGCCAGGGCGGCGCGCAGGGAGGAGGTCTGGAAGCGGAAGATGTCGGGGGAGGCTCCGCCGCCGTGCATGCAGAGGATTGCTTTGGAGGGTTTTTTGGCGAGGCCCATTGTGACCGACAACAAGATGTTCCCGTCTGAGAAAGTGTTTGTGCGGTGTGTCGTCTGACAGTTTGCGAGGTGGTTGCTCAACTTGTTGTGATGGGACGACTTTTTACTGATGGGGCCGGATGAATAGACAATTGGATGGTTTGAGGGGTATAAATGCAAAGAGGATACGCCGCTCCCTTGAATGACTAGTTTGATTGTTCCATGATTACATGTATACGAGTTGATCGACCATCAGGGCAAAACGCTTACATCAATGATACTACAAACAACCTTGGATCCCGCCCCTCACCTCCCCTGCGCCATATAAATAAGGGTCAAATTTGATACGACAATCTTTGCACCAGACTAGTCAGTCTCCTATCCCTCAATTACCAGACCACATCGAATCCGTCTCGTCACCGCACCGCCCCAAAAATGACCAGCCCGCTTACACTACCCACCACCCAACCGGGCCTTGTCGTCGACGACCACGACAACGTCATTATCCGCCGCGACTGCCCCTTCCCCTCGCTGCCGCCAGACCAAGTCCTCGTCCGCGTGCACGCCGTCGGCGTAAACCCCAGCGACACCAAGATGCGCGGACCCTTCGCCCTCCCCCATGCCATCCTCGGCGCGGACTACGCAGGCGAGGTCGTCGCCCTCGGGACCGACGTGACGGACGTGCAGATTGGCGATCGCGTGTGCGGGGCGCAGAACGAGCTCTTCCAGGCGACTCCGGAACGCGGGGCGTTTGCCAGCTACAACGTGACTCGCGGCCGCATGTGGATGAGGATCCCCGACGCGTGGAGCTACGAGGCCGCTGCCAGTCTGCCCGTGGGGCTGTGCACGGCCGGCTTGGCCCTCAAGCTGCTGGGGTTGCCGCTACCGGATCAGCCGGTCGACAAGGGCGCGCATGTGCTGGTATATGGCGGGAGCACGGCTACGGCTACGATTGCTCTCCAGCTCTTGAAGTTGTGCGTCTTAACTCTTGGACTCTTGGGGGTGTGGGGAGGCGGGATGTTATCCACGTTTGGGCTTTTTGCTAATGTGACGAGGGAGTTCCCAGATCGGGGTTGATCCCTATTGCCGTGTGCTCGCCCAAGAACTTCGCGCTGGCGAGGAGTAACGGTGCCGTGGAGGTTTTTGACAGGCATGACAAGGAGTGTGCACAGAAGATTGTGAGTTTCTTCCTCTTCTCTTTTTTTCTTCGTTTCTTTTCTTTTACCCTCTCTCGCTGTCCGCCATTGTCCGCCGGTGATTATGACGTTTATCCACAGTGGAAACACACGACTCGTATCCCGCTTACAAACATGGCCTCAGAAATCCTACACAAAAAATAACCTGAGATACGCCCTCGACTGCATCACCAGCGTCGAGTCGACCATCCTCTGCTTCGCGGCCATTGGACGCGCGGGCGGCAAATACGTCTCGCTGGATCCGTGGCAGGCGCACGCGGCCACGCGCAAGGTCGTCAAGTGCGACTTCACCGTCGGGCCGCGGGTGTTTGGCGAGGGGTGTTCGTGGCCTGCGCCGTACGGGAGCGAGCCGGATAGAGAACTCCAAGAATTCGGGGTCAAGCTGTGGGATGTGGCGAGGAAGCTGGTTGCGGAGGGGCAGCTGAAGAACCACCCCCTCCGGGTGCTGGATGGTGGGTTCGAGGCGATTATGGCGGGGATGGAGCTGATTCGGGAGAAGAAGCTGTCGGGAGAGAAGATTGTCGTGCGCATGTATCCGTAGGTAGATAGATAGGGATTGATTGGTGAGAGGGGGGCAACGGTTGACAGGGGCCGACTTGTTAGGGATGTTTTTATGGTTGTTCTTCGGGTGCCGCGATTCGTAGCATGAGGTAGGGTCACAATTTAAACATGCGGTGGGCGGTTTTAGGCCGAACAACCGGTGCGAGGGGTTTGCAAGACCCATGCAAAGCTTATTTCTGCGGGTGCCATGTTTGTACCTAGTACCTGGTCTTGTCTCTTTTCGGTAATTTACAGCTTCCAGAAGCACTCTAGTGTATTCCGCCGACGTTCGCTGGGGTGTGCTAGACCCCTGGAAAGCTTATTTCTGGTTCGCTGGAAATACCCACGGCGGAATATGTGACACCCAGAGCGGAAAATGTGATACCACCACGACGGTACACGCAACCAGTCCCCATGCCCCGCAGAGCAAACAGGAAATGCTTCCAAGCATTCTGCCCTTATTTTTTTGGTTAATTTTTTTTTTTTTTTTTTTTTTTTTCATTTTGACGGCAGATGATACGCTGTAAACATGGCATTCGAACAATCCGGCGGCAAAGAGGACGAATACGAGGCCTCGAGAGACTCGAGCCGAGAGGAGGCCAGGCTGATGCCATCCGCTATCGAGCAGGCTCCTGCGCCGAGGCCGGGCAGACTGCAGAGGCTTGGTCCGACGTTTTTGCTCTCGCTGTCGAATCTCATCTCGCTGTCGGCTCTGCTGTTCCTGCTAGTCACGCGCGATAACCCGAGGCCGTGTGTGCCGGACAGACATCCGCATTGGACTGCGCCGGAGAGTAAGTGATACCTGCTGAATACTATCGCGTTTTCGTTTGCCAACTGCTTCTAGTCCCGGTTACCACGATCCTCGAGGCCAACGACGACTATACACGTGCGCCGGATGAGGACGAATTGAAGGCTTGGGACCACATCATGCCGTGTAAGTCGCTCCTCAAGTTTATAATCGCTAGGGAATGAATAGCTGACCTCCAAACAGTGGGCAGAGGCCTTGTCATGGTCAACAGCACCGGTCTCCCCGACATGCCCGGCCTGGACCAGTCTTTCCCCCGCGGCGCATCAGGCTGGACCAGTATCTCGCACCAACTACACTGCGTTGTAAGCCTCCATCCACAATGTACCCTGCCCCCCATCATCAACTAACAGGCGGGAAAAAAAAAACCAGTACGCAACCAAACACGCCTTCTACGACCTCTACTACAACCGCACCGGCGACAAGACACAACCCCTCTTTGGCGTCGGCTGGCAGCTCGAGCACCTCAACCACTGCTGGGACTACATGCGGCAGACCATCATGTGCAATCCAGATCTGACACTCGAGTGGCGGGGTAAGAAGGAGGGGACGGGCTGGGGGTATCAGCGGCAGTGCAAAGCCTGGGGCCCGATTTACGACTGGCTCGAGAAGCACCGGATTACGAATGATCGGGGGATTTTGGCGCTCGGGTATGAGCGGAAGCCGTTGGATACTAGTGTTGTGCCGGGGGTTTGGTCGAGTAAAGACCTGGAAAATATTGATGTATAGAGGGTTGGATGCTGTGGCTTCGAGCGCAGTACAGTGCAGCGCAGTGCAGCGTAGTGCAGCGCAGCAGGACAGGTACCTAATACCAAGATGGCAAATTCAATTCCTCAACTTCAATCTCGCGAGCAGCTACGGACGAAACATCTACTTCATAAACTCGGCAAACTTGTCCCGACTATCCTGCCCCTCGTTCAACCTCGCATACGCCGCCTCAATCTCACCCTTGTACTCCTCCTCCGCCCGCGCCCGCAGCACAAGCTGCTTGATACTCAACGGCAACGGCCGCCCCTCCACCGCCACCAGCACCGTCTCCACCGGAATCCGAATCTCCTCGACAACCTGGCGATTCAACGGCGCAATCACCGCGTCCCAAATCTCCCTGGCCACCTGACGCCCCCCGTCCCCCCGTCCGCGCACCGCCTCCTCCTCGTACAGTTCCACAATCACAAACGGCGCCGGCCGGCCAGCGCCCCCGACAAACGCGTGCCGAACACCGGGGTGTCGCGCAATCGGCGTCTCAAACGCCGCCGCGTCAAAGGACACCCCGCCAAATAGCTTGACCGAGTCGTCCGCCCGCGCGAAAAACTCCCACCTCACCTCCCCGTCGCCACACGCCACCGGCCGCCACAGCTCCTTGGTATCAATGGTCTCCGCGCCCGCAAACATCCGCACGTTCCAAAACGCACACATGTCCTCCCTGACCTCGCCCGCCGGCCGGTCGATGAACATGCGGTGCACCGGCCCATCACCAGCGTCGGCCGCGCGCGTCGGCAGGCCCGACTGGTCGATGGGGACGAGCCGCACGTGCGCCTCGGGGATGAAGTCGTACGTGTGCCAAAACTTCTTGGCCCGCGGTAGTAGCGAGAACCGCCCGCCGGTCTCGGTGGCGCCGATGACGGACCCGAGGCGCGTGTGCTGCACCAGCGCGTCACCGACGACGGGGTCCAGCCGCGCGCCGAGGTACGTGACGAAATCCAGGGCCTGGAGCGCCGGGCGGGTCGCGGCGTCGTGGAACAGCTCGACGACGGTGAATGGCGTCGCCACCAGCCCGTCCACGCGGTTCAGCTCGGCGAGCGTGCCGAACAGGGCGGGCGGCAGACCCACGGCGTCTGCCGGGGGCAGCACGCAGCACGTCTTTGCAAACACGCCAAAGGCATTCGTCAGGATCAGGCCCGAGTTCCAGCGCATCGGGCAGGCCAGGAGCACGTTCGCGCCGAACAGCTCCTCGGTCGACATGCCCCGCGGCCAGTGCCGCTTGGCCAGCTGCGGCGACGCGCAGGCCGCCGCCCAGAAGCCGTTGTTCATGTAGATGGGCTTGGGCGGGCCGGTCGTCCCCGAGGTGTGGATGATGAGTATCTCCTCCCACTTGTGCGTCTCGTAGGTCTTGGTGTAGGGGTACGGCGGGGTGTCCTCCGCGTCGAGGCACCACGCCAGGGAGGGGAAGACGTGCAGCGCGATGCCGGCTTCTTCCAGGCCAAAGGGGGTTTGGGCGGCGACCTCGTCCTCGGTGTACAGCCATGCTTTGCAGTGGGAAGCGGACAAGAGGCCGTGCAGCGCGCCTTTCATGAGGCGGCCGTCCGGGGTGAGCAGCTGTAATTTATTTCCTCTCCCATGTTAGTTTCCCTTTTTCGGTTGTATTTCAAGTGACTGTCTGGAAAACGAGGTAAACGGACCTTGCGGTTCGACTTGTTCAGAGCGGCAAAAATAAAGGCATAGCGGATGTCATTGGCCCCAAAGTACGACACCGTGTCGTTGTCCACTGACGTGCCGAGCGTCTCGTCCAGCCAGTGCGCCAACTTGTTGATGCCGTCGTTGTACTGCTTCCAGGTGATGGAGCGGTAGCCGTTTGTCTGCCAGTCGTCGAGCGGGACGCGCGCAAAGATGTTGGTGGGGGTTAGGCGGGCATTTTCTTCGATTTTGCGGACAAAGAGCTTTTCACTTGTGAAAGCCATGTTGATGCGGTATGAGATTGCACTGGTGGTTTTGGACCAAGTTAGTTGAAGACGTTGTGAGGGTAAAGCTAAAGCAGCTTGCATACCTTGGGTAGGATGAATGGTGTGGTGGTCTATCCCCGGTACAAATACACCCGTGTCCCGGCATCCCCTGCCCACGTACACACACACTACTCATGCCCCGTCACTGACAGTCCTCTTCGGACAACAAATACGACGCGGGATCGATACATGTTCGTCCCGCAGCACTGAAGACCTCACCCAGCTACTCACCTTTCTACTCAAAAAATTTAAAAAAAAAAAGAAAATGCAAACAGCAACAAATCCACCCCCCAACCCGCGCCTCTGGGCCGGCGGGATAGACCAATACCTCGCAGACAACAACATCACCTGCACCTCGGCAACCCCCATAGAAGCCGGCACATCCTGCTACATCTGGCGCCTCGACGGCCTCGCGCACCCCGACCACCCGCCCGCCGAACCAGCCGTGCTGAAATGCGCCGACGCCACCCCAAAATTCAGCGACGACGCCGTCTCCCCCGCCCGGCTCTCCACCGAGGTCCGCGCGCTGACCTCCCGCGCCGTGGCGGAGGCCTCGCGCGCGGAGCCGAGGGTGCGCGTGCCGAGGGTGCTGCGCACCACGGAGAACGGCTTCGTCATGTCCTGGGCAGGCGATGTGAACCTGCTGGACGCGTTCCGGCGCCATCCCGCGCTCGACATGGCGGATATCGGCGCGCACATCGGCAAGTGGCTCGGCTGTCTGCAAGTCGCCGGCGTGGCCTCGGGGCCGTGCGGGTTTGCGCCCATTAACCCGGAGCTGGGGCGGTTTTATAACCCCGGCGGATTCATGGAGAAGCTGGTGCAATCCGTGGTGATGGATAGTGAAGAGAGCGACAAGATTCTAGCTGCGCTGCGCGGGACGGAGACGGTGCGCACGCTGACGGCGTGGGATTTCCGGCCGATGAATACCCTTCTCCGCTTTACGGATGGCTCCAGCAACAACAACATCATTAACGACAATGGCACGCCGGACATTTACATTGTGGACTGGGAACTCGCGCAGTTTGGCGAAGCAGCGGGGGATGTGGGCATGTGGTGCGTCGAAGCCATGGTGTTGGAGGACAAGTATGGCGACAGAGGCTTGCTGCGTTCGTTTCTGAGAGCGTATGCGCAACACGCCGTGGGAATCGTGGACGAGGCGTTTGTGTGCAAGCTCGCCATGGTCGTCGGCGTCATGTTGGCGTACTTCATGCGCATTGCGCCGCGGCTCTGGGGGAGTACGGAGGAGGAGGTGGGCCGTTGGAGGAGGGCCGCTGTGGGGTTCCTGAGGGCGGGAGCGGAGGGGGATTTGGGGTCGTTGGGGAAGAGTTTGATTGGGGTTGTTCTAGCGTAAATTTGGGGCTGGGTTTTTTTTTTTTTTTTTTTTTTTGGGATCGTGGTGTTGCTGGACTTGTGTGTTCCTTTTCGCTGGGCTGGGATTACCTCGGATTACCTTACTCTCTATCCGTACCGTTGCGCAAGATGAATACTGCACATGAATACTGTACTTGGACAAGGTACTGTGGGCGAGATGGTGATGTCACAGTGGACGCATGCCCACGTCTAGCGTCGCACAGCAGTGGGGGTGTACTTTTACCGAGTCGTGCGGGAAGTGAGATGTCGGCCTTCGGCGTTCGAAGCGGGCCGAGACATTACTATGTTACGGCCAGCTCAGGGCTCCTGATTCCTGACTGTACCAAAAGACCAATACCTCAGTCACGATGCCTGTTCTGCGCTATGTGGTGACGCGCCCACAGGGACCAAACACAGCGGGCGTAGCATGGCGTACGCGCGCCCCGCGAGGCGTGCAACAGTACCCAAATACAAGGGGCTCGTCACAAGGGCTTTGCTGGATGCGGGGTCGCAGTATTCATCAAGTAAACAAGGATAGCTTATCGTACCTATGTAGCCACTGAGAAAACAAGAAAACAAGCAAGCCCAAGTACCGAGATGCTCGTCAAACTCGGGATTGCGCGCTAGCCCGTGCTCCCGTTGTCTTACCAGGTATCTGACTAGTACGATCTTTTCTTCAGGGTCTTAACTTAAAAAGATGGGGAGGATCCCGATCAGGATGTTTGCGGTATCCAAAACACTTTGCTGTAAATCGGAGCTTGGCGAGTTTTCACGGTATTACGATAGCCTCGTATGATCCCTGGAACGGGACCACACCCCCCCCCCCCTTGTTGTTATCGGATGGTGGGCCTGGCTGCATCATCAGATGACTCGGGTAGTCCACACACCCTTACCGCCGATGAGATCTGGCAGGTTGCGCGCCAAGCCGTTTACGTCTTTAGCGCTTGGGCAACGAAAGTTTCATTGAACTACACACCCCGTTTTGCTGGCCAATGAGGACTGGACTGGGAGACTCCGTCAACGGCATTTCCGCGGGGGCAACCAACGCTTTCTTCATGGCAGCCTTTGCCGATGCGGTTAAGATTTGCAGACTACTTGTTGTCATCGTTGTTGATGTTGTATTCAACGTCAGAGCGGCAAGGACGGAGCCATCACTGCGAAAACCTCCCGAAGGATATGAGGCGTGTAGGGCCGCGGGCCGAGACTATGTACTGCACAGTACATCGCTTCTTCCGGACGTCCTCCAAGTCTAGTCATGCAGTCATTACGCGTTCTGTATGTCGTCGGTTCCCGCTGGTGCCCCAGTTCTATTCCTTCCCTTGGTAGAGAGTAGTGTCTAGTAGACATTGGGGGCCCAAGTTAATGCCTGAGAGCTAGTGCTGTGGGCAGATCTTTTTTAAAGAAATTCCGTCGCGCAGTGAAAGGCCTCGAAGAGTCAAATATTGGTGATCAGTCCCTAAAAATACACCTTTAGAGATCCCATAGGTCCCATGGGCTCGAGCGATCCAGAAGGGCAGAGGGTCGGCCGCCAAAGCCTCCTCGCTCGCGTGAGTCGACAGTAGACCAAGTAGTCTATGTTTTTGCCTCTCCATAGTCCTATGGGTGGGCAATATCATGATCATCTCACGCAACTTGACAAAATCTCTGCCATTCCTTGCAGTTTAGTCTGCTGCGGGCCCGGTTAAGAAAACCTTGAAACTCAGGGGTGTGTCGTTGATTAATCTTTTGCAGGAGAGCTGCAGTGCATACGGATCGATCGGCGTAGATCTGCATACTACTTTGATTGGGTTTTCAACAGTTACCAGCTAGCAATTTGAGGGTCAACATTGAACCCAACGCACGGGTTTAAGTTATTTTTCCTAAAGTCTCTTAGGTTTCAGCGGCTTTCAATTCACACTCCCGGCAACTTTCTCAAATGTTTAATAGCACGTCTTTGAAAAAAGGAACGTACATGGTGGACTATGAGCATCAATACATAGCTATTATATACTATACTGCCCCAAAGTCTATTTAATACTACTCTATCCCACGCCATCTCTTTCCATTCTCATCCCGCCCTCTCCATTCCTCTTTTGCAACGTTGCCCTACCCACCGAGCCTGACTCGCATCAACGATGGCACAGCGGGCCCCATTCGATGTGTCCCTGGAACCCCCTATCTCGAGCACCGTCGACACCCCGACTGACTCGACGGAGAAGATGGAGCCCAGCTCGATGGAGCCAACAGAGTCAGTCACTGCAGCGCCGCCAACAAGAGCGCTCCGCTTCTGGATCATCGTCGCCGCCCTGGCAGCTAGCAAGCTCATGCTGGCGCTCGAAATCACCATCGTGTCCACCGCCCTGCCAACCATTGTACACACGCTCGGCCTGGGGTCGAGCTATGTGTGGGTTTCCAATGGCGCTGCGCTGGCGAGGTCCGTCTCTCTCTCTCTCTCTCTCTGTGTCTCTCTCTCTCTCTCTCTCTCTGTCTCTCTCTCTTTCTCCTTGACCTTCTTTTTCAATCTTGTCCGTATCCTCGTTTCGCCGGTCCACGTCCCCACTCAACTGCCCCTATCTTGACTTGACAGGTGTGCTCGGTGACTAACACCCTCTCTCTCTGCGCAGCGCAGCTATAGCCCCGCCCCTAGGCCAGCTATCCGACCTCTTTGGCCGCCGCTATCCCACCTGCCTATCCGTGCTCCTCTTCGTCGTCGGCGGCATCATCTCCGGCGCGGCCGCCTCGGGCCCGCAGCTCATCGCCGGGCGGGTAGTCCAAGGCCTTGGCGCAGGCGGCATCAACGTCATGTCCGCCATTGTCGTCTCCGACCTCGTCCCAGTCCGGCATCGAGGCAAGTACATGGCCTGCATGCTGGCCGCGTACCTAGTCGGCGCCACGAGTGGTCCGTTGCTGGGGGGCGTGCTGGTACAGGCCGGCGCGTGGCGGTGGGTGTTCTGGCTACCTGTGCCGTTTGGGGCGTTGAGCTTTCTTGTCTTGGTGGTTTGTCTGAAAGGCAGGGTCAGGGACGCAAAGTCCAGCCGCCGTGAGCGCTTCCGGCGCGTGGATTACGGCGGGAACGTGGTGTTGACGGCCTCGACCGGCTCCATGTTGTACGCTGTCACGTATGGGGGGTCCGAGTACCCCTGGTCCGATGCCCGGATCATCGCCGCGCTGACCGCTGGTGTGCTGGGACTGGGTGTGTTTCTGCTCCTAGAGCGATACCTCGCGCGCAGCACCACCGTCGAGCCGGTGATGCCGCTCCGCCTGCTCAGTCACCGGGTGGGAGCTACCGTGGCGGCCGGAGCGTTCGCCAGCAGTCTGCTCGGCAACTGGGCCAACTTTTTGTTACCCGTGTACTTTCAGGGCGTGCGCATGTCGACGCCGTCCCGGGCCGGTGTGCAGATGCTGCCCATTGTTGCCGTCGCCGTCCCGACGAGTATCGTCTCCGTTGTCTTGGTGAGTAAGTTTGGGCGGTACAAGGTGCTGCACGTGGCTGGATTCGTAGGCATGTGCATCGCGTGCGGGCTGTTTAGCATTTTGAGTCAGGCGTCGAGCGATGCCGCGTGGATCTTGATGGAGGTGCTCTTCTCGCTTGGCTTGGGCATGGTGGTGAATACGTTGTTGCCGGCGTTTCAAGGTGCGGTGGGGGAGAGCGATCAGGCGGTTGCTACGAGTACGTTTACGTTTGTGCAGAGCCTGGCGAACATTTGGAGCGTGACGATGCCAGCTGCGATCTTCAATAATAGGTTTGAGGCGCTCGCGGGTAGGATATCGGATGAGCGGGTGAGGGCGCAGTTGGGCGGGGGCAGGGCGTATGGATTTGCGACACGGGCGTTTTTGGAGGGTGTGCAGGGGACGGCGAGGGGTGAGGTTGTGGAGGTGTTTGGGGAGGCGGTTAGGGGCGTTTGGTATGTTGCGGCTGGCATTGCTGGTGCTGCGGTCTTGATGGCGTGTGCGGAGGGGGAGGTTGTGCTGAGGGAGAAGTTGGAGACCGATTTTGGGCTGGACAAGGGTGGAGAGGTCAAAATTGACGAAAGAACTTCGCAGTAGCGTGAGGTATCTATAGTAATGATACACCACGTAAATACATATAAAATCATGACAAGCAAAAAATACTGGCTTCTTGGAACTGCAGCATGTCAACTCGACACATCCAACCGAAACACCATCCATCCACTACGAGCCCTCCTTCAGCGGAATCCTCTCCCCCTCCCCCCTCAATAAGCCCCAATTATTCGACGTCCGCCTTTCCAGCACCCACTCCGTCAGCGCATCCCAGTCCTTACACTGGTGCTCATACCCCCAGCCCGATTCGACCTTTTCGTTCCACCGATGCCATTCCAGCGTCACGTCTGCCGCGCACATGATGTTCTGCCGCAGGTAGTCCCAGCAGTGGTTGAGGTGCTCCTTGTTCCAGCCCGGGTCAGTGGGGAGCTCCCGTTTCTGATGCGGGTTGTTGATGTGGTCTAGGAGGTCGTAGTAGCTGTGCATGGTGCTGTACTGACTGGGTGTTAGCGGTTTGGAGTTTGGGGGGGACCCCAGGAGGGAGGATGATGGAGAAGAGGGATGGAGGTACGTACGAGGCAGTGCAGCTGGTGGTATACCGACGGCAGCGCGATGTGCTCGGGCAGCGACTGGTTCAGGCCTGGCATGTCGGGGAGGGCTGTCTTATTGCGCATGTGGACCCAGCCGCGTCCCTCTGTTTCCCTTCCGTTAGACAATCTCACGTACCCCTTCCCCCCCTGTTCTAAGCACACAAGGGCACTCTAGAAGACTTACTCGGCAAAAGTGAATTCCACGCAGCGATGCTCTCATTATTCGGCTTCTGCGCAAACAGCGGCTCGCTCTGGAAGACTTTCTTCACGGGGACTAATTCACTCCATTACCATCAAATTATACAAAACAAAATCAAGTCGATCAAGCAAGGGCAAAACATACTCTGCGGAGGAAACCAATCCGGCTGCGTCGGATATACCACCGTGCTTGATACGGGCTGTGGCCTCACCGCGGCGTAGACTAGCCCACATAAGGAGACGACGTTGGACAGCACCAGCACTATGAAAGCCCAGCGAATGCGTGGCGACGCACCGGCGAGAGGTCTGGACGGGACGCCTTCGAGCAGGCCGAACTTCTCGTCATAGTCAGAGGATGAGCGGGCGCTGCTGTCCTCGCTGGGGGCTGGTATTGGAGATGTGGGCATTGTGAAAATGGAATGTGGGATGGTGAAAGACGGGAGAGAGTGGCGGGTTGGCAGTGTGCACAGCAGATTATTTTGGAGGAGTGATCATTGACGGAGATTTAACAGATGGACCTGGAAATGGAGCGTACGGGACATCTAGGAGAGACACTGGGGCGACAAAATCTGCCGTGAGCATGACCCGTGTCTCGTGTCTCGTGTCTCGTCATGTCCAGCATCCCAGATTCCGATTGTCATGACTCATAGGTTTGTGGGTATCTTCGAAATGAGTATCATCTGGGGGCTAGGGGCTGTGCCTCTATGCGTTCACTCTCCGGAATGCCCACAGTCGCTTTTGCCCCGATGGCACTTGAGTGGTGTGTATTGTGGGGAGGGGGTATGAGTCCGAGTCTTGGCGATATGTTGGCTCTCGTGAATGCCAGCGCTTCACCTCCATCAATCAGAGGAAACGGAGGAGGCCGATTTGACTGATTGATCGCCTCAACGACCTGTTTTGACCACCATAAGACAGGATCACAAACATTTTGAGCAATATTCGGGGACAATAACGACCCAGTTCTGCAGACTCGTCAGCAACAACGTCAAGAGTCCTTCTGTCAACCCATCAACGACATTCCGAGTCTTCTATTCTTGGTCCCATTGAGATCTAGTTGAAGAGGCCTTGATCCGGTGTTCATAGAGGAGTATTGGTATTGCGAGCATACCATTGCTGCCAGTACCTCTTTAGACCTGCCCTTGGTTCCCCAAGCCAGTCATGCTGCTCTCTCGTAGCCCATCGATTCGCGACACAGCGAAGACTTCAACCAGGATGTAGAATAATTGCCGCAATGTAGAGCTGGGAGTTACCGAGCTTCGTGTAATATTGATTCAATACTTGCCAAGCGTTGAGTGTCAAAGACAGAAATGGCCTCCAGGATGAAACTTACGGTTGTATATTCTTTGAACATAATCCAGACGATCTTGGAGTGACCGGGGAACATAATTAGGGTGTATATTAGGTAGAATACTGTTAACAACTGTAGGTCTTAGGATTTGCGTTTGTTGAGGAGTGCTTTATTGTGATGATCTCGTTTTCCTTGTCAATTATAAGAACCGGATTCAAGAGAAACAATTAGTTGTGAGATCGATCTCTTCGTTTTTAGCTTCATCGCATAACTTTTCCCAGTCTTCAAGACGGTCAGTAAGCTGCTCCGTGGCAGCCATGACCTCCCAAAGTCGACCATACCCGTCCCCTTTCCCCCATTCTTGACATCTCAGGAACGGAAGGTAAAGGAGCGCGAGAATCTTCTCCAGCTCGATAATGATATGTCAATTCAGTCCTCGTTCGTCAAGTGGTCGGTCGTCTTATGGAATCCGTTGATTAGGATCACCCAAGTGTAACAGCTCAGGCCTTACAAGGGCAAATATAGCAGCAGATATAACGAACAGTTGCGCCATATACACACCCGGGCTTCTTCAGCCAAAAGGCTTGTAAAGATCAGATCCCCCACTGTTCATTCTGCTGCAGTCAAGTACTTCATGTCGTGGTCTGTACAGCACACAGCTTGCAGCATAGCCTTAGCTCGCACAGGTTTCAAGTACGCAATATCAAAATTAAGTTGTAGTTGATATACCCATTGATCTGAGCTCGCTTGACGAGGGCACGTTAGATCATCATGTATGGCGAGTTCCACCTCATATCGTTGTCAAGCATCAACATAAGCTCTTAATGTAATTTCTCAAAGACTGTGAAGTTGTCAGAGTCTTCATCAACTTCACTTCTGATAGCCAGGGTAGCTTCACATCGGTCTGGTGATGTTCGAATAAACTTGATGATGTTTCGAAGCTTCCCAACTGGCCCTCTTGTTCTCCAAAGAGCGAGACCTCCCCTCAGCTTCCCAGCATTAACAAGATCGCCAGATTCTTGTTCGAACGCTTCCCGACCGACTCCATGCAAGAGGGCTTTGCCAAAAAAGTTTAGAATACGCGCATGGCACCTTATCTTTCGATTTATGACTTTCTGGTTGTCAAACGCCTGAAAAAATAGACTCAGAAAGTGCTTGAAAACGTAAATGATATCATTACAGATTGAATCATCAAGTGTTTCAAGTAGATCCCAGTCAAGAAGAGCCAGAGGTATCATGAGTGAGATGTTCTCTCCAGCGTGGGCTCCAAATTAACGACGAAGAGCGAAAAATATTATGCCTGCTTTCCTCCCTGGCTAATGAAGTGGCCAAAGATGGGTGTGACTGGATTTCAGTAGGGTGAAGTCCATGTATCAAAAAACATATAAACGTTGGTCCTGGTCATCAGCACCATCTCTTGTTTTTCTTCAACTGATATAAATGAGAAACCTGGTCTCTTTGAGTGTTCTGGGACCTGAAGGACGGGGCATATATATCAGGGTCAAATTCGTTAAGCAAGGCCTTGATAAAGTAGTTCTCGAACGTCGTGACTATGCTTCTGCTATCAATGAGGAAGCCAAAAGAAGAGATTCATATCTTATACATCTTACTCGTCGGCATAGCAACGGGGGCAGAGAGGTGATGCTTCGGTGACGGCCCCTCATTGTGAGGATCTTGAGGTACTTGGACGGGGATCTCGAAGCTCGTAGGATCAACGTTAAGGTTAATCTTGAGATGTTTGATAGCAGATGTATCGAGCCTCAACTATCAAAGCGAGAGCAGATTCGAGCCTCGCCTACGAAAGTGATCAGTATGATGAGACTTCGTGGCCAAGAACAAACGAACCCATTTTATGACCCAGGATCTCACGAGTGGAAATTGCCCTCAACCTTGATCCAACTATAATAGCCTCAGGTGCCCTTTTTCGATATGGAATTGTCTAGACTGAATCGTCAGCTGTTCCATATAGTTCGGGGGATTGCGTCGACGATATCTGGTTAATGGAGTATCGAAAGTTCTTATAGTTAAGTGCATTTAGTAGACCTCCTTAAGGGAAGGCTTTTATAGAGATATAGATATTAGAAAGGGCTACCTTTGAAAACACAATAAGCGTGTCGCATTTCCCTAATTTGGGAGCACTGCATTCACCCCTGAGTACGCTACCAGCCAACCTCACAAATCCGCAAATTTAATGGTCAGCGATGATGATGTTTATTCTGAGAAGAGCAATCAATACATTCGCTTGTTTCGCCGCACCAAAGTGTATGATAGTTGGTAGCACAATTCCTAGCAAACTCCTCTCAACTCCGCTCCGCATCCTCCTTCCATGCCCCGATTCCCTGCTCCATCACCCAATGCTGATAATTTGCTCTCTGTGGGAGCTCCTCAAAATCCACCACTCCCTCGGCATTGGCAAGGATGAACCTGCTGTGCTCATCGACGAGGTGGCCTGTTTGTATTAGCTGTGTGTGTTTCAAGCATGGACCAGTTTTCCTTGCCGAAGATGGGGTGCTTCATTTCTGTCACGGAATGCAAGGTTAGCGAGAGGTGTTATGTGATGATATCAAGGGTAGAAATTGACGGCATGGTCTCAGAGTGCGTCATCAAGTGCTCGTTCCCCCAACTCATCAATCTCTCCCAGTCTACGTAGGACCTCTGTACGCCGTCTCTGTTCGGCATCAGAACGTGGTCTTCCATCGTCCAGTACAGCGGCATCGACGTCATATTGGTATGGCACTTGGCTGAAGACACGAGGTGGTGAGGGCATTGTGCTGTGGCAACGGTTAGCATCACCAACGACATTTTCTCAGCAGAGAACATACCAAGGTGACTATTTTTGTTTCTCCTGCTGCTGCTCGGCGATATTGGGGAAGTTTGAGTCCCCGCGGGTAGTTTGGTAGACGTTATTTTGGCAAACGGGATATTAGTATACACCGGATGAGATGGGAGGATTGGCGTACGATGTAGTGCAGGTTATGCACCACAGCGATGCCGCCTGCGCTGGACAAGTAAGCGTATTATTCTCATCATGATTAACTCATGTAGACTTACAAACCGTCCTTGCCGTTATCAAACGGAATAGTGTCCGAGTTAGGTTCCAGCCTGTGTGTTTCTGAATCGAGGAGCCGACTCCAGAGAGCTGTAGACTTGGAGATTGGCCCCCCATGAGCACCCATCTTTTTTGAAATGGGTAATTTAGGCTGCCCAGTAACTAGATAATCTAATATACCCGTATTACCCACGGGTCCGCGACCCATATATTTGGGTAACCTAAACTACTCATGAGTTTCTCTATAAAGCTTATGGGTAGTTTGGGCAGACCCAAATTACCCATGGACTTTTCCTACAAGCGCTGCCCAAACCCATTCTCTACCCATTGACCCTTGGGTAACCCACAAATTACCTATCAGTCGTATGGGCTGCACCCGTATTTGATACCCATGGGCCCTTTCAAGCCTAGGACGATGTGTATCAACTGAGTCTGTATGACCCGCAGAGACCAGCGGTGGGAGGATCGACCCAACAGCAGCTTGCGCCAGTTCGCGTCGAGTTCGGCCCTTGGGTTTCCTAGGAAAGAGCCAAAGTGGTTTGATGTGACTAAGTCTAAGGATATGGGCTTGTACCCGAATTTTTCCAGTTCTTTTCTGTTATAGACATCAGCGATGTAGTAGATTTCAAAAGTCAACTCGCCCACAAGTGAACCGTATCACGCGCCGCAAACCTCCGACAGTATGGCTTGTTAAAGGACTTCTGCGCATAGTTTAGCACCGCCGTGGTATAAACACCTAGCCCCATACCCGAAGCCAGCACCCGTGAAACACGAACGAGAAGAAACGTCTTTTTGTCCTAATCTGCGGGAGACATGTTATCCAGTTTCTTGTCCCTGAACGTCGATAGTCGGTGATATCCGGTTGAAGGCATTGTTGGCAGTGGGAGTCGTTGGGACAGTGGGAACATGCAGAGGACACTGGTCCTATCTCAAATGTTAAATGGACGGGGAATCTGTGGCAGATAGTTAGAAAACCTAGGGGTTTGGGGGTGCTGGCATCGTAACATGGAACCCCTACCCAGGCCAAGTGACTTTCCTCCTACTGCTCTGTTAAACTCTATTTTTTGGACATTGCACAATGATTATAAATGGGCCTTCTTCGCAATGACGCGGCTACTCCGGCGTTACTGATGGCATATGCATGTAACAAGGAGCAATTGGGGAGCAAGAGCAGCTTAAGATATGTTCTTCATAGTATACACTTCCCTCTTGCTCTGAAACAGCCATTCTCATACTCCAGATCATCCTCCCACCATGATCAGCCCAGCAATGGCCGCACCTATAGACGAACCATGTCTGTCACGAGCAGAAAATCTCCCCTCCGAAGAACATGAACGACTCCTATCTGAGCGCGACGAGCTCGGCGACCCAAAACCACCCGAGCAATTGTCCACACCCGGCCTACTCCTCCTCACATGTCCCAGCCTCGGGCTCCAAGTCAGCTGGTTTCTACTACAGTCCAGCGGCACGGTCCGTCACCCATCCCGCTCCCCATCACCACAGTCCCTAACAAGAACCAGCCCTACCTCGGCTCCCTCGGCATGACCCCTTCCTCCATATCCCTCACCTGGGCCCTGGGACCCATCTTCGGTGCCTTCCTCCAGCCCATAATCGGCCAGCTGAGCGACGAGCTTGACCACCCGCTCGGCCGCCGGAAGCCCGTCATGATCGCCGGCGCGCTCACCACAGTCATCCCCACCCTGCTCATGGCCTGCGCCCCCGAGCTCACCGCGCCCTTCACCGAAAACCCGGCCGCAAACCCCTGGCAGCCACGCGCACTCGCCGTCGCCTGCCTGGTGATTATTTTGTTGGCAATAAACGCCTACTCCGTCGGTGTCCGCGCCATCGTCGTCGACGCCTGTCCGCCGTCCCAACAACCCGCCGCCGCCGCCTGGTCCATGCGCTGGAACGTTCTCGGATCCGCCGCTCTCTCCACCGCGGGCTTCGTCTACACCACACAATCTTCAGAAACCGACCCCGTGGTCGCGTTCCGCACGCTGGCGTGCGTCGCGGCGATCTGTTCCGCGACCACCGTCGGGCTGGTCTGCTGGTTAGTGCCGCGGGATGCCACGCCGCCTCTCCGGCTGTCCGGGTCCGGGTCCGAGATCGGGCGGGTCTGGGCCATGTGTCTGCCGGGCGAGCTGGTGCGGCGCTGGCGGCGGCTGCCGCCGCTAACGGGGAGAGTATGCGGCGTGCAGCTATTTGGGTGGTTTGGGTGGTTTCCGGTGTTGTTTTACATGTCCACGTAGGTGATGCCCGCCCCGGCTTGTTCGGATGTTTGGATGAACTGACACAAGCTTTAGGTATGCTTACGAAACAGGTAATCGTCTCAAACCCTCTTTGCATACCCCCGTTTCGATCCAGACTACGGACTAACGTCTCCCAGCATTATCGGAATCCCTCCAAGCCTCCAACCTCGAACCTTCCCCCGCAGAAACCCACGCAAAACCCTACCCCCTCTACGCATCCCTCTCCTTCTCCCTAGGAACCCTCCTGTCCACCGTCCTCCTGTCCTGCCTCTCCCGCATCCACACCGTCCTTAACCCCCGCAACCTCCCGCGCCTCTGGTTGGTCTCCCAACTCCTCGCAACCACCTCCCTCCTCCTCACAATCCCCTTCCAAACCTCCACAGTCTCCCTCATCCTCCTCTCCCTCATCGGCGCAACCTGGGCTGTGACAATGTGGATTCCGTTCGCGCTGATCAACACCGAACTCGCCCATGTGCGAACCGGCGTGGCGGGCGTCCAAGGGCTGCACAATATGGCAATTTCGCTCCCGCAGGTTGCCAGCGCGCTGGTTTGCGCGGCGGTGCTGGCGGGGTTGGATTCGGTTGGGGTTGGACGGGGTGCGGTGTGGTTGATGAGGCTGGCGGCGGTGCCAGTTGCGTGGTCGACGTGGCTGATTTGGCGGCTAGATGCAAAAGAGTTGGTGGGTGTTTATTAGGGTTGTGGGATGGTTTTTAGTTGGTACGTTGTGCGTTTTACAGTGCTCATGCAACTCATGAAACTCATGCTCATCGCCATGAAACATTACTTCATTTATCTTCTCTCTCAGTAAAGCAGCATCCAGCCCTTTCCCGATATACCAGACGTCATCTTAATCTACTTACAGGTAATTTGCTCGAGAAAACCTTCAAAAACCCAACCGGACTGTGCTTGAATGTACGGCCTGTCTCAAAGTCGGGAGTCCCAAAAGACGGCTCTGCAACCCCATCAACCCCAACATTCCCATCCTGCCCACCACCCTTCCAATCCACGCCGAGCATCTCGCACATTGCCTTGTACTCTGAAAAGAGCTGAAAATAAATGTTTCCGTCAAACAAGCGCGGCTGCATGACAAGCAATGGCGGCACAATCCAGCGTCGAGCGTGGCCAACGTCGTACGGAGGCTTGTTCTGACCCTGATCCTCTAGGCGTTGGACTTCAGTATACTAGTTCTCTTAGATCCCGTATCCTTAGCAATAAGGACCGTTTCAGGTAATTATTCTAACTAGTGATGCAATGTCTGGTAGAGAAGGTGATTTGGCAATCATAAATGAAGTCGGGGCATTTTACCAACATGAAGATTGCATGACATGATCCAAGACTCTAACAGCAATCTATTAAGATTCCTACAAAGATGGCTGAAATAACAATGGACAGAAACATGGTCCATGGAAGATGGATTCAAATGCTTTGGTGGCGGTAATTTGTCAGATCATGCCAGAGCATGGGGGTCCAACAACGGAGAAGAGCGCAGCAGAAATCGTGTCGAAACCAACACCGAACCCCACTAATCAGGGTGACAGGAGGTCCACAGTGTCCATTTCTTTTACAAATGGATGTCTGGTGTCCATCAACGCGGGGTGGTGGTCCGACGGAGACCGGGCGGAGCCGAGTTGGCTGGGTGAAGACTTCCGGCGAGGAAAATGAAACCTAAGATAAAGCCGCAATTGAACAGCAACGATCTTGTGTCGTCATCGAGATGTGTAAAGGCTTAATGACAGCCCGAATCCGTCTCCCCGAAGAGCAAATTCTCAATCTGAGGGATGAGGAAGAGGGCGACCGAACCACATGTCTTGCAGGGTAACTTGACGCCGGGGATCCACGCTTTGGGCCTAGAGTGGCCAAGATGAGATCCACAGCCCACGTCGGCCCCTCTCGTGTTGAGTGAGGTTGATGTGGATACTGGACCTTTCGCCATGAACGCATTGTGGAAAGGATTGCGGTTCGAATAACGCATGACTTGAAATTCTATTTCATAAACCGTTTGACTCTTCTACTAAGGGAGCAAGGAAATGTCAAACTTGAAGCATTCTGTTGGTTCAGATGTTGGACAGCAACTGTTCTGCAAATCTTTATATAGACCTAGTGAGTTCAATTAATACAGCATTCTAGATGACCACTCCGGCCCGGACCAGTTCCCCGGCGCTGGCCGAGGAACTGAACAGAAGTGCCGGCCAGGAGACAATCTTGCACCTTAATTATGAGCCACAGCTATGTTGCCTCACCAACCTCATGATCTCTCTCGTATGTTGGTCTCGCAGCTAGCCGCCTCGATGTAGCGCAATGGACAGTTTACATAGCCTTGTTCCAACAATCTGGATAGCTGCTAACGCAGTCACCAGGTCTAGCTTGCGAGTCGCACACAGGGGAAATCTCCCCACGGCACGCCAAGATACACCAGTGTTGCTTGCGACAAGGTGCTCGTTCTATTGGTGCAAGAGATCGGGGAAGTCGGGGCCGGCGAACCGTTCACCTCCATCCGCTTAGGGTCGCCAAGCGGGAGCCAAGCGGGAGCAAAACGGCTCTCGCCATGTTTCTGATATCCCTTCCAATCAGGACGCGCCTCGGGAATCCGGTCCAATTTCCTAGCGAAAACGTCACTCTCAAAGTACCAGACAGAACCCGGATTTCGCAGCGGACCGGCGCTTCTCATGTGATTGACCTGGGGAATCGCGCGGTCTGGGGTAAGTCGCCTTGGGGAAAGGGAATTGCGGGGATAGCTCAGGTGTTCTTTCATGCTGGAGTGACCCCACGGATGTCATACGCGGCGGCATTGTGCCCAGAGGCAGACCACACGCATCGTCTGGGGTTGAAGTGGTCTGGTTGCAGCCGAGGAACGGGCAAGCGAACCTTGGAGATGTGCATGTAGGAAGGATACATAAGGCGGACGTCGCGTCTGTGTTGATCTGTGGGGGAAGTGGTTGATTTTCTGATTACCCAGACTCTCTTGGTTCCAAAGTTGTATTCGACCTGTTCCTCCTGTGGATAACAAGACACCGAGTTCATTCGCCGAGATTGATCTGCCAGCATGGCTGAGCCAACAAGACAGTCATATACGGACGCTGACGAGAAGCGAGATCTCGCCAGCAGCGACGTCATGGAGGACGCACCTCCTACTGTGGTCGCAGCGGTAGCTGCCCACGAGATCGCGCACGAAGTTGAGGGTGGGAACTACTCCCCATGGACAAAATCCATGTTCCACCTTTACGGTGTGCTGTTTGTCGCGTACTGCTGCGGTGCTCTCAACGGATATGTAAGCTTACCTCGGCTTTCGTATGGTATAGATCTGGGGGGCTGACAGCAAAACGCCAGGATGGATCTCTCATGGGATCGCTCAATGGAATGACCTCCTACCAACGAACTTTTGATATGTGAGAGCTCTGTGCTGGCAGTGCTTCTTGAGGGTGAGTAAGCTGATAGGGGGCCAGGAAAACCTCGGGCTCTTCGACCGGTATCGTGTTTATGATGTACAATGTCGGATCAGTCTGCGCTATTCTCTTTACGGGACCTGTCAATGATCTTCTAGGAAGACGCTGGGGTATGTTTGTTGGCGCTCTGCTAATCATTGTAAGTCTATTTTATCTAATATCTCCAAGACTGGCCCGTACTGGACTGACAGTGACTTTAGGTCGGCACATGCATCCAGTAGGAAAATACGGTTCATCGAGCTGTCCCATCGAGTCACTAACTTGATGTCTAGGGCTACGGCAAATCACGTTCCGCAATTCCTGGGAGGACGTTTTGTATTGGGCTTTGGTGTGTCGTTTTGCTGTGTCTCTGCACCGACCTACGTGAGCGAGCTAGCGCATCCCAAGGTACGTCGGATCTTTGCAGTGATCAGTTGAACTGAACTGATGGAATGAGAAAACAGTGGAGAGGTACCCTTACCGGACTCTACAACTGCATGTGGTAAGAATACTCGAGAGCATTGCCACAAGTCTTCTGTGAAGCTAACAGCAACACAGGCCTGTCGGAGCTTTCATTGCAGGCTGGGTAAGCAACTGCGGTTCTCGGAAAGTTTCATTCTTTCGTGCACAGATTCTAATTTCGGACCGGCAGGTTGCCTACGGTGCCTCTTTCATCTCCGGTGACGGCGGCTGGCGACTTCCCGTGTGGTGTCAACTCTTCACCTCCGGAATCGTTGTTATATTCGTCTTCTTCCTGCCAGAGAGTGTAAGCATTGAATCTAGTCTTGAATTCTGAACCGCCAGCTGACTCTGTTCTCGACAGCCCCGATGGCTCGTCGCCAACGACCGACACGAGGAGGCAGCAAAGATCTTGACACAGCTGCATGGCGAAAAGGACCCCAACCACCCCATCGTGCAGTTGCAAATGAAGGAAATGATGGCTCAGATCTCAAACGAGGCTAGTGACAAGAAATGGTGGGACTACCACGAGTTATGGAACACCCACTCTGCCCGGAGAAGACTTGTTTGCGTTCTGGGTATGGCCATCATGGGACAGGTGAGAGCTTCAAACCCCCTCTAGCATGCCTCTTACGACCGCTGCTAAAATTAATCAATCTCAGGCATCCGGCAACTCCCTGTCAAGCTACTACCTAGTCACCATGATGAATACAGCCGGAATCACAGACGAGAAGAAGGTCCTGGCCCTCAACGCAGTCAACAGCATCCTCGGTCTCCTCGGAAGCGTCATCGGCGCTCGTCTCACCGATCGCGTCGGTCGACGACCCTTGCTCATCTATAGCATTCTATTCTGCTCCGTCACATTCGCCATAATCACCGGGACTTCCAAGATGGCCGTCGACGACCCGAGCAACACCAACGCCGCCAACACCACCATCGCCTTTGTGTTCCTGTTCGGTGTCGTCTTCTCTCTGGGTTGGACTGCCCAGCAGAGCATGTACATCGCCGAGACTCTCACCACATCCACCCGGGCCAAGGGAACCGCCGTCGGCAACTTTGCTTCCTCGGCAATCTCGCTGGTGCTCGCTTACAGCTCTGGGCCTGCGTTTGAGAAGATTGGCTACTACTTCTACCTAGTATTTGTCTTCTGGTACGTTACATATTCAAGGGCTAATCAGATATCAAAGGAGGTGCATCCATGCTAATTCCTCAACTCTAGGGACATCTTGGAGGCCATCTTCATCTTCTTCTTCTTCCCCGAGACCAATCATCGCACGCTGGAAGAGCTAGAGGAGGTGTTCTCAGCGCCGAACCCAGTCAAGAAGAGTTTGGAGCCTCGTACCGCATCGACTGTGTTGGAAACCATGAAAGTCCCCAACGAGAAGTTTGTAGAGGCTTGACAGATCGTGTTGCCTCAAGACTTGTGTCCAGGTCCATAATCATGGTGTAAGCAGACGGACAGAGTTCCGAAAACGTTCTCGTAACGAAACAATGAATCTTTGGCCCGAAAGACGCCGTTCTCCCATTTGAAAGCGAACTGGCGGTTTGACTAAGTACTTGGCTAGTATTAACAGGTGACCGTGCATAACAACAATGTTCTGCACAAGCGCTTGCCGATCGGTGGAGACTTCGGAGTTTTGGTGGGTAGGGGGTGGATATTATGCATCGGCTTTCTCACCGATATCGTCATCCGGCTGGGAATAGCGTGCGGAGATTCAAAGCACACCGGAAGACATCCGATTATCTTGAGAGGTAATCTGCATCAGCACATGATGAGCACTTGCAACTCAGCACTTGGTTACCGGTACCTCAGATTTCCTTTCATAAGCGTCCGTCGGTCCCCACTAGCTTTGTTGCCAGCACGAATATTCCAGTCGTTAAAGATTGGTTTGAGATACAAACTCTGGCGATCGTTCCACCAAATTCACTCCCAGAATTCAATTCTTCAAGCCAATTTTGCAGTAATGTCCAGCAACAAACCTATTGTTCTCCGCCTCGGCGAGGACATCAAATACAATCACGACTACTACAAAGACGTATTCACAGACCGGTTCATCGTCGTAGCCAATGAGGAAACCGACCGGGCATCTTTCATCAAAGCCCTCAAGGAGAAAAAGTATGGCGACTTCTCCGCCATATTCCGCCCGCATTTCCAGAGTGGCGGCGAAATGGGCCAGTGGGATGACGAACTCATCTCCCTCCTGCCTCCATCCGTCCGCATCTTCGCATCCGCGGGAGCAGGTTTCAACTGGGCCGATGTGGATGCCCTCGGCCGTCGCAAGATTTGGTACGCCAACGGTGCCGGCGCCAGCGACGAGGCAGTCTCAGACACGGGACTGTTTATGATCCTCTCCGTCTTCCGCAACTTTTGGAGGGCACAGAGGGCGGCGAGGACGTGTGATCCCGAACAGTTCCTGGCTATGCACCGGCTCGTGGGAGGGATATCATGGAGCCCGCGCGACCACGTGCTCGGGATCGTGGGGCTGGGGAACATCAGCAAGAAGCTTGCCTACAAAGCTCGCACGGGGTTGGGTATGAAGATTCATTACTACGATGTTGTCCGTTCGCCGCCCGAGGTCGAGGAAGAGTTGCAAGCAACCTTTCATCCGACGCTGCACGAACTCCTGGCGGTGTCGGACTGCGTGACGCTTCATACCCCGCTCAATGCTCACACGCATAATTTGATCAACAAGGAAGCGCTTGCATCTATGAAGGATGGGGCGCGGCTTATCAATACCGCACGTGGCGAGATTGTGGACGAAGAAGCCTTGATTGAGGCTCTGCAGAGCGGGAAGTTGTCTGCTGCTGGTTTGGATGTGCATTACCACGAACCGCAAGTATCTAAGACGCTTGCGGATATGGACAATGTGACTCTGACATGTCACAACGGTGGAGCGGCTATCACAACGCGGGTGAACTTTGAGCTGAATGCTATGAAGAACATTGTTGAAGTGGTCGGAAGTGACGGCCGTCTGGTTGGGAAGCCATTGACAACGGTAAATCAAAAGGCATTCGAGTCAGCCCCATAGATTACAGTTCGCTCTCGTATCATTCTCAAAGACAAACTCCTAACATTTCCCATCTAAGATTCTCATCTAAGATGTTGCCCCACGACTCCCTCGAAGGTGATTGCCAGCTTACAGCTAGTGTTGCAATGGCTGCCTATGAACAGCAAGCCCATGAGACCAACCTCCCCTCCGGCATTCTCTCCGACATTCGGAAAGTCGGAGCACACGGCGTGTCTCGGTGCTGAAAAGTGGCACAGGCGCTAGCCGTCCCCTCCCCCGCATACCAAGAATCCGGGGCCCCAGATCAGAGACTTGGTCCCAAGCTAGCCCCACCGGCCTTCTCTCCGGGAAGCCAACCCCTACCTTTTCGTTAGCGTCTACGTCTGTGTTAAAACTATAGCCAGATACCTCGAGCTTAATCTTTCCATGTCGAAGGAAAATCAGCATCGTCCAGTAGTCCCTTCTGACGAACTTGGTCTTCACAATGTCTGAAGCGATTCAAACACAGAAACAGGATGCCGAGCATACGGAGAAACGTCAGGCTCTGTTGCCGGAAGAGCTGCCGCTCCCTCAAGAGTTGGAGCATATGGGGATCGAGGAGTTGAGAGTCCTTGAAAGGGGTCTGACACGCCGCCTTGATCTCACGCTGATGCCGACGGTTTTCATCTTATTCCTTCTCAATATCCTGTACGTTAAAAAAGTTCGTATGGAACCAACTGGTGTTTGTTATGCTGACATCCTCAAAGAGACAGGAATAACATAGCAAGTGCCAAGATCACAGGACTTACCGAGACACTCAACATCACAAACGCCGAGTACAACACCTGCTTACTGATGTTCTACGTTGGATGTAAGTTTCCGTCCTCGATCCCCTTCAGTGATAATGAGCTTGAAACATGAGGGCTGACATTGCGACAAGACTGCATCACCCAAGTTCCCTCGAATCTCATCATCGGAAAAGTCAGACCTTCTTACTACATCTGCCTCATCACTTCGCTATGGGGCGTTCTCTCCATGTCCCAGGGCTTCACCACCAATTTCTCCCAGCTTGCCGCTGTCCGCTTCATTCTCGGTCTGGTGGAGGCTCCGTTCCTGCCTGCTGTCTTCGTTTTGATGTCTTGCTGGTACAACAGAAAGGAGCTGCCTCCAAGAATCGCGATTCTCTATGGCGGCAACATGCTCGCTACGGCTTTCTCGGGGCTGATTGCCGCAGGTATCACCTCTGGTATGGAAGGCAAGGCAGGACGCCCATCGTGGGTAAGTTTGCAAACCCCCCCTGTCAGGAGCATGGATCGGACTAACAGCAGACAGGAATGGCTTTTCATCATTGAAGGCGCCATGACTGTAGTCATTGCCCTTCTCCTCCTTCCCCTGCTCACAGATTACCCGCTTCAAAGCAAGCATCTCTTCCTATCACGGGAGCATCAGCTTTACGCCGTACGTCAGCTTCAAAATTCCGGTCGCAATCCTATGTATCTTCCTGTTAACCGACTACTGATATAGGAATGGCGAATCCGTAAAGAGAATGCCGGCATCGTTGACGAAGACCCCGAGTCAATTTTCTGGGGGCTCAAACAAGCACTCATTGATCCAAAGCTGTACTTCTTCATCGTCCAGCAGATGGCTTTGATCACGGCGCAAAGTTTCAACAACTTCTTCCCCTCGATTGTAGGAACCCTAGGCTACGGCCAAACAACAACGCTTCTTTTGACGTCCCCGCCATACTTTTTTGCCTTCATTGTTTCGTTGTGCGTGTCCTTCCATGCATCGCACAAAGACGAACGTGGCTATCATATTGCGGTCCCCATGATTTTTGCCCTTCTCGGAAACCTCTTGGTAGGTCCTTCAACCTTGCTGTCTTGGAGCATCAGATTGATAGATGTAAACTAACAATCACCACAGGCCATGTTCGTACCAAGTCTCGGCGGACGATACTTTTCCATGTTCCTCATGACCGCCGGCTCCTACGCGCCTTACAATCTCTGCGTGAGCTGGCTCAGCTCTTCTCTCCCGCGTCCCCGAGCAAAGCGTGCGGCCGCTCTCGCCATTGTCAATTTCATGGCCGCTGGCGTGGCGCACTTTTACACAAGCTACATGTTCCCCGATAGCCAAAAGCCAAGGTACTATGCCGGTGGCGCTGTGATGTCCGCGGCGTGTTTGATATGTGCCGCCGTAGCCTTGTCAATCAAGTACTACCTCAAGAAACAGAATGAGAATTTTGAAGAGGAGGAGCGCTTGGGTGTTACGAGTCATAGTCAAATCGCAGGGTCAAAAGCTGGGCGTGGTGGTGAAGGGGTTGTCTCTTTTCGATATGTGCATTAGGATGCTGTACCGCTCGCCATGTAAAGGACATGTAGTAGGATTTATCCAGTATTCGGTCAGAAACCTCTGGAAACCCTCAGATTCCCGGGGACGACATCGATTGTCACCGACCTTGCCTAGCTTACCAATACCATTAAGGCCTTTATCACTCAAATTGAGGACGTGCATCAAACCTGCATCTACAGTTTATCCCCCTCTCATTGGTCGTTGTGTATGAAATTATCAACCATCATCGACAGCTCAAGCCGAACTGACTTGACTTATTACGGCTTGGAGCTTTTAGCGGCGTGTCAGGCTACTTCGTATTAAGTGAAGGGGTCAGCAACGCATATAGTGTAGCCTGGTGACTGCCATTCGAATCTGCCTCCCCTAGTCTACAACAACTAGGATCCCCTTTGAATCCCTCCATACTGGGATAAGTTTAATCCTTCTCCAATGCCACAGTGGCTGTGCCATAGATTCCCCCGGCGTACCTTCGATGGCGGTGCACTTGACACGGAGGTGATATTGAACATCTTCGTGGTTGTAAAAAAGAGGAAACAGATTGACATTTCAGCACCTGACTAGGAATCTTGGTGAAGAGAGTAGGTGGAATTCAATGGCTATCTCTTCCACCAAGGCTGATTATCCCAGCATAGAAGTGGAGATGGCGTCAGGATCCCACTCTTCACCTGGAAGCACAACCGATGATCCAATTCAGCTACTTTAAAACGATATTTCTCTCCTATCACAGGTCGTGTTTCATGTCTTCAGAACCATTTCAAGGCATAATAACGAATGGCGTGTCTAGATCTATAGCCGAGCGAAGGAGGGCTTCGGCTCCCATCTTCCGGTCTCCCCTAACCTACATACATAATATACTTGATGTAGGCACAGGCGATCGGACTTAAGAGGAGATAGAGACATCAATCAGGTATCTTCTGTTGTTCTAGTCCTAGACAGCGAGCACGTAAATACATGATGCGCTAACTCGTATAGTCACGGATTTCTGGGCAGGTTCCCCGCTTGCGACATTCTCCGACTTCAACTTCTTACTTGTTGTAATACATCATTAGTATCCAAGAACCCTTTAAGGCGCTGGTGGCAGCTCTGGGGGTGAGCTCGACGGTGGCATTCAATGTGATAACTCGCCAGAGCAACGACACCAGCGAAACGAGCCCATACTTTACCGACGTATCCGATCACATCAACTCCGTTGTCGATAAGCTCTAGCCATTTAACGAAGAAATCCACGATAACCCAGATCTGGGGTATGAAGAAGTCACGGCCCATGATCTCCTTGCATTCTTAGGGAATCTCACCAAGGCTGGAATGTTACGAGACCTATTTACAACATTAGGACCGCATTCTTCGCCGTGTTTGAGGGAACAGATGAAGGGCCTGTAATGTCCTTTAACGCTGGGTATGGTGATTTTATGGAGTGTGTGATCCCTTCGAATAGAGTTAGTTGATAATGACCGTCATGGTCGTCTCTTGTGTTCCGAGATGTAGTGTGGTAGAAGATGACATGAAAACACCTTGGGTAATTTGACATCACCTTCACATCCTTCGAACCAAGACTATTTCGGGTTAGCGTATTTCTCTCTAACCCTGTTCTTCATTACTTTACAAGCCAAGCCAAACCAAGCGAGACTTAACAAGCCTTGACCTGACAATTGAGCGGCAACATCATGACTTGAAGCCAACATAGAACGGCCAAAATACCCCGAAAGGGCACATTTATGGCAAGCTCAATTTCATTTCAGTCGCCCTTACATAGTCCTTTCTACAAATGGACGAACGAGAATTGATCAGGCTGAATGTCCATAACCCCCATTTGACCGCGGGTAACTTGAAGTGAGACTTTGAAGGGGTTTCATTTAGAAACTAGCTTACAGTTGAAGCTGGCAGTTTGTGGCTCCAGTGCATCGAGAGAACGTACCCATGTCTTAATCCTTTCCTAGTTTTCAATTTCCAGATTGCGATCTCGCCTTCATCTCTTCCTCAAGTCTCTGCTGACCGTCCAGACACTTATCCGCCATTACAAACTTGTCAAGTGTTTCTCTTGCCTGGCGATGAGTCAGGCCGTTGAGACTGGGGTTTGGAGGTAGTGAAAGATTTGTGTTACTCCCTCCGTGGTGGCCATAACCAGGGCCTCCATAACGACCACCCTTTGAGCAAGCATCGCCCGTCGTGTCCTTATGACCGCCTTTGGTGCCCGACGCATCGTCTCCAGGGCCATTGTGGTCTCCGGCACGGCAGCCACCTTTGATATCTTCGAACGTTTTAGGGGTAGCGCTGCGATGTACATCGGACGAGAGTGTGGGCATTTTTGCTGGAGGACTTTGAGGTGCCCCTTCTTCGTCTGGAAAATTTATGGCGGGATGAGGAGGCTTTCTGGTGGAGGATGGTGGTGGATGGTAAAGTGTTTAAGAATTCTGTGTGGTTGATGTTGTGTGCAGAAGATTGTCCAGGGCCGGACATGTGCAACGCCTTTTAATATATCAAAGTTTCAGAGTTTACTACCAGGATTGTTCCGGCACCATCGATAAGTTCCCTAATTTATGTTTCGTGCATTTGCTAAATGGGTCTCTTCGGCTTGGTGCATCTTAGTCGGTCTTGAACAGTGGTTTGGTAACACAGCGTCTCCAAACGGGATCGGAACACAGTGCACAAAAGCACCGTCAAGCGTGGCGGCTAAGAGGGTGAGTTGCTCTGCTTCAATACACCCGCTCAACCAGGTGGATTTGAAGAATTGGGCGGTAAACCCCCCATGATGTCTTTCAAAGACTATTCGAAGGCAGCTGAACAGCAGAGTCAAACGATCCGCGCTGAAGGTACGTACATGTATCACAGGGACTACTATGGTCAGGCTTGGCATCTCTAGCAAACAAAACATCATCAGCCCCGTCTACCTGGTCTCACTCTTCCAGTGAAGCACAAGGTGCTATGTAACTTAACGGCGCCGTTCATACGCCGCAGCAATTCCAAATGACTGGATACTAACTCAGGTCGAAGAATGTACTACGGACAGTCGATTATTCGACATTATGCGCCCCTAAAAAGCTCTGAACTCAGTCAAGCCCTTCTCGTGGTTGTTGTAGATGCCTCCATCGCAAGCCACAAGCCTCATGGCACTTCGGCGAGCAAGTCCATGCGCTTGTTGCATTCCGCGGCGGGTTGCTTCACGCGCTGACTTTCCTGGGGCCCCGGAAGCGGAGCCTGCGGACGTTGCCGACCGACCAGGAGCGCGCCGTGTTGAGAATGCCCTCGGCTTGGACGAGGTTATGGGTCTCCTTGGCGTCGGCGACTTGTTCTTCCTCTTGGTTTTTGACGTAGACCGCAGGAGCGATGGCCGCTGCGGTGGTGAGATGGGTGCTCAGGAACACGGCAGTGATGGTTGTGAACTTCATGTTGGCAGGATGTTTATCTTGTTCAAGACTTGAAAAAGCGTTTTTTTTTTGTTAAAAGAGAGTGACTTGATGTTTGGAAAACTGAGAAAAGAGTGCGAAATTACTGGAATGTGACTGGTAAGAATGATGAGCTGATCGAACGAAGAGCTGATGAGGAAGCAGTATTTATGAAGGTTACAAAGGTTACAACATAATATCAGGAGAAACTCCTCTCTAGACTGATTCCAGCATGTGCTTTGCAAAAGAATTCTAAATTGAATTATTCTATTGCGGTCTGGTTTCTTCAAAACCCGATTTTGCTTATATCCAGGAGCTACTCCAAAACGAAAAGTACATAGTAACGATCCAGAATAGTATTCTTAGCACATTCGTGTCATAGAGACAGTTTGAATTTACCACAAGTCCATATGTTTTGGAAATTCGCCGTCATTCTACATGAATCTATTACAGTTCTTGAAAAGCTTGTTTACTCAATATTGGCGCATTGTACGGAAACGATTTGGGACGAACGAAGCAGCCGTTACGGGTTTTGGCGTTTCTGAGGGGAGCTTCATGTAAAGGGCTTGCCACGTGGCTCATTGCGCCTTCGGGCTACAACCCCATCTTCTACGGTTAGTTAAACAGCTAAGTCATTACTCGGTTGCCTAAATATTCTGACAAAGTACTCCCAGTGACACCGGATGCAGCAATGGTGGTGGTCAGATCGCGACCACTGGCGAGGTCACCGACATCCGCAGTAGCCCTCAGTTCAGCACTATGAAGGAGGATGTTTCTTTTCCTTCCTGTGCAACTTCCAAGGCCGTGCTCTGAAACCTAGGATATCTTAATCAATTGGCGCATCGTCCTTTAGTCTCCGGTATGAGTCTGTCACTTGGTAGATGTACTTGGCACCACAACAGACTGCTCTGGACTGGTACGACGGTCGCGTAGGGATGAAATGGACTATGATTATTCGGTTGGGCATGGGTTTTCTGGGCCTCCTTTATCTTCAAACAGCTCATTAGCAATTGACATGTCACTTTGCTTACCTGTCCCTTCAAAGTGGGTCATCTTATGGGCTCCATCTGATGGTTTTCCTGGATCATCATAGGCATCTTATGCTATAGAAGGACCTTGAAATTTTAAATGTGCCTCCCGTTTCGTCGAGGTTGGAATATGTGCGACTTAGTCATACTCGCAACTAAGGCGCTTGCTGGATTTTGAAATGGAAGAATTTCTGCCCCGTTCCCGCGCACAGGCCGTCGGCTGGGGGTCCGTCAAGAAAATACGGGGCCACGAAAACAGAGAGGCTCACACACACCGAGGTCACATAAACAACTGGAGGAGGAGGGGAGCGTAGCCGCACATGAACCTTGACCTGTGTACTGAATCCTGAGGTGATTATTCTGCTTTTGAGCTGCGAGGGCGGTCACATTTCATGAAAGAGCTCAGACTCAAGGTTCACCGGCACAAGTGTTGAGTTTCTTGAGGATTATCTGCTTACGAAGCGATGCGGCTGTCCCGGAAGCAAACGGAAATCGGAACCAGAAAACCCGTGGAAGTGAGGAAGCGCTTTTTTCGGTCTGACGACACGTTCTTGGAGCTGCAGCAGCGGTCTCTCGCCGAGCTGCTTAGTTAATTGAATCAAGTGGACAAGCCAAGTGCAAAGAACACATCATCGTGGTACTTGTCGGAGGAGACGCGTCGTCCACGTTACGCCGAGGGCAAGCAGAGCTTGTCTAACGGTGATCTGAAGGTGCTATGTTGAAGGGTTCAATCTTTCACGCCGAGATCTCGGAGGCAAACTCCAGAATGCGAGATGATCAGATAATGCCAACTGAGGGTCAGGCGCCCACATCCGGCTGAACAACCATGCCACCCTTGCCTCCATGTGGCAAAGTCCACCTGGAAGCCGAGACTTCCAAGAAGCTTGATGGGACGTCCCCCGGATGGGATCACAAGTTTGTGGTCTGCATTCGGTCAAGGCTGCCACATCTGCTTTCTGACTGGTTGAACAAAGAGACGATATGGAGAATCTCGAATGCACGAATTTCTCACTGTGAGAATTTTCTCACTCGCGAGAAACTCCACTTCGCATCCACCCCACTGTGGATTGAAAGCAGAGCGTTGACAGGTCGATGGGCTGAACGGGACGGTTGGGACTAGCATATCCCTGACTCGTAAAGGGGTCCCAAGCCTGTTTAATCTTATCAGATGCATCTCCGAGAGCCATTGTTGCGCTTGGCGCACTAGTCTAGAGCAAAGAAAACCTTGACTGTGAGAGGGAAAATTCACTAATGGAATCCTCCATCGTCCGAGTCGCTTTCTCCCAAGCCCATGTTTTCGTTTCTCGCCGTGCCGACTCGATCCGACCTCGGGATTGCGAACCAACACGGTTCGGTTACCGTCCGACGAAGGTTGGATAAATAGCAACACGGGCGCTGCTTCAATGGAAGCATTCATTTTGCTCCCTTGGCCTCCTCACCGATCATTCGTGCATTAGACTGCTACCGAGAGACCGGTACATCATCAGACGACAATGGCGGCCCGCGCAGATCTCGAGTCCCACAGGGAGAAACAACCCGAAGACCTCGTCAACGAGGTCCCCGAGTCATCATCCTCGGACTCGGAAGACGAACTCAAGCCCCATCCCCCGTTGTACTGGAAGATCATTGCCGTCATTTTGATCTCCTGCATCAGCTTCGGTTCGTCATGGAGTTCGGGCATCACCGGCGCCTTGAAGTCAACGCTCAAGAAGGAGCTCCACATTAACAACAAGCAATTCTCGCTGCTTGAGGCCAGTGAAGATTTCATGGTTACCCTGCTCATTCTCACGAGTGGTATCGTGACGGATAGGATCGGTGGTGCTGGTGCCATGTTGTACGGTAAGCTTTTGCGCCTGCATTCTTGTCTGAGACATTTGGCAGCTGACGCAGAGGCAGGTAACATCATTTACTCCATTGGTTCCATCATCGTTGCCGCCGCAGCTCAGACGCGGGACTTCAAGCTCATGATTGGCGGCCGAGTTATCCTTGCCCTCGGTGACATCGCAACCCAGGTCGCCCAGTACAAGGTCTTCAGCTCCTGGTTCTCGCCCAACAATGGTTTCGCGTCCACTCTCGGTCTTGAACTCGGCATTAAGAAAATCGGCGGTTTCGTCGGCAAGTCCTCAGCCAACATCATTGCAAAGAACACTGGCAACTTTGCATGGGTTTTCTGGATCGCCGTCTTCATGAATGTCTTCACCAACATCCTCACCATCGTATTTTACCGCTTCAACACCATCGCTCACAAGAAGTTCGGTAATGTCACGGACCCGGCTACAGGTGAAAAGCTCACGGAGAAGTCCAAGAAGTTCCAAGTCAAGAAAGTGTTGGAGCTGCCGTGGGTTTTCTGGGCAATTTTGTCGTTCTCCCTGTTCCAGACCAGCACTGCCGTCGTCTTCTCACAGAACGCTACGGAATTGGCCGAGAAGAGATTCAAGACGGACTCCATCACTGCTGGTTGGTATTCCGCAACCCTGCAGTACGCTGGTTTTTTCTTGGTGCCCTGCATTGGCGCCTTCATTGATCTCTTGGGTAACCGCATAACCTTGTGTAAGTCATGAATCTACCTATCCCCTCTATATGCCAGTATCTAACCATCTCTAGTGGCCATCTGCGGTACCGGAGTCTTCTTGGCTATGGCACTTGTCAACTGGGCCACTGATACCAAGGGAACTGCTGCCGCCTTTGGCATCTACGCGGTCGCATTCACTCTGGGCCCTACCACCATCATCGACAGTATCCGTACTTCAATGTGGCACGGCTCTGTCTTTGGCTCCGCTTACGCCGTCAAGATTGCCACGAACAACGCGTAAGTACTTGCATTCAATTCATCTGAGATTTGTCTAATAAGTAACAGAATGAACATCATCGTCCGTGTCATCACCGGAGCCATTCAGGATGCCGACCACGACAGCTACGACCACGTCGTCATCGTTTATGTCGTTCTCGCTGCTGCTTCCGTCCTTGTTTCGATCATGTTGGGCGTGCTGTCGTGGCGGTCCATCGATCTGGGCAACCTTCAGTGGACACGAAAGCAACGCAGGGCAAACGGCGAGTTGTGGAATGAGCGAAAGAGAGCGTTTTACGAGGACAACGGCCCGCGCAACAAGCTGATTTCCAAGATTTGCTTCGGCTCTTTGGTTTTACTGATTCTTGGAGCTTGGTCGGCGTACTTCTGGGGTGTTGCAACTGGCAACAACTCCTAAGTACCTTACGCAAATGATGATTTTGAAGGGGAAACGGCCGAGGATTCATGGAGGAGCTCCTAATATCTGAAATATCTATGCTCCCTTGCAACATGATGAGAAACTTAAACAGCAACGTATTGATTGAATGAACGTATCAAATGTTTCACGTATCAAAAGCACGAAAAGTAGTGATACGCGCCAATATGAATTCTAGGCTATACAAAAGCCTACTATGAAAGTGTCATAGCATTCTCACAAAACGACTCCATGCCCAAAAGACTTGGTTGTGGCGAGTAACATTCATGGCTCGGGCCCTTAGCTCCCGTGACGCGATGCCGACTTACCACACTTTCAGTTATTGAGGTCTCATTAGACATATTGAAGATGTGAATATGAGACTACGAGTTGATTTCCGGGACTTAGAGGACTTGAGGAATCTGCTGGCTTCGGCTTGATAACCGAGTCGGCTCCGATCAACGGTGCCGATGCACCGCCTCCTTCGGGTCCACTCTGTCATTCCCCCGCCGGCCTCACCTTATCTCCAACTCAACTTCCCAATCTGTGTGCCTCCGACTCATAACACGACAAACTCGAATCAACCACGCCAGAGTTTACAAACTGCCTTCTTTGTGCCTTTTACTTCTCGTAGTCGTCAGCTATCATGGGCTACGCAGTCTCGCCGGAAGACCTCGCCGTCCCCGGCCGGGACACATACTACTGGCTCGGCGAAATCAACAAGGCCAGCGCCGTCATCAACTCAGCAGGAGGACTCCTGGAACAAGACGCAGCCCGTCGCATCAGCCGCGGGCTCCAGAAACTCCTAGACTCCGGCAACGAGCCCGGCGCGCCGCGCCCTACCCTCGTCATTACCTTCGAGCCTCTTCTCATCAAAGCGGCCGGGGTGGAAGCAACGCTCCTGCACGCCGGCCGCTCCAGCCAGGACATGCTTTCTACGGTCGCGACTGCGATCCTTCGCGATTCGGTCCTGAAGCTGGCTGCGCAGCTTCACGCGACAACAAATCGCCTCGTTGCCATGGCGGAAACGCACGCCTCGACGCTCGTACCGAATTACACCAACGGTGTTGCCGCCCAGCCCAACTCCTATGGTCATTACTTGCTGGGTCACATTGCAGGCCTTCATCGCGACGCAGAGAGACTGCGGCAATTCTTTGCCCGATTGGACCGATGTCCGATGGGCACGACCGTTCTCAACGGCACGAGTTGGCCCCTCAATCGCGAACGCATGGCCAAATACCTCGGCTTTGCAAAAGTTGTCGACAACGCCTATGATGCAGCGCAAATCTCCATGGCTGAGATGCCAGTTGAGCTTGGATCTATCGCCTCTCAAATTGCTCTCCATACCGGTGCCTACATCCAGGACGTCATGAACCAATACGCCCAACCGAAGCCATGGATTCTCCTCCAAGAGGGAGGTTATAACACCTATGTCTCGAGTGCCATGCCGCAAAAGAGAAACCCAGGCCTCCTGAACATGACTCGAAGTGAGGCATCCCATGTTGTCACATTGGGGATTGGTCGTGCCGTTCAGGGACACAACCTTCCTCCAGGTTATAGTGATGCGAAAGATCTAGGCCATAATCTGGCTATTGTCAACGGCGCTACAAGGGTCCTCGCACAATGGCAGCGCATTCTCGACGCACTCGTCATCGACGGCAAACGATCTCTGAAAGAATTGGATCTCGACTGGACCGCCTCTCAAGAATTAGCTGATTTCCTCATGCGCGAGCACAAGGTGCCGTTCCGTGTTGGGCACCACTTTGCGTCAGAGGTTGTCAGATATGCCAAGACCGAAGACTTGTCCCCGAGCAATTTTCCTTATGCAGAGGCATCTAGGATATTTCAAGAAACATTGAAGCACGCTGGCCTCGAAGACGGCTCTCATGACTTCCTGAGCGAGGAGGAGTTCCACAATGCGCTTGACCCGGCTGGCATCATCAAGCATAGAGCCACCTCTGGGGGTCCTCAACCCAGAGAGATGGAGCGCATGATTGGCAGTTCGAAGCAAACGCTACAGGATCTTGATGATTGGGTGAAAGAGCGGCAGTCTCATATTGCAAGCTCACTGCAGGAGTTGAATGAAGCATTCAAATTATTGCTGGAATGAGGTCCTCCTACAAAATTCTCCTATGAGTTGAGTCTCCGACCTAGATTATTCCCCATAAAATATAATGATTAGGCAGTGTACATAAGATGTGATTGCTCATGTGACGGGGCTATTGATGTAGAAAATTGAGGAATGTGGATGTGACGAAGTGGAAGGTCACCAGTTGCGGGACGCCTCGTTTGCTTAGACTCACCGTGAAGACCTGAGGAAGAAAGCAGAAACGCACGTTTCACTATCGCAAAGTCGAATAAACCCTCTTGTCCGTATTCCGCCAAAGAATCTCAACTTTGAGTTCTCGTCCTCGCTTAGAATTAGTTGCGAAATGTCATTGATGTATCTTCCAGCTCCATGTCGCCGTCAGCACTAGCGATCCGGGGTCCTCGGCGACCCATGCAGAGCCGATGTAATCTCTTGGGTCGTTGATTGGCAAAAGATACTGCGCCCCCGAAAATCTGTTGACGTTTGGGCTAGGCTGGTTTGTACACCCGTTATTGGCTCTAGACGGGTGATTCCCACGCTTTAAGTCTAGTTACCCCAGTTGAGGAACACAGAATGCAACCTGCCCCTCGCCCTAGGTTTCTAATGCAACATTGAACCAATGATGTAAACATATATCCACAGCTCACAGGCAGTTTCCCGCAACATCTGCAACTGTCCAGAGAAACAATAACGGTGGTCAGAATGCGTTTCCCAACTACCACTGTCGCTTTATTGCTGCTCGAGGCCGTCATGGGTACCGCAAAGACAACGACCTACTCGTACGGGCCCAACGTCCGCCAGATCTACGATGTCTACATTCCGTCAGCAACAAGCAACAAGACCATGGCGGCCGACAAATACTGGCTAGTGTACATCCACGGAGGTTTCTATCGCAACCTCGCCCAGAGCTCAACGGACATCCTTCCCGCCATCGCTTCTCTCGAGGCAAACAGTTCAGACGTGCTCGCCAATCAGATTGCCGGAATCGCGTCCTTGGACTATCGTCTTTCCGCACTCCCCGGCGTCCAACCCAACAATACTCCCATAAACGAGCTGCAGAACGCCAGATGGCCTGACCACCTCAACGACGCCGTTGCCGCTCTCAAGGACCTGAACAACAATTTTCCAATCGACGGCAACTACATCGTCTCTGGTCACTCCGTCGGCGCTCAGATCGCCTTCTTTGCGGCTTTGGCGACTCTTGGGGACCCCGCCGTGCCCAAACCCGTGGCCGTTCTGGGAATTAGCGGCATCTACGACTTGCCTCAACTCCACATCACCAATCCTGACTACGACTATCTCGTACTCAACGCCATGAGGGAGGACCAAGTTGTGGAGGCCAGTCCGGCCAAGCTTGATGCCGAGAAATATGTGTCACTTGACTTGCAGGCGTTTGTCCTGGCCCACAGTAGGAATGATGGACTCGTGCCTTGGGATCAGGTCGAATCGATGGAAGCTAGTCTCTATTCTTTACCTGGTTTAGAGAGCAAGACACATCTAGTCGAGCTCGATGGTGCACACAATGATATCTGGCGTGGGGGTGTGCAACTGGCCAAAGCCTTTACGGCAACACTAGCGTTATTGAGAGCACATACATAAAGTGTTTCAACAAATACTTCTAATAACAGAAGTCGGTGTAGCCAAAGATGGTTTCATACTATTATTAGCTTCACTGAGGTTTACCAACACTGCCATCATGTAGCAGTTCCGATTCTGGCGCTACCCAGCACATTGTCGTACGAGACTGAAGCCCTATCGAACGACCGCTCTGTGCTCTCTCTGCAAAGCGTATATGGATATATACATGTAGGCTACCCCTCGTAGAAGCTCGTGTTAGCTGTATCAGTCCATTTTCTACTATATGTAGTCCTCCACTGGGTGTAGCTCACTTTCGGCTTTGTGATACATTATTATCTCTACTGAAGACATGTTGCAACTTCCTCTGCGTGGTGACACCAGTAAGACAAATTACCAAGGTGGGGAAACTAGGATGAGGAAAGAGAGGATCATCTACCAAGACTTCTCGGTCTCTAGGTTTTGAAACCGTCTGAAGGCACAGCATCAGCGAGCGTTCTCTAGCCGTGGGTACAAGTAAGTTCGGATATCCGCTGGGTGCCAAGCGGAGTGCCAATTGGCCGTAGTTCCGACTCCAACCCGAAGCGACATATCATGTATGACACAGCGGCTACATGGCACGGCAGTTACGGATACATGCAACGGCTGATCAGTCAACCAATTGCCAGCTTCATTCATGCCTTATCTGCCGCATGCCTAAGGGGGTGAGCTGCAGTGTCTCCATGTCGTATCCAGAAGCAGGATTCGGAAAGGCTTTGCAAACAATCCATCTACAGGTAGAGGACTTCGAATTTCGTTTCTGTAACCCCATGTTTATCACCTCATTTATAATACGCCGTTACTATAACACCGATATCATCATTTTTAGTCATACCATCACACAGCCCTGAGATTCTTCAGAGATTATGCTGCGCGACAGACTGATTCAATGAACAGGTTAAACCGTCACAATGTCCGGCTTGCCACCTAGCTCTGAAGAATCTTCCTCAGAGATTGAGATGGATACAGACCATCAAAGCAGTTGTACTTGAAGTCTCCCACGTCGTCTCATCCTCCATGACAGGATTGCAATCAAGCAAACAAGTGGTGGGGCCTTGATGCGACGGCTAATGCGTGAGAGTTTTAGGCACTCGCATCCGATCTCAATGCTAGGAAGTAGACGCAACAGCGGAGATTGAGGGGCCAGAGATTCGCAAGAACGATCTGCTCTAGCATCGAGACTTCTGCACCGGAATGCTCTTCCAGAGCATCTGGAGGATTAAAGCGATTTCTGAAATGCCGCAGAAAGACAAAGCCCACAGAGGCTTGTTGTAGACGGCCTGGCTGGCGTTGGGAAGAGCCAACTGTCTGAAAGCCATTGCTCGCAATGAACACAAGTACGCCCTTTTATTTCACTTGGCATATTATCTCATCTAAAGTTTACTACGCTTAGATTCAGGGGTGTCTTCAACGTTGACGCCAGCAGTAAAGTCGCTGCGAGTCGAAGTTACCTTGATTCAGCTTGAGTTAGCGGGACTTTTACAGACGAGGCTGGCAGAAGCTCCGATGAACAAATCTCACGCACGAGAACCTGGATTGACGACCTCAAAGATTCCTGGATTTCATCGACAATTGTGAACCCACAGTCTCTCGGCTGGAAGACTACATTCCTCGTCAAGGCCGTGGCACCATCATCGTCTCGAGTACCGACAGACTACTTGCTTCATCCGGCGACGAGTCTTGCAAAGTTGACCCAATGGAACAAACGGGTGCCAACACATTGCTACACAGTTTCGTGGGTTCCGATGCGGATTTGAGTGACGATGAGGCGGTGGCGGCCGACTACTTGGCCACCGAATTACTTGGCAAGCTGCCGCTAGCCATTGTGCAAGGCGGTTCTTGCATTTTTAACAGACAATGCAGCTACACCGACTACTGTGATGAGTTCCTTCAGTCATATAAGGCATCTCTTTCCTCCCTGCCTGACTTGCAACGGGGGTTGATCTGCCTCAATCCGTCATGGGCTCATTAAAACTCTCCGCATAGAGAACTTGCAGACAGCGAGGAGAGTTATGCGCTCCAAGCAGCTTCTCTTTCAGCACTGGCCTTGTCCAAAGTACGAGTTCGAACATCTACATCGGGGACAGAAGACCCTTCGGGACATAAGACCCTTCGGGTCTTGATCTACAAAAAGCCATGATACCACACATCGAAGAATTCGTATCAGACCGGTTGGCCCACAGTTGTATGGAACTCGCAAAGATAGGACAAGAGTCTGGTGTGGAAATCATGCGCATACTGGCAAACGCATATTCGTCCACAGGCCACTTCAAACATGCAGGGGAGCTCCTGGGCAAAGCTCGCAAAATCTACGATTGCTGAGAGCCTAATGCATTGGCTCTGCAAGTTGAAGAACAGTCCACTGAATGCTCAATCAATCTAGGCCGTGATACAAAAGCCCAGAAGCTTAAAGCCGGGATTGTTCGTCGAAATTGGAAATCAGACATGGACTCTCTCTCGATCGCTCAAATGAATCATGCGGACTCTCTGTGGGTGATCGGACAGCAGAGTAAGGCACTATCCACGGGGCAAGAGGTTCTTGCTATGTGTGAAAACCTCCTGCCCGTCGATGATCCTACTGTGCGGAACAGACTCAAAGTGACAGAATTCTTCCATGGATCTGAAAGGAAACCTAAAGCTCTTGAACCACGGCAACGAGTTTTCCGTGATCTCGCACAGAAGAAATGTTACACCAGGCAAGATCTTCTATATAGTCTTGCGTCAAAGAGTGCGTTGGGGGACTGCTACGGTTGGAACGGCCAGCTTCTCGAGTCCTTGGAACTGCGACAGAGTGTCTACAAGGCAAGACTTGATAGTCTTCGCAAAGATGACCCCGACACCGTGCATGCAACTGACCAACTCCTCAGCACTCAAAGTCTTCTCCTTCAGACCTCAGAAGAGAGGGAGGCAATATGCCGCTCTAGAAAAGATTCCGTGGCCTCGTGGGAGTGAGTTCTGGAAGAGCATCATCCTCAAGCTATCGAAGCAAGAGTCAACTTGGGCCACAGCTATGGGGCTATTTCAAAGCTTCATGAAGCTCTTTCTGAGCAGCAAGCCGTCCTGGCAATTCGCAAACGACAGCTATCCCATGATCCGCCTTTGGCTGCAAAGACACGCTATCTCTCATCCATTGCCAACGTCGCGGACGTACAGTCGAGAATTGTTTCCGGAATCAATCCAACTTCGTGAGAGGTTGTTTTAAAGACAACACGTGGTCCTGGGCGAAGAGAGCCGGGAAACCCTGGACAACATGAAAGAGCTTGCATTGGTGCTGAGCGCTGCTAAGATGCTGCCTCAACAAGCAGCTGCTCTCATGGAGAAGGTGATGCAGGTTGAGATCAAACACCTCGGCAAAGACAATCTTCGGACACGGAACACAGCAGCCCCTCTGCATCGTCTTAATCAAGAGGCTGGAATGCTCGATGCAGTTTTTCAAAATTTGCAACTAGGACTTCCCGGAGACGTCCAACCTGGGATCAGTGGAGGACAACATAGGGCGCAGAGTCTTCATGTAGTGATACTCAACTGGGTAATTAATGTGCCTCGGTTAGAAAGTAAGTAGCCGCAAGGTCAGTTTTCATGGCGCTCCGACCGATAATCCCGCAGGTTATTAAGGTTTAACTCTCAGCAGATAACACCCAGTGCGGGCCTCGAGGCCACGAGTACGCTGACAACAAGACCCGTCGAGCTGAGCTGGCGGGTAGGAGGGATGTCGTCAACACAGAATGTCGGTCAGGTAGCAGCAAGACGAGGACGGATTACTTCGACCAAAGTCGAGCGGATTCAGATAGCTTTGTTAGGCCTCGGTTCAGCCTGTAGGTTCAAAAATCCATTTGTAACCACTGCTTCGGTAGCCTCCAGCGACGAGCAAGTACTAGCAATAAAGACGAATGCCTAAATCGCGCTCGCGGCCTCTCTCTTCTCCTTCTCAAGATACCACTCCACAGCCCTCCGAATCCCCTCCTCCTGACTCACCTCCGGCTTCCACCCCAACCTCGCCTTGGCTTTGTCAATAACATACCACCTGCTCATCCCCGAAAACCGCACAACCTGCCTCGTCAAAGGCGGCACCTCCCCCCGGAACCAATACACCCACTCGAGCGCCCACACATACGCCAACGCAAACGTCGTATTCACAACCCGCACCTCCTCGATCCTCGTCTCGTCCCCAGCCGCCCGCCACACGGCGCGGCTAAAGTCCCAAAACGGCACCGGCTCGCCGTTGGTGATGAAAAAGGCCTCGCCCGCGACGCCCTGGGGCGCCTGGAGGAGCTTGGCTGCCGCGGCGAGGTGCGCGTCTGCGGCGTTGCCGGCGTAGGTCGTGCTGAAGAGGTTCTTGTTGGCGCCGATCTGCATCTTGTTCCGGCCGAGGCGGAGGTTGCGGATGATGGCAGGCGTGATGTCATTGTCGCGTTCGCCGTGGACGGCGGCGGGGCGGAGGGTGCAGGTGCGCATGCCGGACGGGTCGTCGTACTCGAGCGTCATCTTGTCCGAGGCGGCCTGATGGTCCCAGCCTTGTCAGTAACAAGCGGGCTGGGTAAACACCTTCCCCTCCATTGAAGAGGCTGCTGCTGCCGACTCCGGACTCACCTTGGTCTTGGGATATGCCAACGTATCATCCCCCTCCTCAGCAATAGGCATCCTCTCATCGCCCCCCTCGATATCCCGAAACATCTCCCTCTGCACCACACTGGCACTGCTCGTCGTAACAAACGCCTTCACCCCAGCCCTCTTCGCCTCATCCAGCACGTGTCTCGTCCCGTCGACGTTGATCGCCCTCACAAACGCGTCCGTCATGACCTTGCGGCCCACCGTCATCATGCCCGCGCAGTGGAACACCATCGTCGGCTTCACTTCCTGAAACACCCTGGCGACGTCGTCGAGTGACGCAATGTCGCCGGCGTGGTACGTCACGCCGGGGAAGGTATTGGTCGTCGGGTTGCGCGAGAAGACGGCGATGGCAGCGGTCGGGTACGCCGCGCGGAGCTTCTCGACAATGTGGCTGCCCAGGAAGCCGCAGCCGCCCGTCACGAGGTACTTTTCTGATGCCATTGAGTCTCGGTTCTATACCTAATGTTCGAGAGATGTAACGGCGAGACGGATTGACGAGATATTTTGCCAGTGATTAGTGTCTCAAGAACAATATTTAAAGTTTGCCCCAAAAAAAGAAAACACCCAATTTCCTCGGCGACGCTGGGTCCCCAACAGATCGTCGTCGAGAATAAGCCGGCTGAAGCAGCTAGAGTGAGGGAGTGTCGTCAGCGTAAGCCATCAGATCTGATATAAGCACTTGCGGCTTCATTCCCCCGTCAAAGTGGGAACTTCAACCGGGAAACAACGTGTTTTGTGCATCATACATTCGTGCCAGACCATCAAATCTTACCCGCTTGTGCCGTTGAGCCCCAATGGTGAATTCGCAGCGACAGCCAGTGAAGTGATGTACCTCGTGTGAGGGTGCAGCCAAATCCTGTATCTGGCAATTGGGGAGATGAAGGTGCCGAGGCTGCTGCAATGCTGCGATGCAGCCGACCGACCCCTTTTTGTAGCTTGAACCCGGTAGACAGCCACAGCGACCGAAGCTCTGCCGTGCGTCAGCACTAGATCTGGTGTCTTTCAAGACAATCCCAGACATGTCGGAAAGTTAGGGATGTGGGGGGAACGCCGCAAGCTCACTCACTCACTCACTTATATTACCTTTCTCTAATCTACGCGACACCTATAACATTGTCGTCTCCAGAATGCAAAAGGTAGCTCAGGTGGGCGATAGGAGCAAACGTCGTCAAGAGCCAGGTGAATAGGCGTAAGCCTGTGAGATATAGGTAAACTTTGGTAATAAAAGGCCAACACAGCTCAAAAGATGAGATGAAGACGAGACATCAACCCGACCATTCAGGAGCCGGGTGGCACTGAACACGGGCGAGAACATCTAGGTTTGCCGATAATGGGCAGCAACACGGCCCGTCTCTTAAATTGCTCTGCCTCCACCATCAATCTCGATCTTCACCATCAAAGGGAAAGCTCTTTGCACCGCCAAAGATTTCAGCCGAGTCGGTGTGATGAACGCTCAAGACGTTCCCAGCCATTCGGCCAGGTCCGATCGACATACGCAGTATGAGCAGCACTCGCAAAGATCTCACTTTGCCGTCCATATCATCATCTCACCTCATGTCCTACATTCATCAGCAGCTTCGATTCGGGCCAGAAACGCCACGCTAGTCATCACACAAGTTCAAGGCCAAAAGAAAAACACAAGCATTGAACGCAAGAGAAAACGCAGCTGGTTGGTGATGTGCCACAACCCGCCCATCTACAAAAGCCTCGCCCCCAATTCACCCCGCCGTGTCCACAGACGTCCGTTCGCCCCTGACGATGCATTTCCGACGATGAAGAACCACCCAGACCCCGCCTGTCGCCTGTTTCCTTCCGTTTCTCTCAAGTTGTTTTGTATTTGCTGTCATCTCATGAACTTTCGCCTCCCTCGCCAAAAGACCATCCCCCCGCCAGTTCCTCCGATTCACGAAAAGCATCGCAATCCTAAACTCCGGCAAAAGAATTTCCCTGAACGCACGCGACTGCCTTGAAGACTAAACTACTGGAAACAAGTCGTCGGGACGCCCCCGTCTACCGTCCTTGCCCTTGGCTTCCTGATCCAAAATCTGGTTCCGGGTGCGGCGACTTCTTGTCCTTTCTAGCCTTGATGACGAACTCGGCCATGATCTGAATGTGGTCGGCCGGGAAGTGGTAGTTGGGGAACGCCGGCATCCGTTTGAGGTATTCGGCATCAGGTGGGCCAAGCAGGTCCACCACTTCTAACGTGTTTGTAGAGTACCACAGGTAGTCGATGACATCTGAGAAGCCGGGCGTGTAGTTGGTGAAGGGCATTTCATCGGGAGTATTCTTGATATGGGCATAGGCATCCCGCAGGCTGAAGGGGTGCTCAATACCGTCCCTCGTGAAGCTGCCATACTGGAAGGACGAGAGCTCTTGGTGGTTGGGAGGAACGCGGCCCATGGACAATAGCTCATAAACTGAGCTGTCTCCGGTTGAGTTGAAATCGCCACAGACCAGTAGGGGAATGTCGGTGTTGTTGCGGTATTCTTGGCTGGGCCCGGGTTCCTTGGCCGGCGGCGGTGGCTCGTCTCCGTCTTTACCAGTAGCAGAAAAGGTGATGGGCTTCTTGTCCTTCAGTGCCGGCCAGCGAACGTATTTCTCGGCAAACTTTGTGACTTGCTCCATCAAGATACCAGTCTGGATCAATTTGACATCCGCCAGCACCGACTCCCAGGCCAAATGTCCGTTGACCAGAATGATGCGTGCGCCTGTAGCTCGGCTTTCGAGGAACACAACAACGGCGATGTTGTCCTTTGGCATGACACGGTTGAAGACGTCGTGTTGGTTCTTCATGTCTGGCCGATTGATGGCGATCGCGGCAAATTCGATGACCTGTTTGTCGAGCAAAATCCACTTGCTGGCCTTGTAGAACGTCGCGCAGCCATCGACGCCCTGTGCATCCTTCTCTGCCATCGTCTTCGCGCGGGTCTTGGGCCAATGTACACCCTTGTAATCCATCTGTGCCAGTTCCGGGCTGAATTCTTCCTTGAACGCCTCCGTCGAGATCTCCTGCAGGCACAACAGATCCGCGTCCTTTTCTCTCAATTCACTGAAAATACAATCCTTCCGGTATTCCCAGTTCAATGCGCCCGTCGGCGTGTATCCGTATGTTTGTGGCGTCGCGTACTTGTCGCACAAGACGTTCCAAGAAAAGACTCTGACCTTTTCTAAAGTGGGCGAAACATCTTCTTGCACAGTAATAAGCTTTCTGGGGTTGGGTGGCATCGGGACTGTGACAAAGGTTAGCTGACGATGATAAACAAAACCATGACCGATTGCACCTACTCGGGGCTTGCTCCTTGAGGAGGTTGATCAAGCTCTTGGTGCCCTTCTCCATGATCTCCTGCTTCATATCCGGGTCGATGGGGTTGCCCTCAATGCCGAGAACGTCCAGCAGGTGCAGAGAGCCGAGCTCGAAGGGGAGAGTCTGAATCTGGTTGTCGAAGAGGAGTAGCTGGTTGAGGTAGGTGCACATGCCGAGTTCTGGGGGGAGAGTCTTGATCTGGTTGAACGACATGTTGAGGTATCGGAGCTGGCGCAGCTGGCCGATCGCGGGTGGCAGACTCTGAAGCCTGTTTGAGGCAATGAAGAGGTCGTGGAGGAACTGGTAGCGGAAAAGAGCGGGCGCGAGATTACGCAGTCCTTGGCCGCTGAGATCCATGTTGTGCCAGTTCTGCCGTTCCCTGTTCTTTTCTACGCTGTAGGGTCGTCTCCTGTCGTCCGCATCGTCGTCGCCGTTTTTGCCCGAGGTAGGCGGGGGCCCGGCAATACCACGGTTCTCTGAGGCCTTTAGCCTGGCGTAATAATGCGGCTGGTTCTGCTCGGTCATGGCACGGTGGGCTTGCTTAGACTCGTCGTAGAGTCGGAGCTGTTCCGCCCAATGTTCGGTGATCTGCTGTGCTTGTCCTCCCCGCGTGGCTCCTCCTTGCCCGTTTTGCATAGCATTGCTGCTGTATGGACTGGAATTCCCCATGACGCCAGAGGAGAAGGCCGAGTGGTGGCCCATCACACCGCCGTTGCCATTGTGCGCAGCGTGTTCGGCCTGGGCAGCTTGGTGGTGCTGAAGGTGAGTCTGGTGGTGTTGCTGTTGTTGTTGTTGGTAATTGTACAGCATTGGGATGCCCCGGCCGCCAGGGCCCCCATTGATGCGGGAGCTGTGGCCCTGCTGGTGATTCTGGGAGAACATCCCTAGCAGATGGGCCTGTGGGATCGGTTTGGATAATGTGGGTGGGTTCGAGTCTTTGGCGGCGAAATGGCTCAAGAGCGTGTTCAGGAGTGCGGCGTCGGCGGCGGTTTCTTTCGGTATGAGAGGGTTGAGGTAGAGATCTCCGACAGGGTGGTCCAGATAGCGAGTACCATCGGCCATCTACCTGACATTCGCGGGTGGAGAGTTTTTTGGGCCGTGCCTCGATTACGATGCAGGCGTGGTGTACGAGGCAAAAGGTTTGAAGCAGCAGCTTATGTGAGATTGGAAACGAGGGAAAGCCAGGGCAGCTCGCGTTTGCGCATGGGAATCGAAGTACGGGTCCAGCTGCATCGAGTATCGGCTCAGACAATGGAGGTTCCCGGGTACCGCAGTGTATTGTGCTGACCTCGATCGCCCATGAACCACGTCGATGGCGTGAGGGTGCGTCAGGGCTCGTGTCTCGTGTGTACTTGGGAGGGTACGGGAGTTGTTGATTTTGACTCGGTCTGGCGATGTAGTCTATCAGGAAGGGAGGGGGCCAGATGGCGAGTCGAGCGAGCTCGACAGAGAAGGGCGTGTGTAGGAGGCAAAAAGCTCGTCAATTGTGTCCGAATACGCGCTGGATGCGGCAGAAGAGTGTCTGGATGAGAATGTGTCTCGTTAGCACACCAGCTTGAAAAAATAAGACATGGAACTGAAGCAAGGCCCTGGAGCAGGAGTCGGATTACGGAGTAGGGGCTGGGCCACGTCGTTGCGACAAAGGCTCGGCTCGAGCAGCGCCCCCCCCTGGTGACCCTCAAGGGCGGGGAATGGGTTGATGACATACCGTAGTGAGCGGGCGCGGTGCGTTTCTGGCAATATCTCTAGAGCAACCAATGGATACTGGGACTGAAGAATGCGGTCGGAGATGCAGATGATCCAAAGATAGAGCCGAAGGTGGTGGGATTGACTCAATCTTGACGATAGAGCAGACGCTGGGCACAAGGCCCTCGAGGTTGCGAGCTCTAGTGTCATCACGTGATGGAGACAGCTGCACGGACCACAGCCTACACGGGAGAGCTCCACTAAATCCAAACGTGATCACACTCGTGACGCTCTGTCTTCCATTGTGGGGCCTTGCCTTAGGTAAGGTGGAGGAGGTGGATGGAGGGTGGTGAGATACAATACGGATCAAGTGGTGCGACTTATGGTGTGTTGTGACGAAAATGGTGGAGGACTGATGAAACTGAATGACTAGTAGTATATGGAGTGATGTCTGTCTGATTCTGTTGGGACCAAATCCAATGTGTGCGCGATTTATGACGTTCGTTGGCACCCCATCGTGATTCTTCATTGTGTGCTCGGATGAGTCTCTCATGTCAAATCTGGCATATCTGGTGCAAAATGGTTATCAATGTGACATGTCTGATAGTTCCACTACATAATTTGTTTCTATTGAGAGAACCTTACAAAGGCCCTTGGCACTGCCTATTTTTAAATAAAGGTTGACCGTCAGAAGCCGCTATCCACCCCCCAAGTTCGACTATGAGAAGGTCTGAGTAATGCAGCGCTCAATTTATTCTGAAATCAAGCAAAGACTTTGTAGGGCGATTCCTTTGTGGCTCGGGGGACATTGATGGATTGTCATACTCGAAATGTAGCCTACCCTGACGGCGGAGAGCAGGCGGAGAGCAAAATTTAGAACTCAAATTTACGACAAGAGTTTGCCAAATTCGCCAGTGGCCGGTAGATAGAAAAAGCTTTTTCAAAATGTCGAAGAGAAGGGAACTGATGCTCGCTGGTGCTTGCAGCGATCTGCGGAGGGAAATAATTACTTGGCCAATTGCGTTTCGTCTCAAGTCAGTCCCATTTTGATAGACACCGACAAATCGGGGACACGTCTTATAAAGATTGCTTTTTTCTTTTTTCACAACGACCTACAAATCATCTTTCCTAATAGAGGTTTGAAAGAAGCTTTATCAATTCTTCAATGACTTCAGCTGCCCGTTGGAGATGGGATGTGGAGTAGGGTGCTTGTAATAGGTGAAATGGACGGCCATAGAGAGCAATATATACTTGAGGTAGTAGCTACGTGTGTTCAGGTTCACTTATCTATATTTACACCATTCAGTAGCTCGTATCCTTGAAGTTTTCCAGTTCACATATCAAATGATTGAATGGGTGTGGGTTTGCAAATACAAAGACTACTTACTCTTTATGATGACTCAACTCTTGAAAGAGGTTGAGTGCTTTGAAATTTGTACGACATGTTTAATACCTAGTATTTATCGCTTTCTTCGATTATATTTAGCAATCATGGCCTTTTTACATTATTTGCATGTTTTGAACCGCACTCTTTGCAATTCATCAACTATAACACCATCGCTGCCATTAGCCACGAATTCACCTTCCCTCCAGTCCCTGGGAGCAAATGACGGCGTGACTGACTCTATTTCGAGATGAGCAACGGTCGATACCTCCTTTCGACTCTCATCGCTATCTGTATCGAGTCAATACACTGGAAAAGGACACACTACAAGCCTCACATGACGGCTTAGCTTTCGAAAGATAAGTTGAAGAAAAACTTAGCATCATTCCCATCACACCAGTCTACCCGAACCCCAGCAGCTCGCAGATTATTCCGAAGTGCTTTCCTTGCTAATCGACCACCCCGAGTCCCTAATTTCGGCTTCAGCCTCAATGTCAGCCTGTGCCGCAGGGCCAAGCCAACCAATAGAGTCTTACGCCATAGCAGACCCCAGATACCAACGGCAGCAACATGTTGGGCAGAGAACCAAAGAGCGAGTATTTGTGGTTCATAAAATCATTACATATCTTGCGTATACCGCGAGAATCCAGAGTAGGATGAAGAAGCCGTCAAGGGGCGGCGGCGAAGGCAAAGCGGAAAGTCTCGACACTTGCTCACGGTACGGGCGGACATGATGAGTTGGATGTTGACCTCAATGACGGGGACCTTGACCGTCTGAACGGTAACCCGCGTTCTCTATTAGTAACGTTGTGCAATCGATGAGGTGAATAATACGGCCACAATAGGAATGGAGTGGTGGGAGAGCTGAGCATCTTGAGCCTCGGCTCGGATCAGCAGGCGACTCATGAACGCGCCTAGGCTCGAGAAAGAAGAGGGGAAGTCCTTCTTTGCTCGCCTCGACCGACGGCTGATGAAGGCATGCAATGCCGGGTGTTCTCGAATACCTCAGCCAGCCCTCCATCGACCAGGGTCAGTGGGATGAGGGGAAGCGCGGACCAGAGGTGATTTGTTATCTTGCGCTTGTTCCCTCTCAACTTCTCTCCACTGCGTCTTATCTGAGCTATGGCGGCATTTTCAATTTCGGTGAATGAGTAAGTAGATAGGAAGGAGAAATACTGCTAGATATTCCAAAGTCAACATGGTTACTAGCTGGTAGAATTTAGTAAATCAAGGGTAGGGGATGTTCTCCCTCGGTGCCGTTCATCCCACCATCCCACGGACAAAGACGGCAACGGAGCCCATGCCCGACGTGCCGTAACCCGTTTGTCAGTCTTCCACTTTTAACTCCCGCTCACGCGCGTCACCGGCGGCACGCAATATCCAGACGATGGGCAAAGCTCCGGGTCGAGACCAGCGACGACATCGACAGGCCCTCAAGGATTGGGTACTGTAAACCAAACGAGCTGCCAAAGTCAGGCTTGCAGTACCGAGCCGCGGCCAAGGCCCCAGTCGGGTCTTGGTGGCGGGCGCGTACGGAGGCTGGAGCAGAAGGGGCCCTTGTAATATGCAATATGCAACTGCAAGTGCAAATATCTCTGCGCAAGTTCGCAACTCTTGCCCCCCCCCCCCTCTTCCCCTTTCTCCTCTCCTCATGTCGGCATCGGACATGGACACAGGACCACACCGTTGAGACGAATCATCGACGCCGACTAACAGGCTGCTCCGGACTTCTGATTTCGAGCTTCCTTTTCTTGGGTATCGGGGAATTTCTTGTCTGCTGGGTTTTCTTGAGGTGGAAGATGAACCGTGTGCTGTTTGCCCAGGTTAGTTAATGTATAAATGACCCATTTTCTTTTCAAAGAACTGGCCAAACGCTGTGCCCTGGTCTCGTCTGGATTGCATTTCGTCGGCCGGCGCAACAGTGGCTCCTCTAGCTGTTGTTCCCGTCCCCAAGCTCAGCCTCCATATTCGTCAAGCATGAACAGAAGCACAAGCTGCTGTCTTAGGTAATCTTCGGTGATCTGGTAAGTCGCAGCTCCCGTGCGACGCGCGCTTCCTGCACCTTGACCGAGGCGACTAACATGGCGAGAGGAAGGACCTGGTGCACTCGCCGCAACTGCGCCTTCCGCCTTCCGCTTGCCACCGGCGTGCGCTCCTGTGCTCCTGCCACACCGGACGAAAAGGCAAAGCTTCGATTTGATTCCAATCTGCAACCTCGCGACTTCGCGACTTCGCAACTTCACATCTTCACTGGTCCAGAGATCCCCCTCCTCAACAACGCCTTCTGCAGCACCCCTCCCACCGTCCCACGGCTTTGTACAGTACACGGCACACCAAAGTCAAAGTCGCGGTGTGCGCAATTCCCTCACTTCGCCGGTCATCCCACGAATCAGGCACAGCCGCCGGTCAACCCCGACCGCTGGGGTGCTGCTGCATGGTGTCTCGGACGCCGAAATCGCTCGCCCGCCGTTGCAGATACCATCTCCCGACAACCCATCTGGACCAGCGGACGCGGCATTCTGTTCCTTGGCTCCTTTCGTCCCGTTTTCGAATAATAATTACATACGGACAAACTGCCGTCCTCTGTCTTGGTCACCCACCGGGCCACCGCTCTGGATAATGTCTTCATCCTTCATGTGATATTGGAAGCACGGAGACGATCTACCGGTCGACCGGATATCCATAATTCGTTTGATCTTCCTTTGCGGATGAAGGACAGCGATCCCAATTACACCAGACATCTAGTCGTGGATTAGCGCAACGGCCCAACGGCTGCGACTCTGTTCTCAATTCTACCCCTCAGCTTGTCTCTCTGTACTTCGTAATTTGTGCGAATACTCCTCTATCGAATTTGACTTTGCAACTTCGGAGAAACCCCGATCGAACTGAACTTGCCTGTGTCCGTCCCTAGTAACGTAGCCCAGGCGTCCTGGATAGGGAAAGGGAAAATCTGCACGGAAACCAGGCGGAAACATTTGTCACAATTCATCAACGTTGCCTCGTTTCTCCCTCTGGTCCGCCGATCTTCTCACCAGGTACGGATAGTCAGTCTGGGAAAAGAAGGTTCAGAGGATTCTGTTCCCGGTGCTGGGCGGAACCCACCCGTGCCACCCACCGGGACGGGGGACGACGACACACCACCCGCTACCACGTTACGCTATCGGCACTGGACCCCAACAGGCAGGACGCAACACACCTGGCAATCTGCTGCAGATAAATCGTCCAGCTGGCTGCGAAGGGAAGGTCAAACAACGCTTTGGGACTCATCCCAGAAAGACATATCGAGGGAAACGTCATTATCTACGACAAGCACGAGATTCCGCTGCATGCCATTTGGTCCCCTGGCCAGACTTATAGCCAGTTATCAGCAGTCGCTCGCCGTCTGAGCATCGTTCCGTGGTCGTGGCACGCGACACAACGGCACACCATTGACCGGTCCAGATCAGCAACGGCGCCGTGCTGAGCAACAAGTCAAACGACACATTGCAAATCACAAGTGACAGAACCGGCTTGCACGCACGGAACGGCACGAAAATAGACAGGCGTCACGGCAAAATAGACCTTGCAGCCATTCGGCAGGATTCGATATACGTACGTAACCAACGCAGGCCGTCGCCGACAAGACGCCGCGGTAAAATTTGATCCATCTATTTCCTTACCATTCGTCTGCGGGAACCAAGACGAGGCGAGACGGGGCGAGGCGACGGAACACAAAGCAAGAGATCCGGCTCACCACAGTCTCCAAGACCTGGACCTGGACCTTGACCTTACGAACAATGACCATACCCTCTGCTCAATTTGCCGCGAAGAACGACTGGCCTGGAAGCTCGACAAGCGGAAGCAAACGAGCCGGTACGAGGGCCAATTCGATAGACAGCGTCCTATCCATCCCGTCTTGCAGCGGCCTTTGGCCCTCTCATTTAACGGTTACTGCGTTGGTCCTTGGTGCAAGACGATAGCGAGGCAAACACGGCTCTTCAAATCCAAACCAGCCAACCAGGGCCTGTCAGTTGTCCGTCATTCCACCGACCCCGGCCCCGTCCCCACCGGGGAACAAGCGGCCGGTATCCCGCTGTCTCAAGATTTCAGAAAGGACCTGGACCAGGTTCTAGAAGGACGGGGCACGCTCTGGCGCACTTGACTCTTGCTCTCCAACAGGACGAGGTACCTCTACGAAGTACGGATACACTGTCGAGATACGGATACTTGGGCCAAACCGCCGAACCCTCGGCGAAGCGGGCAGCAGTCATATTCTGGTGACGCAAACCGTGGCCACTGCGGTGTACGTTTTTGATACCTGTCAAATACGAATACTTCGTAGACAGCCTGACTAAGGACACTAGCGAACAAAGAGGAGCCATTCGCCAGCAGTCTCCATTGCCTACCCGAAACCAGCGCGGCCCGGTCCACTCGATTACCAAAGAGGATCAACACAAAGCACCCAAACGTCCAAAAACAGGGGCCAGCGTCTTTTTATTTTTTCCCCTTTCCTCTGGTCACCGAAGGCCCGCACGTCCTCGCCGGTCAGAAATCAACTTCCACTTGGTAGCTCAAAATCCACGCCCTCATCCCACTTGGAATCTTTTGCCAACCGCACAAGTACGGTCAATTGATTGCCTCCTACCGGGGGCCTGGTTACCGGTGCTCTCTCTTCACCGTTCTGCTCCCCAGGGGTTTTGCACTTGCAGGCGTGTCCCAGATCCTTGGCTTGCCGCAGCAAGGGCTGACGGCGGCAAAGGACAAGCAACAAACCAACGACGACCGCTGACTTCACAGGTCGAGGGCATACTGTTTGGGGACCGCCTGTCCGGCCCACTTTGATTTTTGCCGGACCTGCTCTCACGTTCTGTCAAGCCTTGGTCTAGTTCGTCATTAAGTCTCAGGTGCAAAAGAGGCAGAGCCGACGGCACAGAGCCGAAGTTTGAGGCAGAGACATTGGAACAAAAGAACGGCAGGGTCAGGAGTTTTGGCCAAGTATACCAAGCACACCAAGCACACCAAGTGCCCTGCGAACAAAGAACGTTAGGGAATAGAAACACGATCAAGTGGGCTTGGGTTGGAGAATTACAGCGCCGGGCGTCCCGACGAGCTGGATCGGGGGGCTGAGCGAGGCGTTTACTGGCCTCATTCCTTGGTGGGTGGGAAAAGCCCACTTGTGCAGCCACACTCGTTCTTCAACAGCTGTTGGATTGCCGCCGAGTGGTCATCGAGAGAACAGAGCAGGGAAGCCATCCATTACGTCCTCAACCTTTACGCCGTCGTGTGCGACAGTCGACCAACAAACCAAGTTTCGAGCTGCCCAAGTGCTGGCTGGGACGTATTGCTCACCGAACCCCAGTCTTGCTGCCTTAGTGGATCCTGTCAGGCCGGAGCTAGTAAGCCGAAGAGGAGACTCATGGAGTTGTGACGAGTCCGTCTGGAAACAAGTTAGAAGCTTTGACGACACGCGCATAAACACCACAACAAACCAAGCAACCCAAGGCAAAGAGGCCAGGCACACATACAAAGTGCCGTCATCCATCGAGATTCTTCAGGAATCGGACACTGGCAAAAGAGGGCTAGTGTGCGTTGTCACTGCCATTGGCAAGACGGACGGACGGCGCACCAACAGAGGCTACGCGGGCCAGAGTTGAAGCCTCGACGTGGATCACCTTGTCGGGGGGTCACAAACAGCGATCCCAGACGACCGTGGCAGACGAACGACACGGGCCAATTATAGGCCAGTGAAAGGCACTCCCTTGTCATTGGCTTCATTGAGACTTGCCCTGGCTGGGGAACATTGGTATCCAAACCGTCCAAACGGCTTTCCCCTGCCCTTGCGGATACCCGAGAGGCCTGTCTGTGGCGTCTGCCCTGCTTGCTTACTCGCTTGCTGGCTGGCCTCATTCCTGAGCCTGGGCTGTTTGCCGCGCAAAGGCCTCCCTGAGTCGCCAATCCACGATAACCAAGAGGCACAGAACAACAGCAAGCGACAGATTCGGCAAACACAAGCTGGCGTCCTCGTGCTAATGTGCTTACCATATAGCCCGAGGTCTAGCTAAGCTAAGCTACCCATCTTGGTCACTAGTCCATTGAGCTGGGACGACTTGAGACGCGGCGCCGGGCGGGACTCCAAACCTTCGTGGATTTCGGTGCTAGCTCAGCATTCCTTAGCGGCTAGCACACAGCACACAGAGCGACAGCGAGACAAGCAGCCAACAAACTTGGCAACATTCGACAGACACCACCAAGCAGTATCCAACTAGCGACGAGTGCTTCCCTTCCCTTCCCGTCACCGAGGCCGGGAGCGCCAGGGCCTTCAGGTAAGGATAGGCACACTGACTGCTCTGTGTCCTTGGTTGGCAACGGACCAAGGACAGCAGACACTTGGGCACGCCCTGCGACTGCGACGTGGTACCTGCAGTCTACCAAAAGTACCTCGCCCACTGCTCTCTACATAGTACGGCGAGCGAGCGACGCAAGGTGCTGCAAGGTACAAGGCGGCCAAACGAACCTGTGGTGGACCCCGTACCGATCCACGTTCCTTACCTAGCACGCCTAGCAAGCCCAGTTACGTCTGGTCAGCGTGAGTTTGTGTGTGTGAGTCTGTCCCCTCATTTTTTTCTTTCTTTTTTCTCAAATCCTTTCCCGCCGCGCGCGTATGTGTGGCAGACGAAGAAGACGAACAGGGCCAAGGAAGAGAAGAAGAGAAGCAGACGCAGAAGCTAGTGCAACGTCCGAGTCCAAGTCTCATAGACGGTCTTTTCTTTCTCTTTGTTTCTCGTCGTCATTGCCCTCCCTATCTCTCGACCTCAGTTGAGAGAGACGGAGAGAGGGAGGGAGACAGGGACAGGAAGTCTAACTGAGTGGCAGCTCGCTCGTCTATTTCCTGACGGAGACTCTCTGTCTAACTGGACTTGGAACCGCGGAAGACGACCCGACTTGCTCCTCGTTCCTCTCCTTCATCCATCTCGTTATCCATTCCCACGTTCCATTTTCCCATTTTCCCTCATTTTCCAATTTCCCCTCCCCCCACCCCCCACCACCCCCTGACCTCGCCGCGGCCGGGTGTCAGTGTGCTTGACCCCATCCCGGGCTCCCTGCTGCTATTGCTGCAAGGTACGTACAGACCAGTACGCTAAGTCATGTATACTTGCCTGGGGTCTGCTGTGTAGGTAGGAGTATCTGTACCAAGTAGGGTACAGAGCAGAGAAAGACGGCACGAGTAGTGTGCTTGCGCTGCTGCCAGTGCCAGTGCCACCACGAGCGAGAGAGCGAGAGCCACGAGGACTATCCGTTCCTTGCGGCCAAAGTACCTCCCGGTCTGTACCTGGCGGTTGTATTGACTCTTTGAGGCCTACCAAATTAAAGAAAAACATATCCTGCCCGCCTCTTCCCCCCCCCCTTCCCCGTTCCCTTCCGCTTCCTTTCCCACCCGGGTGCTTCTCTTCCCCTCCACCGGACTTACACACCCCTCCCCTCCCATCCATGATCCCGCCCCCTTCCACCTGGTACATCGCATCCACCATCATCTCCCCCCCAGCTGCAAGGTCGCAGTAGAACCTGGAATGGAACCGAACTGAATTGAACACACCCCAAAGGCCCAGATTCAGGCTCAAGCAGCAGCTGCGGCAAGCAAACAAGCAAGCAGCCGCCAGTCCCTCGTCTCTCTCTGCCTCCTTTCCACTCCCAAAGTCGCTCTCCCACAATCCACAAACAGTTGGCGGATCCCCCCTCCCTCAACCCGTCCATTCGAGCTGGAGCTCCCACCTGCGAGGAGTTGGGTCTCGTTGTCGTCTTCCCGGCCCCAGAGAGGGCAGGGCAGACATGAGGATCCAAGACACGAAGAGAGGATCCGACTGACCCAACTGACCAGAGCCACAACTACACGCACAACCGGGTCCCAAGCCTAAGGGCCCCAGAAATCCGCCGCTCCTCCTGAAGAAGCACTCGTGGATGCGGAAGATTCTGCAAACATGTCCCAATACATGTACACCAGCTTCGCCCCCGTCCCTCCCATCCTTTCTCGCATCGAATCGACCAGGCCAAAGACTGCGACTGCAACCCTGGCCCCAAACAACACCACCAAAAGCAAACAACATACGGCGGTTGGTGCTCCTGCAGCTACGGATACTGCTGCCACTCCAAGCCTGTCAACAACATCAACAAACCCCCCCGCCGCCGCCGCCGCACCACCTACCCCCTCTTCTTCGCACTTCTTCTCAAAGGCCAACCCGGCAGATTCTTCACGTCTCCCGTCGCGCCAACCATCAAACAACCCTCACTTTGGTCAGAACCATCCCTCCACCCGTCTCCAGCACATCCGCACGTCGTCGTCGTCCTCGGCGTCCCGCTCCTCGCACGAGACCTCGATCACACCCACCTCGACAACCCTCTCGACTGCGTCGCCAACCGACCCGCGCGATCCCGCTTTGCCAGCGTCACCAAAGAAGAAGCACAAGCATCACCACTCGCTACAAGAGACACGTGTTGGTGCCGACCGCACTCTCCGCATCCGGGCGCCGGCGCGCCTCCGCAAGGAAAGCGGCAGCTTGAGCTCGTACGCGAGACACGCGCTCCAATCGCCTGCGACACCCCACATCGGCCTCACTCCGAATGAGCTGAAACATGTCGCCATGCTTGCCGACACGGATACATCGTGCCGTCACCTCACTGCCGGCAAGGCCGGTTCAGTCCCCTTCTCCCGAACCGACAGTCTGTCGTCTGCGGCTCCCTCAACGGCCTCCATGTCGACCCGCACAATGACGTCCTCCGACCCCACGACGAACTCCTTCGACGTCTCCCGGCCGTACTGCCTGCGCAATGGCCGCACATATCTGTCCGATCCGTCATTGGCATACCCATTGCCGGTTGACCTGAGCGAGATCCATCGCCAGTCACTGCGCACACTTCTGCTGATCCAGCTGTTTGGATCGCCAATTTGCTCCCCCTCCTTTGCCAGCAACCCGCCTGGCCGTGTTCTCGAGGTCGCCTGCGGCTCTGGGTTCTGGAGCCAGTCATGTCATCGGTATTTCGCACAACGCGGTCACTCGGATATTCACTTCACTGGCATGGACATTGGACCGATGGGGCAGAACGCTGGGGATGTGTCTCGCGACATGAAATGGCGATTCATGCAGCACGACCTTCGCAACTTCCCATGGCCATTTGCCGACGGCGAGTTCGACCTGGTGATGGTCAAGGATTTGAGTTTGGTTGTGACATCGCCGCATGCACTGCAAAACGCCATTGAAGAATACCATCGCGTTCTGCGCCCCGGCGGCACGGTGGAATTTTGGGACAGCGACCATCAAATCCGTATGCTGCGGCCCCACGCCGCACCACAGTCCGGTAACACTGAAGACACCGCCACCGTCGCCTCGCTTGGCGCGTATCCCATCTCGGCCAAGACCCCACTAAGCGCACCGCTGAACAATTTTCTTGTCGAGTACAATAGCTGGGTCCACCGTGCCCTTGAGTCCCGCAACCTGAGTCCCGTTCCGTGCACCCTCATAGGCCCCATGCTCATCCAGGAGTCCGAGGAGTTGACCGATATACAAAGCAAGCGACTGGCGATCCCACTATCCGAAGTTCGCTGGGAGCGTGAGGGTGTCGGCGGTGTCGTGACCAAGGATGGCAAGTCGTTCATCAACTCGGGCAAGGGCAAAGGCAAAGACAAACCGGACGAGCAGAAGAAGACGTTAACCGAGGCACAGGCGGCGCTCCGCCGCACGGCCTTGATGACCGTCGTACAGCAGATTCAAAGCCTGGAGCCGATCTTGCGCGAGGTCAGCGGCAAGAGCCAGGACGAGTGGGATGGCTGGATGGGCAAGATGATGAACGACCTCATGAGGGAGAACGGGACGAGTTGGGGCGAGTGTTTGGAAGTCGGCGCCTGGTGGGCACGCAAGAAGGAGCGATGAAGGGCAGCATGATGAAGTTTTATGGGACGGAAAAGGGGAGTTTTTGCATTCGCGTTTTGCGACGACGTCTATTGGCAGGTCTCTATGGGTATGGGAATGATGGGCCCTCACATTGGCCTACATCCATCTCAGGGACCGCGTCACGTCACGCCCCTGGAACGTACCGCTTCCTCAACGCCCGATACCGCTTGAGATAATACCTGTGCGCGATTAGCATCATGGCAACTTGAGAGCGGCACCAACAGAAACAACAGAGCTGAATATAGGTAACCAGAAACAAGAAACAAAGGAATGGCAAAAAATAGGCAAGGCAGGAAGGAAGGAATTGGGGGGAAAGGTCAGAGATCCAGTTCATCGAGATACCCCATCATCATCATCATCATCACCTACTACCACATCATCTACATATATACATACATATCACATCATTCTTCATAGCTACGAAATATCCACGTCCCATATATAATCCCATTCATGCCGCATTGTTTCGGGCAACATGGTTGCACCAGAGTGACGAAGGTCGTTGATGAGTAGTGAGAGTATACGGTGCGTTGACCGGATGTGTCTATTCCATGAAGTGACTTGGCAACGATGGTGGACTGGAAGCCACACACTTTGAGACGTGAGGAAGAAGCGAAGGGAGGGAGAACGTGGCATGAGGTTTGTTTGAATAGTTTTGAGGGATTGGATGTGCGATGACGAGAGTCCTCGCGGGAGGTAGAAGATACGACGAGGCGGAGGTCTTTGCTACACATGCTGTGTGCTGTTGACTGTGATATTGTCCCTTTTGTAGACTCTGGTTGATTGGGCTCTGCTGTGTGCTTGGTCTGGGGAGGAGGAGAGAGAAGGAAGTAGGGGATGCCATGTGGGTGTGCGTGATTCATGCCCCGACAAAGAATGTACTGCGCTTGCTTCTGAATACTATCCCGAGGTCGTAGGGGGAAAGTGTAGAGAGTGCGGGAGGGAATTGTTGGTGGGATGGCTGGGGTAGAGAGGTGTGTGGATAAAGTTTGTCTGGAGGAAAGAGTGTTTTTGTACACTCTCAGGGGTTTCGTGAGATGAGGTATGTACTGTAGCCTCCAGACTTGGACCTTCCGCGGGGGGCGGGGGCAGGATTGATCTAGTAGTCATTCCCAAAGACGGACTGGGCGACGTTGACGGGTGAGAAAAGAGATGTTTGTGAGGTTAACTTCAAAGGAGAGGAGATTGGGAGGGGAGGGAAGGAGACGGGGGTTGGATATAGATGAATGCCGCACGAAGAGTGTCCATGGCGCGAAGACGAGATTGGTGTCTCATAAACGTACAATGCTTCGATTTCTATAGATTCGTAAAGTCGTCAGCTTCGGTTTCATCAACTGCTTTCTCCCTCAAGTTTGACGGCAATTTCCTTATGGGACTGTTCATTGCAAGGACAGGCTAGAAAAAGTTGTTGGACTATAGATGGGTGAAAGTATGGCGGTAAGGAAGGGGGAGGAGAGGGCGGTTATGGACGTGTTGACGAGGCTGGAGGTTGAAGTTTGATTTCCCTTCTGTGAAAGAAAAGGAGCCTGACCAGGAAAGTTCTGTATGGACACAGACACCGGGGTGGGAGTGGAAAGGAACATCTGATGAACACAAACTCGTTGAATCTCAGGCGAGACAGGACGGCAAACCTCGTGGGGAGCATGGGGAGCGCTTTACCTAGCCGGTGGATGAAGTCCCGGGAAGATGGGGGGAAGGGGTGTCGGAGACTTTTGCTACATGTCCTCAGGCCCCGGAGCAATTGGTAGAACAAAGGTATACTGGCTCCGGCATTTCAATGAGAGAGATATGTATTTGGCAAAATGGACACCGGGCAGATTCAGGGCAGAAAGGAGTGTGAAAGAGAGTCTACACGCAGCACCAGTCTCCGCCTTGGGTTCTTCTGCCCTCACCTATGTTTCCAGAGGAAGAAAAATCTTGAACTCATGAGGTCGGGGCAACGTGGCATTGTACATATCCAGCGTAGGGGGTTGAGGGACGAGGAAATGATCTGGAGGGGTTGGCTACTCGGCCATGATGTGAAAGCGTCAAGTGTTGTTGTTTCTGTGTAACAAACGGGGTCTTTGAGGGGGGGGGATCCCTCTCAAACAATATAAAACGAACCCAACGTACCCTTCTTCACAAACTCGGCCCTCTCGATCCCCCGCCGAATAGAATCCTCATCCCGCAAGCCGGCGTTGGCGGAGAAGGCCTTGTGCAAGCGCGGGCGGAAGTAGTCGTAGCCGAGGGGGTATTCTCGGCCCAGGTAGAGGAGCTCTATTGTTTTTTTCGACAATCATCTGTCAGTTTGGTTCCTCTCCGGGCTGGGCTGCGGTATCGGCTGGCCATGTGTGACATACTCGGTAGGGAAGAGCATTATCGAGGCAGCAGAGAGAATATGAATGGACAAAGACAAAGAGAGAGACAGGGCTCTGGGGTCAAGTGTGCCTGTACCCAGTAGACTTGATAGGACTGGACTGGAAAAGAGCCAGTCTTCTCGCCGACAAATCCAAGGAGCACAAGAGTTGCTGAAAGTATCTCAATACTCCCCAGAGCGAGAGCCCTCTCGATAGCCAGCATAGCTTGATTGTACAAGGTAGGTTGCGGTGTTCATAAACACGAATAACAGCAATTAAAAAGGAACCAAACTCACTCACCCTTGTAAATGGCAATGACCCGCCGCCGCAACTCGGTATTCACGCCGCCCATTCTCGGCTGCCTTGGACTACCTTATCGGTATGTTGCCGATAGAGAGAGAGTGACAGTATTCCGAAGACAGTGTTGTCACCGAGAGGTATACGTAAATGGCGTGGTCCCGTCAACCTGGGCAGCTCACGTTCATGGCAGCAAAGGTCGTCGGTGCACTGAGGTCGAGAGCTCGGCGGGATGATGTAAGGCATTCCGCCCAGGGAATTGAACAAACGCCATGGCCCCGTGCCCCACCACCCCACTCCAGCTCCCGTAACTCTTATAATTGGTTGTTTCTTCAAAATTACCTAATTCTACACGGAGCCGTTCTTTGCTTCCTCGATCGGCCGCGCCGCATCCATCCCGAGAACTTCGCGCCGAAACCCGCAGCGCTGCAAGAGCTTGCACCAGCCCTCCCACCCCATCCCATACCGACGGCATCCCCTCTGCTGCACTGCAAGGCGCCGCACTCTGACACCGATACCAATACCGATACCGATATCGACATCGACATCCTTGCCTCCTCTTATACCTTGCGCTCCCAAGTTCGACCCCGATCCTGGTTGCTCCCGCTCGCCGGAGCAGCCTCCTCAGAATGAGGTCCACGGCGACGAGGCTCCATACAAGGCTGTCCCGATTAGGCACCACCCACTTCCATCTACCGCCTATAAACGGTATACGCGCCGGGCCCAGAGATCCAGAAAACCCAACCTTGCCCAACCAGCGTCAGCTATACCAGCGGATCGGGCGATGCCTCGCCTTTGGCTGCGATGTTGAGTCAACCAACTATGCAGCCCGCCTTCTGAAGACCATCACGGCCGACTGGCGCAATATCCAGGCAATCATTCAGGGTTTCTATGACCCAGTCAATGTCGTCTATACCGGCCGATTGCGAGATGGCGAGCATACTCGTCGTCCGTGGCACGTGAGTCTTTGATCTGCCCACAGGCACCGTGGGACCTGCTTGCTCGACACGCCGCTAATTGTCGTTTCCCCTTCCATTGTAGTCCATTACTCGAGAGTCTAACTTGGCATACATCGCTGAGAAGTCTACCATGCGATTCCTCGACTTTATTGTCGAGACGGCAGCCCCTGAAGACAAGAGGAGGTGGGAGGTTCTTCGCGACCACCCTTCCAAAGACGAACAACTAGCAGTCATAGACATCTCCAACGAACTCACCCCACTTCGGCCGCGCTCTTTTCCGGTATCTCTCATGGCCTCCTCTGCGCGCTCGAGTATTTGCTGACGCGAAGTCCCTATCAGTTCCTTTCCCTCATGCCGCAAACCGTCAGCGCCTACTCTAGGCTTTACGCGAACGACTATCGAAACACCAATCATTTCAAAATAAAGACTGTGATATTTTCGCACACGCATCTGGTCAGAATAGCCGATATCAATGTGATGCTGAAGCACTACACTCGTGTATTTACTCCAAGCCCCGAGTTTCCAAGCCCCTGGCTTGGCCGAGAATTGGAGCGGATGGTGAAGTTGATCAGTAACGAAGCGGAGCGAAGCGCCGCACTCAAAGAAGGATATCGCATAATGGGTGCAGTCGACAAGCTGGAGAAGGCTACATGGAAGGACCCGAACGCCGCTGAAGATTTCGGTTCGGCCGCGCCTTGATGAGGCTCAAATCCCAAAGAATATGTGCGCGAAGGCTGCTTCGCGGTGGCTGCTTCGCGGCATTTGACAGTATTGACTGGAGACTAGAGCGAGATCCATTGTCCAGGGTTCGCGACGGAAAGAAGGGGGAGGGGGGCTTGTGTATTACTGTAAGTTGACCGAGATGAGAAGAGGTATATTTTCGGTTTCCCATGACCGATCAGGGTGTGAGACGAGACGCAAACAAGCCTCTTCAAGAGGAAATCACCTCCGCTAGGGGCGCGTCGCTCCTCGATGTCAATGCGGCAGCTTGGCGGCTGAAGAAAACGTGAGGCTCTTCCACCCCTTAGGTGATTCAGGACTAAACTTGGGTCGAAGATGGAAGTGCACAGGGGCACTCGACGCCTGCCGGGTTGACGACAGCAAAACCGACGACATCGGATACCCCTCGCACCGGCTCATGACATCAGCCATGGAGCTCTTAAGATATTTCAAAAAGCATAGCAGGCCACCAGCCGTCGCCAAGTCCTGTGATGATGTCTTCTGACACCCTTTGCCTGCCTCGGTTGCAATTCGCGTGAATTATAGCTAGCGGTACCAGATGCTGGGCTGACCAGCGTGTTGAACAGATACATGCGGTGGGGTTGACGTGTCGCATGGAGATTGGTGATTGGTACGCGTGAATGGGATCCGTCCGTCACTGTTGAGGACGGCGGTGCCACTCGGTCCTCATCGTGCCGTCGTATCAAGAACCACCGTCCAACCTGATCCATAAGCGTGTAGGAAAAGCTCAAGGCTTCGTGAAAATTCGCTCCGTGAAAAAATTTCGCAAAATTCTTCTCGGCGGACAGTCACGGGGCACCCGTTGGCATCGCGTTCAATGTCCGCCGCTGGAAAAATCAAATCTGGCTCCGAGGGGGCTGAAAACCCACCGGGAGATCCGCATCGCACGGAGCCGCCCTTGCGCTATTACGTTGTGTCGCCTCACGTACGGAGGTACTTAACACCACGAGACTCGAGTGGTGATTGTGCATGCGTGCTAGCAGAGGGGCAGCTGTTCGGCTCGCCAGACCGCCTTTGATGTCGGCACCACAGTGCGAAGGGACAACGGCGAGGGGTAGTCGACCCCGCTAAGCAGCCGCAGAAATATAACGGTCTGCAGGGCACCAATCAGCACCCGACCAGACCATGAACCGCCAAGCTTTTTGTTCACGACGAGATGGAGGGGAAGGAGGAGCATGAGCGTAAGCTATGTGGTACCGTAGTGAGGTGAGGTGCTGCAGTGCTGCGGTGTCGAGGTGCGTGAGGTGTAGGGGCTGCATGAGAGGCGTGCCGTAGCTTGTGATGCAGGAGGCTGGCGCCTTGAAGCTTATTCCTGTTTTGGTACGGATAGTCTCGATGCTAAATCAGTTGACGGGTGCTAGTCGTATCTACTCGTTGTCCATGATTGGAGGGGCCATCGACTCATCAGGCGGTCTTCTTGGTCGGCATCCAATGGTGAAGTATCGCTGGAGTAACGGCAGAGAGAGAAGAGATGCCGTGAAATGGCCTCTCCACCCTCGTCCTTTTCCTTCATCTTGAGACCCACGCCTGACCACTGACTCTTCTCAGGATTTTCCCAGCGGCACCACGAATCAGACACTATGACTGCAAATTACTCTCCACGGCATCCCGAGTCAGCAGTCCACTTGGAGTGCACCGGCTGTGACAAGGGAGGCAATCTGGCAGCATGGCGCGCCGCTGGTAGCGTTCAAATGCCGACAGGCAGATCGACTTGCTTTACCTGTCTGCGCCTAGCTCCCTCTTGTTCCTCGCCGTTTATGCTCAAGACCTGGGGGGTGCCCAAGTGGGGGTCGACCACCGTCACAGGTATTCTCCAATCATCTCTGTTGTGACTTGTCGAACAGTGGAAGACGCCCGGCAACGACCAAGGGTGGGTGGGTATTTGGCTGCGCTGTTTTGCTCACTTTGGGTCTGTCCCTCCTCATTTCTGGGTGGGATTCCTGTCATCTCGATCGGAGGATAATTAGCTAAACATGTGGAGATGACGGCAAGAAATGCTTGACCCTGCAGGCTGATACTGATAGCGGTGGAAGCGCCGTGAGAGTTGCCAAAACCTCTCTATGCCCCCATCAACTCCATCTCGGCCGCCCCGCGGATTCACGGGTTCACTTGGATCTGGATGTAGGGTTGGACGTTGGTCAAATGGAGGGGCGCAAGAAAGCCATCGGAAGCGGTCAGCAGCCGGCGGCCGTTCAGTATCTCGCCGGCTCTTTCGGAGAGACCACAGAGTGATTGACGGCGGAAAGGAAGGGTGTCCGAGGCGCACTGTCTTGCGTACTTCCTGAAATGGCTTTGTTGTGTTTCGAATCAAGGGGGATTGTCGTCGGCCGGGCGAAAGCGATGAAGACATGGGCGCCTGCGAGGACAGGACTGCTTTGTCCTGGGCCTGCGACGGGTCGAAAACAGCGGTGCGGATCTCCGGGCCCCAGCCGTGTCTCGTCATTAGCAGTTGTCATTGTCAATAGGCATGGGCAATCGTCAGCTCTGTGCAAAGTATCATGCCTGTCAAGCTGGCCCCATCATGACATCCTGACTTCGGGAGGGAATGGCTTAGGCGGATGCCGTCTCAATAGGTACGCACAGCGTCTAGAAAGCTACTATGCTATGTATCCGTATGCATGCGGCATTCCTCGACTAGCCGATGATCGACATGAGAAATCTGGCCCCCCTAAACCCCCTCTGGATCTGTCGCCATTATTGATAGGACGGACGATGCGATGCGGCAGGTATCGCAGAAATCATTGCTGCACCGCCAGAGCTGCTGAACGCTGGTTGGTAGCGGCAGTCAAAGTGTGAGTGCAGTGTGATGGTGCGTTGTCAACCACGAGACACGACGAGAAGGGTATGCATCGCTGCACGCGAGTCTCAGTCTTCTGCCGTCGAGTCGCGGCCGAGCGCAAGCTCCACCAACGATGCTCCCGTCCCGTCGACCTGTCCACTGGCTAGGTGTTGTCGATACTCTATTGCAGCCAGACGATGGCTGCCCTGGAATTGGATGCTGTTCCAACTTCCGTAAGGTGATGATGTTTGGTTGCGCTTTAGAGGGCTAGCGCTGGGCTTGTACGGATATCGTCGAGGGATAAGCCGCTAGCTTGCTCGCCACTGTCGCAACGCCCTGGAAGCTTTCCACTGTGCGAGGGGTCCAAGGGGTCAGGGCACTCGTCTTGCCAGGTTCCTTGGTTTCGTCTCCACGTTTTCGTGCCTCGTGCGGCGTGCCTCGTGCCTCATCAAAGACCGTTTCGACTTGTGAAGTTGTGCCCCGATTGTCGGGGTCACGATGGTGATCTTGGAACCTCACGCTACCGAGCGCCGGAGGATTCACACAGTGGCTTCCAGACAGTGGAAAGCACGTTGGCGGTTAGCAGTGACAGCACGCCCCTCAAAAGGGGAATCCGAAATGGTGGTCTTGGGGCGAATATACTCCCGTCGGAATGGCGGTGCGTGGTGTGGAGCATACTTTGGCGATCGTCGGTGTGCGCCTGGGGAACGGGTATGGCGAACGAGGATTGGTGACTGATGTCGAGCTTCGGCCGGGGCGGACAGGCCATGGTTGTCATTGGGACTGTCCTCGTGGCTCGCTGGGAAAGCGATAAGAAATTTTGACTGCGCGGGGGCGGCACGGCGGTTTGCAAGAGCGGGGAGAGCCCAGTCTCGAGGTGACAAGAAAGTCAGGGTGTACACTGCTCTATCGTATCGTGTCAGTACTACGCGATGGCCAAGTTGCGTCGACATGTGGGATGACGAGCGCGAAGGGATCGTCCAGAAAGCAAGGCCTGGCCTGACTGCTTCTGTACTGGTGTATCTACGCTATAGCTTTGGAGGGCCTGATACCAGGCACGCATTGGCGGAGATTGCGGGATAGGTGTTCCGCTCAGCTCATCCGGGCCGTTGTGTGGCATTGGTTCCGACGTTGGCCTTGGATGCCCCTTTGTTGGCTATCCAAACCGAGTGTCGCAACTAAGTTACCATAACTATGCGTCAGTACTCGCGTGCCTCAAGCGCATCTCCTTCGATACAGAGACGAGGGCACCGAGCCGAATACGGAGGTTGGAGGCATTGGAGGGACAGATATATGGTATGGCAAAGGCGGTGCCGTCTCTTCTTTCCGTAGGTTCCAAAGGTTCCAGCTGAGCCGGGTCGTTATGCGAACAGCGATGATGGGTGTTGCGGAGGATTGACAGCATGGACAACGGTCGATGACGGAAGCCGTGGACAAGACGAAGAAAAGACGACGGGCCCCCGAACTAGGGACGAAAGAAGAAAAAAGTCCAGCGGCGGCGGCGGCGGTGGTCTAGGGCGCTGACGGGGATGTCGAAGAGAAGTGTGCTGTTCAAATTGTACTGTGTAAGGGATGGCAGAGGTTGATGAGAATTGGGGGAGGGGTGGAAGAGTAAAATGAAGAAAGAATTTAGAGTTGGAATATGACGATTGTTCCATGGGAGGAGGGGAGGCGGAACCGCCGCACCACCACCACCTTCCAACCTCACATCGCACACGAGGCACGGAAGGAAGGAAGCCAGTTACTCAGTAGAGGCTCTTGGGAAGGCACGCAACGACAACGATGCCTTCCTTCCCTTAGGTATCGACCTTGCAATAACATCTGCCTGAGGTAAGAAGGCAGGCAAACAATTAGGTAGGAAGTTGGGAAGGCACAATGGAACAAAACTGGAAATACATTCATGTAGCAGCGCATCCGTGGGCAATCCGAGGTCCTTCTTGTTCTCGGATCTCTTACATAGTAGGTAAGGTAGACAGGGTCGATGGCGCCCTGTATGGCGGCACGGCGGACGGCGCGACGGATATTCAAGCTCATGCAGGACACGATTTCTTGCCTTGCTTGCGTGTTTTCCGCTCCGTCTGGGGGACCCATCCTGTGCCAGGCCCTGCCGCCCTGGGAGCTGGAGCAGCTGTTGCATGCAACGCGCTAGATCTCCCATGCTTGGCCAGCTCTGCTCGGTTTGGTCCAGTCCACGGCGCCGACACGAAGCATCAACGAGATGGCCCTCTGACTGAACAACCAAACAATGACTTTATCCTGGCTTCATCTCAGCCAGTCAGCGAACCGAGGGTGTATATGCGGCATGCAGTGAACCGTCATCCAGCACTCAGTCAGCACTCATCTAGCTGCTTCAGCACCAGTGGCCCCCTGTAATCTTACCTACATGTCGGTGGCGTCCCCCGGAGGGCTGCAGCAGGCCAGTAGCAGCATCTCGTCAATTGATTCCCATGGCATCCCGGACACCATGATCCATCCCGATGCAGGCGGCTGCCTCGGTCGGGGGTACCCCAAGGTACAAGAGAATGAGAGGAAGTTGCCCCTCGAGCTAGATACAATTTGGCCGAGTCGCAAGTACTGCCCAGGTCCAGATCCCAGATCCTGATTCTGATTCTGATTCTGATTCTGATCGGGGGTGGAGGGGTCAAGAGTGGGTCCATGAAGAAGGGACACATTCTCTCCATTCTGAAAGTCATAAGCCAATTAAAAGTCGCATTCGACGGACTGATCCAGTTAGTGTCCCACTTGAAAGAATTTCCAGCCAATGTGCCGCCCCACAACTCATCAGACCGGAAGCAACAACGAAAAAAGTGAAAGGAAAAAGGCAGTACGTATCGACAGGTAGGTACGTATCGGTCCACCCTAGCCGAAACAGTGCGACTGGATCCGTCCCGCACCATCCGTCATCCCTGCTCTCCTCCTGTTCCCGCGCCGTCTTTTTTAAAATAAACTCCAAGCGAGGCGCTCTGCCCCTAACATCTCAGCTCAATGTCCCGGTACGGAGTACTGGCTGCTGCAAAAGGGCACTGGGGGGGAATGCTTAAACCGAGGAATAAAATAATAATTGCAATAAAAATAAGGGAACCAACACACCTCAAATTCCACTCCACCGATAACAAATTCTGCCACTCCTGCTACTACTTGCCGTACGAGCACAATAAAACACAGAGTATCCGTACGGGGGTAAAAAGAGGGCTTTTGTTGCCTTTGACGGCTCGTCCCCATCTCTCTCGGCTCTTACCCGAACTCGTGCCGCCCTTGCCAACCCGCCTTTGTCTTAGGTACCTCAAGCCTTGGGCAGGTACTCCGTACCTATCTTACCTAAGGCGTCCTTTCCCCTACGAGTAAACCTGGAAGGTACGGAGCATACACTAGGTAGAGAAGGCACGCCTTGACATTAATTATTTTGCCTGGGTTTTCCACCCCTGTTTACCTCGTGCTCCATTGCTGCTCTTTCCACCCACCCACCTACCGACCGAACCTTTCCCGACGCGAGTAATCTGGGCCACGCTTGACTTTCTACCTTACCACCACACAAACCTCCCCGTTCCAAGGTCGGGAAAAAAACAACAACTTAATCATCATTATCACCGTTCCGCCTCTCTGGAACCTCAACCGCCCACCCACCTTTGGTCCCCCTCCTCTCCCGACCTGCAGCCGTGAGCGACGACGCATGAGGCCCCACGGCAATCCCCCGAATATCTACGCCTTTGCGCTCTCCTTCGCGTCGATTGCATAGAGTTGTTCCCCTCGTCGCCTCACTGCGTTCATCCCGATCACTTTCGGGAACGGGATACCACTCCCTCACCTCCTCCTTCCTCCAGCATCCAGACCAGTTCAAGTCGTGCTGCTGGCGCCCCCCGACCTGCCTCTCCAGGGCTCCCGGGTCGGCGGACAGCAGATATCCATCCAGCGCATGCCTCGTGCTTCCAGCTCTGCGAAGCGACAGCAAGGCGCCGCCAACCAACGCGATACCAGGCACGAAAATGGTCTTGTAGGCCCCGCCAAGCGAATCGCCAACAAAAAGAGCCAGTCGAACCTCGACGCCTCCGCCAGGACGACCTCTGACCAGAATGCTGCTACCTCGGCTCTCCCCTCGCCTCTTCCCAACGGCACATCCAACGGACACCTCAAGAACCCGACCCTAGCTGCGCCCGCCTCCGACGGCAACGGCAACACAATGGCCCCTGATCACCGAAATGGCGACGCCGCTGCTAGGCGGCCCTCATTAGGCGCATGCTCCGAGACTTCGTCGTCAGACTCGCTCTCCTCCGCCATGGGCAATGGTGCTGCTGACGCGAGCCACCGCCAGATCGACGTGAACGCCACCAAGAATGCCGACGTGCATCGTGACCCGGGTGGCCCCATCGAGTTTGCCGCTACCGTCCTGAGGGCTCTACCCCTCTACGACACCCTCGCTATCCTCATCCTGCTCATGCAGGTTCCTCCCGTCGCCCTCTCCGGCATCTACATGGTCTTTACCTTCCTCACCTTTGTTCCCCCCGTTACCACAAGCTCTGGAATGAACATCAACCTCGCCGAGATTTTTGACTACAATTCCACCATGCCCTCCCTCGTAACGGTGCTCTGCATGGACGTCTTCATACTGCTGGTATGGTTGTTTCTTTGGCCGCCCATGCAGCTCGCCATCCTCGACTTTGCAAAGCCCGTCATCGCCGCAACCTTGGGTGGTGGATCTAACACGAGGGAGGGAGCGTCGAGGAGTGTCACCACCTGCTTCTTTCTGGTCATGGGCTCACATCTTCTACGCGGCTCAAGGTTCCACTGGACTCGGGCGACAAAGTTCCTCCCTGTCAATTGGCGGTTTTCTCCCGACTCTGACGATCCTTTGGAAACTTTCACTCGCGGCTTTGATAAGAGAGGACCGCACGGGTGGATCAAGAGCGTACTTGCCATACATATTTTGACGCAGGGTATAGTGAGGTACATAAGGGAGTGGTATTTAAGAAGAGAAAAAGGAAACCCGTCGACTCACAGCATAGCGGATCCGGAGGCCGGCAAGTCGTACTCAAACGAGACGGCGAACGACACTGGGTTTGCTACGCCCGACAGCGACACGACTTTCCAACAAAATGCAACAGTATCGTCTACGAAAAAGAAGAGAAAACAGAGCACACAGGTGCGTCTCCAGCAGCCGCTGTGGGCGGCTTTGGCAAGCACCAAGATCGTTATGGTTAAGGAGTACGAGTTGTCGCACGCTACTTCTGAGTCAGCCGGATCCAACGCTACCGACATTCACAACTTGGGGAATGCCCCTTTTGACAGCCAGGCCGAACAGATTTGGATATCGTACATTGGCCACGATGAAGTCTGCTTCAACACCAGCTACTTCCCCGACAGCCCGAGCGCAACCCCGAACGGGCACGTCTCGCGGCCGGCAGGAGTCGACACTTCGAAACCCTTTTACGTCCGAGTGAACAACGCCTTCTGGCAGCCGACACGCATCTTTCGCATTCAGGACGACGACGACCAGGGCGAGCAATCCAGCCAACATCGTTGGTGTGGTGACATTTACGGACTGCGACCGCTGTCCAAGTACGTCTGCGAATTTGTCGACACCCGCACGAACCGAGTCGTCTTTTCCACCAGCATTCGAACCTCTTTTGCGCCGAACAAGGACCAGGAAGGCTCCGTCAACCCGCCAGTGAGCACGCCACAATCTCTCCGCCCCGACTCGCCCGCGACGACGCTGAAGAGCACCATCAACGCAAATAACGAGCGGCTGGCGGAGGAGAAGGCCAGACTCAAGACCCTGCGCAAGGAGTGGAAGAACAAGATTAGCTCACTAAAGAAGGAAAACGAAAGGCTCGACAACGTGATTCAGACCGCCGGTGGCAACGATGAAAAACACAGACAGAAGATAATCCAGCAAGAAAACACCAAAGCCCAATCCGAGAAGGAGATAGCCCAGCTCGAAGCGGATCTCAAGGCGTTTGAAACAGCACCCCAGGGATTCTACGAGCGAAAGAAACAGACGGAAAAGGAATGGGCTGCCGAAAAGGCCATCTTCGATACCGCTTCCAAGGAATTCAAGGACTACAAGGCCGCCATTGCCAAGGCTGTGAAGGCCAAGGAGGATGAGCAGGCCGCCATGCAGACCAAGCGGAACAAGATTGCGGCTCGCATCGCCAAGGTGGACAACGAGCTCGGCAGGATCACGGACGCCAATAACCGCGGTCTGGACGAGGCCGAACGAAGGCGCCAGGCCCGCATTGCCTGGCAGGCGGACACGTCGACGATCGAGAATAATTTCCGGGGCAGCATTGCGGATATCAAGGCGGCTAACGCTCTCAAGCAGGAGCAGGTCAACGCATTGCTGCAGCAGCTCCAGGCATACCACGAGCACATGAACTACGCCACGACTGCCATGCCCTATGATATTCCCGAGCGTCACTCCGCCCAGCCTCAGACCATGTCGTCCGCCTACAACCCAGCCGCGCCTGCTTGGACCCCTCCGTCCGCCGCAGCCTCGCAGTACATGATGCCGGCCGGGTCCATGTGGCCCACGTCCACCATGAACGGGTCCGGCTCTGTGTTGCCGCTGCCGGCGTCCTCTCTGCAGCCCGTGTGGGGATTCCCGCCGACGCACCAAAGTACCGTGTCCCTCAAGGCCAGAGGCCGCTCCTCCTCTATGCTCAGCGACGTCTCCGGATTCACGCAGTCTAGCAACGACGACGACGAGTTCCTGTCGCTCCACAACACGCCTGCTCGGCAACCCTTGGCCCAGCGCACGCCTGTCACGTTTGCCTTTACGCGGCGTCAGCGCTGCGACGGTGCCGGATCTGGGTCTGGCGGTAGCAGCGTCCACAGTGGGAGCGGCAGCGGCAGCGGTAGCGGCAGCGGAAGCATGCGGGATCCTCAAAGTCCGGTCTGATGTGTGGTCTGTCGTCTTTTCGCAAGGGAAAGGTGTGTGTCTATTGCTCTTTTGGTGGCTGACTTTTTCGGGTTTCTTGAGCTGGAATTAAGTTGTTTGCTGGACTCTCTAAATTACCACCCTTTTTGATGGGTTTTCAGCCTCGTGCCATTATTCTTCCCTCCTCCTAGTTGGAGGGTTGTCGTATATGTCGAGGTTTAGCCCCCGGATAGGTGGAACTGGATGTCGGTAGCGATTTCGTCTAGCGAAATGAAGAGAAAAAAGTTGTGCCTTTGTTTAAACTGCAAGTCTTACTGGTTTGGCCTGACATGATATGATGTTTATGTGATGCAAGATGAGGACACGACCACTTCGTGAACTAAGGTACCCTTGGTATGTGTGATGACCAAAACAATGCAAGGTTCGCAGAATGTTGCAGGCACGTCGGCACGGGGCTGTACCGGTGCCGTTGGTTTTTCCAGACTTGGATGCTTGCCACCCGTTCATCTCATCCCCCTTAGTCTCGACAGACGAAAAGCAACGGCCGATCTTGGCAGGAGTATGTGTTTGTGTGTGCTTTCGAGGTCGCATAAGGAGAGGCTTGCGAGCTTTTGTGGCTCGTTCTAAGTGTCGGGATTTGGGTGCTTCTACTATGGGAGTTGGGTGATTCAAGTGGTTTCGTTTGGAGGTATTTGGTGGCATCGCTTTGATACGAGCTTTTCAAACGACGTGTGTATTGACTTTGGAGAGTCGAGTTTTTGAGCTTTTGAGAGCAAGGCTTGTAGGCTGAAGAGATGGATGTTGAGGGGAGGGAAGGGGATGGTGTCTGTCTGGTGTGTTGGTATGCGGGTTGCGAATGGTTCATTTTTCCAAGTGGCTTTACGATGATGAAGGGACATGGAGGGACGCGAAGAAGTAAAGACGGGCATAGAGGCTCATTCATCTAGAGGCTAGATGGGTATGTCCGACCTCCTTGGGTTTTCTTGGACTGAATGTAGGTGGGCTACTTGGGTATTTGACGGTATAAAAATCATAGAGTCTCTTTTGCGGCACCTCGAATGATTCAGCGAGAGATGATTATTTGGTGAAAACTGTAGCCCGCAGCTATACAATTTTTGGGGAAGAACCGCCCGATCATTACTGGCCTTACTTTAATGCTGCGTGTGCATGTTGGGTAGAGCGTGCGACTTTCTTGGACGCCTACTTGAACGGTGAATTATACTTATTGTATCCGCAATGTGGTATAGTTTACTAGAGTGTGGACGATTGCGAGTAGGCGCCTGATGGAGGGGAAGGGAAAAACAATACAGGACCTTGTGACTGCAGTTCTAGGGCATTTTCTTCGTTAGACTCTGCCGAGTTGATTGAGTGTGTTTTTGACGATCGTATGAGAAATCAAGAGATGGCCGGGGCCGGGGGGGAGGGCTTGCGTTCGAGTCCGAGTCTGAGTCACGACTATCGTTCCCCCGGCCTTTACACATGCTCCGAAGACTTTTCATGTCATCTCACGAGATCCGCGGGAGGAGAAAGGGAAAAAAAGAAATATCCCATGCGCACTCCAGAGTCCTGGAATGTACGGTTTTGTGGTACTGTCTGTAACACCAACAGAAATACCGAATGCGGACAGGGGGGCTTGACGAGGGAAGAGGGGTCGTGGTGGTAGCGTCGTTTCTGGGCGGCTACGCGCATGTAAAAAATGGTTTGCGACTCGTCAAGCATTGGTCGGATAGCATCCATTGTGTATAGGTATGCGGGCAAGTGGTTGGGAAAGAATTCTTCTCGGTGGCCCCCTCTCCATGTACGAAGGTTCCAGGACCAGTCATGAAATGCAGGCTCTATCTCTCATTCAGTCTCCCCGTATGGACATGTGGGATTGTTGGGCGTTGAAGCACGATAGCTCGAAAGACCTTGCTGCTGCTCTTTATGATTTGTCCGGTGTTGCATGTGCATTCAGGCTGCTACCACTCTATCCGTACACATGAGAGGGCTGTGTTGGAACGCATAGGGGGAGCTTCGGCACTCTCCTCCAATCAAGGTGTAACGCAATAGTTCCACAGGGCGGCAGAAGAGGCGAGCAGGGCGCCTGTAATCCGCCATGCGAGGACGGGGTTGGGGAGTTGGGAGTCTAGTAGCATTGGGCCCCTGGGCTGGACTGGAGAGGGCTGCTGCGCCTGGTGCAGGTCCCCCTTGCGCGGGCGAGGCGGACTGGTCGGCGGGTGACGAATCAGACGGGATAGACGGGGGGGTTTTACTCAAAGGCAGGGAGACGCCGTTTGCGGCGTTTGGGGAGGGTAAATGGTTAGTGCCCGTGTTGATGAGGATGGTGGTGGTCTACATGTACTCTTTGTGTATGTTTTGTATGGGTTGTGTACTTGGAGAAGACTCGGAACAGAGACGCGATATTGGTTAAGCGTGCGATTTGAGGACCCCCTCCTCGACATGGGGTTCTCGGGGAACCGTGAGGACCTGGAGCGATCTAAAGGCGGGAGGTGAGCGGTGGTTGAAGAGGAGAGTGGGAAGAGGAGGGCTCTAAGAGGAGACACATGACTTTGTTCATTTATCGCATGGCACATGAATAGAAGAATCGGAGGATATCCGCGTTTCTTGCTTTCCCTTGGTTCTCTCACATCCATCCCGTGTCTTGCGGCTGATTTTCATACCTGGAGTCTGGTCGGTGCTCCACGGTGATCACGGTGATTGATACTATTTACTTTTCAGCTGCGTTCCCTCGCCGGGGGATATCCCTTCAAGACTTGCCCCCCTCTCCACGTCCGTCTCTGCCGGCCCCCCGTCTAAGCCACCGTCTCGGGCCCCCGCAGCCGATCGCCACCGAACGCACCGACAGATTGATCCCGTTCACGTCTCCCTACAGCATTGATCCCCGTCACGGCGAATAGCCACCGCGGGAAAGATCAAGGTTTGTTCTGCTTTACCAAAGAGCAGGCGCAGGCGTTTCTAATTCCGTACGACCAAAGGAACGATATCGTGCGTCACTTTTTCCCCGCGGTGTAAACTAGGTTCTCACCGGGGACGACGGAGCGCGGCTGCACAAGGTCACTCACTCGACGTCCTTATTCCTCCAAAAACTCCGAGGCAAAAGAACGGAAAAGGCAAGAAAAAAGTACGATCCCGCCCGACTTTCACAAGACACCGAACGATTGGGTACACAGAACGGCCAGGACGCCTTGTCTTGTGTAGCCCTGCCGCCTCTCTTCTGCCATCTCACACGAATTTGCTCTTCTCAGACCGCTGCTCTCGAGTCTTGGCAAAGTTCCTCGTGCCCGGAAACTCAATCTTGCCCATCGCCCACCGGCCAGGAGAACAAAAAGCTATCCCTTCCTTTTCTTCGTTCTGCAATCCACTCTTGTGTAGAGAGCTAGCTACCTTGGCTTGAATCGTTCCAAGGTTGGCTGCCGGTAGAAGCTTTTAACGAACCGCACGCCAAGAATCGCGAGTCTGGGCGACGGGGAAGTGGCTTCATTCAGTTTATCAACGCATCTGCAGACCAGCACTTCGCAGAAAGCAGAACTAGGGAAGAAGACTGTGAGGACCAGAAATAGTAAACAGGAGCAATTTGAATGCTCCCATCAAGATGGGCTGGTTCGACCGCAAAAAGGTCATCAAGGCCGCCCCCGAGCTGTTCAAACCGGTGCCGGTGAACCAACACCCCTCGCAATATCACCACACACCATCGAATCCGCCGGCTCAACAATCCTCGAGACATGCAGCTTCAATGACGCAGGCACCGCCGTACTGGCAGCCTCAGCCGCACCACCAAGCGCAATACCAGCATCCCCCGCCTCCGTACCACCCATACCCAAACCAGCATCACCAACAACAGCAAACCCAGCCTCATCACCCGCAGGACTGGTCACAGCAAAATCCCCAGCGCGGTGGCCATTTCCCCCAGCAGCAGCAGCAGCATCAGCAGCCCATCGTCGTGAATCAGCACTATTACCTGCACCCGCCGCCGTCCCACCTCGCCCTCCCCGCACCGTCGGGAACCGGACCGCCGCCGACGACGGCGACGGTGACGGCGACGGCCTGTCCCCTCGGCCTGGATAAGTTCACTGGCTCCATGGTGACCATCGCCAAGGACTTCACCTCGCCCACCTTCCTCGAGGAGCCAAATTTCCACCCGCACGCCACACAGCTCATCAACTCCACCGCCGCGTACGTCGACCAGATTGCGGGGTGCTTCAACGACGTCATGACACTGATTGATCGGGACCGGATGGTGGGAAACGAGAAGGCCTTGTTTACGTACCAGAATGGTAGTGGGAGCGGCGCAATGCAGCAGAACCCGTCATCGTCTTCGTCGAGAGATGGAAAGAGGGGTGGCGGCGGCGGCGGTGGTGGAAGAAGCGAGAAGAGCGGGCCGAGGAAGACGAGCAAGGAGGCTCCTTCTGCCGGATCCAAGGGCCAGTCTGCGGCCGTCGCAACGTGTGTGGTATCGGGAGGCTACTTTGCAAAGGTTGAGTTGTATGCCAACTCCAAGTTGCCGATGAACCTCCCGCATCTGAGACTGTGAGTATACATACTCTCGTAAAATCTTAAAAATCCTGATGAAAAACAAAAGCCCTTCAGGAGAAAAGGAGACAAAAATCACTGACAAATATGTAGATACATACCCACCTGGCCACTCCTCTGCATGGCCGCCCAGTACGCAGAACGCGTATACGACCACCCAAAAGGCGCCGAGCGCGACGCCCACGTCTCGGCGGACTGGAAGACGGGCACGAAAGCCATGGTCATCAAGTCGGTGCCCATGGACCACATGAACACAATCGTCTTCGCCATCCGCGGCTCCGCCACCTTCATGGACTGGGCCGTCAACCTCAACACGGCCCCCGCCTCCCCCGACGGCTTCCTCGACGACGCGGGCAACTCGTGCCACGCGGGATTCCTGGCCGTCGCGCGCAAAATGGTGAAACCCGTCGCCGCGCGGCTGCGGCAGCTGCTCGAGGAGGACCCGGGTCGGGCGGCGTACAGCCTGCTGATTACGGGACACTCGGCGGGCGGGGCGGTGGCGAGCTTGTTGTACGCGCACATGGTGGCTACGTCGGCGCGGGCGGGGAGCGAGCTGAATGCGTTGATGGGGTGCTTTAAGCGGGTGCACTGCGTCACGTTTGGGACGCCACCGGTGAGCTTGTTGCCGTTGAGGCGGCCCGAGAGGCCGGAGCTGAGGAAGAGTTTGTTCTTGACGTTTGTGAATGAGGGGGATCCTATCGCGAGGGCGGATAAGGCGTATGTGAAGAGTCTTTTGGAGTTGTATGCCACTCCGGCGCCGGCTCCGGCGGCCGGGACGGGAGCGGTGGGTTCTGGAGGAGGTGGTGGTGGTTCCGGAGGTGAGAAGAAGGGAAGCGGCGGCGCGAGGAGGTTGGTGGCCAAGGCGAGCAAGATGTCACTGGTACACCACGCGCCGGGCAAGGAGTCGGACAGGGAGAAGGAGAGAAGGAGGGCGGGGAGCGGCAGCAACAAGCCAGTGTGGCCTCTTCCACCCGGCACGCTCAGTTCGCCGGGCAGGATCGTGGTGCTGCGGAGCGGGGACCCGAAGGCGAGGCTACGGGACCGGAAGACGGTGGCGGAGAGGTTGGATGAGGGGGTCGTTGCGCAGACTGTGTCTGACGAGGAGCTGAGGGGGGTGATTTGGGGTGATCCGGTGTGTCACGTCATGAAGTTGTATTCGGGGCGGATCGAGACGTTGGCTGTTGGGGCCGTTACAGGGAGGCAGAAGTAGGAGATTTGCTTCGTCTTCCCCGGCGTGAGAGACGGGATGCTTGATTGCGGGAGATGGATGATGAGAGTAGCGGGATGGATATGATACGGCGCTTGGGTCTGGTGATACCATTGCTTTCTCCCAGTTTGGATACCTATTATGAGTTACGAGATATGAATGCTTTCTACTACAATACCAATACTCGGGTTATACTAATGTTGGTCGCGGCGTGAAGGGTTGACTGTAGTGGTAGTACGCGACTTTCTTTCGAGGGGAGGTGGAGTTTCCCGTCGAACAAAGGTTCTTCAACAACGACTTGAGAATTTAGTTATTGGAATTTGAACCCAACAGTGTCGATTGATTACAAGAGGGGCCCGGGCTATTTGAGCTCCCACCCATACTTACTATCTTGTTTTGCTACATTACCTCAGTTTTACTTCCAGCCCTTGAGAATTTGGTGATCCCAAGATAGAATTTGCAAGCACTCTTGCTCCCGATCATCAAATGAGGTAGTTCACAACGACGTGGCTTCTAGCCTAGAGAAGAATATAGAACAGCTTAACTTGACAGGGGCTCACAGCGTCACTAAATTGTAACAGGACAATTCTCCTCAAGTTGCCTCACGCTACGTTCTTTGAAATTCCAAATAACAGGGACACATCTCTCTCCAACAAGAAGGTATACATGACTTATACAGAAACACATACACTATCCCTTCCTCGTCATCCCTGTATTCGACAATCAAGGTATGGCTCACACATCCATTGTGCCTATTGACCCGCTGGAGATGAAATGTGTTACTGTTGTCGTGCGTCCAACAGCGATTACTCGCATTGCTCAAAACCTGGCGACGAAGGCCTCTTTTTGGTTCTTCAAACTACAGCTCACTTCCAGCGTCGTCGCCAGATAGTCTGCAGAAGTGTTGCTGAGGCACGTATTGAGAAACGAAACAAGTCCAAGAAAGTACTTTACTAGAAGTTCGCCGCATCCTTTGACAAGATGGGATACCACCCGTTGATTCGGTTTAGCTACCTGGGCCTGGGTGTAGGCACGTCTACGGTTGCTCAGCGCCGACGGAAATACTCACGTCGTTAAGATAGTTCCGTCGGCCAATGATGTGGAAAGAGAAACAAAAGTCTATGGCAGCTCTAAGGCTGTATGCCAAGAGAGATTTTCGCACTCAGTCGCCGACACCTTGGGACCATAGTTGGTTGTTTGGAGAAGGGAAAGTACACGACGAGCAGTGCGAAAAGGCGTGTCTCGTGCCTCACTCACTTGTATCTGATGCCAACGACGATTCGTCCACCACGATGGTATAACCTACTTGCCACCTCTCATTCGTGTAAGGAAATCGCGGTTTGGGGGCGGAGGGGGGGTGGATTGGTTCCTGCTAGGTCTCATAAGGAACACGATGAGCACGCGGGTTGAAGAAGGCAACGAGTATATGCGAACCACGAAAAAGATCTCGGTGTTTTCCCGAGCAAGATCAGTTCATTGTCCTAGATTCCAATGCTTTCCGGGCCATCCGACCTTGTACCCGAGTTCATGTGCCAAATCCTCTGAATCCCCTTTTTTGTTCGTCCTTAGACCAGGACCAAGGTGTAAAAGCCGTAATATTATATAATTCCCATGAGCCTCCATGAACCTCCCTTCCGGCGACGTTCAGGCCCTAGTATTCATCCTCATTCCCTTCCTCATCACCAGATTCGCCCTCGTCCGCCAAGTTCATAAACATGCCATTCTCGTCATCTTCTTCATCCTCATCCTCCTCGTCTTCGAGATCATCGTCGCTGCCGACGACGCTGCCTTCGTCCTCGTCCTCCGACTCGGACGCAACCGGGTTCCGTCTGCGGTGCGTCATGAGCTTCTGCGCAAGAGACATTGCCTTGGGCGGCGCTTCCTCCTCAGACTCGGAGCTCTCCTCTTCAGACTCCTCGTCGTCTTCAGATACCGGGTTGTCGCGACGGTTGCGGGCGAGCTTCTCGGCCAGAGATAGTGGCTTTTTCGCTCCTGCATCTTCGTCCTCCGAGTCTGAGCCTTCCCGCGTCTCCTCCTTATTAGCAATGTCGGCCCCGCCTTCATCGTCGTCTTCGTCCTCGTCGTCAGAAGGAAGGACTCGTGCACGGCGACCGGCAGGTCTTGGTGCTTCCTCCGCCTCCTCTTCTACTTCATCATCGTCGTCTGACAGAACAACGCGGCCTCGGCGGGTTGTGGATTGAGACGGTTTCTCCTCCGCCTCATCTTCCGCTTCATCTTCCTCGTCGGAAAGGACTATGGGACCGCGTCGACTTGTGCTGCGGCCCGAATCCTCTGCCTCTTCCTCATCTCCCGATTCCTCGTCCTCGTCGGATGACGCGACTCGCCTTCTCCTCCTGCCTCCGCGTGGTTGTTGATCGTCGCCAGATTCCGGTTCGGGGCTAGACCAATGAGCTGTGGGATGCGTTGGGCCGTTGCCATCAAACAGCGTGCTGTCCTCGTCTGCAAGAGGAGAGAATCCGCCAAAGTCCGACACCCCGCCTCCACCCTCTTCATCATCGCTCGCTTGCTGGGTGTCGACAAGCAAATCGTCCTCGTCTTCATCTGCGGACTCCTCGTGAATGCTCCCATCATCAATGCCCTCGCTCTCATACTCGTTCTGGTCTGAGTCATCTTCGGAGTCATCTTCTGATCCATCTTTGTCTTCGTCTTCCGAATCGTCGGCAGCGGGCCCGTCTCCATCGCTAACCCCATGTTTCGCCCGAAAGGCTTCGAAACGATCCGCCGCATCCCAACCGAAACACGTCATTGGCCAATAGCTGATTTCTTCCAGGCGCGCAACTTCATCCGGGTTCATGTAGAGGGAATTCTCCTCTACCATCTCGAGTAACTCTGTAAAGATATCGACCCACACCTCATCCTTGGACAGCCTCTTTTGCGCGAATTCGAGATGCTGCTTGACGTCCGGCCAACAGTACACAAAGTGCAGATCCTCGCCGACGCGCATATCCTTTTGCAGTTGCTGAATCTCGTAGCTGTGAATTTGATCCGACGCGCACCATCGCAGCCTATGCGGTATGCGTCTGTCGTTGTGGAACTGGAAATCAAATAGGTTTTTGAGATTAGGAAAAGCCACGAGGAGCCGGATCTCATTGGCGTCTAGGCCAGATCCGTCCATGGCAAGGTTGACAACATTTTCAGAGAAGCCGGGAATGCTGGCGTTGTGGCTCCAGACACGCTTCACGCCATTGAGGTGAACGACGTCTCGTTCTTTGTTGAAACGAACGATGCGCCGGCCCTCCCGGATGGCCAGGGTGTCTGGGAATGCCTTGAGAGCGATTTCTCGAGATTCGTGGTGAACGCGCAGCATCGCATTCACCGACGCAATTTGATTCTCCAAAGTCGCGCTTTCCCAGATGCTGTCTTGCTTTGGGTTGGGCAACACCTGGAAGGAGAAGACGCGCGGTGACGGAGCGAGATCCGGGCAAAAGTACTGCCAAATGCGATGGCGAAGCTCGATGGGAAGTCTGCGAAATTCCGGGAAAAAGATCCGCGGAGCGCGGCGACGAAACTCGCCAAGAATTGAGGCATCTTCCGAGCCCGAATCTGATGATGAGTCGTCAGAGTCGCTGTTTCCCGATTCTGAAGCTTCGACGTCGAGGAAGCCCTGGCCGTTGTCGTCGCCGGCTTCTGTCCCAGATTCGCTGCCCAAGGACTCCCTGTCGGAAGCGTCATTCTGAACAAGGCCGACGCCATCGGGGCCTGATTCGTCTGATGAGTCTGGCATATTGACCGACGGTGTTTCTTCACTGGTGGGTGGGAAGTTGCGTTGAAAGTGCAAACGGCTCAGAAAGTGATGGTAGGTTGGCGACATGAGGATGAGACGCGACCGGCCAATTGCAGGGGTCAGAAACTGATGCGCGCAGGGAAAGCTCCGTGACACGTGATTCGGTACGTAACGAAGCTTATTTATGCCCCACCTGCCGCTTCACCGAGAATAAGGTACCCACCTACCTCAGGTAAGTACGGATACAGGCCCCTGCCACTTTCTCACTGATGCCCTGACCGAAAATTCCAAAACTTTGCCTTGCGTTTATGTCAATTTCCCCAGACAGCTTGGTAATTTTCAAATTCCGGAAAGACCCAAGGTGGATCAGCGATATCCGGTGAGAGCTCGAAGCCACATGTCTCTCTTTTTGGGAGTGGAAGGACATCAATAAGCAAATCAATCAGCCTCGAATGCCGCGTAGCCCTGAAAACTCAACCGTCCGATTCCTGTACTCCGTCGTGTCATCGTCTCGCCTTCCTATCTTCCAGGACCAGAGCATTGAAAACACTTCTAGCACAGTTTTGACGATATTTACTCTAGGTAGTGTGCCTGTTTCCTATTTTCTCCTACCTATACTACTGACTCGTTCCTCTCCATCGCTGCATCTTGCTTTGATGTTTCCCCACACCACGTCGGTCCACACTGCGTCGTGAGCTCCATATTCCCAAAAATCGCGCAGCCCGCCAAGTCACATATACACAACAACTCAACATCCCCGATGGCACAATTGGCTAGCGCGTCAGACTGTTAATCTGGAGGTTGGTGGTTCGAGCCCACCTCGGGGAGATTCAGCGATTAGATTCCGCACTCGCAGTTGAGGAACATCTCTTTTGACTTTTTTTTTTTTTCGTTTTGGGGCTGTTACTGACTATAAGCCTTGAAGGGGCGCGCAAAGAGGTAAACCGCTGAGGCTGCGGTCAAATAGCTAGTTGCAATTACTTTCCCCCCAGAATTCCGTTGGCTCTACGGCACTTGAGGGGTTACCCATCTTGTGCGTGTTGCTTGCGGTGCATGCCTCTTGCCAGTTCTCCGGCGTTCAATACCTCGCACAATCTTCTAGATCGAGACTGGCGTTTAGGCAGCATGTTTGTAGCTTGACGTGCCGCAATGTATGACATGCTGATTCCACCTAGTTTTCAGGGAGCCATAGCCGTTCTTCCTATCCGTGATGTTTGTTCGTCGATGCCAGCCCACCAAAACATGGGCATGAGGGGTATCGCTGGTATCAAAGTATCGTTGACGAGTATAGCCATCTGAAGACATCCATGCGGCTCAATCACCGGGCGGTTGGAACCCTTGACTAGCTGGTAGCATCGTTCTTCTATACTTGCGCTGTATTCTCGAACTACTTGTCGCGTAATTATGAGCGAGTCGTACGCGTAGAGGGCACTGTGAGGGTGACAAAGGCTTTTGAATATGAAGCAGAAGCTGTGCGGATAGTTTAACATGTGAAACATGTCGGGGCTTCACAGTTAGCAGTCAAACTCAGCGCTCGTAGGCTCAAGGGTACGGGCACTGATTGAGACCCCAATACAGAAATGGTCCTTGTACTCCGTAATTTTGGCAAAAAGGCCAGATCTGCAGGGGTGCAAGTATTTTCACAAGCACCGGTAATCAATAATGAGATGTTGCGAAGTAAACGTCAAGTCAAAAGAGATTGGCCGTTGACCGCTGGCAAGAATCTCCACGGTGGTTGAAATTCCAGAAAAAGTACAACATGGTTGAGGAAGAGCTCAATGGGCAACGCGATCGAGACTCGAATGATTCAACAAGCAAACGGTTAAAGATATTGTCAGTACTCAGCCCGATATTGAAAAAAAGGACAAGTTCTCCTTGTTCGACTAGAACAGTTCAATGTATGGGTAACGAAGGAACCAGGCAGGTTCTCACCGAATTCTTGTACTGTTGTACATGTAGCCACATTGACAATTGAAATTCCTTGTACCAAACATTAGACTACCTTATGTGGAACAACCTCACAGAACTGAAGAATTCAGCAGTCGACGTGATGCGAAACGCCCCTCGTGTATTGATTACCAGTCGGTAAAAGTGTTTCGATATCGCCTTCGTGGGGACTCGAGTCGCTCAACCGACTGGGGAGGCATGAGGTTTCAGAACATGAATTGGCGGCGGGCAGAGTTTAGAAAAGAGTGATTCTAGCAAAAGGATTTGAAGTCCTACTCTTGAAATATGCTGTCACTCCCGTCTTGGTGTGTGTTCTTGCGCCATAATACGTATATGTGTTAGTGTTCTCCTCACTGTAAAAGCTTCGGAACATTATTGAAATTCATCACTGTACAACATGGCCTCAGCTATCCCGGCTATCAATTATCCTCACTGCTCGATCGCGAATTGCATTAAAGGCACTCAAGATCTGAGGATGGCAATCAAGCCTGCTCCAGAAGCAAGGTACACGAGCAGTTGTCCGTGTTAGTCCAGTCTCTTCCAATCAGCGGCCCTACCCGTACAGCATCGACACTCACCTCCTCTGATCACTCGTCCGTCTGCTTCGCTTGATTAATAATTCTGTGCTCCTCCAAGAGCTTTTCGGTCACGGGGAGGAGCCTAAAATGCGTATACGGCCCGACGGCTCCCAATAAGACCGCGGCGGCGAGGTTGAACGGGAATGCGGAATTTCGGAGTTTCGGACTTGTAATGTCGTTTAAAGTACGCAGCCCAATAGGCTTTTTGATAGCCGCGGTCCAGTGCACAGATGAAGGTCTGTTCGTCTGTTTAAGGTTGCGGGAGCAGCGGAAGGAAAGGCGGAGAGCAGGGGGCGAATGGAGGAAAGTGGGCGTGCACCGTTCCATGCCAACACACGGCCAACTTCCTATCCCCGGGGCCACAGCTTTGCAATGGTTCCCTTGTCAGTGAGGTTCAGGATGCGGTGTCTGGCAATGATGTGTGTCCCGAGCTGGGATCCTACAAGTGCTTTAGTTTCCCATTGTTCGGAACCCGTTCCGGTGTTGCGTAGACCAACGAGCACCAGCAGGCTGACGAGCTGGAGCACTTGAGCCCAGTGTGTAGAGTCCCTCATCTTAAATTGTGGGTTTTAAGGGCGCACAGATCGTGTTTGGTTCTGTATCCTGGAGGCTCAGGTGTCTGAAGTTCCGCGTAGAGGAACGGCGGAAGGGGACGCTTGGTTTCCGTTACTTAGTCGGCGACTTTGGATGAAATCGTTAGAGACCCTGTATAACGACAGTCTCTTCAGTAAGGTACGTTGCAGTGTACTGTTGTGAGAGCGGCAGACGTCTAATTTGACTACAATTTTCCATACCACACGAGCCAGAGGCAAGTGAAACCGGCCCCAACTAATTCTTGACGTGCATGATGCACCACCGGTCGACCACGACACACCACCCCACTGCGCTAAGTCTAGAGGGGGAAAATAATCCCGTCATCCCACCATCTCACCAGACGAAGACCACCTCCCCCCCGCCGGCGGCTAATTAGATTGTTGGCCGTGTGGGATGCCGAGTGGGCGCGCCGCAGGAAAATTACGTCAACGAAAGGAAGAGACACAGAAAAAAAGAGCGAGATCTGGTAGTCGCTGGCATCACTTCTCTCGTGGACTGATGAGTTGGCTGTGATAGTCTTTGAGCCAAGTAATAGTTTAGTCTGTACGCTTTGCACGCCAGTATTCTTGGTTATAGAAAGGCATTGTGTCAAAACAAATAAAACTCATGTTGAAATCGATCTTTTTCCAGTAATTTTTTATTTTGCAAAAATGCAGTTACAATTAGCTCGGCCCTGGAAAAGCATTGGTGTTTTTCAATGAATCGAGAACAAACGGCTTCACGCTCTCTACAAACTCTTTATCGGTCTCGGACCCCCGTAGACACCAACACCAAATCGCCATACCCAAACACCGGTCCCAGGAGAGCAGCGGGACGAGCGCCTTATTATCCATTGTCAGGCTCGCCTGTTCGCACATTTTGCTAATCATCAGGACATCGTCGTCGTGGTCCATCGGCACCATGCCGTACCAGTGCGCCGCGGGGCCATCCCACATCATCAGCGGCAAAGGTATTTTGATCCCGAGCATGCCCGGCTCCACGTTCCGGGAGAGGCGCAGGTCAGGGTGTATTGTGATGAACATTGTTTGGAGGATGAGGTGTAGTTTGAACTGGTAGACGGCGAGACTGTAACGCGAATAGAGTTAGTCGAGGCTCGCGTATCCTTTTGGTAGAGGAAAGGGGATAGTAGTCGTTAAAGATCCGGTGTTGGTTTTTTGCCGGCGGGAAGAAGTTGTCGTAGGGAGACACAAATTATTCGATAGTTCCTCCCACAGCCATGGGCGTTGGGGGATTAAAAGACAGGACTGGAACTTACCGTTGGTAAAATTCTTTGAAGATCCAAGGGTATCCACTATAACCACAGAGTTGCGAGCCCAGGTTGATCTTTGACTGCTCGTATACACCCGTAGCTTTGAACGTCTCGAGCAAGAGGGTGTGCGTCATCATCACTTTGTCCATGGACTCGTCCGCTCGATACGGCACGAGTATTGTCAAGATCAGCAGGGACTGGAAAATTGGTAGCAGATCCATCCGTGGGGAAAGCAAGCCTTGCCTCGATTGCTCTAGTAGATCGAGCTTTTAACAATGTTTAGCACAGAGGTCTTTCGTTACGAACAAGTTGCCCAACACAACACAACGTCCGTCCGTGTATCTGGCAGGGACCTCCGCGTCGAAGCGTGAGAGACGGAGAAAATATCAGACACAACTGTCAAAGAATAGACAACAACACTTACAAGCTTTTTTCCTGCTTCTACCAGGAGACTATCGTGAAACTTGATCGCCAGGTTCCTAGCGTCCGGCCATGAAGCGAACCACAACCCAACAGTCATGACGACCTGCGTTAATAACTTGGGCTGCGCTGTCATCTCGAACGTCTCCCGGTGCAGCAGCGGCCACTGGGGATGGAAGTTGGCAAAGTAGATGCTCTCCAGCTGCAGCCTCATTGCTTCATCCAGGATGGACCCCGGGGGGGTGAAGTCGAGGGTGTCGGATATCGTTGTCATCGGCATGGTGCCGGCCATGATCGCATACGAGGCATTCATGCCGGTGGGCGGATGGTGCTGGTGCTGGTTCTGATACGACTGATGCGGCTGCGGCCATTCGCAGGATTTTCCCTTGTCGTTGCATGTTGAGCAGATGGGCTGCTGACCATCGCACCTGGTCTTTGTCCAGTGGCATGGACCGCAGGCTTGTGCTACGCGGGTTGGCGAAACTGAAGAGACGTGTAGTGCCTTGTGTCTACGGAGAGTATCTCTGCATTTTGGAAAAGGTTCCCACGATTAGTCTTTTTCCTTCCTCGCAGGAGAGGGGGACCTGAATGGGATCGAGAATGACTACAATAACAAGTCCAACAATAAGAAAGTGTCGGGAATAGAACCCAATGGACGACACAAGTGACGTTGTGTCAGAGGCATAAGACAAGGGGGAAGTTGTAGTTATCGATCATACCCTCTGGTGAACTTGGTGCCGCATGACGGACAGGAGAAAGAAGGCGTTGCAGAGTGTTCTTTTTTGTGGCGCGTGAGGTGTTCTTTACGACGATAGGAGCGGCCGCAGCCTTTATGATCGCAGGTGAAGGTCATTCTGGGGAGCTCCAACGCAAGGAAGGATTAGATCCATTGCCCTGGGCTACTTTAGTTGCCGATGGGTTGAATAGATCTAAAAGAGGGCTACTAAGATGAGGATCAGATCGCCACCCGGTGGGGTACGGCGAGATAGGATAGGGTAGATTAGGTTAAAGTCTTGGTCGTCACGTCGTGTGCGTGGAGTGTGGGCACGTCATGATGGGTGTTCGGACGTGGACTTCGCTTGATTCAGCCATTCGCTTAGAAACGAGGAGGAGGGGGAGTAGGAGGTGGTGGTGGAGGTGGTGGTGGTGGTCGACGGTGGGGCCGGGCTAATCCCTTCAAGGCAGTTGAAGCGCCAACGCTTGCTAGCGATCGGTTGGGCGTCCGTCCGCCCTGCCCAGACGACTCAGACGGTAGGATGGCCGAGTAGGCGGGGTTCCCGGCTCCGGAGCGGGGCCCTCGGACGCCGAGACTTTTTTTTTTACGAATGCGTATGCGTCCACCAGTGGGATTATAGGATGAAGGCTAGCAACAGTGGAGGGAGATAATAATGCATAAAGTATAGACGGAGGCTTAGAGACGTTCTGTGTAATTTCAGTGGGGACAGATGCGCTATAGAGTGCAGTTAAGATTCTCTCACAAGATCAAGCGAAATGCTACGCTCCAAGACTCTGCCTGCTCCAAGGTAGCCCACATGATGCACGCTTCATCAAGACCCTTGAACTTTGGAAACTTAACCACCTGAGACAATATAGTCCTCGGAAAAAATTATCCATGACTGCCCTGAAGACTATTGCCTTTATTGGAGTAAGCCACAGCTCTATAGATTGCATAGGCCTCGCATCGTGAATCCTCTAGTAAAAGCTAATGTAGCATGATCACAGCACTGACCCTCTAATTACTACCCAACGTCAGGGCTACGGCAAAGTCGGCCGCGTCAATCGTAGAGCAGCTGACCACAGCCATCATCTTCAGCCTCGCCGTCCTCGCCCGGGGTTCTCACGCCAAGACCTTCTTCCCCCCGGGTGTCAAAACTGTCGCAGCAGACTACGAATCATTGGACGACCTGACACTTCGCTTGCGCGCGCTCCATGCTGTCGTCTGCGTCGTCCCAGGTCACCCCGAGGCCCTGCTGCTGCGAATCGTGGCTTCCTCGAGGCCACCATCGCTCCCGACGTACAACGCTTCGTCCCAAGGGAGTTTGGCTCCGATCGTCGCATTCCAGACGCGCGATCCGTTCCCCTCTCAGTCTTCAAGATTATAGTCGATGAAGCGCTGCAAAAGGCGGCTGCGCAAGGGTTAATCGAGTATACGATCACCTCGGGCGGGCCGTGGAACGAGTGGCTCGTGACTTGAGACACTGACATGTGCCTCCCCTGGCGCAAGCTCCTCGTCCATTAGGACGACAACGTTCGGTTTGGGATGGGTACACGCAAGGCGTTTGGGGACGCGGTCGTGAGTGCGCTTAAACCCGACCCGACCCGACCCGACCAATAACCAGACCTTGACTCTTGAAGTGGTCAACCTGACCTAGAACCGGGTTGCGGGCGTGCAGAAGTTTCTCTCTGGAAAGTTTGACGCGTTGGTGATTGGAGACGTTGTATTGAGATTTGTCTCTGCACCCCGAGCGCCAGCGCATCCTTAACACTGTTGCCACCAATAAGTTGATCGGGGTTCATAGAATGACCGAGGCGGAATTCAGGGAGCTTGTCAAGTTCTTGGTTACAACATAACTGTGAGCTTGAGCTGAGAGGTGCTCTGTGCAAGAATCTGGCCGCAAGGTTCATCGCCACGCGAGGAAGCTCAAATTAGCTTGGATAGGCTAAAAAGGGCATACCAGCGACCTGCAGAGGCCATTATTGCAATTTGGGCCAGAAAAGACCAGGCGAATATTATTACAACTAGCCCGTCTGAGCTGGAAAAATCGGTCGGGTAGGGGAACACCCCCGATCCAGAAACTCTGCAGCACCCCTGCCTTGGGGTTAATTAGATCGAAGGGCAGGACAGACCTATGGTTTAACCCAATTCAATCTTTCTACATACCACTCATCAGACCCTCATCTGCGGGACGACATGTTCTGCCCGTACAAGTGAACCTGAAAGAATCATCCGCCGAATGCCTTCCCATCTTTCCTCTCACTGCCCGAAAAGCATAGCGGAGATCCTTTCCTCTTCTGGCAACCCTTACGTCTTCAGCCCAAGTCTTTAGGGCTTTACTTACGGAGGAGGATCTTGATTTGGATAGAGTTGTCCGTAAGAAGCGACCGCTGATTGGTGGTGGCCTTATTATCCATCCTTTTGTTCGTCGGCCTGTGGAGGGAGAGTTGCGAGCGACCGGCCCGTCGACTTGACACAGAGTGGTAGTTAAGATGAAGCTTAAATCAAAGACAGGGTCTTGGTGTTTAGCCTTGCATTACTAAGAAATAAACTACTAACGCAATGACACTCAACGGGATGGCTCAACATTTTCTTTCTATCCTCCTACCTGTCTGCGCCGCGCGCTGGCAGGCAAGGCATGCGGACATAAGAACATAAGAGCCAGTCTAAAGCGTCCATTGGCGAGATCAAAGTGGCCTCGAACTGTGACCGGGCCTGTAGCCGAAAAGCGAGGTCTTCGTATGGCGCCGTAGACCAAAACTGTCTGAAACCAAAAAAAAAGAGGTCTGCGGATGGCGACAGTATCGTCGGGTAATACGTGGTCTCATTGGTCCAGTCAGTATCAGAGGTCTAGTTATGTACAGTTGACCGCCCACCTCCCTTTGCCTTTGCCCAAATGCCACCTGCATGCATATATATCTATAAGTATACTTTTAAACTTTTCAACTCGCAACTTTTAACCCTCTGTGCATACCACGCTTTCTGCTAGCTGCACTGCTTAGTAGGTGTAGCGGAACGACTTGTTCTCCTTGTCAGTCATCGACTGCCAATTCTCGGGGGCCATGTAGGCCTCCTCGGACTGCTTGATGGCGCCGCGCCTCTTGTTCTCAAAGCGATAGTAGGCGTACAGCACCAGGGTGACGACGGCGCAGCCGGCCTGGGTGCCCATGACGGCGATCTTGGCCGGGCGGTACTCGGGGGCGTCCTTGGCCTGGAAGGTCTGGGGCCCGATGATGTTGCCCAACGAGAAGGAGCCAGAGACGATGGCGGCGGCGAAGGCGCGCTTGGTGGCACCTGCAAAGTTGGCGGCAGTCCACTGGATGTCATGTCAGTCATGTTGTCCAAAGGTCTCAAGAACCTAGAGGTGTACTCACAGCGTAAAAGACGGTCAAGGGGGCAACGACGGCGTTGACGAGGTAGATGCCGGCCAAGCAGCCAGAGCGGTTGCTGACGGGAAGGAAAGACATCAAGGCGCCACCGATGATGCTACGCGGGATTAGTACATGGTTTCTTCTTTCGACACTAGATTCACCGTCGACTTACGCTGGGATGATGCAGGCGACGATCCAGGCCCACCGGTTGGACGTGTGACGAATTCCGTAACCGACCAGGAGAGTGAAGAAGATGCTGACAACACCGGAGGGCATGTTCATCAGAGCGGCGTGCTTCGAGTCGAAGCCGAGGTTGCGGATGAGAGTGGAAGAGTAGGTAGTGACAACACCGCTGGAAACGGACATCTTTTTGGGAAAAGCGTCAGTGGACTTTCAACTACATGCATAATGTTTCAGGGGTCACGGATGATACGCACGAGAACGACGGCGATGACTATGAGGTACATCTGGGGGTCCATGAGGGCCTCGAGGATCTGCTTAGGGCGGAACTTGCGGCTCTCGATACCGGTCTGGTTGACGCTGACATGCTTCAGCAGCGCAACCTTCTCCGTGTCGCTCAGCCAGCTGGCCTTCATGGGCGTGTCCGGGATGAAGAGGAAGGTGCAGATACCGATGGTGACGGTCAGGCAGCCGAGGACGACGAACATGATGCGCCAGCCGGCGAGGCCCGCGCCGGGGGCGATGTGCTGGAAGCCATAGGAGATGGCGCCGCCGAGGATCTGGCCGAGGCCGAGGCCGAGGTACCAGAAGGAGAATCGGGGTGCCTGCTCAGATTTCGTGTACCACTGGGCACTGATGAGCATCAGGGAGGGGCCGATGGTAGCCTCGAAGATGCCCAGGAAGACGCGGGAGACGAGGAGGGACTGATAATTGTGCGCCGCGGCGCCGCAGGCGGTCGCGGTGCCCCAGAGGATGACGTTGGCGCCCAACCATTTGGCCGCGGGGACCATCTGGAGGAAGTAGACTGCGGAGAGGAAATGAAATGTTAGTCTTTTGTTTCCTTGTTTTCCTTTTGCAAACTGTGCAAATGGTTCGAGTCTCTCCCATCGTGAGAGTCTCTCTTTTCTTGCTTTTCTTCAGGTGAGATGGGGAGTGGAACGGGGGTAAAACGTACTGTTAGGAACCTCAAAACAGAGAAGACCGACAAAGAGGAAGGTGGCAATGTTGGAGAACTCGTTGCCGACGAGCTTGAGGTCCTTGTTCAAGCCCATGACGGCGGCGTACTACATCGTCAGATATCAGATTAGCACTGGCCTCGTAGGTGAGAGAAAGATCCGGGGCCGCAAAAGCAAGCAAGCCGCTCGGACATGTGAGTTGATCGTGGCGGGAGATCTTTGAGGCCGCTGGGTAAAAGTACTTACGTTCAGGATGACCTTGTCCAAGAACTGCATGGTGTAGCATAGGAACATGAGGGGGACGATGCGGTAGTCAATCTTTCGTCTGAGTGCGTTCAAATCCACGGAGCTCGTGTCGGTGCCGGCATCGCGGTGGTCGTTGAGGAACTTCCACGCGGCGTCGACGTTGCCGGCGTCGGCATGGGAGTCGGACGAGGCCGAGCTCACAAAGTCCTTGGGGGTCTTCTCGTCCACGGACATTGTTGTTGCTTTGTATATAGGTTTGTCTTGCTTTAGGGCGGATGGTAGGTAGGTCAGGTAGGTAGGATAGAAGAAGAAGAATAAGCAAAACAAACAAGAACGTGACCCTTCTTGGTTACTACCACCTTAGCCTCAGTAGCGGGAAGAAAGAGAAGCCAAAAAGCAAAGCTGGTTCTGTTGTCCTGTCTGGTGATCGACGACGAGGCACGCACAGGCTTCCGCTGCGGGACTGAAGGCTAAAGAAGATTGGGGGAAGGGGAGGGTGTTTGCGATTTCTGATCCAATGTGATCTGATCTGCGCGCAGATGTCAGATGGAAAAGAAAAAAGGTAAAAAAGAAGTAGATGGGATGGAGAGGAGGGGAGAGTCGTAATGAAAAGGGAGAAAAACAAGAAGTGACAAGAGTTGATTCAACTGATTAGTACGGACAGTTCGCCCAGTAATAGAGACTCCCGCCAGGAGATTGTACAAGAATGGTATCAGTACACCAGCGCACAGGAACACAAAGCTGTTGGAACTCGGATGAGATGCAGGAGGAGGGCTAGACAAGAGAGCAACGTGCTACCTGCGTGCTGCAGGTCTCGATGTACATCCCATACCATGTCGACGCAGGTATTATCACTTTTCCCTCCCAAAATCGAACACACCCAACAGCTTAGCGTGCCGTACGGCGCAGCTCCCCGATCCCCGCCTGCAGCAAGCAAGGTTTACGTAGTTGGAGCAGGGGACCGGGGGGGGGGGACCCCTAACTGACGAGAAGGAAGACTGGGGCTCGATCCCCGGCGGCCGATGCATGTTACCTGGACCTCCAGTTCGAGAACGAGGGATATCCGGTCTGGCGAGCGATGGATCTTCTCAAGTTCTCCAGAGGCTCCATAGTCCTCGACACCATGTACGAAGTACTTCAGTACCTACACAGGTGAGAGGCGGCATGGGTACTCGCAGCTGAGGACTGGGATTCATAGATTCCAGACAAAGAAACCGGCCTGCCTTGGCCATTCACCCCATCAAAACGGACCCATTGAAAGGGCCCTGTCCCATTCATATCCGGCTGCATTACCTCTTAGCCTATGATCGAATGCCAATACCAGCTCGTTTTGCGACAAAATCTGGGACGTCTCTGGGACCTCTACTTTGTTACATGTACATTGGAGGATGTTGTTTCTTGTCGACCCGCTCATCAGAGTGGTTTTGCGCGGGGACTTAGGCTTAGTGGCGACCGTAAATAAGGCCCCCCCCCTCCTCTCCTCCCTCTATTAGATCAAATTGGTTCCCAACTTATCCACATCCACTCATCTGTAGCCTGCTAATTCTTATCGACCATCCGAGTCATCAACCCAGAGACGTCGTGATGTAGCGGGCCAACACAGACGTTGAGAAAAGAGCACGAGCTGCGGATAGACAGGTTTCTGTAAATGGAGGGGCAGAGGGAAAAAATTCTCCTGCGAGCGGGGGGGGGGCTTTGTGAGAAAACGGGCAGAAATGGGGGCAGTTTTTAATAATGACAAGGCGACAAGACAGGACGGTCTAGCCGACGTCAAAGTGTCAATTTGGCTTCTGCGATCGAACGATATTGATCTCTGTCAACACCGGCATATTCTTAAAGTACGGACTACGCAGTCTGTCTCTCCGGGTCAGAAACTTTCAATTTTCGCCTCGGCTGGCGCCCAACAAAAAAGCCAGGACCACAAACGGTCAAATTTGACAGATACCGTCCGAGGTCCGTCCAGACCTTGCAAGTTGCCAACGACTTGCAGTAGACGCAATGCCGCTTAGCACCACCCGCGTCCCTTTGCCGTCGCATCGTCTGCCTTGGGCCTAACCTCTCCTTCAGTCTCCCCCCCACAGGCCCTGGTACGTCGGCCGTCGTATGTTGTTGCACCATGGTACCATGGAGCCAACCGTTGTCTTTCCGTGGTCGTATTTGGCAAAGTTGAAAGGTATTCTCCCGAAGAGCCATTTTGTTCCGGAAGTTTTCCTGTCCCGAAGTTACCACACGCATTTACACTACACTACTACACCAGACCCCAGCCCCCCTCCTCGGATGGCACTCCGGACGGCATGATGGAGACGACTGCACGGCGGACGACCAGCCCGCCCCAGAAAGAAGAAATAATGTAATTCGGAAACCAGGCCTAAGGGCTTGGCAAAGCTTTAACGTGTAGCAGCCCAGAACATGAAGCATCAAATCGCAAGAAAAGGAGACTCCGCAGTGATGCATTCGCTGCGGAGTCCCCTCTGGTGATCCCCCAAACATCTGTCTTTCCCGCGCTTAGTTGACCTTTTGTTCTCTTCGAGGCTTTCTTACCTTCCAAGTTACCCAGCGTCACACTCGATTTACGAATCACCTGCAGACAACCACATCACTCGGCGTGGTTTTACCGGATTTCCATCCCATGGTACCTTTTCTACTCGCTGCCCCCTGTCTGATGGATGATGGCCCTGGCGGAGCCTGGTCATTGCGCGAACATCGAGACATTAGCAAGGCCACGCCAGCACCAGGTTCCCGAGCCAGCACCAGGCCCCAAACCCTATCACCTTGCACGGAATCAATCCAGACTGGCACCATCCTTGCGATGTTTGAGACATTTGAGGACCGATTGCCTTTGCTAGACAAGGCATCCCAGATACTCCTGCTGCTTTCTATGCTTCTCGACCTATCCCAATTGTAATGACCTACTGCTTCAGGGTGTAAGGCCAGGCGGAGACGCGACTCCTCGCCAGCTCAGAGCTAGGTAGGTAGCTTTTTTTGCGGCCTCTGTTTTTTTTCGTTATCCCATCCCAGAAGCTCGGAGCAGACGTACGCAAAGTGACGGGCTCATATTTTCTTGTTCCTTGTGGATAAGGTGATCTCCCACCCAGCTGCCTTGGAAAGGCAAGGCGAAGGGGGCATGCACAAACTCATCACACATACACAGTAGGCTCATGTAAGTCCCGCCACGCGCACCACACACGCGCGGGCGGTAGAAGACCACAACCGCACGACGTACATAATAGAGATGAAAGCGGCCACCCCCCCTGATCTGGCCCTTCAACGTTTCTTTGGAGGTTGCTGTGTATTGCTGCTCTCCGCCAAATTCATCAAATTCCCCTTGCTTTCGACCTGCAGGCTAGGATCTTATTTTACCAGTCGGCTGGTCGCCTCCCCCCCTTCCGCCGCCCCCCCCCCCCTCTATCTACGCTCTCCCCTTAACCTCCGTTAGCCTTTTGTCCCTCTCCATACGAGCCCAGTTTTAAACTACACCGTTGGTCCCATGTTTATTTGTCTTGGGTTTCTTCGTTGGAACTTGACTTGTGGGATGCACAGAGGTCTGTTGGTTGCAAGCCACAGTTACACACCATCGCAGCAACGCTAGACGAGTTACGAAAGATCTCGGGGTCTTAAAGCATTCTTCATCGGAAAGATTGTTGGTTTTGTCTTGGTTTTTGTTTTCGAGTCAACGCCACGCAGCCTGCCGTTGCGCCGCCCGTTACAAACCGCCGCCATGGGCTGGGTCCTCAACGCCACTCCCCAGGTCGAGGGCATATCGCAATGGCCGACCATCATCGCCGTCGTCGTCGTCCTCTCCTTCCTCTCCGTCCTCGTCGTGGGCTCTCGAATCTGGATCCGATTTTCCGCCAGAGGTCTGGCTGCCGATGACTGGATGTCGGTGTTGTCAGAACTCTTTGCTCTCATCTATTCCGGCCTGACCATTGCACGTGAGTTCAAGCCAAAAACTCGGTTGTGATTGCCATGCAAGATTCTAATGGGGATGTAAGAAACGAGATATGGTCTCGGTTTGCCCATAAAGCTGAGGCCAAAGGAAAGTTTGATTGTGTACACGCGTATCAACTTTGCAGGCCGACCTTTTTACCAACTGGGCATCAGCTTCTTCAAGATTGCCCTGCTGATTAGCTATCTCCGCCTGCTCAAGGGAACCGACCAAAAGAGCTACCGCCGGATCGTCTGGCTGACCATCATCCTGGTCTTCATCGCTCACCTGGGATGCTCCTTCTCGCTCATCTTCGCCTGCACGCCTGTCGACAAGTCGTGGAACCCGCTCAAGGCGGGAACCTGTCTGCCCACGGGCCCGTCCTTCACCGCGTACGCCGTCGTCACGATCGTCTCCGACGTTGTCGTGGCGGTCCTGCCCATCCCGGTGCTGCTGAAGCTCAACGTCCGTGTGGAGAAGAAGGCCGGCCTGATTGCCATTTTCTTGCTCGGCCTCTTCACGACCATCTGCTCTATCTTGCGGTACCTCGAGATTAACCGCATCCAGTACGGCGACGGCAACTCGACGATGCTGGTCTTGTGGGGAACCATTGAATTTAACGTTGGCGTAAGTTTTTCTACCGTAAAAGCTTCCGCAAGCTTTCCGCGACGTCCCGAGAAGTGCAGAAAGCAAAAAAAGCTAACAACTCTGGGCAGAATATCGTGTCTTCTCTGCCGTTCCTGGCACCGGTGTGCATGAAAAAGGCCAAGAACTACCGCTCAAAGTACTCTGGAGGCTCGTCGCACGGACGAAGCCATCTAAAGGGTGGAGAGCGGTACAAGCTCAGCGAGTTGAACCACGACAAGTCCGTCTTCGCCTCGGCGAACCACAGCAAGGGCGACAACGGCAGCGAGGAGAACATCCTCCCGGGCAACATTATGAAGTCTGTGACGTACAGCGTCCAGGTCGACGACAGGGTGGAGAACAAATCCGGCATGCACAGCGGGACGAACGACAATACGCGACGAAGGGATTCGCGAGAGTCGGATGTGTAAGGGGATGGTTCGATATCACGCACCGCCAGCATCACAATTACAAAAGAAAAACAGTCAAAATTGAATGGAGAAAATGTAAAATGATAATGTGTAAAAAGGGCCTCTTTATTTTGGAAAAAAGAAAGCACCAGATTCGGTAGATCAATTGTAAGGCGTTGGAGGGACACACCAACTTGGAGATGTTTTGTTCATTAGCAGCGATCACTTCCCATTAAGGATTCGTTTTTTTTCTGGATTCCGGTTGGATCTGACGGAATCGCACAGTATCGCATTAGCAAAAAATGATACCCTCGATCGAAGCCGGCGGGAGCAGAGGGGGGGAGGGGAAACCTGGTCACCACACTCACAGCACAGGCTCTCTTCTCGCTGATCTCTCCCCACCACGGTGGAGGACCAGAACAGACCGGGGTGGGAGGAGGGACGGTTACGTGTCACGAAATCACCCCATCACCCCATACATCCCACAACACGATGCTGATCTTCATTCCCGGAAACACGGCGAACGCGATCTCTTTTGCGTCATTGATTCAATTAAAATAGAACGAATAGATATCAATCTACAGAATACTCTGGTGGGCTATCGGCAGTCCTTTTACTCTTCATCAAACTGAAGCTTCATCTCCCGCTTGCTGAGAAGAGGGCTCGTAGAGCTAATCTTGGGCCAGTCGTGCGCATCCATGCATGCCCGCCGCGACGCTAGCACGCCGGGTCGGGCTCTGGAGACGACAGCATTTTCGTAGATGTCGAGGGCGGCTCGCAGGTCCGCAAAGTTACATGTACTGTTGCTAGCGCTCAACTTGGGCGCCACAGTCTCTGCAAAGTCGAGAACGTCGAGGATGGCGTGGTTGGCACCCTCGCCTCTGTCTGTGCGTGCCGTCAGTCATACATCTCCGTCTATTTGAGACGAACCACCCTCAAGGGTAGACGGAGAGGGAGAGAAAGCTAGAGTCCAATGCCCGAACGAAACGTCGGGCAAGGGCAAAAAAGGAGGCAAACAGGCGATTTGTCAACGAAAAAGGCATCATTCACTTACACATCGCCATGGCATGAAAGGCATCGCCCATCAGCACAACCCTGCCCTTGGACCTCAACCCTTTCGGCGGAGGGAAATCGTAGAGGTCGAGGTGTTTCACGTCAGTGTCAGCGGGAATGCCAAGAGCAAGGGAACGAAACGGCTCCGACCACCCTTGGGCAAACGACTTGATGAGCTCGACCTTGCCGGCGTCCGTCAACGGATAGCAGGTCGGCTCCGGCTTGCCCAGGAAGCCGGAGCGATCCGGCCACGAGATGCACAGCTGGCAGCTGTACGTGCCCGTGCTGTCCTCGTTGTTTCTGGGGGCGTCGAGCACTGCAGGTTGGGGAAACACGCAGAATCTGTGTTAGTCTTTTTTTGCTCTCATCCTTTCTTTTTGGTTCTTCTATCCGCCTTGCGTACACGCGGCGCGCAAAAAGGCAGGGAAAGTCGATGATAAGAAGATGAAGAGGGAGGGGAGGGGGGGGGTTCTCAGCCCCACGGTAGCACTCTCAGCGCAGGGACAACCCTTGTTCGGCAGACAGCAAGATCTCGCGTTCGCCTTGATCGGGTATCAAGAGCCACCTGAGTGACAAGAAGAAAAGAGAAATGATCGGATACCACTCTGATAACAACCAAGGGAAAATTAAAACTTACCGCTGAGATAGAGAAACGTATCGTTCCGAGACGATGCGCCTTGTAGGAAAAAAGGGTCGAGCTTCCGGATCGGCTCTATCTCTTCGGGAGTCAACTGCAACTTGAGGCCAAGTAGCCGGACCGGAATCCGGTGTCTCTCGTGCTGTTCCGGGAAGAGCTGGCGCCGAGCACGGGAAGGGCCCCCGTCGCAGGCGACGAGCACGCGACCAGCCACCGAAGAGCCGTCGTCAAAGGAGACAACGACGCCGGTTTCATTTTCTTCGAATCTCGTGAAGCCCTTCCCCCACTGCAATGGCGACTTAGCACGGGAAGTTGACGGAGCATCGCCGCAGCCTTGCATCCGAACCAAAAATGCGGGTATAAATAGGAATGCAACTTTCAACGTACCTGAATGTCGATATCCGTAGCCACCAAACGCCGCAACCTCTCCCTCGTGACCCTGATCCTCAGACTCTCCGGGGCGCGTGGGCTAGCACCCTTGAGCTCGGCGGTGCTCAGGTCAAAGAAGGGGAACGCCGAGGCCTCGCCCCTCTCGACGGCGGCCCGGTCGACGTAGGCCTCGGGCAGCCGCGCGACGAGGTTGTCCGGCAGCAGGGATCGCAGCGCCGGCAGAGACCAGTGCAGCGTCAAGCCCCAGCCGACGCCGCGTGTCGTGAGGTCCGTGTCGCGCTCGTAGATGCGGTAGGGGATGTTGGTTTTGCGTAGGTACTGCGCGAGCAGCAGGCCGCTGACGCCCGCGCCAACGATGATGACGGGGAGGAGGGGTCCTTGCTCTTGGATTGCCATGGCTTCTTTTTTGCTGGGCAGCTTCTTTGCTTGGAGCGTGCTTTTTCTGTGGCTTTTTTTGCCGCTGGACGAATACTTGTCTGAAGAAGAGACTGGGGGGCGTGTGTAACTTGACCAGGCCTCCGTTCTTTTCTTGCGACGGTTGGAAACGATGGGCGAGAACTCGGAAGTCTATGCAGTAGCAATGGCGGCTGTGCGGCAAGCAGGCAAATGACACGAGTAAAAAGAGCATCTGGCACCCAATGACATGCATTAATAATGTAATTGTATGTGTGGTAACGGCCTCGGCGCGGAGTACATCTCTCAAACGTCTCCGACCAGTCTCTGCACCCAATAGCCCAAAGGGCTTCACATCCGATGCAAGATTCGCCCTCATCCAATTTCTCGCAACCAGACCACAGAAAAGCTCACCCTGGTCTCCTCGACCTTCAGGCTTCATCGAACCACCCCCACTGCCGTACTCTTACACCATGAACCGAAAACTCTATTACCACTTCACTTGACCCCTGCTTGGGGGAAATCGCCTGATGTCGGGGGCCACCGGCAAGGATGGCCTAGCCAGCGACACCCATGGGGCGGGAGGATCGCCGGAGACCTCCCCCCGGCCGCTACCTGTGCCACACACACACACCAACAGCCTAGGAGACGCTTTCGATGGGCAAGTTTGAGTCCCTCCCTCCCAACGGCGCTTTTCCTTCACCGGCACACGCACAGGCAAACACACACACACACACACACACACACACACTAGGGAAGAGACGGGAGCGCGGGAGGGAGCGAGGGAAAGAAAATGGGCCTGACAAACCCGTTCTGTTTGCTTGTCAAACGTCTGTGCCACATCGGGACGAAGCGATGCGCGTTTGTACCACACCCCGATCTGAGAGCGAATGGTAATTCCACCCACACTTTCACTACGCTCCCTATTCTCAAAAGGTCTCTGGTTTCCAATTACTTCGTCAAACAAGATTTCATTTCAGTCATTGGTGAGTTGTCGAGACAGAAGGGGGCATGGAGAGAGGTTTAGCAAAGCGGCCAAGGTACCTCGCTCGAGAGCAGGGAATACCAGACCGGCCCCAGAACCGCTAATCTCGGACGGGCTAGGAGGGGTAGGGGGTAGACGGGGGGGGAGGGCTGAAATCCAAAAGTTCACCTCTAGGCCCGTACGTAATTCCACCGAGAAACCCACAGGCGAAAGAAAAGAAGTGGGAGAATTCGTGTTGCTGTGCTCTTTTCTTGGCCATTTTCCCTATGTACGGGGTTCAACTCCTACAACCTTGCAAACTAGGCGGCCCCCCTTCCCCCAGAACCACTCTTTCAGACAGACGACCTTTCCTCGTCTGTGTCTGGCTAAGCATTCTGGTCCAGTGGGGGGTCCGGAAAACAATGCCGCAACTCCACCGAAGCCTTGTACAGAGTACATGTATTCGTACTTTCCGTGATGTGGTAATCTAGCGCAACAGCCGCGCCTCTCACGACCACTCACGGCGGCTCTCCAAGGATCATTCAATCGTCTCAGTCCCTCTCAACCATGGTACGGATACACTGTCTGAGGTTCACAAGAAATGCCTGGTTCTCAAACACCAAGGCTCACCCCCAGTCCCAGCCGGTCCATTGGCTGCCTTTTAATCACAATCAGCACCAGTATCCAAGGCCAAGGCTTCGCCGTCTAGACGCTCGAACGAACCGTATTGAGCGACGAGAAAAAAGCTCGCAGCTTGCTCTCTTCCGATCTTGCTCGCCCCCTCTCAGGTATCCACTACCTCTATCCGTACCTGGCTCTCATAATCCATCGCCCACGCTGAACGAAGATGCACCAGAAATGGTAACATTCGTCGCCGATCACACTTTTCGCCAACAATCCTTGCCTCAGCCATGCAAGATTGCGGCACAGCACGCCGAATACACCTCAACGTACATGCAACCTCGTCAACCGCGCTGCTAGCCCGTAGCAAGGGAATTCTTCGGTGATTTGCCTCGCCTTTCGCTACAAAGCCATAGATTTGGTAAAGCGCCGCGCTCCATGTCCATGTCACCCATCTAGACTAATGGAGCCCATCTCCTTCGTCCCGCGTCCCGAAACTGCTACCAAAGAGTGATGAGACTCCGAGAGTCGAGACTGAGAAAGAGCGCGCGTCCTACCTGGCAGCGGCCACAGCTGAGCTTGCTCTACAATCTGTCAGACAAACCTACGAAATGGAATGTTACGCTGGCGTGTCATCGCTGGCGTACTTTACAAGTTTTGAGTTTGACTAGGCAGGTTGAGCTAAACACCAGCGAACCAACCTCACCATTCATAGTTCTGACTGGTGCCATTTGACAGGTAAACATCAGATCGAACCGCGCTTGCTTACAATGTTCCGATTTCCCGAGTGTAGCCTGTTTTTCTCAACACGATCTGCCCGGCAGTCTGGTTCCTATATAAACCAGGGCAGCACAGATTTCTATCGTGTGCACGCCCCTGCACTTCCCACTCGTCTACTACGTATATTCGACAAGAAAGCCACTGACATGCACAAGAATCACGCTATCCTGAACCTGGCATTAGACGACTGTCCCTCGTAAGCCAATACCGCACCGCACCAACTGTACAATTTTCAAAGTACCCAAGTCATAACATACCTTACGTAACGCACCTCGCAGTGTTCCAGATGGTCGACGTGCCTTTCCGATCTGATTGCCGGATCAAGATACTGGACCCAACGCAGATGTACGACCACATTTCGGGTATGGTTGGTGCCGGATATCGTTACACACGTATCAAATCACATTGCTAACGAAGACCGGTCCATCTCCGTGCCTCGGAATCCGGTACTGCCTGTTGGCTTTCCGCCGTCCTTTCGTAGCAAGCAGTCTGGTTGGGAGAGTACGAACGTGTGAGAAAGTCTGGAACGAATCTCTGAGAATTTCAAATGCGACGCCAGCGGAGACCCCCGGGTACTCGACAGAGGCCGGGGTCCGAAAGACACATATGCAGCGAAAGAAATTTTGATGACCGACCCTCGGGGGGCGGATAGCAGGACCCATCAATGCTGTTGGCAAGTGAGAAGTGATAACATGGGTGCCGAGTGCGTTAGTCCTATCCATACAAGCTAGGGGGCCGGATTGGATTGGGCAAGGGGCATGATGGTGGCGGCTAGGATTCTCAACGGTTGTTGGATATCACAAAAACGGCCCATCAAAGAAGCGTCGATGGCAATGTCGAGTGGAAAGCTCATGATGATGTAGACGACATGCGGCGTGCGCAGCTAGTTGCCTCGACCGATGTGGGACGATGTGACGCAGCAGGCGAGCAAAGTGATGGACTTTTTTAGACGTTTAGAAAACTTCGTTGTCAGTTGATCATCACTCCTGGTCCGCATGGCTTCCATGTTGTCGACAGGGCTTGGAGGGGATCCTGGGACGAGCTGATTTGTGTCCGGAGTATTGGGTTTTGTTGCCCGCATACGCAGGAGCTGATGGGGTCTGCCAGGCACCAACGTGTACACCACATGTGAGGTACGGATACCTTGGGAAGACATCGACGCCACTCGAGAGGTTGTCCCACTCGTTGGTATCTCATCATGCCAGGAAAGCTGTTTGCGCTCCGTTCCGAGTGGTCAATGGCCGTCGTTCCACGCCACAACTGAGAAATTCGGGGATCAATGAGCCATGTATTGCATTTGCATGGCATGCAGACGAATCCCTTACCGGAGAGGATTGGCATGGGAGGCTTTCCGCTTCGGGCGAAGGAAGCACCTCTGTTCCCAAACGTCTTATTATGAATTTTCTAGGCGTCTTGAAAATTGATACCTGTTAGTCAGACCTCATCATATTTGGCTAGCCGTGATCTTGTTTGGAAAATTGCCCCGACCGTAATCTAACACAACCTTGGTTCCTTACTCCTTGTCGCGACAACTTGAACAGTGTTGAGCTGGAACTGTTCTTCAGTATTCACCATAGATTCTCTGATCCCGGACCTTTCGGACCTTTGTGGTCAGCGCGTTGCTGTCCTTGAGTTTGCGTACACGTATGACCGTACATGGACTATGTGATTGTTGTGGATAGGACAGTGTCCATGAGATTATGAAGCATGTAGAATGGACTTCACTCCGGTCCCGAATGGATTCTGTTCCCTGCGAGCTCACATCGGCTGATTCTTGCTGCTAGGACGAGGTTGGCATTCGTTCTCTCGCGTCACAAAATAATTGTCCGCGTTTCTTTCCAGCAGCCATGCAAAAATGGCCATTTATTCTTTCACCGGAATGTCGTTCTATCCCAGTTGCTTCAAGCCTTCATTAGCCTTGTGGCATGAAAAGTACTATACGGAAGGTAACTGTCAATCAATTAGGAGTAACAAGGATATTCTTGCCACGACATGGACTTTGGAGTCTGTTTGGGCGAAACTCAGGCAATGTCTTGGGCTTGAATTGCAGTACAGATAGACTGCACTAGTCTTTAGACAGCCACGTAAGCGGCCGTACGTTGATCAGATCAAATAAAGTTTTCTGCTCAGAAAAGTTACGTGGAAGCTAGCGCAACGGCGGCGACTTAAGGTTCAATAGTCTGAATAGAACCGTTTTTCGGAGCTAGCGTCATTTTAACGAACCTACGTTTTCCTAGCGTTGCAGTCCTATGGAGACTATGGCAGGCTTTGACAGGCTATTCGGCTTCCGCATACTGAGCGGCTATTGGGAACCATTGCCAGGTACGGATACAGATATAAGCAAGTACTCTTCACGTCACGAGAAGATCGTCCGAGCCTAACTAAACCCTCATCGTTTAGTCTAGTCTTCGTGGTTGATGCAGCTAGTGAAGAACTTCATCCACAGGGCTTGGCGCTCCATTTCATGAGACCTCATCTTGATAAAAGCCACTTCATCGTGCCTTAGTAGCTGTCTGCAGTAGTGCTGCTTGGTCTGCACGTGAAACGATTATCTCACAGTTCGAAATTGGTTTGATCTAATTATCTATATTAAACACTAGCACTAACATGATGCTTTAGAACTTGAGTGGGGGGCCTGATATTGCTACGGCTGTCTATACACCAGGGCCGTCCCTCCAGCTTCGATCATGGTCCGCCGGCTGTACTGCTGAAGATCTGCGAGACTCATCTTCACAAAATCGTATTCCTCGAGGGCCTCCTCGGATGAGCGAGATGCCACCTGAGGTGGCATTTTAAGATACATTTCAGGCTGGCTCATTTCGGCACCATTGCGATCAGAGTTCTTGGACGTTCTGCTGCAAACGAGGTGGAGTAAGGGTCGAAGTGTTGGTAGGCAGCAACATATCACGGCACTATTCGAGTTTAGTCATGCAACTCATTGGCATCTACACCGCGAGTGAACACAATTGCCTACCAATACGCTTCTAATCCTGTCCAAATCATCAGATCGACAGTGCCCCACGTGGGATCTTTGTAGTCAAAGGTGGAAACTTTGACCAGCCGTATAATCGTGACGAAGCAATTGCTGATTGGAAGTTGTTAGCATGCCTTTTCTTCTCAGTTGAGGCATGAAAAGGAAGCAAGTACTCACAAACCGCCAAAGACAAAGGACGAAATAAGAAACATCTTCTTGAGAGGTGACATTGTCAGCCTCATGGCGTAGGGTATCGGAATGAGTATCAACACAAAGTCGGTCACAATGCTGCCAACTGCTATACTGATGTACAATTTAGACAGGTCGAGACAATTTTTGTGTGTAGTCCAGAAGTTCTGCACGGGTATGCAAGCGATGATCGTTGGTACGGTCTAGGTCACATGTCAGCACCCATGCATAAGCCTAATATTGCATTGCAAATGGCATCCTTCCCCGTGAGCGCGTCGTATGTATTAGCACGCATGGACTTCGACTTCCTCACAAGATGGATTTGTATCTCGTTCCAAGCTAACACTCCATAGATGGTGAAGCTGACTCACTGCGTAAATTGCCCATGCTCCGATGAAAAACATGAGACCGTACAAGTAGTATCTTGCAGTGAAAAGTCCAAAGATGCGGTGGTATAATATCACTAGCGATAGCCGCGCGCTAGCGAGTCCCATTGGATACATAATCTCGTTGGCGAAAATAGTCTGGTAAAAATGTGTGATGTTCATGGGATCTTCCTCTTGGACAACCACTTCGTGTCTGCCGAGCCCGAATTTGAGCCAGAACATTGTGCCGGTAAATACACCGATAATGAACACCTGCAACTTTGGATGAGTAACATTTTTCTCATTGAAACCGTTTGGCAAATTAATGGAAATCATAGGAGGGCCGAAAGTATCGACACCGTCGCCTAGGGAAGTGCAGACTCACTAGTGATATTACCGACAGCCAGTCGTCCCAGGACAGCCTCCGGCCAGACTGCCTTGCCGCAGCCATCCGAGCGCAGACGGACAGAATCGATAGTATAAAGAAGATGATGTGAATTACGTACACCTCGCCTACTCGACTTTCGGCTCTAAACGCAGCCTCTCGCTCCGGCGTCATGAGAGGCATGCCCGTTGTCGCCTCCAATGACCGAAAGAGCGACATATCGCGATGCCCGGGGGGTCGGTCGTTCGGTATGCAAGTCACGATGCTTCCATAAGTGTGGCGGGAAAAGAAAACGTGTCGGGAAGCGCGGCGGTTGTGATGACATCGATGGGCAGAAGCATTAGAAAAGGTCTAGAAGGATAAAAAAAGCAGAGGCCGATTGGGGGCACATAGAGAGGGAGAGAATCGGGGGGGGCTTCGGGCTAGATTGGACCAGTCTGAAACGCCGTGCCTTTAGGTGATCTTTCCCAATATGAATAGAGTTCCGACACAAGACGTTCAGGAGGTTGCGAGACGGGAACTCTGTATACGCTGCCATCCTTGCCAGAGTATACGATAACGAAAACTCAAAAACCAGCACCGCCGGAGCAACCAAAAGAGCGGCATTTGAATTAACGAGGTACAAATTCTGTCAAAACGGAAACAGGCCGATTACCTGCAAACGCGTGTGCCTTCCCTTTTTCCCCACCAACGGCAACTCAGCTGGAGCAGTGTCGTCGGGGCAGCTCGTGGATTTCATGGCGGGCCTTTTTCAAAAGTAAACTTTCTGCTAGCAGAGCCTCGAAGCCGTTGCATGCGACGGCTCACGTTCGGACCCTTTCCCGACCTTGGGTGGCATTGGCTGATGGTGGCATCAGTTGACGGCTTACCTCCCCGTAGCTTGGGAAATCCACGTGCGAGAAATTCCCTTCCGGTTGCGTTTCGCGTCTTTTCGGGTAGTGACCAAGACTTCGGGTCGCCCGGGAACCATTTTCAGACAGTCTGATCGGCCGACGGAGACACATACGAATACACGTGTTTGATAGTTCATCACAGCCACAGACACACGGGAAGAAAACAAAAAGCGCCTGGACGACTTTAAAAGTCAATCAGGGATGGACGTGAGGGGTTTCAAAGCCGCTGATGTCAAAAATGAAGCCGAGAACCCGAACTGACTCGATAAGTCCGAAGCAATCTATGCTTATTCTAGTTCAAAAGTCCGAGCATATCTATGGACGACATCCCCTTGTCTGTCAAATAGGCTGCTTCGAGATGCGATGGTGTCATTGCGCGAAGTTAGGGGATGAGTGCTTTGGTAATGGAGGCGCTTGGCTGCCCCAGACATTTTATCTCTCCGGTTGGCCCACGTTCTCTGTGTGGGCTACGCAGTTTTGGAATTAGCTTTTTAGTCAGCGCTGAATTTCTTCCTTATTTGGTCTGTGTGAGATGGAAGAAGTCTGGTTGGTGATACAAGTTGAGACTAGTCGACACGGGCTGCATCGTGGTATTGACCCCAGGCTCTGCCACGATGTCGTTCCAGTACCGAAGATGCTCTTTGGCCGACATTCGTACGGAAATGTCTCCGATTTGGCATACTTGCCCGTTATCGTTACCAACGGGATCGTGCTGCAGACACAACCATCCCTCTGGCTGAAAAGTTTGTCTGCTTTCTTGCAACCGAATCCTAGTTCATGCTCCAGGTATCGCGCCACCTTCCAACACCAACACGACTCATGTTCAAAAGGTCAATAGTCCAACCACATCGCAGCATAAGGGGGAGTCTCCTCCAACCCTTAAGCGCGGGGTAAGGACGAGACACAGACAAGAAGCCATGCGGGGGCATCAGCAGCTGTATCAAGCCGGACGGACCTCGGCTCATCCCGCACCGTGCACCGGGCCGCACATGTATTTTAGGAAACTAATCCTGAGAAGAGTCATGATGTTGACAATAAGCTCGCTGATCAGAGTCGAGCAAGATTGCAGAATAACACATTGTATGTGGGTCGCATTGGAAAAAACCATCCATCTTGAACTGTGTTAGTCCGGAGTCGGTGCAATGTCTCGCAAAGACCCCGGCGTCGTTGAGCCATACGGCAACCCTGCGCCATTCGCGGAGCCGCCGTGGTATAATACCCTGGCTTCTCCCTACTACGATGAAAGCCACCGAAGGGTGAGAGATTTCGTTCGCAAGTATATCGAGGAACACATCGCTCCCCACATACAGGAGTGGGAAGAAAAGGGCCATGTTCCCGATGAGGCGAGAAAGCATTTTGCCCAATCAGGCTTGGCTTTCCCAGAGTTGCCGCGACAATATGCTGGCCATATTGAGTTACCAGGAGGCGTCCCGGCGGAGAGTAAGCAGCATGCTTCAAATGTGACCAGCTTGTCTTCTGACATAATCCGTAGAATGGGACATCTTTCATTCTCTAGTTGTAAGCTACGAGGCCACTAGGATATGGGCTGCTGGCGTGTCGGTGGGACTCAATGGAGGAACGTCGATCGGTGTTCCCCCTGTCATTCATCATGGCACGGAAGAGCAGAAAAGGTGGTGGCTTCCAGGACTTGTCACTGGAGAAACCAGTTTCTGTCTCGGTTGCACGGAACCCACTGGTTAGTTGCCTACAGCGTACTTGTGACTGACTCGGAAGCGTTGTGATTAATGTCATCAAGGCGGCTCCGACCTAGCAAACCTAAAGACCACCGCCATCAAGTCAGATGATGGTCAATACTACACGGTCAATGGCCACAAGGTAAGTATCAGGGTACAGTGCATTGGTCAGAAATTCCAGCAATAACTTTCTGTACGGTGCAAATACTAATCCCTTTTTTATAGAAATGGATCAGTGGTGCGATACGTGCGAGTCACATGACGACTGCCGTAAGGACTGGCGGCCCTGGCATCAAGGGGATATCCCTCCTCGTCATTCCCCTCGACCTTCCCGGTGTGTCCCGACGCAAGATCAGTAACAGTGGGTGGAACGCTGGCGACAGCACATGGGTGACACTGGACAATGTCAAAGTGCCTGCCAATCACCTCATCGGGCAAGAGAATGCAGGGTTTCAGTACATCATGACAAGTAGGTGCCGCTAGAACTGGACGGGCATTCATCTTTGGCTGACGTGATGGATCAACCCAGACTTCAACCGCGAACGATTCATCCTGGCTGTACTGATGAACGGCCAGGCTCGGGTGTGCTTGGAAGACGCCTGGGCATATGCCGTGGACCGGCACACATTCGGCAAGCCGCTCATGCATCACCAAATCATCCGACATAAGCTCATCACGATGGCGCGCTATATCGAGTCGCACTGGGCCTGGCTGGAGCAAATTGCATACCATGCCCACGTCACCGGGTCCATGGGCACAGAACTAGCCTCGAGAATCGCCATGGCCAAGATCCATGGCGGTCGTCTTCTAGAGCTGGCAAATCGAGAGGCACAACAGATTTTCGGCGGTGCCGGGTATCAGCGTGGCGGCGTCGGGGCTCGAGTCGAACAGATTAGCAGGGATCTGAGAGTAAACATAGTCGGAGGCGGAAGCGAGGAGATTATCACGGACTTGGCTGTCCGGCAAGAAACTGGTGCAGCTGTAAGCAGAAGTGCTAAGCTGTAGTGAGTCTTCAGCTTCAGAGTCCCGGTGGTGTAATGTGAAAGTTACGATGACGTGTTGGAAAGGAGAGTACCTTAATCAGCGCGGCGGCCTTGTATCCCGAAGCCGAAGGGGCCGGAGGGGCCGGAGGCGGTGGGGCGGTGCCGCGTTGACCTCAAGTAGCTTAGGTAAGGTACGGATACCTCAGGTACTCAAAAACCTCACCTCGGTCACATGATGTCGGCCAAGTCAGAGCCGATGTTCGCCCGATGGTGGGTCCGCTCCGCGCTACCGTCCCATTCTGCAATTCCGGCTCCTACCGTTTGCTTCCATTTGTAACAGAAGGTAAGGCACGTGGAGATATCAATCCACCTTAGGCTGCGGAAGCCTGCAGGAAGGAGTGTCAAAACACCAATTTTCAATCTGGAAATGGACCAAGATGTATCGTCGTACCATGGGAACCTAAGGTAAGTTAGGTAGTGAAACTGCAGAAACCTCGCTTGGGTTGAACGCACCAATGAGATGGAGGCCCACCCAGAGTTCCATGTATCCAACGCCTTACCTTAAGGTACCTTAAGATAGCCCACGGGCGGTAAGAGGAAGGTATGGCTGGGCGTGACTGCCGTCTCGGAAGCGGTCGATACCCTCAACTCTTTCCTGCGGGGTTCTGTCAGGTAAGTGCTCGCAAGGCAAGAACCTGCTTTATCAAGCGAGTCCGAGCAAGATTTCCCGCTCCGAGCCTGCTTGAACCCCTTAGTCTCAGTCCGAGTCCTGTTATCAACGTCTCTGTTGTATAGCGAGCCTGCAATTATCTGGCCATCACCTTGTTTCCGCGGCACTAAGACCTACCCCCCTACGACGGATCACCCTCAACGACGGATCACACTTTCCCATACAAATTCACGATGTTTTGCTTATTAATATGTTACGACCCAACATGCATAAAGGTACCCGGGGACTTACCCCGCCAGCCTATGGCGGCTACCTCGCTATATATGCAGTCAACATGGGAACACTTATGTCACCCTCATGGAACGGAAGAACTATAGGACAAGTCACGTGTAGATAAGAAGTGATCAAACGATAAGGTGATCACGGTGATCACCCCAAATGAGCGCTCACCACCCCACTTAGGTGATCACCAACAAAGGACATATTCAAAAAGGGACTTATATATAGGATAGCCTTGAGCCGGGCTCAAGGATAGACTTCTATAACTTCTTTAATAATTAACTTCGTATTAAATCTCACGATCGCTTCTTTTTACCTCACTATTTATAAACAATAGCTTCCTCAAAACTATTTTAACAACGACTATCATTTATGAGTATCGTAGCCCCGACTTCTGTTAACACAAACCCTTACTACGACTAGCTGGCCGTAATAATCCGTCGTTGGGGGGTTGGGGCTTACGTCTACGGGCTCCCCTTCATGATGGAGCGAGCTGTAAGGGAATTCAAGGCCCTTCGTCGGCCAAAGACGACGCCGACAGGCCTTGACAACAATTGGGTTTTTGGTGTCCGCCACGTCGACCTCAACCCGCCTGGAGATTTAGTCCTCGCTGTCCATCCCATCAGCAGCTACCTGTTGCAGGCTGGCCCGGCGCAGATCCTCTCGCAGCCCACCGCGCGTGACAGAGCCAAGGCCGTCGTGCCTCTCCTCCTTCAGGCCTTTTCCAATGGCCGTCCAGGCACTGACTTGCCCACCTTTGCGCCCTGGAGCTGGTCCACGGACAGCCCCGAGCTGGCCGCTACTATCGGACCGGAGCTGGCTGCTGCAGGAATTGCGGGTGGCCTTCAGAAAGTGACCGTTTGCTCCGCTGCGGACAAAGCGATACTCGACGAGGCGTGGTCGGATGTCAAGGATCTCTTGACACGCATGACGCGCGGTGAGGGTGCTCCCGACGCACAGACCTCGGGCTCTGCCAACCGTACCCCGGCCGCTGTGTCGCCCGGAGATGCGTCCAGGTGCCACGGCTGCGGCCTCAGCTCCGACCGTTTCACGGAGCCGATGAAGAAGTGCTCTGCGTGCCTCAAGGCCTGGTATCACTCCCAAGACTGCCAACGCGCGCACTGGAAGCAGCACAAGCCAACCTGTCTCGCCAACCGCCCGGCCGCGCAGGCGGCCCCGGCCCCGGCCCCGTCGACGACTACGAGGCCCGGAATGGACCCCTCATTCAACTATTACAACAATGTGGCGCGGAAATCTCCGGACGGGCAGTCGTTGCTGCGCTCTCTACATGTCGATCCCATTACGACTAATGGTGGACTTGAGTTGCCGCTTCGGCGTCTCATCGTGGCTGGCAAGGACACCCCGGAAAACATGCGCATCCTCTTCGGGCCGACTTTTCTCAGTGATATGAAGGGGGACCAGGCGAGACTTCGAATTGAGGTTCTCCTGGATCCCCCTCGCGGCTCCCCAATGTATGCACAGCAAGCGTATGATGACGCCGGGTCGGAGGCCCTCGTCCGTTCGGTGCGACCGCCGAGCCAGGCGGAGGAGAAGACGTTGAGGGAAGTGAGGGAGATTCAGGAGAAGGTTAAGCAGAAGGTCGGGGTCGGACGATCGCCTGATTCGGGCGTCATGAAAGACGTACTGACGTCCTTTGGGCCGAATTGGCCACAGAAGATGCAGCTATACATGCTTGCAGTCAATACCATGGACCAAGGAGTCCACCGCTGAAGACCTGGAGATCGGGTAAGATGAGGCTCCCTGGCTCATGGTACTTTGAAGCTGGAGACGCAAAATTCAGCAGGGACCTGCAAGGAAAAACATGTGTATTTGGCAGTGGAAGTCAGGATTTGACCAAATTTCTTTTTTTCTTTGTTAACCTGTGCGTCAAGAAATTGACCAGCAGCGAGCAGAGTTACGAACATTGAAGTTGCAGTTGGTTGATGGGTTGTTAGCTTGTCCACATGTAGTTTGACAAGGGTGTTGGTATGAAAAGAACGACAATATGCTCAGGGAAGAGGATTGGGGTCGCCAGAATGAAAATATGTACTTGTGTCGCAAAAAGGACGCGATTTAATTGCGGGCAGCAACCAACGCTATACGTGTCCTGCGACAACTTGAAAAGCCTGCTACCTATAGTTCATGCCTGCTTGGAAGTTGGTACAATACCGCTACCTCAGTGACGGACAACGCGGTTGCGGACGTGGTCTTCTACACTATGCCTCTTCTTTTCAGTAGCGACAATTTTCGTCTCAAGTGTGTGCAGTATACCATCGAGACCGCGCTTGGTGCGACCTTGAGGCAGCTTAACACCCGCGTCAGTCAGGGCTTTTCTGATGTCTGCGACAGTAGTCGTCGCGGTAGAAGCCGGCACCTCGATCTCATCAAAGCTTGTCTCTAGTTAGTCTTCCACCAATTCAGGGGTAAATGCCGATGCTGGTTGGACTCACTAATAGACGGCATAGGGGCCTGACAAACCCGCCGCCTTGGCAGCCTCTCCTCCGTTCAACTCTTGCTTGCCGATAAGCTTGAACTTTCCGGAAATCCCTTGCACAAAGGAGGTCTCGCGGTATTCCGAGTTGGCAACAGCCTCGATGTAGCGGCCGGACTTGGAGTTGATCACGAAGAGGTAGTCAGCCGTGGTAGTGAACATGCCGTCGCCGAGGTTCAGGGTCGTAGACATGATTTTGCGAAGTCGGCCGCCTCCTCCCTGGGTAAAGGCGTTGAGCACGAGGTCTATAATTTGTTAGTAGCCGCGAGGATCTAGGCATCCGCCTGGGGAGGAGCCTGACTGACCTTGTACCTCGTAGATGCCAGGGGTGCCCTTGCTAATCACACCAGACTCAAGCTTGTTGAGCATATTGACCGTTGCAGCGTTCAGATCAGTCGAACGGATCACCAAGCCGGTGGCGGCAGGCAACTTGGACAAGGCGGAGTCGAGCTCAGGGTTGATGTTGTACCACTTGATCCACGTCTCGAGAGCCCAATTCTCCATGTCGCTGAGCCCGTACGCCTTGGAGGTCGCGCTGGCGATCTTACCCCAGTCGCGGGCGTTCTTCCTGGCCTCGAGGAGCACGCTGCTGATCTCGTCGACATTGGCGGAGACGGTCTGCCCCTTTGTGTACCAGTTGGCGAACCCTTCGCTCATGGTGGTCATGAGCGTCTTCTCATCGGCGGTGAGGGCCGCGGTCTCGGACAGAGCGGCGATGACGCTGTTGGCTGGCAGGTTGGCTCCGGACGGACCCGGACCGAGGTCAACCCTGTCGTTCCAGACGGACTCGGGGGCTTCCAAGGTTTGGGGGCTCAAGAAGCAGCACAATTTGCGGAAGATACCCTTTTGGCGGCGGACCTTGGCAACCCCGCCCTCGATGCAGACCTTGCAGTTCTCAAATCCTATTTGAGGAAACATTAGAATCGGATTTACCTGGTTGGGGTGTTGGCATTGCTGAGTACTCGCCTCCCTCCTCGATCGATTTCTCCATGGCGGCAACATCGCTGTCCGTGTACAGCAGCTTTGGCTTTCCATCGCCGGTATCACGGAAGATCTGCACAGTGTTCTCTCCCTCCTTGGCCTCCAACATGAGCCCCTTGCCTTTCCCGACGGTTGCGGCAGTCTTGCCGAACTTGGCCAGGACGGCGTCGACGGCACCAACGGCTTTTGCTGCTGTTGCGACGTCCTTGACCAGACTCAGAAGCCCTACGACGTCGGCCAAAATGCTGCCTGCTTTTTCAATGTCGTTGTCGTAAGTGAGTTCGTGGATGCCCTATGAGGAGGCATGGTCAGGAAAAAGTTCGCGAGAACCCCTTCGTGTTGGAACTTACGTCAAATGTTCTGAATGCGTCTATGCATCCCTTTCGAATTGTTTCTCCAAGGCTCGCCTCAAAGATTCGCGTGAGATGGGTCATGCCCATACATGTGACCCTGAGCTCTTGAATATGTGGGGTTGCTACGAATTTGAAAGCCCCTATGGCTGAGTTGATGACATTCTTCATAACACCTGAATATAGGCTCACGTTAGCAACCAAGGGGTTCTGTTGAAGATTGTTGCTGTAGCTGGAAAGCCATCATCACCCACCCATCCAGAATTGATCCTCGAGGGGACTGTCAGACTGAGGATTCCCAAACAGAGGGTCGTTGGAGGTCTGACGCTTCGAGACGGTACTACCACTGCTACCGCCTCCACCACCAATCCCGCCAGCATACTGGATTCCAGCAAACAAGTTGGATGCGCAAGCAGCGCCGGAAGGGTTTGCAATGCAAGGCCCCTGGCTAATCTTCTTCACGCAAACCTCGAGCGCATCCGACGCATTGGCTCCAGCGCGGACCTCGGGGAGATCAAGACAAAAAGCAGGCCATAAATGAAGGATACAAGTTTTATTGGAAGGGTTGGAGCCGCAGACGCCGGGAATGGTTGCAAAGGAGCGTGCGACGATGCAGTCGGTCGATCCCATGCTCTCGAGCATGAACGCCGAGGTGTTGCCTTGATCGGCGAATCTGCACTCAGGGACATCACCCTCGGACTGTGGCGCAGTGGGGCCAAAGGAGAGGGATGTGAGGTTGGTCAGCTGCGCCTGCGGGTAGTACATGGTAGCGTTCGCGGGAGCAACGACGAGCTTTCCAGTGTCCTTGGAATAAGCGCAGAACTGAGTGTGGGCGGCGGGGTTTAAGGTGAGGGCATCGCCGGCGGTGGCGGGCTTATCGAGGACTGCTAGAGATGAAGTAAAGATGTAAAAGGGCTGGTTGTCTCCGGGGATCCCGACCTGATGGGACCTCTGGTTAGATACGTGAGACTTGATGTGAGCAATACCGCCAACTTACATAGAATGTCTGGGTCTTGGTTAGATTGCATGCAGAGACCTGGAGAGTGCCGCTGGAAGTGTCCCAGCAGCCGCCTCCGGAGCCTCCTGCGGCAACTCGAATCCCAGTAGCATCGGTGAATGGCTTGCTGGCAGCCAAGATACCATTTGTCAAATAGAAAGTAGTAGCAAGGTCGGCAGCGGTGCCTCCTACCATCACCGTGCTAGGGCTAGACTGGACGGGTGTGAAGTTTGTGGCGTCGCTTTTTGCGTTTTGGAAGCTTGCGGCACATGGTTGTCCTTCGGCTGTAGCAAAGAAGTTCACCGGCATTCCGAGAGTCTGTAGCATGAATCAAATGAGTTTCATCGACGTCCTACTTTGCTCATCTGTTGGTCTAGAAAGGACGCTTACCCATTCAACCGTGTTGTCCTTCTGACCATTGGCCCCTACCGCTAGTACAGTAAAAACAGTGATAAGCCCCCCAAGGGCTTCCCTAGGGCTCACCATATTGAAAAGCTGAAAATCACAGAAAGATGGAAATGAGTGGATATCAGGACTGTCAAAGGAGTGACTGAATGAAGGAATGGCCGATGTCGAAAAACGTCATGCGCCTCGTGGGGCAGCTGGCGTTCGTTTTATCATCCGAACATGTCCATAAAATAGTAGTCAGATCCCCTGAGCTGACAATAATCTACAAACCCAGTCCCTCCGCCGCTTCCGACCTGGAAGACATGATCAAATTGCAACGGGCGCTCTCAGGCACACTGAGAATACAGTTGGACGGTTCGCCAAGATCATCGCAATCACCTCTCCCAGAGCCACCAACTTGACTCAATACGAGGGAATCCCTTCTGAGAATGTGAAGAGGTGGCTGTGTTGGCCTTGCCGGCCTCGCACGGCTAGAATCGAAGTTTATTGTTCAAGCCTGATCGTCCCACTCAGCCGTTTACTTGTCTGCATTTCATTAGTGAGTCTTGTGCGCCCAGCTCTTTCGATTGGCTGTCTTAATTCGCTAGAGCAGTGGTAGAGTTTGAGACAGCTTCATGAAATTAATGTCCGGATCCATTTGAAGACCACTGGCCACCGCGTGGTTTTCCCCGTCTTGACGAAAAAAGTTTTCAGCCACCTTGCTAGAGTCAATACTGGCACGACATCTACTATGACAACTAGACAAAAGTGGTCGTCTTAGTCTCGATCACGTGGCAGAGTGCTACCTAGGCAGTCTTCAGGTGCCATCACTTGAAGCAAATTTGAAGAAACCTTCAACTGAGAGTTGAGGTCCAAGGAAGGGAGGAATATCTTGGAACCACTTGTTGCGGTGAGTCACATGTATTGATTGAAATGGTGTCCAATTACATGTATTGAATACGAGAAAAACATTCAGCTTGATTCCAATCTAGCAAACTTACTACGAAGGTGCCATTCAGAAGTCTTGACCGAGGCTGCTTGGATAGTTCCAACTCTAGTAAGGATAGATACCTCTAACAATATGCTTTTGTTACACTAAGCAGATATAATAGGGCGGAAGTATGAAGAAAAGTAACTTGAAGGTGCATGCATGAGGATATTTTAATTTAAAAAGGAGATCTGTATTCTAATGCTGTTGACCAGATGATATTCCCTGCCTGATCTTGGCTGTCTAGTAGAAAACTTTGATTGGCGACTCAGGTGAACCCGAACATGGCGATAGTCTCGCACGAGGTCGGGCCGCAAGTGAAGCACATAGTTGGGCAACTCTGGCTGCCTTTTTTGGCTAGGCATATGATTATAGGCCTCAAAGGCGCAGTTCATCAGATGCTAAGCTTGAGTTCAAAAGGTGAAACATCTGAGGAAGAATCTTGGTTGTAGTCAATGCTTGTAGTCAATGCGACCGCCCGTGCCCTTGAGCCTCCAGTGATGCGAAGCAGGTAAGTTGGGGGCTATGGTACTTGATTGTATGAAGACTGGGCAGCCAGAACCGATTTCATGAAAATAGCTCCGAGGTTATCATTCAGCGTCCGCGTATTCTTACCAATTTTGACGCAGAAGGGTGCCAGCCCTACGGGTGCATGTATCGTCCAAGTGTGCGATATTTAATGCCAAGGCTCGTAATTCGATAGCAAGCCCTCGTCGACCAGAACTCTGTTTGATTATGTCGTGGTTCACATTGTCCACTGCGGGAAACCTTTTTGATTGTATACAGCTTTATCTGCATGTGATTTTTCCGGACTTTTCTCACGATAAGAGATGTCTAGCTTGATTACATCTTTTATTATCGCATTAAATCTTGGATCGTAACTCCTTGTGGGGTACTAATGAGACAAATGACGAAGTTAAGTGCCAATAAGCAGCTCATATTTTATTCTGGACTCATTACCTCTGGACCCGTTACTCTGTGCCATCTTTGAACTTTACTCGTTCCCAATACTAGGGACTTCGAGATCCACGTCGGCCGCCAACCCGAGACTCTCGGTTTTTGGGGAGCTCAAGACAAGCGACCCTTTGTTTGTTCACCATTCTAGGTGCAAGTGACACGACAACTTGAAATTGCAGCAACATCATTGGCCTTGTTGATTTCGCGCGATGTCATCGCATACCGCCTTAGAAGTCCTCATGCCATGACGCTCAAACTCGCGCGAGGCTGTATCCAAATACCCCAACCCGCTACCCAAGTGTACGCGCAGCATTGATTTGCCAGTCGCCAGGCAGACCCCGTCATCAAACATTGAAGGCCTGTTTGCTTCAACTCGCTCAACGTCCCACCCCAAATTTCTGACCAAGTCGAGTACTTGCTCTGCTCTTGACCCATGGTTCGCGAGGCAGAATTCGCTGAAAGCGTACTTCAAAGACGTGAAAGCCGTGTCGAACTTGGGATCCATCCTGTGATTTTTCCAATCGATCAGCGTCATGAAATATGGTCTAGTATCAGCACAGACGAAGTCGTCTGCCACATGCTTTCTCATGTGGCCCTCACTACCACGCAGTATAAAGATTTGACCTTTTCCTTTGCTTACTTTGGGTTTATGCAAGCCACTTTATACTCACTTCATATGCCCATTTATGTGTGCTCTAACCCGTGACAATCAGCAAGACAAGCTTGGCGGGCGGGGTTTTGGAGCCAAACTGACACTTGACTTCTTGGACCGGCGTGACAAGGTCTGAGTGCTGCTGTCTTCTCTTAAGGAACTCTATACTCAAGTCAATGCGAGAGTTGAGAGAGAGAAGTTGAAATATGACTTGAACGATAGTGGATATTTTTTGATGGGCGGCCACCGACATTTTGTGCATCCTTCCAAATATCGCTGACGTAGATATGAACGCACAGCAAACCGCATGATTTGGCACCAACGCATCAAGAGTGTGCCTTGTGGCGTCAGAGTGGCCGGCATATGCAGGAGGCCGCTCACGCTGCACTCTATCAAGTCGCGTCTTATGACGCCTCCACGTCTGATTGCATTCAAGGCATATGCAACGTGGACCAACAAATAGCCATAAACGAAAACAAGGCGGTGAACACGACCGATGAAGTCAGAGGCACAGAAAGAAGAATGAAGGCTTGCAGTCAAGGGCCTTCCGAGTAATGCCTTTGTCTCGCAACCGGTAGGCAACATGACTTGGCTACCTAGTGAACATAATGTGTCAGGGTGCCTCTTCGCTTCAAAACTCTGCAAATACCTTTTGAGGACTTGGTAATGTCTCAAGCAGATAAGACGAGCGAAACGGATGACACGCGAAACGAATGCTAAATTCATTGTTCAGCGGAACGGTGCTGTTTGTTCATTGAGAGTCTTCTCATCATGCAACTGAGGCTCGCTCGAAAACGTAGTAGAGTTTTTGCCATTCCGCTTTTACACCAGGTAATTTCAACGTCAAAAAAAGAACTCGTCTCCCCAAGGTGGGCTCGAACCACCAACCTCCAGATATCCATCTTGATTGCTCTTGGGAACAATTCTGATTGTAACAGTCTGACGCGCTAGCCAATTGTGCCATCGGGGATTACGTAACGGATCGTTCGATGACAGCAATATGTCGGGTGCGTGTTATGGATCACCATTGTGGAGATTAGATTGAAGTTGGGGCCATCAATATTCTCGAAGCACAGGCTTTGGCAAGGCTTTCTTCCTATCTGTAATGCTCCTCTCCGCAGCCTGATGTTGCCTCTGGTTTGGGGACTCAACCATATACTCTGCTGGCATGGCAAGTTGTCAGATGAGCAGGCTGTAATTTTCCCAACGAGAGGCTGATGTAGAATGTGACACGAAACATAGCGGCGTGACTTACGGAATTTTGTACGAATAAGGTGATTTGAAAATGACTGCTCAGTAGCATGAAGTACAAGTAGATATGTTCAATGACATCCTCACAACTCCAAGTGGCTTTGGAGAAGGGAAGAGCAGCTCCAGAACTGTTGGTATCCAAATCACAGGATAATCAGGTTCGAACCGTAGTTTTAACGTGGTAACGAAAGGTAAATTGACTGTATATTGATCTCTACGTGAAGTAGAAAAGAGAGGTTCTAACCGTTGGTTAGACCGTTAGCTAGGAGCTGTTATAGAGACCCGTAGATGACCCCTGCGCTTACGCTGACTCGAGATCGAATTGGACTTATAATCCGATAAGAACTCAGTCTGCGGGGACGATAGCATTGATGTAGGCAGCTGATTGTGAACTAGAGATCGATGTAAGCAACGTTGGTATGTCAGCTAGCTTTGAATATCAAGTTTCGGCGTGAATCTGTTCGAAATAAAATTCATCTCTCCTTCTCAAACTTGAGCTATGGAGTCTACTCCGCCCGTAGTCTTGAACTTACAGAGCCTGACTTTAGAAATAGCTTGCGGGGGTGTCAAGTCCGCAGGATAAGGTTGGGATTCTCACAGGACGAATCATAACCCCGATCATGATACTAATCTAAGAGATTTAAGCCGACTTGACCGCCCTAACTTGATTTGGAAAGGCTCCTCGTGTTTGATCTTGGTCCATCTGTCCAATCATCCACGACATCTTTACCAGTATTATTATGGAAAATGCAACAAACCGGCTGAGATTTCTCACAGCGGGCTAAGATCACCAAGATTCTACTACTAAACTTGGTTTATTACTGTCTTGGGCACATCAATTGACTAAACTATTGCAAGCAGACCAGTACCGGGGTGGCAAACAACATATTCGAATAATTGTTGCTCCGGCTTGAGAACCAACACCTCGTGGAAAAGACGAAGCGACACATTGTTCTCTAGCTTCTTGGCATATCGCAAGAAACCTCCAAAGATTTCCAAATGTGTCGAATGTTGCTTTGCCCATCCTTCCAGCGAGCCCAGCTCGTCAAAGAACGCCAGCCCAAATGTGCGATCCTTATCCGCCTTGCCGGTCACCGGGTCAATCAGGTTCATGAATCGGCAGCTGTGACAGCCAACTTCTTCCCCTTGATCTCGTAGGAATTCCATGCCCTTGATCAGGACAGGATGCATCGTCTTGAGGTAGAGCTCGCGCTCCTTGGGCAGAGTGTCTGACCAATCTTGGCCAGAGCGAATGACAGCCAAGTTGTGCTTGCCACCGACTCGAACTCTTCCAAGCGATGACTGTGCGTCTCTGTTCGTTTTCGTACCATTGGAGCCGTTTGCATGTGATGTTGTCATTGGTCGCTCGACCTTCTCTCCCACGAGCTCGTCATCCTGAGCAGCAGCCATGCGATCGCGCATGCTACCCCAGTACACATGCTCCTGGATCGGCCCCCTTACGCACTCTCTCATGTGTGCCGCACCCTCTGGTACTTCATTGTTGGAAAATACAGTCTCAAATCGGTCAAGCGTTGGAAAGAAGATCTCGAGGAACCATCCGTGGCTCTGTGATTCGACTTCGAGGTTCTCCCACCACTGTTGAAATCCCGAGTCGAGAGCCCATCTGTCGTAGGCTGCTTTGCTTGGCCAGTACGCCAGGTGAGCAATGTTGTAGTAGCCCTTGTTATCGGTAACGGATGCCCACTCGGCAAACTGGGGGCGAGCTTCGGCATCGACGGCCTTGGAGGTGGTGAACTTTGTCAACTGCTGCGCAACGGCAGCGCCATCTACGTTGGTTTCAGAGGCATACTGGGCCCCGATGACGGCAAAGACAAGATCTTTGGTGTCCTTGGGGAAACTAGCACTGTAAGCTGGGAAGGGCGGTTGAAAGCCGGGTGGTGTCTTGGCAGCGATCTTTCGGGGGCATTGAAGGTGCTCTGGGATTGCGGAGACAAGCATCTTGTGTAAGACGGGTGATGATATTGGCGATAAGGGGGGATAGAGAGCAGCCGTCGAAAGAGACGAGGTCGGGGTACTATGCTTTTAAGCTACATCGAGGGGGCAGTCACCTGACTGATACCATGAGGCGGAGGAAGAAGGCCGCATCGTTGGGAAATGGTCTAGAGTTCAGCTAGAATATCAAATTGCCCTTCCGCCCGCTGCTGGAATGTAGTTGAGTGCAGGGATCCTGGACGAGAAGAGAAGCAGTGGCAAAAGTCGTTACTCAAACGACCAAGTTCTCTAAATTGATGGAGTCCGTCCCTACACCCTTAGTTTCGGCTTCGAGTCCCATTCTGGTGTAGTTTCGAACCACGGTTGTATCATGCGACGGACCAGCACATCGGAAGATCCGGATTATTATCTACACGATTCCTAGACACTTCTGCCTCACTTGCCGTTAATCATATCCCGAATGCCTGTATCATAAATGGCTATCAATCAAATGTCTTGCATCCAAGAGGACGGAAGTGAGCTAAGAAAGAGTCGGTTGATTAACCTAGGCACTGACTTTACGCTAAACAGATAGCGCACCGAGACATGCTATTCCTCTGTATGAGACTTACATACGCTCGATCGACTGATCCTCTTAATCGGGGAAGTTTAGATGGCATTGTGACTCGATAGGGAATAGACTCATCTGTAGCAGCGGGAAAACGGTCAAGATAACAGCTGGAACGTGTGTACTGTGGTAGGTCGCCACGATCCTCGTCATCATGATATAGTGTATGCTGATACACAGGAATTGGCAGGTGAATCCATATCCTGGTAGTGCGTCCAGTCTACTCCACATTCTTTCGGTGGTCCTTGATGTTGACTTGCGGACAGAATCGTGTGCGCTGAAAATTCCCAACTATATTGTATTGGCACTCACGAACGACGCGTGTGTTTCCGCGGTGGACACATCATGGTTTTCTCACTTATAATTGAAAGACTTTTCACAGTGAGATAGAATCGGCATGATGATCCTGTACGTCCCGGTCCCTTTGTTGTGGTCTGTTCAAATGCCAATGGCTAGGTAGGTAAACACGGTTACTGACTGGAGCTTTACAGCAGTCTTAGCTGATGATGGGCAGAAAAATCACGTATTTTCTGTGGCTTTCCATAGGTGTTTTCATCATCATTGCTACCCTTCTCAGGTGCATCTCTTGCCTGGAGGATGCAATATCGATCAATCCTGCGCACTTTGGTCGATCAGAGAAACAGCAAGGCCCACGCTCATCATCCCTGACTCCCTTTCTGATCCGGCAAACTCTCGTTCCGTCCTTGCTTAACCTACTGACCCCGGTTTTTCCCCAACCCAGCAGTTCTTCGCAATCCTGGCCGTCAATGGCCCGGTCCTGGGTCCTTTCTCCGGCGGTGCGGCCCCTCACTTCAGAGAACTGATCCAAGACGGGCGGCCAAGAGGCGGCTAATCACATAATCACTATGAGCGCGAAAAGCGACAGTCATCGCCTCGATAAGTTGACCAATGATGGCGGGTCGGTGAATATGGGATGGACCGATATGGACAACGACAGCGAAGAGCGCATCATGGACAGTGAGCACAACGTGTCTGTGTCGGCTAAGCGTTCGGACGAGTAGATACGCAATACCCATGTCAAGACTACGTTTGAGAGATCTCAAGGACGGCGTAGGATTGAGTACATCAAGGAAAACACCATGAAATCCGTATTCGGTAATGTACAGTAATCGATTAGCTTGTATCTAGTTCGACAAGCGTGCCTTCGAGGCGTTGTAGCTTTAGTCTGCTATACGAAAAGTAACAGCAGCACGTCATGTCCATCTGCCTTTCAGTGATGCCGGGGTTGGACCTGCGGGGTGGAGCCCTCCGCAGTCCCGCTTTCTTGAACCTTCCCATCTACCGAGTTTCCACGAAGTCCAAAAACCTTCATCTGGACAGCTGCATGAATGGTACAGCATATCTGGGCGGAACTCATCACCCCGCAAGCTAACGTTGACCTACAGCACGTTAGTTTTATACCAAACGTCGCTTCATGACTCGTCCATAAACCAACAGCGAGTGGCGCTGTCCCGGACCCTCGTATATCTCGACTCGTGAATTCTGATAGTCAGTGCAAAGTACATACCTACTAACTCTAAGTCCAAGGTATTTGGTTCGAACCAATGAACGACACCGACCGCTCCAAAGAAAAGATTAAGAAGCCTCATGTGTAACCGCACGCCGCACATCGGATTGGACGGAACTTAACACCTTGTCCCTATAACCTGGAGGAAAACATCGGGCTATTCAGGACTTGGTCTTCAAGATCATGTTGCGATGCTCATGGGTAAGAATCTTGGCAGCTTTGTATATGATGGTTTGCTAACCTGTGATAGTGGATAGCGACTTGCCAGGCCGCACTTCTGTCCAGCAGAGTTTGTGAATCGTGTAGCGCTTCAGAAGCCGAGCAGAATAGTACCTTTGCCCGTCCAGTGGTGACAGCCATTAGGAAACATGCTCATCTACGGTCTTCATTATTATGATCAGAAAGCTGTATTTCTTCTAATTCCTCAGTTAAGCATTTTTATTTACATTTTTTTAATCCGCCCTGTTTATGAATCAAAAAATGCCATGAAAGAAAGACTACGACGAGATTGTAGACTGAATTTTGACGCCTCAGCAATAATCTGCGACTGCACTCTCGTCGTCATCGCGGAACAGCATTACCCGGCAAGCACCAGTAGATTGGCTTACTCGGCGTGATACCATCAAAAAAAAGCCCGCATTTCACACGCAACATCCTGTACGAGCTAAAATCATCCTATATCAAAACGAGATCAAGGAAATTAAGAATGCGACCCAACCCTGAGGCTTGCAGGAGCCCCTTCAATCTTCCGATCGAGTTCAGAGCGCATGGTACACCAGATTCCCTCCAATTTCGGCTCTAGGTATCCATCGAACGACACAGAATAACAGTTCCAGGCAAAATTTAGAACTGTTATGCTTACAAAGGCCAGACCCAGGAACTTAAGTGACCAGGATGGTAAAGTATGATTCGATGTTAGAGAGCAGGAAGCAATTGGTAGAATCCATCAAAATACGTTTATTGCCTGACGACTGGAGGAGAGACTTTCCCTGACATCGGTTGCAGGGTCTGTCGATGGCTCAGGCTTCCTAAATGGGAGAGTCTGGAAGTTGCCAAAGTCTCAATGGGAAGCCCTCGGATAGTCATGACGCTCTGCTGATGAGAGTCACCAACTGAATGATGCCTTGCCTTGTGTAAACAATCAAGCATCCTTAATAAAATGAGAAAGCATCTTGAAGAGTCTTGGCTTTTTGCCCGAAGAGCTGTCCTCGTAGCCATTGAACACACCGCCATCTAATTAATACCATTCAATTCAATGAGTAATACTCGCATTGAAAGCTTCAAAGCCTGCAGGATAAAATTTTTATTTTGGCCATAATCATAACACTAAGGCTTTCAACGATGATCCAGACTAGTACTTGTAAATAGGACACATAAGAAACTGGAAGTGTAATGAAGAGCTCACACTCGAATGATCAGTCACCACTTGGTTGCAAGTCGATGCAGATATGGCGTGTGAACTATTTAGAAGGGCGGAATCGGCCGTTAACTGGGCGACATCGAAGTAGGAACGGCTCTCAGATCTGGCGATAGGCCACCCGTCAAGCGTGACTGGCTTGGGGTCTAATGCTAACAAGTTCAGCGTAAACAACTCAGAATTCAAAATTCTCTATTTGGAGACTCCGACCCATTATTGAGTATCTCATCATTGGCGCCTTACAGAGACATGACGTACTCTCACTGATTAACTTGCGCAGTACAACGACTAGTACTGCAAACGACATTTGGCGCCACCGTAAACAGCTTTCTAATAATTCGGGATTCACGAAGTTCTCATTTAAGTTCCTCAAAGTAAGCCACTCATATCAATTATTTTGCCGCGATAGAGTGCTATATGATCGACGAAGGCCCCCTCAAGCTTCAGTGGCTGGAGCTGCGGGCGGCGGAGTCGCTTGCTGCTGGCCATTTCCCTTATTCTTGCCTTGTCGCTGACCACCACCGGGGCTGATGTTGATACCTGACGATCGTCAGTAGGGGTTATGTCAGGGGCCGTGAAGTAAAGGATTCTTACCAGACTTGCCACCGACAGAGGTGCTCCCATCACTGCCCTTTGTGATACCGAGATTACCACCGACTCGTGTTTTCCATTAGCTATCAAAGAACTGGTCTTGTGGTATTGGGCGCTTACTGTTCTGAGCCTGGCCATCAGCACCGAGAGTGATACCAGCGTTGTCCTTGAATTGCTCAGATTCTTGCACCGCTTTTGGCTGTCCCTCGGCAGCTTGACCCTCAGTAGGCTTGGCCCCCTCCGCTGGCTTTGCTCCTTCGGCAGGTCTGGCTCCCTCGGCAGCATTTGCAGGCGGTGCCTCACCAGCCGGCTTCGCTTCCCCGAGCCCGGCCCCGGCGCCCTTACGCTCTGCCTCCTTCGCGGCTTCTTTGGCCTTTGCGGCCTCGCCGGGGTTCGATCCGAGCCCCTGTTCAGCCTTGGCAGCTTCACCAGGGTTAGCACCGGGGCTGCCCTCACCCTTTTGTTTCCCACCACCGGCACCGGCTTTTTGCCCTTGGCCGCCAGCAGCCTGTCCCGGCACAGCGGCTCCCGCACCGGCATTGGCAGTGCCGTTATTCTTCTTCTTGCCGCCGTTGGCCGCGTTCAGAAAAGCGTCCAACGCGCTGTTGCCGGTCCCTCCAGTGGTCCCGACATTGTTGCCACCGAGCTGGATTCCGCCGATGGTCAGGCCGGCGTTGTTATTGGCGGTCCGGTTGCCTGCAACGTTGGTGCCGGGCTGACCCGCCGTAGCCTGGCCGTTGCCTTTGCCTTTGCCTTTGCCCTGACCGCCGAGTTGGAGTCCTCCGGCACCGCCGATGCTGATGCCTCCGTTCTCGAAGCTGATTTGTCTCTTTTCGACGGTGGGCTTCTCGACGTCTGGTTTGACGAGGGCCGCGGCGCGGCCGGCGACGCTACCCTAGGGCGGCACAAGACGTGTCAGATGACATTGTTGGGAGTAAGATGACTAGACGTTTACATGACATGTTCTGGATTCCATGTAGTAGTAATGAGACGTCTAGGCAGGGCGACTTACAGAGAACAGCCTTGACTGCCTTTCTTGGCGATCGCAGAGCCCCGTCTCGCTAAACGCTACGAGGGCGATGGCAATCATAGAAGATACACGCATCTTGACTTGAATGAAACAAAGCTAGACAACAAAAAGAAAGTTTTGGAAGTGTGAAATTGGTCTGCACAGCAGCAACGAATTGAAGGGAATTAAAGGAGTAAGTCACGAAGCATCAAGCTTCCGTTCAATCAGAACCAACAAAAAGAGAAAAACGACACAAAAGTGAGATGGCGACAACGAACCAAATAGGAGACGAGATGAAGTGATAAACAGTCTGGGGAAAGGGAAAAAGAGGGAGCCGGACACTTAGTCCGACATATCACTCGAGAGCGAACGACATATAGAATCGGACGTCGTCAGAAGTGCGTTTCCCAGTGTCCGCAATACAGGAACATGCTTACATGTACTTTGGACTAGGCTGGCTAGTTCTGCCTCCTGTGTTTGCAAGGTGACATGGACGTGAACCCGGGCCGTAGAACGTGGTATCGAGAGACCTCGAGCCGCATGAAGTCCTTTCTGCGACAGAGACTCTCGCCTTGTGCTCAGGCCCTTGCAGGATCCCGAGAGTCGTCAAAACCGTAAACTTTTAGCTTGTTGCCCGCCGATCCAACCTGCCGGGTTTGGAAGGGGACATGGACTTTGCACTATTCTGCAGCCGGAGCTTAGGGGTAGGCAACACCTAGGGGGAAAATACTATGAAAATGCACGTCAAGTTTGGAGGATGGCTAGATCATAGAAAACATGGCTGGAGCGCATGAGGTGGGATTGGGTTTGAGTGACATCGGACGGCGCCGCAAGTGGCCCGTCTCCACCATCTCGGCACGGCTTGGCGTCACGGAGTTGCGGCAGTGAGGGCTATTATTGGCGTTACCGGGGTTGCCTGTGTTTATCTGCTTTGCGACTCTATCGCAAGTGTGTAAGTCAAGGGTCTGGACTCTGGCCATGTGATACCATGGATACTGCCATCACATTTTTTGGCACTTTTCTCGCGTCGTTGAGACCTTTAGACATTAAGAAGTAAGCGCACACATAATAGAGAAAAGGGGATGCGAGCGGTTCGGGTGAAATGGAAGGGGCTTCAAGGGGAGGGCGTTGAAGTGATTTCGAGATCATCTTTCACTTCGCAACCCCAAGTCCATTTTTCTTTCTGCCCAAAATTATTACACCAAACCGCCAAACATCCAAGAAAAGTTTGCCTCAAAGGAGACGACGCAAACTGCAACCTCGTCCTCCCCGAATTTACTCCCGGTTTTCCGTTTCCCGGTTTCGACCCACAATTTCACATCGAGGCGTTTGTTTGTTAGTCGTGGAGAGTCTTGTCAGTAATATTGTCTTGTTAGGTACTCTCTAACACTTGCAAGCGCCAGTCGGGGCCAACTCCAAAGGCAGGTAGGTGGTACGGTAGATGGTAGTCGCCGCCTCGTCATGCTTGGCGCTGAAGGAGCCGGTCGGGTACGGAGCGCCGGTGGCCTCGGGGTGGTGAGGGGGCTTGGTCAGAGTTACGGGGTGATGGTAGTCTGAGGCCCAGCCAATGGTGTCAGGACAAGTGCCATGGAAGACTGGGGGGGAATCGGGAGTAGTGGCCGGGACGGCGGCGGAGGTCGTGATGAAGCTGCTCTGGGCCGCCGAGAAACCGCCCGTCGCCGTCGCGGTGGAGTTCTTGGAAAGGGTCTTGCTCACCGTGACAGTGACGGTGCTCGGCGGCGCGCAGGTGGAGGGCGAAGCCGGGGGCAGCGTGGTGGGTTCGGTGCAGTCGGCTCCGGAGACGGAGAACTTGGGAGTCTGCGCGTAGATCACGTAGACGTTGGTGCCGTTGATGGCGTTGCTGTTGATTTTCAGGTTAGCACCCCTACCCTAACTTTGATCTTCTTTGACCCCCTGTTTGCTTTCTTCTGTTTTGATAGTGGTTTTACTCCGCTATTCATTTAAAATGACCGTTGCGGTACATGACTCGTCGGATTCTAATCCCTGCCGGGAACAAGGCTAAACGGGGCACGGTTCAGGGGTAGAAGAGGAAATTCAAGACCACAAAGAGTCAAGAGTCAAGACAACTTGATAAGAGAGAAGAAATGGCGCCGTAAGACCGAGAGACAGAGAGGGGGAAAAGAAAGAATGTCTCACAATTGGTAACCGTCAGAGTTGAGGGTGGAGCAGGGGACATCGATGGAGGCAGAGCCGGCGGCGGTCTCGAGGTCCTGGGCCAGGAGGACATAGGAAGGAGGCCAGTTGACAAAGTTGACGAGGAAGATGCTGAAGGTCGACGGGTCCGTGTCGACCGTGTTCCACGAGAGCTCATAGCTCTTGCCCTTGACAACGGTGGAGTTGGCCGAGGGGCTGGTGAACTCGATGGCGGAAACCAGAGGGGCCGCGAGGGCGAGGGCAACGGAGAAGAAACGCATTTTTGGTGGAGTTTTTTTGTTCGGATCCGGACTGTATGTAAAAGAGTGACTGGGATCGGTGAGGGAGCAAAAGGGAAACCTGAGAGTCCGGGAGAGTTTAGGGGGACATCGCGGTCATTATGTGCTCTTTGGGAGGGCCAAGATCGGGAAATTGCCTATAAGCGTCAGCTGCACCCGCGCCGCAAAAGGGGTGGAGTCAGCACCGGATCCTCTCGGCCGTGAAATCTCCATCGAACAACGCGGAGCCAAGGAAATTCGTATTTTCATCCACGGCGCCTCGGCGTTGGCAAGCCGCCCAGATAGTTAGAGACTCTTACTCGCAAGGGGGGCAGCCGGTGGTTCACGATGGCGGACATGTCACTCAAGACAGGACCGTGGCACGGATGGTACTTCTGGGAGCGGTTAGCTTGGCCTCACGTAGCGTCAACCTAAGCGAGAACATTTAAGCAGTTTGCGGGCACAGTTTAGCCCGACTTTGCTGGTCGATCGCTATGGCTGCTTGGTTCACCAACCTTGGGACCTGGGTGTGGTTTGTCTGTTCTGGTAAAAAGGGGGAACGTGCCGGTCTATGGGGTGGCCCGACAGCCTGGCAGGGGCTTCGATTGGGCGTGTGCGGTGCTGCGCCAGGAACTCCCTTTTCCCATGGTCGTCCCGGTTCCTGAATGGTTCCTGCATCCTACCCAATTTCAACCTTCAAGCGCCATCCGGTTCCCCAGAGGATGTGCGAGTGTGTTCCTGCTTCCAACCTCCCACCCAATCTTCCCATTCAGTGATTGCCAAAAAGCCTACCTGTTTTTTCGCGGTGTGGCGCGCGTGGCGTTGACTCAAGTCTCGAAAGCAAACGACTCAGTTGGCCTCTCACCGCGACAATGCACTTGCACCGATCCGACCGTCGTCCATATCGTGACTTTTGGGAATTGCCCGTGCCGCAATCTCGATATCCTCTACAACAGCGGTTCGCTGCTTTGTTTCCATTCTTCTCCCCCCTTCTGCCCCGGCTCGACGAGGCGAAGTAAGACAAAAGTCCCCGCAGGAGCCGCAGGAGCCGCAGGATGGGAAATTGGGGAGACGCATATTGAATGAGCCATTATAAGCCTACGGGCGAAAGCAGCAGAAGGTTCTTTTTTCATTCGGACGTGGAATCTTACCAATGTCATTTGGATCGACTTGATGAACCAAGTTTCTAACAGCTCGACATTGGAGTCTGGAGTCTGGAAAGAAGTTGGGAAATAGGGACCCCGCCAGCGCCATTTTGCTTCTGCTGGATCTCATTTCGTCCTCCAGCCTGGGTTTCATGAGGGGGACGCGTCTCAGACTGGAACTACGCGAGGTGGGCTTCGGAGCTTGCGGGCCCACGATCCGCTATACGAAAGGGAGAGGGGGAGCCTTTGTTCCGTCTTGGCGAGAGAGAGGCAAAATTTGGGGGATTGACGAGCAAGGCATGCGCTGCATGAGATCCAAATCGTAGAGTCGTGCGAGTGTATGCACTGTATATGGACACGAGAGTCAGTTCGTGACGATGAGAATAGGCACACGCACCTAGGGATACATGTAGTACCTGTTAAAGCATGCGCGCTGCCGCCATCACACCTATTCGCTTCGTAGCGAGATTTGACAAAAACCGAGAGAACCAACAATATCGTGCTGGCGCGCCAAGCTTTACGGTCAGCGAAGCCTAACTGAACTTGCGGCTTACTACAGGAGACAATCGACAATCACATGACCCCGCTCGCAGCAGGAATAGGCGCTGGGCCATGCATTTAATGACATCCAAACCAAGGTAAGGCACGGATAGTTGGGCAAAGTTGACCATGCATCCTTTGTCTTTAGACCAAGTTATTTCGTCTGGGAGATTGATCGGCAAAGGCAAAACATGATTTCATCTTTCAGTCAATGATGGGGAGCTTGCACGTGGCTTTCTCTTCGACCCTATCTCGGTTCCAGTGGGATGGATACGATATGCATCAACACTACTCCGACCGACCTGCTTAGCTCACTGTGTAATTCGATGACGAAGATGTCTCTCCTATTCGTGCTTCTCTTGTCCATTTGTGCTATCCCTTTTTCTCTATTTGAGCACATGTACGAGATAGAAAGAATAGTGACTGGCGCGTCGTGTCCAACGGAGTTTGCATGCATTTCAATTTATGGGAGACTGGCATCAATCGCCAAAAAAAACTTTCTGTTTACTGAACTTGGCAAGAGACGACATGCGTCTGTCTAAAAATTTCACTCAAATCATACAGATACGATCTCGAAAAGGTAGAAAAGCAAAAGCTTACTCCTCGACGGGGAATTGAACCCCGGTCCCCTGCGAATCCTTGTAAACCAATGACAAGCAGATATCCTCACCACTAGACTATCGGGGATTGGTGGATGTGTTCATCCAGTGACAGTTTGCTGGTGCCAGGTTTCACAGCTTTGTGCAATATATAGTTAATAGAACGACTCGTGCTCAACACCCTGAATTCTTTGTCTCTCCGAGTCCACAACGACCTATGTTTTTTTGCAATGGTTCATTTCATTTTGCTAACATTGAGACTTTGGTTTCTCTGATCAAGAAGCACTCGCCTCTTTTGCTACGAATCGAAACCTTTCGCAAAGTGCCTGTCTTGCAAAGCATCACAGCAGTGACTCTGTTTCATTACTATGGGATCGACTTCGTAGTCTGAAAGGAAATTTTTTTGTCTTTGTCGGTTTTCTTTCAGCACCTTGAAGCTGCTTTGGTACATGCTACTTCCCAAAGTAGTTGTTCAACGCAGGCGCGTTGTTTGGTTCAGCTTCGTTCGAGAAACCCCATCATACAGCAGGCAAACTCCAAAAGAGGTAAGAACAATCGAGGATGAGATCACCGCCTTGTTATAGTGCAGAGTGTAGAACATTTGCGAGGTACAGGTGGCACTTGATTCAGGGACACCCCGCGGACTAGAAGCCGTCTGCCGAGATGAGTCTTGGTCGTCGATTGGTCGATCTAATTTCTCGGGCCAGGGTTAATTGAGCTGTGATCGGGCGTTTTGTCCGAGGAAGAATACCAAACATATGAAATGTGGTTTTATTGAGGTACTAACTACGCTTAATCACTTGTATATAATATCAAAACTACATAAGAGATATTCCAAATCTTCGGTTGCTCGTAAAGATTTGTCAACAGTTGTGCCGCTTTCATCTTTGCACTCTTGATGAGTTGTGCTTGTTTTCCAGGACCGAGACACAAGGGTTCAATCGTTGGCCAATAGCCAAGGCATGCGTCGGAATCAAGAGAAATAGCCACCATAATCCCCATCACTCTTTCGGAGTATCTTCAGCCAACGGTTTGCGGGCGTAGACAACATGGCTAAGAATGTTAGCAACAGTATCCTCGGGAACCAGAGTCTAAGAAATGAAGCAAATGCGAAAACTTACACCCTCCAATAGGCGTGGTACTCCTTCTTCTTCAAATCGTTCCGGAGCTCGGCGCAAAAGGCAAAGACTTCTTCCTTTGTCCAATCCATTACACGCGTCAGCAGGCCCATCGAGAGTGCTTCAATGCCCAGGTCGAGATTAACGAATTGCCACCTCCCAATTTCCTTGAGGTCCTCGTCCTTGGGCCATGAGTTGAGAGGCCAAATGTACTGCTTGTTCACAATGTCGACAAACCCAGCCTCTTCAATAGCGCTTGTGTACTTGGAAGGGCTCTCGATGGAGCGGCCGCACTTTTCGCCAGCCTCTGCCAGGAGATCATGCCACCGGCTGAGAGCCGAATCCTTGGGGACGCTGCCATCGTCGCAACCCATGGGGAGGACGAAGCCTCCGGCCTCGAACCACCCACCGGGCTCAAGAGCTCTAGCAACGGCGTTAGCGCGTACTTGTTCTCAATCATCGGTTTGATGGGTTTGGGTTATTTTACTTGTAAATCTTCTTGATGATCTTAGCTGGATTGGCGAACGAGCCCTCCATTGTACGACAGTGGATGTAATCGAAAGGCTCAGACCAGGTCCATTCCTTCTCAAGATCGTCAATCTCAAATCTACAATTTGGAGGTGTCCTATAGAATCTACTTAGTCCAGTAGCATGTTGACATAGATATGGCGTGATCTTACCAGAGAGGCTGGATGGGACTCAGGTCGACGCCGATGACCTGCTGGGGAATCAGCTTAACAATCAAAGGGCTTCTGGGCAAAAATCGGCGTTACCTCGGCAGTTGGGAATTCGTCCGCTATTCTCATTAGCAAAGGAATGATTTTGAAGCGCAGGACTGGAAAATACCAACCATATTCACAAGCCCAGATACCAGTTCCTGTACCCATATCTAAGATGCGCTTCGCCGTCTTGTGAGCAGGGGCAGTTGCAAGTGCCCCATCTAAGGTGAGTTTCCAGATATGATGTTGAAAGTCTATCGTCATCAGTATTGGTCTCAGATGGTAGCCCCAGTAGCTCATGGCTCAGGAAACGCCTGTGCAGCCCATACCTAAACGATCGTTCTCTCTCTGATTATACTATTAGTAACACGAAAGCCCATGCTACTGGAGTGCTGCGGCCCGCAGCAACAGGCCCGTTTCAAAGTACTTACTTCATCATTCGGGTATTGGTATTCTGTTACGTGTCAACACATTGATGAAAGTCCCACATCGTCGGCAAGATAGACGCACTTCCCGAGCTCATGGAGTGATACGTGCGGCCATTCTCAACCTCATTCTCCAAAATGCTTGATCTCAATGAAGCCACAGAGGAGTCTTCATAAAGCTTTAAACCGACGATCACTTAGTCAGCGAGGTCTCGGCAACTCGAAAAGTTCAAACTGACGTCTCCGGCTAGAGTATCATCTGCCTCAACCTCCTGCATTTGTTACCGTCAGCTTGTTGTGTTGATTACAAATCAATGCAGACGATCAGGCACGCTTACTACTTGAGGGGGATTGGTTTCCTGCATGTTTGCGGGATATGACTTGTAGTCCCTGATCAGCCTCCTCGGTTTTCGGTATGTTCATTCAAATTATATATATCAAATAGTAAACTCGCCCCGGTTGACAAGTTAGATAGATCAGTGAATAGACGAAGCAAGACGGAAGGCTTTTTCAGTCGGAAGGTCAGGATCTGGATAAGAGGGGAACGTGCGTTGTAAATAAGCCACAAACGAGAGCAACATATCCCTACACGTTGTTAGTGCCGGATGATTTGTTCTTTATCGGCAGAGTAAAGTAACAGCGCAGGTTTGCACAACAGGCAGTGGCCCATTATTGGCTCATGATTATGCGCCCAGACTTCAAAGCGGAGTGTCGTCCGACCCCTGGTTCTACCAACATGTGTGATAGGATGATCCTGCAGGCATGAGACGATGACCCATAAAGACAGGCCGGACGGCCCGGGCCAACTTACGCTGCATCCGAGGATGAAGCTCCCCATAGGACAAATAACTCGATTTCTCGGACTTTTGTCCAGGTCCGGTATCTTTCTGCAGTTTTTCACAATATACGTCACGTGTTTTTGCAATGAGGGCTTCATTTCTAGGTATCCCCTAAAACCTGCATAACTGGTAAGGCGACATAATTTTGCGTCCACATCATGTAGTACTGAAGAGTTGTCGGTTTTTCTTGTGATGACAATCAGAGTCAGTAGTCGCCTTTCTCATGTTCGAATCTTGAGTTATACCCACTCAGCAGGAGAAATGTGACAATGATGCAGGCTCAATTAGCATGAGGGGGAAAAACAAAGAAGGGGGCGCATAACCATGAGCAAACACCTATCGTTCATCAGGTTCCCTTCATGAGCGGCCAGCCAAGAACCCTCAGCGACGATGCGAACATCATCGATCCAGTATACAAGACCAACGGTGCAAATCGACCAAGACCGTAACCGCTTGTCAAGGAGCCCACCACCAATGGTACAGAAGTCGGGTCAGTCAGAATATTGCCGACTCCTTTACCAAAGGCCATGAAACTGTACACGTGCCCCGGATCCTCAGAGAGGGCCGATCCGAACTTGTTCCACAAACACGGGAACACGCCCGTCGCCAGCTCGAACAACAATGAAAAGGAGAGAAGCGACTTAAGAGACAAGGCATGGCCTCAAACAGCAAAGGTCGCTACCGCAGCAATGAACGAAGAGGCGGAGACGAGGATAAGAACTTTATTGACGCGGCCTGCGATATAGCCGAGGGCAAGCTGACCGAAAATGGTGGCGAAGTTGTTTGTGGCGAGGATCAGCGCTCCCATCGTCCCCGAAAGTCCCAAAGACGTTGCGTAGGTTTGAAGATAGCGCGCTGGGATATAGCATCCTAGAGCTTCGAGAAAGTTGGTCAATGCAAAGCTGTAGACAGTGGCTTTCTGAAGAATTTGAAATCGCCTTTTCGCAGCATTCCCTGTCTCGAGGCTGGTAGCCGTGCTTTGATGAGTGGTATCACAGGAAGTAGGATGACAAATTGCGCCAATGCAATTGCGCGCAGCGTTGTCTAATATCCGTAATCTGTGGAGAGAGACTCTAGAAGAAACGGCAAGCCAACTCCACTACAGCCCGCGGTGGTCGACATGATGCCCCATGCAAGGCCTCTACGCTTGATGAACCACTCATTGAGCATATGGAGAAGTGGGTAGTTGACTGAGAGGAAGGCGAACCCGTAGAGAAACCCCCAAGTTGCGATCAGACCAGGCACTGAAGTCTCAAAAGAGGCTATTAGGAGGGACAAGGCAGATCCTATCTAGCCGACGATGATCATGTATCTTTGCCCCGCTTGGAAACGTGTTACAGATGGTGTTGCTAGCGGTCGGCCGAGGTAGTAGACTCTGGTGATGACGGTCCCACTGACGGCAATATTCGAGTCCTGATTGAGGAAGGGATGTTCTGAATAGTAGTCTTGGAAGATGCCGTACGACACCGTGAGGCCTAGATGGTATGTGAATATTGAGAATAGCAGTTGAGAGCTTCTTTGTGTGACGTTCATAACCCGGAGATTAGCTTCGGCAACAAAAGATTCGAGTGTGAATAGCCATGCAGACAACCCTTTACCTGCAGAGCGCATAGGCTGACTCAAGGCAGTATCTTGGTTATCTACCTCGCTATGGTGGACCGTCTCAAGGCTCACGGTTTCTGTGTGGATGGAAGTGTCCCAGACTTTATGACCAGCCAAGTGATCTGATGTGAAAGGACTCGGGAGAAAAGAGAATGATGAATTTAGTCACTTATTACAGCCCAGTCATTTCATATACGGCTGCTCAACTGCTCAATCACGATATTTGTTACCAGTTGATGGTTGGCTTGTGCTTACGTCGGAATATCATACCACTAGTCTTATGCAGGCTAAAGGCCAAATCTGCCTGCAACATGCATGTACACGAAAGTGGTTCTCGATTGAGTCACCAGGGAAAGATTCACTGTGTTCTTGGACTGCTGATGGGTGGATGGCCGGTCCCTTGGCCTTGACATAGCCCTAGTAGATAAGTACACGTAGCCTTTGGCTCTCATAGCCCAATCGCAGACACAATGTTCTCCTCTCAAAGACTGGTCATAACATATAACACGAGCTCTTCTAGTATCTACTTTTCTCAAAGTATCTGAACTTATTATATTTGAAGATTTGCCTTGTAGGGTGTGTCCCGTTGTTGGAACATCGGTCTTGGGTGATCTCATCTATGTAGCTTCTTATTTCTCAGAGGGGGAGACAATTGAAGAGCTCCTTAGGGTTTAGGATTCAAAAAGGTTGAGTACAGAATCACACTGACTACCTTACTTCAGATTGCATCGACTTCAATGCATACCGGGGTATTGAACGATTGGACGATCTCAGAACCGCCACAGAGATGCATTTGTTGCTCTGTGGAATCTGTGAAGACATGCGGGACTGAAGCTGTCAGTTTGAATTCGCAAAGACCACTGTAGAGCCTCTACTTCCGCCTACTCTTTAATGTATCGTTTCTACAGGATTGAAATGAGTCGTATCAATGACTGTCGTCACGAGTGAAAGGAGAAACGCCCTCTGGCGTAGATGAACAGTCTTCACGTTACTTTCTTCATCAGGCCTGTCAAAGAAAACCCTAGGAGATAAAGACACAAACGGTGGTACAATCGCCAGGAACAGCTGTTACAGCAATTGGGTGGCTGGCTATACTATCGCTTTGATGTTCTAACTCGACGGAGTAAGGGCCCATAGGACTGTAGCGAGATCGAAGCCTGAACCATCAAACTTTTCCATGCAAAGTTTAAGCTCAGATCTAATCATTAAGGCCAATGCATATGGGAGTTGCCAAAATCTCGGTCACATTTGATGGCTGCGGGCATTCTAGCTTTTTGAAAAGAGCATACTGTCAAGAAACCTGATATCAGCACAGACGAAGTTGTCTGCCACATTCTCTCTCACATAGGCTTCACTCTCTCTCAGATATAGACTGTGCCTTTTCCCCCGTACCCTTCACTTTGGGTCAACTTAAGCTAATTTTCAACCACTTCAGATGCCCAATGCTGTGTGCCCTAACTCGTGACATATTGTGTAAGCAGCCAGATTACTTCCCACGCAGCGTGATTTGATTGCTGCTGGGCCTTTATACTAAGGTAGTCACACTTAGCTAGCCAGTATTGGTAGTCTCAGCTGATATTTTGCAGCAAATCTGACCAGTCATCGAAAGCGACCTCTAAATGCTGACAGCAGACTGCTTATGTAAGTAACACTCATGCAACTCCTGAGCGTAGTGTGACTTGACGATGAGCCCAGCCTGTTCCACGCAACTTTCAATTCCTACCTACTCTCATCGCATACGGAATCAAAACTGAACAACGGCTTTCAGGAGACCATGTCGGCAGACAAACTCCCTGCATATTCGCCGCCGACCTTTGTGTCGACTATCTACGCCCCTCTAGTGCATCCCGACGCGATACGGGTGTTGATCCTTTACCCCGCCGTTCGCCACGATGCCGAAATTCAGTGCAGGCTACTGTCGACAGAGATATCCACTTGCCAAGAGCTCAATGAGTCATACGTAGCATTGTCGTATGTCTGGGGAGATCTGAGCGATCCTCAACTTGTTCAAGTCAATGGACAAGGGGTTTATATCGGATCCAACCTTTCAGAAGCACTCCGTCATCTCCGCCGTCGAGATCGTCCGATACGGCTTTGGGCAGACGCATTATGTATCAACCAATACGATATTGCCGAGCGAAACCATCAAGTTCATCAAATGCGAAACATCTATTCCTCCGCTTTTGAGACGATCATTTACCTTGGCTCTGATGATGGCAGCAACACAACATTTTCGGCATGGAATTTCCTCGAAAGAAAAAGCGAGTGGGCACTAGACAAAAATGGCAACGAAGATTTCAAGCTGCCTTCCGCGCTTGAGGAGAATACGATCCACTTCAGAGGAGACCTAGCTGATGTGGAAATTAGTGTTCTCAAACAGTCGTGGTTCCTGCGCGTTTGGGTTCTCCAGGAAGTCGTCGTCTCGAGAAAGGTGTCAGTGCAGTGTGGCCATCGAAGGATTCCTTGGAACGACTTCTGCAAGATTATTCTCCTGAATCAACGATACCACGATCGTTATGGATACAGCTTGCGAGCCGCCGACAGAGTTAACATTGTTCGCGACATGTTCCAGGCCCGATGCGCTTACCAAGAGTCACATGATATGGCCCATCTTCGACCCTCCTGGCACACCAGTGTTACCAACTACGGTGGCAGAAGCGCACATATCATTGATATGCTTGTCAGAGCTCGTCAACTCGAAGCATCGGATCCTCGTGACAAAATCTTTGCCCTCTTAGGGATCTCGACGAGTGTGGACGCCGACAACAAATTGGTGGCTGTCGATTACGACAAACCCAACGCAAAGGTCCAGGCCGATTTGGCCCGCTACATGATGGAGGAAAATATGAGTTTCGATATGTTGAGCTATGTCAATCACTCTGTCAACGTATACTCATCGTTGAAAGGTTGTGATGAAGCTGGCACACTTCCTTCCTGGGTTCCCGACTGGGATGGAAGCCAGGTCGCTCGCAACCTCAAATTGACGAAAGTCACCGATGATGTCGAATGGGAATGGGAACCCTTGAGCGGAACAGCCACCGCCACCAACGTTATCTGTCCAACGATCTTAAGTTACCTGGAGGAAGAGGAAGAGGAAGACCGTAAAAGGCGTCAAGATATATCCTCAAAGAGCATGGCGTGGATCAATGACAACATGACTCTGGTGTTGACTGGTTCTATTATCGGCAGAATAGCACAAGTCGGGCCAGCTGTCAAGCTTCGGGGAAGAGACGAGCTCTCATTTCAAGCCATCAGGGACCGGATTGATGATCGCCAAGAAATGCGACGAGCAATTATCAGAAGATGGACCGGCTTTCTTGTCCAGAGAAGCAGGAAAAACTTGGATGATACCCACAATGATCCAAGATCAATCGTTGGCCCATTGCCACTGATTGAGACTGCCCTCCAATCATTAGATGATGATCCAGATCTGGGACCTCATACAATTGAAAGTCACATGTTTGCCAGAGGTCGGCAGACAGCTGCTTGGTCCGGAGAAGGTGGCCAGATTATTAACCAAGTGACCGACAGGACAAGCACGATCGAGAACAAGCGAATCGGTGTCTTTGTGAGCTTAATCGACCCAATTTCCGAGTTCCGAAGAATCATACTACCAAATGGGTCAAAGAAGGATGATCTGATCGTTTCAATTCGTGGAGCACGAGTACCATTTGTTGTCCGTGTGGCGGACGGAAATGCGATATCTCAGTACGAACTCGTCGGGGAGTGTTTGATCAATGAATTCCGGGCAAACTTTTCCCAAGACAATAAGTGGATAACCATGGCATTTCGATGAAACTGGAAGTCATCCTTGCACCTTGATGGTTCATGACGGCACGACAAGTAGTCTCGGCAACTGGGATTGAACTTAACTATCCAAACGAGCACCTAACTAACTTTTCATCAATCTGCCTTTTGAATTTTCCGCCATTTTCCGTTACACCGCCAGCTGCTTTGGCCCAGTCCCGGTAGCAATAGGCGGAAAGTACAGCAACACGATACAACTTTTGTTTAGCTCACAAACACAAGAATGAGCCTGCGATACAGTTTAAAGCATGCAGAACCGAAAAACGACCAAACCCTCACTACAAATCAAAGTTGCCAAACCAAGTGCCATCAAACTCCATTGCGAAATAAGTGACCGGTCACTTATTTCGCAACGTTTACTTGGCAACACCGATGCAGGAGAAGCATCGCTTGAAAGACTCAGCCTCGAGAGCAAAGAGACCGCCGTGGTCGAGGAGGGTGGCAGGGTTCCAGATCTCGGGCTCGAGACGGCCGAGGAGACCGGTGTAGCCGGTGAGACCTTGGGCCTCAGTGACACCCCACGGGTTGCGGAGGACGATATATTGCTTGTCGCCGATGACGCAGTAGCCCAGGACGGAGTAGGCGTGGTTAGCAACGAGGTTGGCGCCGTGGAACTCGCGACCGGTGGCATAAGTGTAGGCCGCCATGGGATTGATGGTCTTGTTGTTGACGCTGTTGGCACGGACCAAACCCAGGAGGGTTTGGGAAGAGTGGTTGTCGCAGTTGTAGTATTGAGGTGTGCGGCCGTTGATCTGCGCCATAGCCTTGATGGGGTCACCGCAGTGAGTCTGGGTGATATCCGGCTGCTCAGAATTGGAGCCAGTGATCCATTTGGCGAATGCCTTCTCGTAAAGTGAGGGCCAGATATCGGCACCGTCGCTGGAGCGGCAGTAGAGAGGCTCGTTGTCGGAGTTGTTAATGGGGATCTCGTAGTTAACATCAATAGTCTCAGTCTTGTTGTTTTGCTTGCCGCCCTTGTCGTGGAACTTGATGGACAAGAAGCGCTTCTTCTCGTTGCCTTGGGTGTGGACGCGGGTAGCCCGGTTGATGGCGCTGGGGTCAGACCAGAACACGGAGAAGAGAGCAGAGACGAACCAGCTGTTGCTGGAGCAGCCCTGGGTGGGGTCGTCAAACTGGCGGTTGGTCTCACGGCGGTCGCCAAGCTGGTACATGGTGATGTCGGAGATCAGGCGTTTGTTAACACTCTGGAAGAAATAGTCGTACATGTCACGCCACGACGCGTTGGGTGGCTGCCAGCGGCCCTTCTCCATTCTGAAGGGGGTGACCAGTTCGTTGATGGACATGGTGACCTGGCGGTTGGAGACAGTCTGGCCAAGCTCGTGGGCGTGGAGAACAAGGCGAAGTTTGCCGTTCTTCATACGGGCCATCTTAACCTTGGCCTCCTTGAGGTCCTTGAGTCCGACCTTCTCGAGGTCATCCAGTTTGCGGACTCCAGAGAAGTCGGGAGTCATGAGATCCCGCTCGTTGAGGATCTTCATGTCCTTCTCGTCAAACATCTCAGCCTTCCTCTCCTTCTCGTTCAGCCTCATACCGGCGAAGAGAACGGAGTGGTGACGCATGTCAAAGAGCTCATCGTAGTCGGTCTGGAGAACATTTTGGAGAATTTGGGCAGCGACCATCGAATGACGGTCGATCCTGCGGCCGATCAGAGCCTCAGCCAAGGCGTACGGATTGACAGCACCGACGCAAGGGTTCTTAGGTGGGGCGTCGGGCTTAGGGCCTTCCTTGCTGAATTCGTGGTCCTTGTTCATGTCGACGAGGTCTTCATAATCCTCTATGGTACTCTGGGATGAAGAACCGGGCAAGCTATCAATCTTGTGGCCAAGGATAGCCTCAACAAGGGCAATAACATTGCTGTCTCTGTCGGAGCCGCGGATATCGCCCATTTTGAATTTGAAGGTTAGGTAAAGTATGGTGTGATAAGTTGATAAAGTGTTCTAATTTGTTGATGTTGCTTAAGTTGTTGACCTGGACTAAAAGCTTACTGCTGCTGGCGCAAGAATCATCTGTTGTCAAGAGGATTTCGATGGGTCTTTATACCTTTGGTAACGGACTTGAAGATCACACTTTTCGCCAATTGTGCCTCAAACTTCGGCTCTGCAAGGTGAATCATGAATGAGTAAACCCTCAGCTCAAACAGCTCTTACGTGTTATGCATCTTTGCCCATCGGTGCGAAGGTTTCGCATGGTCTTCTGCGGGGCAACAGAGAGCATACATCAGAGCATTACCTACACGAGGTCGAGACTTTCCAGCGTCGGATTTGATTCTGCAAGTTACGGAAATGAGGCCTCCGTCGTCGTACTCATCTCACAACGTGGAAGAACGATTGGTCTGAGGGTCGAGAGTATCTCCAATGTTCCACAGTGTCGCCAGTCACATGCAAACTAAGCCAACTTCTGATGCTGAAGCAGATCTTGGCGCTAGATGAAGTCAAAGGCTGACGACTCTTTCGTGCCCTAAGTCCGTGAGGGGCTCACTCTAAGCACGACCTAGACTCTCTACAGAGCTCCACGATGTAAGTTTCACTGAAACCCTAAGGGAAGCATTCGTGCAGTAGTCGGTGAGGGGTTTGCATGTTGGGAGCAAATCTCGTCAGAGCATGTTCTCCGCGTGTGAACATGGGCCCATCATGAGGCTGAGATTCAGTCCCAACAAACTCAAGGCTGCAGCTAGAAAGGCTGATCGGAAGCAGGGATCCTTCTGCGGCGGCAAGATCGGAAGAAGCTGGGGAACTGGCCCGGTTTGAAGCGACAACCGAGCTAGACTCAAAAGGTGAGCAAAGTGTCAGGTCTATGACATGAAGCTATGTACTACTGATAATACCGATGAATAGCAAACTTTGCATACCACGTGGCAGCGCGGACTTGGCGGCGTCTTGCTCAACCTCCCCAATGTCGCACGTATCAAATGTAAGCCGTTCCTTATTTAAGTTTCTAGACCCCTCACTGCTGCATTGATTCCCAAGTCCATTGGCTTTTCTCATTCTTGTCGTGTCCTTGCAGAGGAGCATCACAATCTTACAACCTTAAGCTTCATATTGAATTACTTCTTATGGGCTCATAAAACACCCGACGTTAAGCGCAACTGAGCGGTACAAACACAACTGCTTCGACAATTTCTCACGCCGGTGCAGAGCAAGGCTTCCAAGGTTGTGATGAAAGTTGCGGGGTACTGGCGAGGCACGCGGGGTACGTGAAGTCTAAGAGGGTAAGGCTATACGCGGAACTCGGGCTACTCTCCTGACTTTGACAAACGTGCTGGTTCCAGCCAAAGATGCGGTTATAGAAGGTGAGATTCGAGCGGAGAATGATGACGATGGCGCTTTTCCCCGGCTTTACGGCATGCATTCCAGGCAATGAAAGGTCGATGACAATCAGAAAGACTATACCTTTCAGCTCGAGACCTCCGGGTTTCCTCAAAGTCAGACTGTTCTTGATTGATCCCGACATCGCATTTGGCCCGGCAACGAACCGAAACCGAATAGCAACTGCACTGATCAATCAATGTAGTCGGAGGTGTCGCATTGATGGCCGTCCGCCGAAGGGATATAATCTACGTAGCACGGTCCGAGAATGCTCAAGTTCACAGCCTCAATCCTGGTGGAAAGAAAGGATGGTGTCTCAAGACATTGTCGGGCCGGGCGGGGCGAGCGGCCCGAGCCCGATAGGGCGGACCCCAGCCCGGCCAAAAGTGGAGTTCGTAGTGGATACGTTTGCCGCCTATCCGCCGGTTGACTGAGCCGAGAGTACGGCGGAAGGGAAACTCTTTTCCTATGAGGCTTTCTGCCCGCGCTTTGCCCCGACAGCTCGCATACGAGCGCGACTATCTAACCGGGTTTTGCGGCAGACTTCTCAATGATCTGAGCTGAAACCACGTCAAAGCAGCATTTCTGCTTTTGCTGCGTTCTGCGAGTGGCAGGCAGCCTCTGGCCCTGCAATACAAATTTGCGAAAAGCAGCACAAGCGGGTCAAGGTTTTCATTGGAAATCAGACTCCTATACTCGGTAAAATGACCTTTTTCACAATCTCGGCGTACCAGAAACCCGGGTCGGGTACCAGACCGTCTCAAGTACCCACAGCCATGGCCGATCGTGAGCTTGGCTGCGGGGGAGCCGCGAGGATCCGACCACACTGCAGGATGAACTCCTCATTCTGGACTATTGAGTAGCACTGGTGGAGGAGGAAAGCAGCACTTTCGTTTCCAACACACCGTTTGCGGGAATTTGAGATATTATAGCAAAGATACTTTTCACGGCCTTGACTATCAAACTCCTGTAATTGCGAAACTTTCCCACCCCGAAGCCCAGGAGCGGCAGGTCCCAGACCTCACCTATTCTTGAATAAAACCGATTTCCGCAGAGTGTACGTGTGGGGCTCGAAATAATAAAGTCTGAGTCGCAACAATCGCCGTGTTCGCAATCAACTTAGCTCCTTGATCAACACAGTGTGTCCTTCTAGGTGGAGCTGGTTTAATCCCAACTTGATCTCTTCCCAAGGCCCAAGAATTCTAGCTCACCATCTGCAGTAATTCGGACGACCTTGCGCCCGAGCGCTGTGAGAACTGACCTGGCTTACGTTGCTTCATGCTTCGAGTCAAGAATGCAGCAAGGACCCCGCCCACGGTTTGTTGTCAGCCTCCTGAGCATTTACCTACCTTGTATACTCTCAATGATCTTGGCCGTGCTGTATTTTTGGAGAAGCTGTATTCTGTATGTCCAAAGGGAATTTCTTTGGCGATGTGTCTTGCTCATTACCTTATTGATGGCTCGACGTTGAAACTAAGCTCAAAAGTCTAATACGCACCCAGAAATCGCTTGACAGCTATGGACAGCCCTTAGTCCAGAAAGCGCTGTGTGATCAGAATCCGCTTGTTTACATGCTTCCATGATTTGATTCCAACGTGTTGCAGAAACTTCTTTCTAGAACATGTTAAAAAAATCACCAGCCCAAGCAAAAGTTGTAATGTGGGTGATCCAAGATCGACAGTGACAAGACATTGCTCAAGCTGTTTATTTAGCTAGCATTGTGCCCTGCTAAGATCCGAAGAACTCTTTCAGTCGGTTGAGCCAGCTCCTTGATAAATGGCTAAGGATCCGAGACATCTTTCGAAATCGACTAGACATGAATCGGAAAGTACTCGAGAAAGTCTGATCATGAATAGGTTCATCAATGGCACCCATTCCTGAAAACCCAGCACTCTGGTCTCCTAATTCTGTTACATTGGTAGCTCTTAAGCACACAATTCTAGCCGGGATAGTGATACAGATTATCGTTCCGCCTTTATTCAGATATTTTGGTGTCAAGTGACGCCGCAGCAACTCGCGCATGTTGATACCGTTCGAAGCAAGTGCTCGCCTCTTTCCGGGCGGGGTCTTGATACTTCACCAACTAAGTAGCAAAGTGGGCGAGATATTGAAATATGCTTGCAATTTAAATTTCAGTGTGCAACCCAATACCATTGGGTCAGTGGAATCACTAGATACTGCAATTTCCTTGCTTGGATTCTCATTTGTTAATGCAGAGAAGCTGGTGATGCAGTCCAATGACCTCACCGACGACATAGATCGGAAAGCCTTCCCCAAGGTTTGGGCGTCTTGTGCTTTGTTTTCTGCCAGACGGGGATGCCCAGATTAGAATAATTCAATTTGCTGTGATAGAATTCCTCCTACTCTATTAACGGCCTTTTCTCTTTCCTTCGTGTGATGTGCAATTTGACTCGAAAAATTGAATTGCACCGCATTCTCAAGATCGGTCTACCAAGGCAGCCAGCCATTGGCTTGCCACTTTGGTCGGCTCTAACTCTGATACAAGGTTCAACTTCGTCAGGAATTCTAGGCAGAGGATGGCTAGTGTTCGCAAGTTCAACGCGAAGAGCGTACAGATAGCTCTGCCTCCTCTCATGACGTAGACAGATCCATCGGTTTTCTAGCATCATCGTTGAACACCACTTGCTTCGCCTGTAATTCAGACTCAACCGTACATCTCACACCTGGCAACTCGGATTCAAGGCGTTTGCCAAAAATCTAAAGGACACTCGAATACCTAAGAACTTGGTTCATAACGGCAACGTTGTAGACAACGTCGCATACCCAACGCCACGCTGCGTTGTTTTTCCGTGTCCCGGCCGCTCATGGCGTTGCTAGCAACCGCGTTCATCAACGCACAAGTGAATCAAAATCTGTTCGTAGTCTCTTGTGTGATGGGATACGTCGGCTGAGTCCGAATCACCAACTTTAACAATGCCTTCAGCCGTCTGGGCGGCCGCAGAACATGGAACTTAGCAATGCCAACAATTCTGCTGCCGTTACCAATACGTGAGGGACGACGTCTACGACATCGTCCTCAACGTCCTCAACATCCACCACGTCCTCCGTCTCAGCATCCGTCACCTCCTCAGACTCGTCTTCTTCAACATCATCGACGACGACCTTCCCATTCACCACACTGATCCCCTTCCCTCGCACACCGTGGCAGTACATAGACTGCGGCCTCGACAACGAAGCCGACAGCGACGTCAACATCCGTTTCAATTTTTCCCTCTCTGGTGACCCAGACGCCTGCCAAAAAATACTGTCAGGATAAGAACCGGTTGCACACCTTCATATCGCATGTTCTCTGCATTTTCAGACTCCTGAACCCGGGAACAACTGCAATTCTCACGCTATTGTTTCCCATATACGAAGGCCGCTGCATGAAACCCTGCTCCAAATTTCCCTCGGTGCCTTGCGGCGGGCCGTATTACATGAAGACGTCGATTCACACTTTGTACAGGCTGGACGCGACCGCCCTTACAAACTGTTCCTGTTCATCCTCAAGTTCTTCTTCGATTCTGTTCTCTACTTCAACGACGTCTGCTTTGACGTTGAGTTTGGATACGCCTACATCTGGAAGTAGTACAAGCTCTGGAACCAGCATCCCCTCAAGCATATCAAGTCTATGAAGTGGCCTGGTGACCTCACGCACCTCTTTGTCATCGTCGGCACCATGTTCTGAAACAACTTCAAGCAGAATTATTTCGGTACGCTTCCAAAACACAACCACACTTTGCAACAACTTCAAGCCTCCCTGTGACTTTGGTGTCTTCCGATTCGACTACACAAGTTACGAGCGTCGTCAGCAGCGGATCCTGTTTGATTCTACCTCTCTCCTTGACGTCTTCAACAGTCCCCGTTTCGCCCTCATCTACCTCCCTACCATTCATTCCTCCAACATCTTCTACAACCTCGATTCTAAGCGGCACTCCAGCCTCCTCCACATTACCTGCCTTCACATGAAACATTGCAACCAATAACATTTCCCGGACAACCAAAAAACACTCTCAGCGTCTTCATTCATATCGGCCTATTCTCACGTATCTACCAAGGGCTTTCGAATTTCAGTCAACAAAGCTTTCTCTCTAACAGTCACCGTAATAAAACGACCTATACCAACTCCATCGATTCCCCCATCGTATTAAGTGGAAGGACGGGTTATGTAAGCTTATTATCAGGAATCATATGATACCATTCGAATATATAATAAGGTATGTCCAGGTTTGTTAAAAGTAATTGGACAAAAGTACTGATCCCAAGTTACCTTCATTCTCACAAGCCAATTCCAATGCCCAATCGCTTCACCTCCTCAATAATCTCTTATCAAATCAATCGATTTTCGAAAACACATAAAACCCAAAATTTACATATAAAGACACATTCTAGTTCAGTCTTTATCTTCAACTCACTAGCGTATTCCATATGAAGACCGCTCTGGCCACGGTTATAATCCAATGACTGCGACCTCAAAGTCATCAGCATGAGTCGCAACAGTCATAGCCGCTTGACTAATAGGCCCAATAATAAAGGGAGACCTCTGGAATCATGTAGTATAGAAAGCAGTGCTAAACCTCTATCGAACGGTCTAAACAGAGCATACCATAGACAATGCCTCTGATAAAATTGAGATAAAGAAATGCTATAACCACAGGATATCGCAAAAGAGGCTGCAGTTTCTGGTATATACACATAGGTAAATACATAGTCTATCAATAAATCCCCTCCCCCCCCCCCCCCCCCCCCCCCCCCCCCCCCCCCCCCCCCCCCCCCCCCCTCCCCCCCCCCCCCCCCCCCCCCCCCCCCCCCACCCACCCCCCCCCCCCCCCCCCCCCGCCCCCCCCGCCGCCGGCGCCGCGCCCGCCCCCCCCCCACCGCAACTTATCGCGTCCCGCCCGTGTGAGCCATCCCCAACGGATCTCCGAACCCCGCCAGCGGCAGATGCAGGTCAGAATCTTCCTAGGCGAGATTCCCTGTTTTAAGCTCTTTGAGAGCAAGAAGTCGATGGCATTTCGTTCCATCACCCCTCGCAGCCGCGGCCATGCTGTAAGACGTATCTTACATCCTGTAATTCTGGTT